CCAATGTTCTGTGCTCATCCAATCCGACCGCTTGAGCATTCCGTCAGCTAGCGAGTTTCGCAAAATGTTTACACCATATCCATCCCACTTGCTTTGTGGGATCATCCTGATTCCTTGCCAGCCACAGTTCTCCACGTTCCCCAATCACGTCGAAAATTTCTCCGGCCACATATGTCAGATACGGAATGCCGCCCTCTTGACGCGCCCGGTCGATGTTGAACTCGTACACACTGGCCGCTGTAAATAATACATCTGGATCTTCCCCAGCGCCAGGCGAGACGCCAGGTGGATGAGTAGGAAGAGCTCGGTCGGCGACAGGAGAGTCCGGCATCGGCATTGCAGATGAGAAGATGCTAGATGCGGACGATGCTTGGCCTTGGGCAGGAGGACCAGCTGTGGTGCCTGTTGAAACTGATGGTGCCACAGTCGATGTAGTCGACATGGACGGATTGTTCGCAGTATGAGATGTCGTACTAGGGCCGGCAGTGGCAGAGAAGAATGTCGACGCACTGCCAGGCCGGTTAGGGGTCCCAAGAGGTGCTATTGGCCCAATCGAAGGAGACGGCGTATCAAGACTGACCCGTGGCGCGGATATCAGTGTGGTCTTGATGGGTGCGCTCTCCGACTGAGCCGGCCGATCGACTTGACCTAAGGAGGTAGCGGGCCTGGAAAAGCTGTGTAACGAAGAGGGCGTGCGACTATACATCTCTGGCGTCTTGGGACCTGGGGCACGCCCAGAGGTTGTGGAAGTGGCGCGCATGCGAGAATTAGCAGCACCAAACGAAGAAGCCTCGGTCGGGAACTCGTGGGCACTGTGTTGGCCGGAACTGTAACGCACATAAGTCTCCTGCGGCATGTGCGAATGGTCGCTTGACAGTGATGTCGTTCTCTTGCCCGAGTTCCAAGATGGGCGCGGCGAGTCTTCGCCCGCTAGAGTGGTGCCGGGCGATAAGAAGCTCGAGATGTTGGCTGCTTCTGCTAATAGAGCACCATTGCAGATACTGAGAGTAAGTGCGGTGGCTTCGTGGAAATCAAAATCCACTTGCCAGTCTTTGACCAGGTCGGCTTGCTCTAGTTTCTCCAGTGGGATGGCCATAGCACCTGCAAGCTTCTGCTTCATCATCGCCAACCAGGACATGTGGAGCTGCACGAGACTGTGCAGACAAGAGTGCACAAGAGTCTGCGTCGCCTGCAGCAGCTTTCGCATTCTCTGCTTCACTTCATTATTGATGGCCTCCCATTGATCCAGTCGCTCCGTCATCTTGCGGTCCAGTTTTTCTCCGCGATCACGCTTGTTCTTGGCCGTGCTGTAATCAAGAATCTTCTTGTCACGCTTTTGGTAGAGACCCTTCGGATCAGTCTTGAAGCGCTCCATCATCAGCATGGCTTGCTCCATTGGCTGGATGACCTTCTTCGATACCTGATCAATGTGGTCGGGTAGCGCAATCGTGCTTATTCCCTTGACAACCATACCAAGTTGTCGAAGTTTGCTTTCAGCTTCGGGGTAGTTCGAATGACCTACATCCACCCACCCTTCTGCCGCGGCTGCCATTTCGGCCCACTTTGACACCCACCCCCTGATGGCGTCCAGATAGCCTTGGCAGTCTTTGCTGACAATGAGCAGATGAACTCCGTTGTTATCGTACTCCATCTTCAGCCTAGAATATTCGCCGTCTTCAAAAACATCGCTGACACCAACATGCTGGCGAAGTCGTTCTGCCCGTCTGCCAAAGGCTTTGGTCAAGCCATTCCTCACATCGGACTCTTTGCGCTTGCGACTCAGCACCTGATCCACAAGTTCTGTTTGCTTCTTGATGTCGTTGATGCGGAAGTTGATGTCTGTGACTGCGGTCAGAGCTCGGCGAAGACCTTCGACATCGGGGTGATCGGCGGGTGTTGATTCCAGCAAACCCGACAGTAACAGTGGGTACTTGGTGATACGCTGGACAGGTTTCACGCTGAGTGCATCCAGGCTCCACGCATGTGTGATGTCTTTCGAGTTTTCACTGCACTCCCGCAGCCAGTCTGCAACAGCTGGCATAGATGAAAGCATGGTTAATCGCTTATTTGCGGCATGACGTTGACGGATATAGTCTGTGTAGACAGCACTCATGTCGTCCATCGACGCCTCAAAAGCAACCCCAACCTGGGTAAGTCGGTCCTTCTCATCGTCGGTAAGATCTGGCGAGATCGATCGGATGGACGTACGATCAGAGAGATGAGAATTGGTTGCGCGGTTCTTCCGGTCCATAACGTAGACAGATTTGACCATCTGCTTGAGATAAGTCAAAAAGTCTTTGGAAAACTCCTGGATCTGTTCCACGTTGCCGAAAACGATCTTAACATCCTCTTCGTCTAGAACTGCGGTGGCAGTCTGCTTATAAATGTCGCAAAGCACCCTCATATCGCGCTCGTAAGTGAATTCGGTGTCCACAAGCTCCTTCATGATGTTTCGACGCTGTTTGAGACGCTTGGCTTCAGCCGTTTGCTCATCTTGAGCAGGACTTGGTGCGAGATTGCTGGATTCTTGTGTAGCTCGTCGAGTGGCCATTTGTGAAGTTGAAGTCATGCGATGAGGCATCTCAGGCGGCGACGAAATTGGAACTTGTTGTGCCCTGATCGAAGTCGTTGAGATCCGCTCCAGAGAATGTATCTGTTTGGTCGGTGGTGGCGGTGGAGAATGAGATGGTGGTGAAAGAATGTCGTCTTTTGGTGGGACTGGAGGTTCTCCTGGATATTGAAGAATAGCCACAGTGCCATAATCGCCATCATCCTCGTCACCAGTATCTTGCGCGAGTGGTGACGGCTGGGCCGCTTTCTCTGTCTCCGAGCGGTTCAATGCAAATTGCATCCAATCACCAACCGAAGGCGAGGTATCCGCCCAATCTTCGGCGCTGTCCAGACTTGACTTGTACGTGTGCGTACGGAAACTGCTCGGTGGCAGGCTGTCCTTAGGCAGAGGCGGTGGTCGGCGTTCATCATGGTCAAACTCATCTTCGTTATCATCGTCCTCGTCCTCATCGTCGAAGGTGGACTCCCCCGTGATATTATCCGCACGAACAGACTCTGGTCGATCAGCATTACCGTACAACTCAAGCTCTTGCAAACACAATTCCTCAATTCTCTGTGGATCGACACTCTCTGGACGGACAAGATCGGGTTCCTCTGATATTATTCGCTCGAATATATCATCGACGAGCTGCTGATCTACAAGTCCGGAGCTGGACCGTTCCTGTAGTACAATGTTGACGATTGTGTAAGCGTCACTTGCGGCTGTGGTGCGGACTGCCTCGTCATGCTCCTCATTAGCTTCGGATGTTGGCGACGATGACCGCTCCTCCACTGTGACTGGTACCTCAAATTTTCCAGCGATAGGTGACTCGAACAAGGCATTCTTGGGGTCCTCGGATGGACGAGGGCTAGCATCGGAATGCTCTGCAATTGAAGACGTCCATGATCCCTGCCCGTTGCTGGATCCTTCATATAGGTCAGGGAGAGGGGGTTGCATGAAGTTACGATAGCCTTTTGCAACCGCTTCATCCTCGTCCATATACGTGGTGTTCCGCAACACAAGATTGACCGATTCGGCATCAGTACGATCCAGCGTCTGGCCTTCCGAAGGTGAGATACCAGATGGAGAGGATGCAGAGCTTGGCTCGCGGATGCTCCGAATTTGGTGGAAGAGCGAGTGTTGACCGGATTCGAGGTCGCTGGTGTCAGCTTGTGGTTCGGCGTCAAATGTTGTACCAGCAGTTCCTTGCGCTAGGACTGAGTTTTCGTCCCGGTCTGGGCGGCGCTGAGCCTGAGGAATTTGTAGTTGGGGCAAATCTAATTCGGTCCCACCTTCAGCTGAACCTAGAGTCGGGGAATCAGACCCGTCATCGAAACTCCCCGGCATGCCCCACGTAGACAGCGCTGCCTGAGTCAGCTGACTATTTGAGGGAGCTGTAGCTTCATCAGGTGTTGTGAACACATCGCCATCGTCGGCAAAACTGGCGCCTTCTACAACGACTGCTGGGATGTTAGAAGGGCTGTATACCTCTTGGCCTCTCTCTGGCTCTGACAGAGAGGGAGTTGCGCTTCCAGATCTTCGCTTCGATACAGGTCTCTCGCCCCGCAGGTCCTGTCCTTCTCGCGATCTACTCAGAGCCTGGGTGATCTTCAATCGACGCTGTTTCAGATCTATATCAGACAACTCGGGCGGGCGGGCGCGTCGTGACGCAGCCCTTAAATCAGTCTGCTCTTTCGCCATTGCTTGAAATCGCTCCGCAATTTTGGCACGAGAGGCTGCTGTGCTTGCGGATGACACAGGAAGTCGTGGCCGGGAGCTACGCAGAGGTGGCGAGTTTTTGGGAGGTGGAGCAATGATGTTGGCTCTTAGCGATGGACTTTTTTGACTATGAGTTGCATTGATGTTTCGTCCCTGCCGCCCAGGACTTCGGATCTGGTTCGGAGCGCGAGTCTTCTGGTTGAATGAGCTGGGTGCGGTCTTGACACTGGATGGAGTGGGGATCTTCGATCTTGAACTAGGTGCATTGATGGCCGGATAATGGCCAGCCTTTGACTGAGCCCGAGAAGAGGGTGTCGATGTCCCAGACCCAGAGTCGAGGCTGAGGCGGCGAGAACTAACAGGAATGCGTGATGCAGAGAGCTGGCGGCCGTGGAGTTTTCCGAGCGCAGACAGTCCGGCTTCGCGAGGTTGTGAAGACCGAGGCGCAGCTGACGAGTCAACAGGTGAGAGATCGGAGACGGCGCGTCGGTGAGCGGACTCGACCGGGAATTGGGACCGTCGTTCATCACCATTGGTAGGCTGGGATTGATGCAACTGTGCAGGAGCGTGAAAAGTTGGCCCGTTGTCCGGAAACATGGGGTTAGGACTGTGCATGGGAGAGCCTTCGGAGCCTCGCCTCCGCCGAGGTTTGGCGATCCCATAGCCTGCAGCATTGCTTGTGGCGACACCAGGAAGCACCTCTCCAAATAGTGGACGCTGTTTCTTCGTCTGTTGCGCTGGTGCGGCGGCAACATGACTTTGCTGTGCCATTGACGCACTTGCAGCGTGTTTCCAAGTGTTACCTTGTGGGCCTACTGTCATAACTGGGCTTGCCTTTCTGGATCCGGGCACCGGCCACGGTACTGGTGGAATATCATCTGGAGACGCATCGAAGCGAGCGACCAGGTCCTTGAAGGACGACTTCCGCACAGCGGGCCTGCTGCCATTTGGTTGAAGAGATCGTCGGCTACCAACCGAATTCTTGGAGGTTCTGGGCGCATGTCTGTCTTGAGAGGCGGTTGACGCCACACTTGACTTTCGTGTCCGTGATAGTGGATTATCATCCAAATTGGCGGTGCGTAATGCGTCTTGGTGCAACCCTTTGGACGGTTCTTGCCCCTCATGGTACTGCCGATAGAAATCGTCAGGATCACCCGAAGCCTCGTCGTAGCCTACCGAAAGGTTCGACGTCGGATTTTGCAGCTCGTTGGACTGATGGAGATCGGCCAGTGGGGGTAAAGTGGATTGTGAAAAAGAAGTGGACGGCAGGTAGGCCTGTGGGGAATCGGCCGACGGTGGGTGTGGATGCTGGCCTCTCAACTGATCTTGAAGAGATGTCTGAGATTGACCAGACTGTCTGCGATGATGCGCCGTATAGTAGTTATTGCGATTAGAGACCGCTGTGGGCATCTTGGAAGACGCGATGTCAGGGACTTGATGTGATCAGAGATGACCAACACCTTCCTCTTGGGCAAGCGGTGAACTTCGCGGCGGCTTCGTCATGGCATCGGGGTCGAAGCAGCAGCAGACGTGCTAGGGCGATGACTTGTGGGATTGCAGCGATATGCGGTCCTTGCGTAGGCGGTGGGCTACGGAATGAAAGTGGCCCGGACTTCCCTGACGCGGGGAGGATGTCTTGAACCGGCTCCTCTGGTCCGTTCTAATGTACCTTCTCTTGAACAGCGCCTGTCCGAGACTGAGCAACCGTTTCTGTCGTACAGATGGGAAGTAGGTGATGATGGCGTTGCTTGAATGGGGCTGCGAGGTGAGCGCAGGCGGCTTGCACAGCGCCGGTTGGACAGCGTCAGGCAGCAGAAGAATGCGGGAGGTGCTTTGCGTGCTTGTGGTGAGTTAAAGCTCTTCGGCGAAGGAATTTGATGTGTGTCTTGTTGGTTGGTGTTGCTCGATTGCTATTGTCAGCATACAGTCTTGCTAGATGAAGATGTGCAGTTGAGACATGCAGAAGTCTGGATAGTCCAGCACAAAGAGGGTGTATTTTAGGCGGCGTCAACGTTGGGCTAGCCAATCCTTGCTTCCGCGGCACGAGAGCCGCCTACAGCGCCTGGGCCAACCTTAACTTCAACGCGTTATCCCCGCGAAACGCGTCCTTCGCCCATACCGCGTCTCAAACGCCCTCGCCATTAGCAATAGCCACAAATCGATTACAGGAGGCTGTTTTGTGCTATCCTGGATCTCTCCTCGCATTCGCCGAATTCATGTACAGCTTTTGTACAACACTGAACGTTGCCAAGTTAACTCTCGATCTTGAAACGTTGACAGGCTATGGCCGAAGTTATCTAGCAACGTGCGACAGTCAATCTCGGATTGCAACCTTCTAATCAATGAAGCGGAAGTCAGGTCAGCAGCTGAGTGCCCTCCCAAAGAAGCAGAAGCTATGTGAGGCCGACAAATCCCCTGCGCGTCAGGCGCGTGTGCTGGCCTCGTGTTATCCATCGGTGCTAAGTCTGAGGCAATATTTCATCGCTCGCCTTCCCGTCAAGTCCTCTCGCAGGAAACGCTTCAAGACATCATTCGATGGCGATGTGGATGCAATCCTAGACAACTGGAAGGTCGGTGTGTTGGCTAAACCTGCGCCCGAGATCAAACGTGCCAGATCGACTGAGCTGGCAGCCTTCACCCAGACCCAAGCTCGGGGTACAGACAACCACACCGTCGGAACGCAGACGTGCTCTCTTGATGAAGTCGTCAACTTCGCGATATGGTACTTATTCAATAAGGCTTCTACGAGTTTTACGCGACCACGTCATTTGCTCTGTAGTGGTCTTCAAAGGGGTGTTGCCCCTGATGGTGCTAACATTGTTCCGGGCGTTGCACAGGTTCATCCGAACGATAACCTGCGTATCCTCAAATGTCCTTCCTGGTATCACATATTTGCGGCTCTCGGCGCCAATGGGGACGTCATCCTCTCAAGCTTGCTATTAGACTGTGGTCTGTTTTTGAAGCTCGAATCGGGCAAGGACAACTACTATCAAGTAAGTGGCATCCCAATCACGGACCTGGCCAGTCCACATAAGCCATCTGGCGTCAATGCCGGCGACGGCAACCGACTCATACGATTCTCTCGTGCTGCCTCCGCCATTCACTTTGTTCGAAGTCGCTTGCTTTACGCCAAACCCCCACTCAATAAGAAGAGTCAGGTCCGCTTTGGCCTGAAGCATATTCATGTTCTCCAGCGCTGCTCAAATGTTGACGACAAACGCGAGACGATACATATCTTGAAGTACATCTTCCCAAGACAATTCAGCCTTCACAACGTATTCACGTCTCCTGTGGATAAAAGGCAGACTTCGCAAGCCTTCCCTGACTATATCTATCGCGAAGATGAAATTGCGGCGAGCACGAAGCATCCGAAGCAGTGGCTTCCACGTCGACTTAGGGGGAACGTTTTGAGACTCATCTCCCAAATACGCAAGCGACATAGCAGGTGTTCCTACAGCCAACTTCTTCGACATTACTGTCCGCTGCAGCCTCGCAGCAAACTGACGGCAGATGAGTCTCGGGCACGAGTTTCCCAGAAATTCACTCTTTCGTCCGGACTTGTTTCTCAAATCTCCTACAACGAACCAAATTACTCAGGAGCTAGACGAAATCCGCCGGGCCCTAATCCAGAACATTCTTTTCTAGCACACGCAACGGATGCGGTCTCTGTCTCGGCGTTCTGCCGGGCTGTGCTGTGGGCCATATTACCGAGCAAAAGCTTCGGCGAAGGTGACGACGGGCGTCACAACTGGTCGCATGTTCTACGACAAATAGACAGTTTTGTCAAAATGCGACGATTCGAGCCTATGAGCCTTCATCAGATCTGTCAAGGCTTGCGGCTCAAATGCATTACTTGGCTGGTGCCAGAGAGCATGACTATCGACACCAAATTGTCGAGATCAGAGCGTGACAAACGCTTAGAGATCCTGCACGAGTTTTTGTACTACCTGTTTGACTCTCTACTCATACCTCTAATCCAGTCGAACTTCTACGTCACGGAGAGCGGACCACAACGAAATCGTCTCTTCTTCTTTCGCCACGACGTCTGGAGAAAGATGGCCGAACCTGGCTTTGCCATGGTGCGCTCTGGCATATACCAGCAGTTGAAGCCCACAGAGGTGAGGCGACTCTTGAACTCAAGGACTCTGGGATACAGCCACGTAAGACTACTTCCCAAGGAAGAAGGAACGCGGACCATCACCAATCTCAAGCGGCGCATAACACGCACTGTCCATGGCAAGAGGGTTCTCGGACCAAGCATCAACGCTCAGTTGGCTCCTGTCTTTAGCACGTTGACGTACGAGAGGCTGCGAGATCCAGGCCGTCTCGGGTCAGCCATCTTTTCCGTTGGAGGATTCTATGAGAAGCTTAAACAGTTCAAGACCAGCGTTCATTCTGGCGCGAGGCTCTACTTTGCGAAAGTGGATGTGCAGTCATGCTTCGACTCAATACCGCAGGACAACCTCCTATACATGATGCAGGCCGTCATCCGGAGATCGTCCTACCGGACGACCAAGTATGCAGAAACAAAACCAGCACGTGGCGACCAGATTCGACATAGGTGGCTCAATCTCGCACGGCCAGCAAGTGAAGAGCCCGTCTTCTCCAAGAATTCGGCAGAAGACTTGGCCTCTGTCAAGGTCGGCAGAGTCTTCGCTGATACCGGCTCACACAAAGTGTGGTCGCATCAAGACTTGTTAGCACTACTTCGCGAGCATGTACAGAACAACGTTGTCAAGATTGGCAAGAAGCACTTGAGGCAGAAAGAAGGAATTCCGCAGGGCTCGGTATTGTCCAGCATACTCTGCAGCTTCTTCTATACAGCGTTTGAAATCGATCAGTTGAGCTTCATCGATGCTAGGAACAGCCTCCTCATCCGGCTAATTGACGACTTTCTACTGGTGACAACAGACAAGAATAGTGCTCGCATGTTCTTGGAAGTTATGACAAGACCCCATAGTGACTATGGGATTGCTGTCAATCCTCAAAAGACGCTGGCCAACTTTGAGGTGGTTATTGGAAGTCACAAGATCCCACGACATCAAAGCACCGACTGGTTCCCCTATTGCGGCATGACCATTAATACGACCAATTTGCAAGTTGGTAAAGATCGTCAACGCAAGGACTGTATCATCAACAACGGATTGACCGTGGATACAACCAGAAGAGGCGGATCAACCTTTCATCGCAAGGTGCGACTGTCCTTTGTACAGCAGATGCACCGAATGGTCCTAGATGGATCCCTTAATAGCGCCGAGCAGATTCTGTCGACCCTGCTGGAGGCTTACTCGGAGACGGTAATGAAAATGCATTCGTATAGCCGGTGCATGCCGCAACACCAGCGGCCTAGCGAAGGCCATATCACTCAAATTGCCAAGGAGCTGTTGAAGCTGGGCACAAACTACGTCAGCCGGCGGCAGCCAGGTGTCGGTGCTAGGCCTTCGGACAAGTTGACCAAGAAGCAAGTTGCGTGGGCATTGTCGACAGCTTTTGAGGGTGTGCTCGGGCACAAGCAGTCCCAGTATGGCACACTGCTCCGACACTTGAGAGCAGTCAAACAGAGCACCGAGGTTGGGATGGGCATGAGCCGCAAGACTCTCAGCAAATTGATTGAACGACGTAATGTAGTGTTTAGAGACTATGTGTATTAGTATCCCGTACTCACCTTGAACTGAGTAGATTCAGAGGGTGCGGGATCTGGATGTCCCAGCCACGTATTTTCGTCGACCTGTGCGCGACCCCAGATAGGCGCATCGGCCGCATGGCCTCAGCCAACATCAACACTCATGCACCACCACGTAGTCCAGCCACCTCGATGGGCAAGAAGTAACGGCTCTCACGCCTGGTCACCTTCGGTCTCTTCCTCCTTTCCGAGTCTCGCCCCATCAACGGTCAATTTTTATCATGCATCAATCCTTTCTCCATTCCCAGCATCTCTCGAAGGGATGAACCTTCCCCCCACTGGTCTCGATCAATGCAAGGGAGTTCTCCTGAAGCGCGAGTAAAACCATTGCTGAAGCAGCTGCGACTTTGGCAACCTTGAGCTGCACGCCCTCTTCGCGTTCTGAAACGGCCACGACAACCGGCACCACCGTCCTCCGATCTCCTCTACCTTACATTACCTCGCAACGTCGCCCCAGTCGAAGTCTCCGATCTCTGGGCATTGCTTGTACTCGACAGAGCCTCTCCTAGTCTACGACGAAAGACGCGACGAAAGACATATTTACGACAACATTGCTATTAATGAAGTGATCGGCCGCGCCGGCTTCACCGGATATACTGGACCACAAGCGCGACCCCCCAAAACGACCGCTCTTTTTTCAGTTCTCCGTACTCCGAACGGTATTTCCATTCTCCGAATTGACAATAGACTGGTCGAGTCCACAGACGGCGAGAAGTGGGCTACAACCCAAAGACATCCGGGGCAGATTTCTTGATCTGGGTTCCCAGCGATTTGAAACAACCCCAATCAACAGTTCCAGAGCGAGAGTCGAGGATTCGCTGTAGCGGCCAGCCACCCAGTTCGGGAGTCCACAGCCTCTGACTTGGGGGCTTTAAGCGGGGCAAGCCTTCACATGTCGTCCTCGATGCAAAACCCCTGTCCTCTATCCCTAGCCAGGTATGGCCTAGACGCTAAGTCAGCCGTCAACGCCCCTGGGCTGGCAGAGGACCGACCGTCGCCAATCAACGCACCTCCACCACGCGCAGCGGCGCAATCGCATCTTCTCCTTGTTGGCTGCGATCAAGCTCTCAGGCTTTGCTGCCATCCAAGAATCTTCGATGACTACCAAGCTTGTCTCGTTGATGATGCTGACTGTTACTATTCCACTACCCTCCCCATAATTCACGAACACCATCGACCTGATGTCGACCATCATGTGGTGAAGAGTTCCCTTTTCGACTCTTTCCCTCACCCTCGTTCTGTACATGCCTCGCGTTCGGAAATTACCTATTCGTTAAATTCAACTAATTTGTCCGCTCGTTATCAGTCGACTATTCTCAACAACCAGCCTTCCAACAACTCCATCCAAGCATTTACATCATTTTCGACTCTGCGGTCATTGACGGAAAGCGTCGATGAGCCTTACAAGATAATGACCACCGTTCCCAGCGCCCCTGGCTCGCCTCCCGACCTCTCGGGTTCGCGTTCTTCAGGCTCGACTTCGTCTTATTGCTCCAGCTCTCCTCCTTCCGGTGGAGATGGCATTGGGTCCGACATTACACACTACGAAGATATCAGTCTCGAAGATGAGAAGCCACAGTTACGGGCTACCGCGTCCGCTCCACTACCTCCTTCCTCACATTCCAACGCGATCGACCGACCGACTCGCCCTAATATCAGCCATCAGATCAGAGAAGCAGTAAGGCAACATGAAAGCGAATCACGGACCCCCAAGAACAATAGCTTTTCTTCACTGAAACGTGGCCACACAAATCCTGCACTTTTTCCAAATGGATGTCCCGATTCCAGGACACGGTCTGTTTCTCCACCCAAACGCCTCCCTCGGGTCCAATCCACAAGCGCCATGAGTGCGACATCCCTTCGACCCGACTGGCAATCCTCGCGGTCATCCCTTCCACTTCCTCCAAGAAGAGCATCATGGAACCCACGGCGAAAATCTGTGCAAGAGCTGGAAGAAGAATGCACCGAATCTGATGAGGATCTTCCAGATGATGCCAGTCTATGGAACGTGCCCGTATCACCACACGTCGCTGGTCCTGGCTCATCACGCTCCAGCTTCGTCGGAAGCCCAACGCGCAGCCCTATCGCCAGCCCCCGCCCTTTCCCTCTTGACCACGCGCGAGCGGCCGCGGAGACTGCACAAGGCTCCAAGAATGGCATACAGTCGGCGAGGAAACAGAAGTTTCAACCGAACCGTTCAGCTTCGGCCAATGCCGCCCGCTCAAATCCCTCCTCGCCCAGCATTCGTCACCTTCGACGATCTGACAGGGCTAGGTCATGGAATCTTGCAATGGAAGAATTAAGCGAGGAGGCAAGGATCATCTCTCAAAATCTCGCAGAACATGAAGCAACAAAGTCAGGCGAAGGCGGCCCGGATCGAAAAGATTCTCTATCGCTGAGCGCATCCGCCAGGCCGAAGGAAAAGATCCAACTGCCCCCTATACAAAAGGGAAGCTTGGACTTTATGCCCATCTCGAAGGAGAAGGAAGCTGTGCTGTCGAGGACACGTCCATCGTGGCTGCCACCAAAAGACCCGAAAGAGGAGCAAAAACACCTGAAAGAGTATCAGCGAATGATGGCCGCATCCCTCGAAGCTGACAAAAAACGTCACACCAAACAGCAGCAGGATCCTGTCCTAGACGAGACGACGAACGAGGCATTAGCCCGAATCTGGCAGTTCTTTGTGGACGAGAGCACCAATCTGTCAGAACTCGACCCTCGTGTATATTCACTCTGTTGGCGAGGCGTCACTCCGAGGCTACGTGGCAAGGTGTGGAAACGTGGCTTTGGTAATCGGCTGGGCTTGACAAGCAAAAGCTACTACAAGGCACTAGAACGGGCCCAGGAGATCCAGTCGCGACCCTCAGATCAGTTGGGCGGGCGAGAACGACAGATGATCCGGTGGTTCAAGGACATCGAACGCGATGCCGAAACCGCGTTCCCTGACTTGAAAATGTTCCAACAGAATGGACCCCTCTGGCAGGATCTGGTCGACGTGTGCAAAGCTCACACCTGCTATCGAAGCGACATTGGCTACGTATATGGGATGCAACTCATTGCGGCACTTTTACTGCTACAACTGCCCACACCGGCGGACGTGTTCGTGGTTCTGGGCAATGCGCTACATCGGGGACTGCCCCTTGCCTTTCTAGGCGGCGATCTGACCTCAACGACGAGGACATTTAACCACGCGGTGTCGACACTGGCCATCAAATTCCCACGGATTCACGAATATCTATTTGGCTCGATTGAACAAGGCGGTCTTGGCCTCGCTCCAGAACAAGTTTTTGAGCCGATGTTTCGGACCCTGTTCAGCAACGGTCTGGACGTCGACCGACTGTGTCGCGTGTGGGATATGTGGGTGTTTGAAGGCGACAAGATCCTCGTGCATACGGCTGTTGCTCTGGTCGGCTGCCTACAGACTCAACTGTTTCAGATCGAAGGCGATGTGGACCTGAAGAGACGCAACATTCAGGAGATGTTGGCTTGGGGACCTTTCAATCGCACCAGTCCCGGCGAATACTGGAAACTGCAAAACCTCGACGAGGAGAGGTTTGTGGAAGAGATTAGCATTGCTGGAAAGCTGGACTACAGGGGAAAGTAGTCACGGCCACGACCATGATGATACAATATACGGCAATTCATTGCAACGACGAGCGCACATGCGTGCAAGCCAGCGTTGGAAACCAGGGCTGGGACTATTACATATGCTGTTACGAGGGCATACTCAACCCCGATATTATTATTGTGAAGTACATAGACGATAGTGCGGGCTCCACCCAGACAGGTAGTGGCTGACCCGCTTATGAGGCCATGAACATACGAATCTACTGCCATTACTCTACGTCCGAAGATAACGAGTGCCTTCTTCAATAGACATCGCTGCGCCCATGGCGAGAAGCGCAATCATGGAGAAATGCTGGTTCCTGGGGCAAGATACACTGTACGAGCTTTGGAGCTGCGAGATCGATCGTGCCCAAATACGTATCTGGTCTTTACTTGAGTTGATGGACAGGTCGATGAGTTCATGGCCCAATGGGATGGTCGGAGGGATCATGGGGAGATACCGGTGCGATCCGGAAGATGTCCAGCCATGGAGAATCGCGTTATGGACGTGCAAGTTAGAAGATCTTCGTACCGCATCTTGGGTGCCGAGTAGAACTGGCCAGCTACGCTAGACGCTGCATATGAAGCTCTTGAGAGAAGAGATGCATTGCGCCGCCTTCGTTGCATCTAATTGTAATACCTCGGTTTTGATAGGGCTGCTCTGGCTCAGTCCTAGAAGAGCTTAGTGCTCGATAGAGCTAAGCTTCAACGACATCTCCCTGTGTGATGAGTTGCGGGTCCCATCCTTCCTCACAACATAGTAATATGGAGCATAGCTCAATGTAGAGAGACCTTGCGTATGCAGTACGTTCTGCTCCGCTGATTGCTGGGATGAGTTCGTCCACGTTACTAGCAGGACCGCCGAGGACTCCCGGAGCTTTCAGTCGCCCGTCCAGTCTTGCTCCTCGTCCGCGTCGATCTTGCGCGGGCTGTCATCGTTATCGTCTTCACCATCATTGTCGGACAAATCTTCGCCATGGTCCTCAGTTGCAGAGTCGTTGATCTCCGGTCGATTGTGCTGCTCGCGGCTGACTTCGATGTCGCCAGACTCTACCAAGCTGACTTGTGGCGGCACTAGAGGCAGAGGTTAGTGAGGCGGACAGTGATGGGCGATGCTTACTGACTGGACTGCTGCTGCTGATCCTGCGCAGGTACCGTATAAGCTTGTCCCACAGATAGCGTCTCAAGCGCGCCGAATGGCCCACCACGGATGGGCTGGAAACGGGCCTTGATCGTTGGGAGCATACCCACCACAGCCGTGCAGTCCGTGCCCGCGTCACCCGGATGTGGGAAGGAGAATTCGTATTCGCCTCCCTCCTTCTCCATCATGACTCTGAGATGCAGCGCTATTTCGAAGATCTGCTGGAGCTCTAGCCTCCAGTCGACAGCCCACTGAGGCATAGCCAATATGCCTGGTGATGGCTCGGATCCCGTGGACATACGTCGCTCAATGAGAGTGAAGCTTGTGTAGTCGTCTACATCAGCAGCGCGGGGCGGCGCCATGAAGACCGCCAGCAAGTCGGTGAGCTCCTTCGCCATAAACCCCGCCTTCTCGGAAACCTTGGGGACGATCTCCTTGTCCAATTCACGGCGGATAGCATCTTGTCTGACGAAGTCTGCTCCAACTTCACTGACTACGTGTCTGTGGTTAGTATAACCACTCTAAGTGGCCAAAAGCCGAACAAACTCACTTTGCCTCAAGACCTCCATGACATATCGATCTCCTGCTTTTTGATGTCCCTGTGGACGTGGCTGTAACGTCCACTTCGTCACCGCCGCACCTATAGCCGCTCGCAGGAATGTGTCGAGATACAGTGGGCGTCGGGACTGCATGATTGCAAGGCGCGACAGACCAGGCTCAAAGCTTGGTGCATCACTGCCTATGAGCATCTCCAGCAGTTGCTGCCAGCTTGAGGATCGCGGAATCTGCAGATCAACGATTGGTTGATTGGGATTGGCCCCGGATTCATCGAGACAATCATTGACCGTGCGCTTGATCTGTTCTCGAAGACGCTCCATGGTATCATGGACAGCCTGTGCAGGGGGGATATTGCTGAGTACTGAGTTTCGCGCCCAGGTCTGTAACGTCTGTCGCAGTTGGTCGAGATCGGTGTTTGCACGCTCAAGTGTAAGCCGGCGGATCTTGCTTGGAGGAACGGCACTTGCTTCATCCTCTAGTGAGCCTGCGTCATTGGAAAGTGGTCGCGTTTTCCTGTTTTGGCCCTGCCGCTTTGCTCTCCAAGCTTTCAACTCCTCGTCTGGAAGTGTGCCTGGGGGCAGCTTGGCCCAGTTGACCTGCGCGTCTTTCCCATACTTCAGAAAGTCGTGCCAAGTTCCTGATAGCATTGGCCACTTCTCAAATTTACGCTTGAACTGTTTTACCTCCAAGTTGTTACATTTATCCTCGGGAATGTCTTTCAGCATTTCCAGCCATTCAAGATAGATGCGAGTGAGGTCTTTGATAGTTCGGTCGGGATCTTTGTGGCTGTCGATTAGCTCAACCAGCTTTCTCAGCATCTCCGGGGACCATATGGTGCCCGGTCCGCCTTTGCCCGGTTCTTGAAAATGCTTCAGCATAGTGTTGTCTCCGTCCGTGGCAGCTCGAGAGAGTGCGTATCGCACTGAGATTGGTCAAAGTGGTCAAAGACAGTGCGAGCCTATATGCAGGCAGAGGGAGGGAATATGCTCCTCGGCAACTCTTGCAGGAACTGTGTAGAGCAGCGAAGTGGGAAGTCTGCTCACGGTCACAGAAGCCTACGTTAACGCTGAGATAACGCTGAGATGAAAGCTATCACCCCAACCGCAGAGACCAGAAATGCTGAAACATGTGGCTGAGATGCAAACAAAGAAACCCGTGCGAAAATCGGGCTTTATCACCGGATAGCAAACCTGCCTGGCAACAGAATCAACGCACCCAGCTCGACCTCATGATTCTCACCCACGTTCCCTCCGACTCAGAAGACAGTTGCTTCTATTCTCTTAGCTGACGGTAGATCAGACTGCTTCTCTCTTCTTCGCAGGCGCCCATCGCCAGCGGCGCACCAAAATCCTATCTTCTTTCACCTCTTCCGCACTCGACGACACAACAGACGACGAAGTTTTCGTACAGGAATGATCCCAACATGCCTCCACTTGCTGGAGCCTGCAAGAACTGCAGAATTAAGAGAAGAGGGTGTCGTTATGGGCGAAATGACCGCATCTGCCAGCGATGCACTGAGCTAGGACAACAAGGCTGTGACATTGCACAGAAGCTCGCCAGCAGCGGACTCCAGGACGATCAACCACCCCCACAGTCTACAGCTCAGGTACCTGGCGCGCAGCTGTTGCAGTCCACACTTGCTATGTTGAGTCAGCCGTCACAGCCTGCTGATCTGGAGTGGCAAAAGCTCGTCCTTGGCGACTACATTATCATCATGGGAGTTGACGTCGGCACCTCCAACTGTGCCATCTGCTGGCAACTCATACCAAAAGATCAAATTCTAACTCCGGATTACCGCCTTACCATACAACAAGTCGAGGACACCTCCGGGAATCAGTCAAGATCCCAGATTCCCACTCAAGCTGCCATCATTCCCGGGGAAGGCAGCCATGGTCCAGTCCTCATCTTCGCGCAGGGCGACATCAGCAACCATCTGGGAGAGAGCATTGAGCAGGGCGACGTTTTCCGGCTTCTGAAGCTGACTCTTGTCAGCGCCGACAGCCAAGTCGATGAAAAACAGAAGCGCTTGATCCAGGCTGCTCAGCAATACAATAACGATATTGTTGAGCGATACAAGCAGTCCGGAAACCTTCCGGAGGGTGTCACAGATGTCCTTGATATCTTTCAAGCATTTTTGACATATCTGTGGAGTGTCATTCGCGCCAGCATTACAAAGCGTGCGCCGTCTACTGTTTCCAAAGAGGTTCTTGATTCTGTGCTCAAGGACCACTCACGAATAGTTGTTGCTGTCCCAGAGATCTGGACAGCAACGGAGAACAACCACTTTCGCCGGCTACTCCTCAAGGCTGGCTTCCCCAACGCACACATCCGGTCTGAGCCAAAGCTTGCAGCAGCAGCGCTCGTACAGGAGAAGCAACAAGGGAGAGGCCCTGTCAACACCCAAGCCGAACAAGCTGAGGTTTCAGAGAGCCTGCGCAAATCCGCCCGTGTCATTGTTGATATCGGTGGTGGCACAACTGTAAGTTTTTGCCTCTTCCTCACCACTTCGACCTATGTCATTGTCTTCTCTTAAATCACGTGCTAGAAGTTGATGGATTGTGATAGGATCTCAGCTGTATTCAGGTGCTTCAGATATGGGGCAAACTGAAGTTCAGAACGATTCTACCTGGTGTTGGCAGTATGTCCGGAAGCGAGCTTCTAAACAGCATCTTCAAGCAAAAGCTTGCAGACATTCTCTCCAGCAACATTGGTGACCTTTCTAGGAAGCTCGGAATGACGACGGAGGAAGTCCTCACGTCGTTCGTTGCCGGTTTCGAGGACGCGAAGCGAGGCTTCAGCCGCGAAGTATCCGAAAGTCATGGTACCGTGAAAATCAAGTGGTGTCCTATACGACCTGAGACCGCAGTGTTGCCCGTGGTTCCAGCACTCCCATGCCTTGGTAAAACGTTCATCAGGGTTGATACAGCCAAGGTTCAGGAGGTGTTCAACGAGTACCTCGTGGAGATCAAGCGGCTTATGATGAAGCAGCTGCAGATGCTTGATGATGATACTACTGATATACGCGGGTATGGTATTGCACAGATTGTGATTGTCCTTGTAGGTGGAGGAAGCCTTATTTCATACATTCAAGAGGAACTTAGAGAAGAGTACACGGGTATGGGCTTGGAATTTACGCACCACCAGGAGAGCAAGTAAGTCCGACCACCTCTAGAGCAGAGCCGAACGATGAACTAACTACAACAAGCTGCTCTCTTGTTGCCAAGGGTGCGGCACTTGCTGCCATTGATCCTGACCTTGGACTTCGCGAGTTCGCCCGCACCACGTATGGCACGATTTTGACTGTTCCATACAATGCAAAGAAGCCGACGCATGTGGCCGACAAGCATCTACGCGAAGAAACTCCAGCCTGGACACGCCACGGTTACGAGCTACATGATCGGTTCATACCAATGCTGAAGAAGGGACAGCGGGTCAATGGATCCTATGTCATGGACGAGATAATTGAGGGAGAAGCAACACCCGGTCAACCTTTTCCACGAGTGCTGAAACACCACATATACCAGGTTGATGATGAGGAGTGGGGTCAGAGAGAGGATTGGAAGTTTGTTCTCCCCTGTTTTCCCATATTTTACTAGCCAGTGGTTGTATCGGTATACTGACATACACGTTTTCGATATTGTCATGGAGACACCCGCCAACGTCAAATTCGTCACCACTCTGAAAGTCCAAGTGCCGCAAGAGCGATGCGAGTTCCAGACCTACAAGGTTCACGGCGTCAAATACTATCGCATATGGTTCAGAGCGAAGCTCGTCTGGGACGGGCTTTGCGAGAAATGGTTGTTCTACGTCCATCCCACTGGCAAGCAAATCCGCACGGCCCAGGACGAGCAGGAATGCTTCTCAGCAGATCCGTTGGTGCTTGACGATGTGTTGGCGCGGCAAGATATGGAGAATTATGACGACGACGACGATGACCACTACCAAGCGAGGGACGGACTTGATAGAATTGCTCAGGCCGTGAATGGCATCAAGAGCGAGGAGGACAATGATCTCGTTACTGGCGATGCGATGAATGGCGTTACTCACCAGTAGACCTCGTAAGCGTGAGGGTGCCTTCTGACATAAGGAGGCCTGTGGTTCTGTTTACGCATCGCAAACTGGTAGGTATGTCCGTACAGATGTCTGGTCATGCTGCGATACAACATTCCGAATATGGTGGTAGAGCAGTGCTCCTGGCTCTGCCCTGGAGTCATAACAGCCTACAGGATTGCTGTAGCTCCCTAGCTAGATGACTGGCAAGCATGCTCTACCGGTCCACATGGTCTACTTCTGTAGAATTCCAGTGCTCTCACAACAATTCAGGTTCAAGTTGATATTCATATTCGAAGAGCCATCCCAAAAAGGCCTAGCGCTGGCAGCTGAACCTCATCGACTCTTCTTTCCCCCGTGGCAACATGAGCTCAGAGCTCGCACAGATCCGGCGTCGCTGTGAATTGTCGACGGCTGAGAGGCTCGCGCCGTTGTCACTGGCTCTGCCCTAGCCTCTGTTGATCTCATTGTCTCCCCTGCCGACATCATCGTCATCGTTTCCAGCTGAAACTTCGTCCTCTTCTTCGCCCTGGTCTTCACCCTGGTCTTTGCTCTGATCTTCGCCCTCATCTTGCTCGGAGTCGTCGACCTGGGTTGGTGCGCTGCTGATTGCGACATGACTGAAGAGTTGCGTCGATGGCGCTGTGTTTGCGGCTGGGTTTAGTCCTCCTTAGGATCGTTAACATGTCATCAGCTGCCAAACAGTACTACGAATGGCGCATCAACGTACCTGTGGACAACGACAATGTCACCTCCTTGTGACTGACTGCATTGGCCATGGCCATTGGCGGTAGAGAAGGTCGGAAGCTGAACACCACGGCCTTCGAGAGCAGCCTAGGCTCGCTGTGTGGTCCACCCAATTCGTTCTGGAAGCGACCCTCGATGGAAGGGAGCAAGCCGATCATGGTGTACTCGATTGGTGGCTCCGGCGTCAATGGCGATGATGTCGACTCTTCAGTAGTAGGAAAAGACGCACCAGGTTTGGGAAAATCAAATGTGTACTGCCCGCCCGGCGCTTCTCGCTCCATGAGAATGCGTAGCTTGAGCGCACTCTCGAAGATGCCTCGAAGTTCTTGCTTCCAGTCTACCTCCCATTGAGGAAGCCGCATTGTTGGCAACCTGGTACCATCGAAAGTGGCCGCTGTCGACAGTTGGCGGATCTTGCTACTGCTTTCGCCATATGCCGGGAGCATCAAAGGGACCAGCAATTCCTCCACATCATCCCCCATAAGCTCTGCCTTTCGAGGTATTAGTGGCGTCGCATCTTCCTTGAGATACTTGCGAGTTGCCGATTCCATGACGACTGCTGCGCCCAGCCCATCCACTATCTAGAAGTCAGCGGAACAGATCAACACGATGTCGAGCGAGCCAACTCACTTTTCTTCAACTCCTCATGGACCCGGAATAGGAAGGTCGTATGTGGCTCCTCGCCTTGCTGCGGCACCGGCATGGGCACCGGTATGAGAGCCCATCTGCTGACGGCCGCGGCAATGACAGCCCGCATCAGAATCTCACGGGTCAGAGGCGCCATCTTCATCATGCCCTCAATTATGACCAAATGAGGCTCGAGATCCAGGCCGGCACCACCGGTTATGGTCTCCAGCACCCCTTGCCACGCTGGCGAGTTGATGCGTGGAAACTTCATGATACGTTCGTCACCAGAGAGTCCACCCTCGACAAGGCGATTGTTGACTGTTCTATCAACCTGGTCAAAAAGGTCTTGCATCCCAGCCCTAATAACATCTTCGGGCGGCGCCGGCCTCATGATCAACTGCATGCTGTACTCCTTCATGGTGGTCTTCAACTTCTTAGTACGGACAGAAGTCTCGTTGACCGGTGCTAGATTGGTTCGCTGTGATGGTTGTTGAGATTGGAATTGGCCTGAAATCTCCATATCTGCGGATGTGAATTTTCTCTTGGGCTTGCTGGTTCTGGCCTTGCTCTCAGCCTCCCAAATTCTGGAACCATCCTTGGAGAGCACGTCAGGGTGGAGCTTTGCGAAGTCGATGGTAGCAGGACCCTCTCTAAGAAAGGCTCGGGCACCTCCGATGAGGTAGGGCAGGTCCCCGATCTTTTTTCTGATGACTTTGTGCGGCAAGACATTGCGTTGAGGTTCTGGGATCTCCATGATGGCCACCTCAGCCATTGTGGCGAGCTTGTCGGAGGTCAAATCGGGACCTTTGTTCTTCTCTGCGACTTCGAACAGCTTCTGCAGCATTTCAGGGCTCCAGTATGTGCGACTGCCAGAGGCCACACCTGGAAACATCTTCGGTTGATAAGTTTCATCCTGAGGTTGAGTCATGGTGCTTGATGATCTTGGAGGTGTTGAGGTGTTGAGGTGTCAGCAGTGTAGTTGCGCTGATTTCAATATCATTAGGGCCTCAGGAAACCGGATTGTTTTGCCACTTGCTTAGTGTGCGATGTGCGTATCAGCCTTGCGATCTTCACCTCTGTTGACTGGGCGATGAGTCTCGCAACAAACGCGTGGTGACAAACGCGGTCAGGCGCGCTCGAAAACCGCAACAAGACCTATCGATCGTCCAAGTCAGCTCTTCACCAAGCACCACTCCATCCAAGACTACCTTCCTTTGCCAGCCGCAGGCAGTCACCAGCATTGGAATCTCGTCCGCAACACTTTTGCCAGCCTTTACCGTGCTTACTTGGGTCAGCTCATGTTGGCCACTGGCAGCCTTCTTCGAATTTCGACACTCGCGAGTATTTCGAAGCGATCGGAAACCAGTCTCGCACCTAGCGAGATTTGTCGTTAGCCATGGCTCGCGCGATTCGTAGACCAAAACCTTGCACCAACTGCCAGGTCCAGAACACGGAATGCAATTACCGGTGGGGTGGTAATCGTTGTCGACAGTGTGCCAACCAAAACTTGAATGACTGCGATTCCAAAGCAAAGAACCCTTCTACCAATACTCGAGTGAAGACAGGCACGCCTGCCAGCACAGACCAAACTCGCCCCAAACAGCCACTCTCTCGACCAAGCCCCGCCCTCCAGCCTCCAACCGACAAATGGCACTCGATCATAAAGGGCGAATATTTCCTTGCAATCGGTGCAGACTTTGGGACCAAGAACTGCTCGGCTTGCTGGCAAATCTACCCGAAGGACCAGAAGCTGACGGGTGCTTTCCATCTGGAACCTCGACATGTGCTTTACTCTGGCAAGTTCAATATTCCAGCCCAAGCCGCGATCGTTATTCTTGAGAACGGTCCGCGATTGATCTTCTCCGACGATGATATGGAGGACCACTACGGCAGCGGCTTCCAATCCGAAGACATCTTTATCCATCTCAAGCTCATGCAGGTCTCTGCCAAGATGCAGTCTAATATGGAGCAGCGGCGCCTGATAGAGGAAGTCAAGGACAGAAACCTATCTATCTTCAATCGCTACAAGGCTGCAGGACAGCTACCTCCCAACGTTGAGAAAGTTTCGGACATCCTCCGCGAGTATCTGAGATGGTTCTGGGGTCTCATCAACAAGAGCATCACAGCGGGAGCACCCTCCAGTGCAGAAATTGACCTTATCTTGCGTGAACACACCAAGGTTATTGTTGCTGTGCCAGCCATATGGACTTCTGCAATGAATCACCGCTTTCGTCAATTACTGCTTGATGCTGGATTCCCCTCTGCTCATATCCGTTCAGAGCCGAAGCTCATTACCGCCGCACTTGCTCAGAAGAAGCAGCGCGAGCATGGGCCCTTTAACTCTGAGGCGGACGCCGAGCAATATATGGCGGACCTCGGGAGACGTGCTCAGATAGTTGTGGACATTGGGGGGGGCACAACGGTGAGCAACTAATGTTATGACCTACCAATCATGCTTGACACTAATTGAGTCCAGGACCTCAACAGCATCCAGATCCTTCAGTTATGGCCTCAGTTGAAATTCAAAACGCTTGTCGTCGGGACTGGCAGCATGAGCGGTAGCGAGTTGCTGAACCACTTGTTCAAGCAGGCTCTCAAGGACATCCTTGGTGAAAACTTGTATATGATCGCAAACCACGTAGGCATGACTGGCACCGAAATCCTTGCCTCTTTCGTCCACGGTTTTGAGCGGGCCAAGCGCACGTTCGGCACAGACAAGACTGGGCCTGTGAAGGTTCATCTCGTGGGTCGCATCAAAACGAATTTACCTCGGCTGGCGAGACTGCCCAATCTGGGACCGGACTATATCCGGGTTTCGCCCATCGAGATGAGAGCTGTCTTTGACGAGTACGTCGCTGAGATCATGCGCCTCATCGGAATCCAGCTTGACAAGCTTGACAAAGCTGGTATTCCAGGTGTCAACTACAGGACTGTCATGCTCGTGGGTGGTGGGAGCATGATTCCCTACATCAACGAGAAACTAAGAGCCGAGTGTGAAAACAAGATGCTGCAGGTAACCTATGACGAGGATAATGTGTAAGTTCACGCCTATCCCGGCCCGATAATTGTACATGCTGACCTATGTTAGCTCTTCGCTCGTTGCAAGGGGAGGCATACTCGCTGCCATTGACCCCGACTTGGGCCGCCGCGAGTTCGCCAGGACCACCTACGGCACGACCTTCAGTGTCCCTTTTGACTCGGACAACCCTATCCATTGGGCCGACCGACAACTTCGCCGCCGCGCGGTTGGGTACGTTGAATGGGACTACGAGCTCCACGAGCGCTTTTTCGGACTCGTGAAGTACGGCGCCAACCTGGTTGATCCAAAGGAACCTCCTATGCTCAATGACTACGTTGACATTGCGAAGGGAGATATTATTGAATGGCCACTGGAGATAGAGCAGCCGATCTACCAGGTGGACGACCATGAGTGGGGTCTGAAGGATGACTGGAGGTAAGTGTCCAGTAGTGTGTCCTTGACCTCGAATATTTCCTTGAGCTTTGGCGATGAATTCGTGCCATCTGCTAACAATTCTCTCCAACATCAGTATCTTGGCACTTCCTGGTAAAGCACTCAAAGTTGCAACACTGGTCATCAAGATCAAGAAGCAGGACTGCAAACTTTCGCATCATCCGCCTGGACACCCTGAAGTGTACCGCGTGCACTTCCGTGCCAAGCCCGTCTGGGACGGCCTCTGTGAGAAGTGGCTCTTCTTTGTGCACCTTACGGGCAAGCGGATCGCGACGATCGAAGATGAGCAAGATCCGGAGACGCTGAAGGCGACGTTTGTCCTGGATGAGGCGCTGGCGATGCAGTATTTGGAATGAGGTGTCGAATAGTAACCAACCTTGGGCTCGAGGCCGGTAGTCCAGAGTTGGTGGCATCTGACCATCTGTGTCGGTGTGTGTGCGGTATGTCATGGCAGTGTATGTTTACAATAGCCCGCACTTTACTTGAGCCATGTCCACCTTGTGTCACGACGTTATCTACGAGCTTGTGGCACAGTGATGAAGTGGCCGAAAGGTTTGGCGAAGCTCGGCAGCAGCCGAGACACGCCTAGAGACCGCGCCAGTCCGCTTCCTTGATAGCGCCTGCTCGCCTAATCTTAGGCATGACGTCGCCTGGCAGCATTTGGCCCGGGGGTGGTGGGTGAGCTCTGTGGCACTGCCGATCAGCTGCAGGCTGCAAGCTCGCGAGCTGCGAAATTGGGAGCCGACGCCCAGGTACACGTAATGGAGGTACCTCGACCTCTTTCTGCTTCCCTGCTTGACCAAGAAAGCTCGGATTCTTTCCTTCTTGCTTCCTCCATATTCGCTCGCTTTGTTCTGTCATTACGCGACATTCCATTGGAAACAAAACTGTCTGAGAGCCCGGCCAGGACGCAAAGAGGGGGGCATTGTGCACCAACAAAGCAGCAAGCCCAAGGCGCCGACGTCATTTGCTGACTGGCTGGCTCACGGGCAGGGATTGTTTATTTTTGGCGCTTGAGAAGACAAGGCACACATCCGTGGCCTGTCGTTGACCCAGCATACGACTGTCTTTGAGAAGAGCTTGTTTGGCTCGCGTTTACAGTGTGAGGTACTAGAATCAGACATTGACTCGACAGAACGAGACCGAGATAGAACAGAGCGCGACGACTTTCTTCGCCTGTGCTTGCTGAGATCAAGATTGGGATCGGAGCGACACCTGCAGCTTTGGCCCACTGAAGGGTGAAGTCATTCGCTTTCACTGCCTGGAGGCTGAGGGGCTTGGGCGGTCTTGGGACTCGGATATCGCAGTGCTGACCACGTACGCTTTCCCTGCTCGACCAGTCACTTTACGACAACCAACAAACACCGACAGGAAAAACAGCCATGAAGCGGAAATCAATACAGGGGCTGCTGGCACTGTCTCTTGACGGCCTGTTGACTAGCAGCCTCGTCTCTGCACAGGAGACAACATTCACCCGCACCATCACGCAAGATGCAAGCGAGACCCAGACACAGACATTTACGGCACCTGTTGAATCGCCGACCGTGTCCGACACCTACACCGACTCCCAGCGCTTCCGAGACGACATGATGAACGCCACCAACTACTACCGCTACCTGCACTCGGCGGCTTTCGTGTCATACAACGAGTCTCTGGCCAGCTATGCAGCCGATTACTCCCGCGAATGCCAGTGGCGACACAACCCGGACCTCTCCTCCTCCGGCCTGGGCGAGAACCTGGCCAGAGGGTATGCGAACGTCAGCGCCTCGGTCTTTGCCTGGTACGACGAGGTCAATGAGTTCGACTACGACTTCGACCGCGACAGCCCAACCGGCTTCACGGAGGAGACGGGCCACTTCACGCAGCTGGTCTGGCGCGAGACCCAAGCGGTGGGGTGCGGCTGGACCGACTGCGAGGGGAGGAACGGCGTGGACGGCGTGTTGGTGGTGTGTAACTACTGGCCGGCGGGGAACGTGTTGGGGCCGAGTGGGAGTGGCGAGGACAGGTTCTTTGTCGACAACGTGCTGCCGGAGAGGGATGGGGAAGGGGAGGGATTTAATGAGCAGGACGCCATTCGGGGAGTGAGGACCGACGTGCCGGACCCTAATGCGCAGGGCAATAATGGCGATAACGGTGATGAGGATGCTGCAGCATCGTTGAAGGGAGGTGTGTGGAAGGTGTTGGCGCTGACGACGGCTGTGTTGGGATGGGCTCTGTTTTGAGGCATCGAAGTCGAAGAGATGGTTGGTCACTGGGCAGAGCTGGGGATAGAAGCTCGGGGATGAATGACGGGAGGAGGAGTAGATCTGTGTGTTTTATAGCAGGGCGTTGTGGCACTTTGAGCAGTGTAGATGATCACCGCATGTCGCGTATATATTCCAGTACAATCCAGAACAGTTGAAGGGTCCTGACTGAACCGACATGAAAACCGGCGAAGGAACAATGTTGAAACAACGAAGACTGCTATAGTTCATGTAGCTATGCCTCTTGATGAGGTGTAAGTGCGTTGAGCCCATGGAGCACCTGTCCATAGATTCAGCCCTGCCAAGACTGTCAGCATCTTGCATTAATTTCTCGCTCGTTTCCGCTTCGGACGAGCGCGGCTCAACACCAAAACACCCCGTCTACAGGCCTTCTGCCCGCTGCCGGCGTACATTTGATTGGCTCGCAAGCTCGTAGCCTGCCTTTCGGAGCCGTAGTCATTATCACCGTGTACGCCGGTCTGGTTGAGAGTGCCGTCAACCCAGGCAGGGAGTGGACGACATTCAGGCCCTCCAAGGGTTAAATACACAACGTCTCCCTCTCCGTCGTTGAAGTGTCTCTGACCATCACTATCGTGGCTTCATCCTGCTGTGGCTGAGTAGTATAGTCCCAGCCAGCATCAGCTTTAATCGCAGCGACAATAGCAATAATGGTCCACCTCATCCTCACGGGCGCCACTGGCCTCGTTGGCTCCGCGGTTCTTCATCACATCCAGACCCTCCCCGCTGCCACCAACCCCATCACGAAGCTAACCATCCTCTCTCGCTCGCCCGTTCCAGATGCCAACAAACCCTCCACCAACAACACCAAGATCAACGTAATCCACCACACCGACTACCTAACCTATCCACCCGACCTCACCTCCCAGCTCTCCGACGCCAAAGCCGTCATCTGGGCTCAAGGCATCTCGCAAACCGAAGTCTCCTCGGACGCCGAATACACCAAGATCACAAAGGAATTCCCCGTCGCCGCCGCCAAAGCCTTCGCCAGTGCCAGCGCCACCACCACCAAACCCTTCAACTTCGTCTACGTCTCCGGCGAAGGCGCCACACAAACCCCGGGCCTCTTCACGGCGCTCTTCGGCCGCGTCAAGGGCGAGGCCGAGCTGGCGCTGCTCGCGCTGCCCAAACAGCGCGAGTACGGCGACGGTAAGCTATCTGTGTACTGCCCGCGGCCCGGCGGCATCATCCACCCGGACAAGGCGGTCATGGACGCCATTCTGGCGAAGCGGACGCTGAGCATGCGCGTCTTCATTCGGGCGGCGCTGCCCCTGTATAGCACTTTTGCGAAGGAGATGCTGATTCAGACGCCGGAGCTGGGGAAGGTGCTGGTGGATATGGCGTTGAGGGAGGGTGGGGAGCCGTTTGAGGAGGGGGCCAAGGGGATTGAGAGTGGTGGGAGGGTGGTGAGAAATGTGGCCATCAGGAGGATGGCGGGATTGTAGGGGTGTGGTCGGTGGCGAGGAAGATCTTTGTGAGTGTTTCTGGTGCGCGTGTGGAAGGATGTCGTGGGACTGCAGCGAGCGAACCAGTACACAGTTTTTGCTAGAATATGGAAGCGCGGCCAAGAACCTGGATTGTCGACCTGCTCCTTCGACCGAGACGAGCAACTCGGCTTCATTTGTGACCTACGTGCCGCAATTCACTGCGTTGGACCCATCACGAATCACCCTGTGCCGCACACGACTTGGTTTCAACGAGCAAACAAGCGGATGTGTGGCTCAGCTTTTCGGCGGTATCATAAAGGCAGTCGACACAGTGTCCACACAGTTTTCGCGATGGAGCCTCTGTTTTCACGAACACTGTGCATCAGCGCTCGACCAGCGCCACAAGAGAAAACTCGGGACTGGAGAGGCGAATACAGATCGTGTGGCACGCCCGGGGTCGAAGGGGCTATGTGGTGAGCGTTCTTCTTGCGACTTTGATCATCGTGTACCAACATCACAGCAACATGCCACGATATGATGTTCGAAATAATACCCGTCTTTCATCCGAGATATCCGCTCATATTGTCCCTCCTGCTGCTCTCCCCTTCGCATCCTACCCTGGACAGCACTCGACAAGCTATATATGCAGCCCGGAAATCTCTGCGTATGCTGGCTCGGACATGCTGCCACAACCATGGCAGACCAATTCCAGAGCCAGACCAGTATTCCATCTTATTTCACCTCTATGTCCCTGAACCGAAGCAAAACGTCTTTTCCAAACGCCCTCTCATGATCCCTCCCCCGGCCAGAATTCTCGACTCGTGGCTCTTCACCCTCAACCCGCAACCCTCCTCTCAGCCTCCAGTCCTCCCAGCAAACGCTCCTTCTTGTGACAATTCAATACAGAAGTCTAGCTCTGACGCCCGACCCAAACGAACCTATCCACCACTATTTGAACACTCCCGCCGCGCCCAGGAGGTATGCAGGTCCTCTCTGCACACTCCCTGATGATATCGCGCGTTAGCAACGCAGAGCGGTTGTTTCGCCAACGAAGCCCGAGCAAACGCCCCCTCTACCTGTGTCGACATATAAAAAATGCGAGAGCCCACAGATCTCGCCCACGATCTGCTTGTCACCGACACCATGACCACCCAGTCGTGCGTCCATCACCCCAGGCGTGACAGCCATGTCCTCGCGATATATATACCGCACCCTGTGTTGCAGCTTCGAGCCATGTCTGCCTACCCAAAAAACACCCAACAGACTCTCGGGTCGAAACACTCAACCCAAGCCCCCAAAATTTGACCTTCCCATAACGCCTCCACGCCAATCCCACAAATGTCACAACGCCAGCATTCGCCAGACCAACCACGAGATCGCCCACCAGACAGAGACAAAGGCAAAGCCACGGCTACCGCCCGCGAACCACCCCGTCGTCAGTATCTCTTGAGCCCCCGCCTCCCCACGCTCCCAGCAGAGCAGGGGACGATGACGGTGATTTCGAAACCCACGATCCCCGAGCATGTGATGAAGCGCGAGGCGGCGGAGACCCTGGAAGCGCAGCTCAGCGACCTGAGAGCCCGGCAGTGCGCGCACTGCGGCTCGCTGAGGCACAGGACGTTGTGGTGCGATTCCAGGTCTACGGAGTCGGGGACGATGCGCTGTGAGAAGTGCGGCTCTGCCTTGCATGGGAGCGTGTGGTGTCCGAATACAATGAAATGAAACGAGAAATGGAATGAAACGGAGAGAGGACGGAGGACATTGACGGCTCTTCGGTGTCGGTGCCGGTATAGATAGGGAACGGGGGTTCAGTCCCTGCCATGGGGGAGGCTGTAAGCAGCAAGTAGGCAGGTCGTCGAATAACGATACGAAATCGACATGCAAGAAACATACTCGTCAAAGGCCATCCAAGGCCTTCAACAGAAATCGGAGGAGGAAACCATGAGCGGAATCCGTGCCATTTGAAGCTGCTTCGCACGGCGTAGATCTCGTCAGAGATTGTATTGAATCGCTCTCAGCCGGGACTGCGTTGGACATTGTCTCGCTGCTGTTCCATCTTCGTGGTTTCATGTCAGCGGCGAAGCCATGAGGGTGATGTGGTGCTTCTCCATCTTGTCCAACGCCGAGGCCGAAATTTTGCCAGTGCTCAACTCGCTCGAAAATCCCTATGTTCATCACATCATGTCTCATCACAGAATAGCTCATCCCTACTCTTAACACCTACACAACCCACGCCGGGCGGATCTGTACCTTCTATTCCCTCATCACATGACCGCACAACTATCCCCCTGGACCCTCCTCTCGACCCTCCCGCGAATCAGCAACCAGTCAGCCCTCCTCTCGGCAAATTCGACCACCTCCTCGACGCCAAACACGCCACGGAACCTCTCACCATCACTGATAACGCCCGCCATCTCCTTGACCTCGCCATCCGTGCCCGCCTCCAGCAGATACAGCTGCGCGACCTCCCTCAGCGCGACAAAGTAATTGTTCAGCTCCGCGTTCTTGTAGCTGGCGATGTAGCTGGCGTAGGCGGACATGTCGCTGATCAAGGGGATGGCGCCCGCGGTGCTGATGCGCTGGCGCTTGATGTGCTTGCACAGCGCGCCGAACAGGCGCAGGCCCACCTCGCCGACGAAGACGTCGAGCAGCGTCTTCTCCGTCGCGCCGTGCAGCATGCCCGTGTGCCCACCCACGACGTCGATGACCTTTCTCGCCGTGGCGGTGGGGCCCACGTCCACCACGACGTTGCCCTCGGGACAGAAGTCGGTGGGTAACTGTGTGGTGGCGCAGATGTACTCGACTTCCTCGATGAGGACGTCAATGCCCTTGCCTAGGCCGGAGGCGACGCGCTCGTCCAGCATGGCTTCGAACTTGCGCTTTTCCTTGTGGGCCGGGTCGAGTTGGTCGTCGCGCCGCACGATGCGTAGGCGGATCAGTTCGGATTCGTAGAAGACGGCGATCATTTGCTGGATGAGGTCGCCGACGTTGACGAGCTCGAGGAAGGTGGTGAGGGGCGCTACTTGGGCTGTGGTGCTGGTGGGCGTGTCGGTGCTAGCGGAGGTCGGGTTGCGGGATTGGAAGTGCGATAGGTGCTCGATGGCGGTGTCGAAGCCAGCGCGGACGTGTCGCTCGCCGAGTGCGGAGAGCAGGTAGCGGAAGATGTCGCTGCAGGTGGTGCGCGCTGCGGCGCCGTGCGCGTCGCCTAATGCGATGAACTGTGAGGCGCGTTCTAGGTTCGATTTGGCGGCGTGGACGAGGTTGAGGGCGACTTCGATGGAGAAGAGTGAGCGAATGCCTTCCAAGCGGGTGTTCATCAACGCGGCTTTGGCGGCAAGTTCAGTGGTGGGCGCTTCCAGAGGTAGGGATGGAGTGGCGCTGCGGTGCTGTGTGAGCGGATTTGGGGTGGAGGACCGGGAGGGGTGATCGCCATTGACGAGGGCGCGAGCGGTAGTGGTCTTGGAGGATGGAGCAGAGGAAAAGCTGGGCAGGAGGTTGACGGGCATCATGACCACCTTCTTGAATGAGGACATAAAGTCCTTCTTGTCAGCTTGCCGATTAACATTGGACATGAGGAAGGTCTCGGTAGATTCGGCCTGGTCGCGTAGCGCTTGTGTCCATTGAGCGACCTCTTGGTCAGCTTTATGTTTAAAGTTCTCGAGCTCCTCAGCGAGGTAGCTATCCAGGTGAGGACCGTATATCTGTGCGATAACGGCATTGGCTCGTGTTTGAGCCTCATCACTCGATTCAGCGGTGACGCCACATTCCGCGATCAACTGTCTCGTGGCAGCGAAGGTGCCTGATATCGTTTTGAGGTAGACGGATGTGCTTCTCCCACGGGCATCCTCGAACAGTGAAGTCAAGAACGGGGACAGTATCTCTTGGCCCGTTCTGTCTAGTAGATGTAGCAGAACCTCATCGGCATTCGGGAAGACGGCTCTGACAACGGCGGCCTCCTCAGCAAACGCTGCCGCCAATCGCTCGAAGTATGCTTGCACCTTTTCGAGAGAAAGTTGTCCCCACCCCAACGAGTAGTCAACGCAGTCGGATGCATTGCCCAGCTCCGCCTTCTTCTGCATCAGTCGATTGTCATTCAAAAAGAGTTCCACCGCACTACTGCTGCCGTTCAGAATGAACATCACGTGCGCATACTGCTTCATTCGGCCCTGTATATCGCGATATTCGTACCCTTGGCGGAATTCAAGTAATGCAGCCGTATCGAAGACATTGACAATCTCCTGGATCTGTTGGCCTCGCTCCTCAGCTCCAGGCGAGAAATCGCTGCTGGCGAACCTGCGGACGTGGGATAGCATCTTGGCTTGTTCCTCGGGCAACGTGTAAGTCTTGAAGACAAGAGCCTCCATAGGCCTCACGCCGCTGATGGCGTTCTGGTAGTACCGACCTAGGGCTCGGTAAATTTTCCCGTACTCGTGCCTTGCCATTCCGCGCACAGATCTAACCCTGTCGAACACAGTGAGTGCAGAGCGCGGATCGAGTTCAAGCACCGGCGCGGGCGTCTTCGGCGTGGGCGAGGAAAGTTCCACGGCGTCAAACCCGTCTCCAGACACACGGATATTGGGTCTGCCTTTACCGTTCACGATCGACTGATCTATTATGCTTCGTCTCCGAGCCTGCGGGGCCTGTAAATCGCTGGACCGCGAACTATCTGCTCGTTGCCGTGCCTCCCTCTCATCCCAGCAGTCCATACTTTTCAGTCTCGAGATCCACCTGGTGTCGTCGTAAACCATCTCTTGCATTCGGCGCGACACCCGTGCGAAGCGAAGCAGGTCGGGGACACTGAGGTACTCGACTACTACCGAAAGGACTTCTGTTCGGCGCTTAGCAGGTGCAGCACCCGAGTCTGCAGACTTACATACCCAGTGGTAGATAGGGCTTCGAGATCACCATATCAGTCATCTTGAGGGAGGCGAGCGGATCTCTTCGAGAGAGATTCGTGCTCCCTCGACTGCCCTTCTTAGGCTGGCTGGTGCGGGACATTTTGCTGGTGTGGCGGCCTTTTTGTCGAGGCCGGACTGCTCTTACTGTCGCATCACAAGCTACCCTGTGTTCACCTCGGCCACCGATCAGGTCGCAGGAACGAGACTGGCAGTGCACGTGGGGAGTAAAGTGAAGTGGGGAGTGAAGAGACCTGGAGATTCACGAGGCTGGGCAACAAGGCTGTACAAACCTCCTGCGACAGCAATTGTTAGCAAGCATTGTTCTGCTATAATGTCTTCGGATGTCAATAGGTTGGTGCATACGTAAAGTATTTCTTGTACGAACAACCGAGTCTTATTTACGAAATGATGGGTCTAGCTTCTGAAGACCCAGCGACTGCTCTACACAGTCGACCTTGGACGCCATGCAGCAAAAGCATTACCCCGGATTTTAGACAGTGTACTGTTTCACATACCCTGTATATCAAGCAACAGTATTGTCGACGGATCCAACCGAAATAGGCCACAGCATGCAATGCATCCCCTGCTGTGACTTTTCATGCCATCTGAGACATCTGCACTCTCCTCCGCCAGCAAACAATGATCGATCGTCGTTGGCCTGCACATTACCCCGTAGAGACTGCTCGATTCTTTTCTGGCTCTTTAGTGTCAAAACCATTGCTGAGTCAACGTAGGACCAGATATCGGGAGTTTCGACGCAAGTATGCCTCATGTAGTGCAAGCTCACCACCATGCCTTTTGAGAAGCTCGATCTATTGCCCAGGCGGACGATACTGCCCGGCAATTTGATGATACTGGCTCGTATGGGGAGGATAGGAATCGGGCTGTTGGCTCCATTGATCGGCCTCGTTTTCCTCTTCTGGTTCCGCGTCTTCGTCATCACTTTCGCCGTTCCGGCCACGCTTCCTCTTCTTGTCATCGCCCTTGCCCTCATTTTTCCTGACCGGGATCTTGATGCCCTGGTCTGCAAACGTCTGGCTCAGCTCTGTAGTCGGTCGTACGCCCGGGAATTTCTTAGCGCTCCAGACCTGGAAAGGCTTGCTGTAGATAGAAGCCAGCATGGGAGCAAATTCAGCCAGGCGCTCCCCACTGGACGGTCCCATTGGCTGTAGCTGGCACATGAGGTCGAAAAAGGTGAACTTGAGCCTGAAGACGCCTTCGGTACGGATGCTCAGATCCTGGAAGATGAACCAGAGGCCTGTCTTCTCAGCAGGGTCGTTGAGTTTGAAAGATGTGGCCGAAAGGGATCCGATGAGATTTCTGCTGCATGACTGTGGCGGATTGCTTTGAGATGGTGGCGGGATGCCATACCCAGGTCCAGGAGCACCACCATAGCTTCCGTTAGTGCTGTGACCATTGCCATTAAGCAAGCCTCCAAAGCCGGTCGAAGAGACGTTTCCGTGGAATTGAGAATTTTGGTAGGCTTGAACTCTGGGAACATCAAAGTCTCGGGGCTGGGGGACGTTAGACGGTATTGTAGAATGTGTTGGAGGGAAAGCGCCGCGCTCGCTACTGCCAATGGCAGGGTTGTTTCCCGAGAGATGAACGACCATGTTTGACTCTTTGAGAGTATCCACATCGGCCAAATCGACTACTAGGATGAACCTCGAGAGGTCTTCAATTTTGCTGTACCACCTGTTAGTACTGCGCGAGACAGGAAAGGACGGACGTTCGTACTTGTAATCGATTTCAACACCAGTCTTCTCATCCATGATCAGCAGTCGAATGCAAGGTGGAGGTGAGATAGGCCGACGATCCTGCAAACATTAGGCCCAAGTATTCAATAGTGTCAACTGGAAGTCTCGTACCTTGTCGCCAAAGCCGCACATACGAGCACGATCTGGTTCCTGAATTACCTGAAGGGCAAAAGCGTAGCCATTCAGAGACCTGGAGATGGGAAACGGCTCTCCGACAGCTCGAGCTCGTTCTAGGGCACTATTGCCCTCATCGCTAGGCGTCGATGGCGGCAGGCTCCTAGTCGGACCACCAGAGGATTGAGGATAGTCTTGTGTTGAGGCGTAATTCGGTGGTTGCTGGGGAATCGACAAAGGGGTACGTTCTGAGCCCGGTCTTTGATGCGGCGGAGGCAGGTGAGGACCATTCTGGTAGGGGGACTGAGTTGGTGCATATCCTCGTGGCTGAGATTGCTGGGCATGGTACTGCTGCACAGGTGGTGGGGCCGGCTGGTATTGCTGTGGTGGCTGAGAGTATTGGCGAGGTTGCTGAGGAGGAGGCGGAGGATGCTGCTGAGGAGGTTGTGGAGGTGGTGGGCCGTAGTGAGTGGCGGCTGGCCAGCCCGAGTGGCTCGAGTAAGCCATGACAGTGAGGGTAGCTAGCGCTGTCGACAGAACAATATTTGGCAATGGGCTAATTGCTGAAGTGCTGTAGATGCAAAGCCAAGCCGGATATACGAAAGTGGGTGTGGTGCTATACGCGATACTGGTATCGTCGCGACATGTATGATGCGACTGGAACCTGGGAGTCGGCGTCGCTGGGAAGGGACCCGGCTATATAAGAGGAAAGAGCGCGGAGCGGGGCAGTAACAAATGTGTGCCTTTGAAAAGTTTGAAAGGTCATCAACACAAGCACGATCCAATATGATTGAAGCAGGCGACCCGGCAGACTGGTAAGTTGGGGTTGATTCCGGTCGATCAACAAGGCGACCGAATAGAATATTGTTGAGTGGTTTTCGGACACCGATCAAGGTCGATGCAGCAGCAGCAGCTTCTCGGATGAGATGGCCGACGCGGGAGATGGCAAACAAGAGTGTATCCGGAGGGGATGGTGAAGTTACACAGCCAGGAGATGAGCCAACAGGAGGATTTCAGCAGCAGTGCAATGTTACTCGAGATGCACAGGGCACAGGCGCCAGATCACAAGAGTTGAGCGCTTTGTGGTTTCATGGGCGGAGCATGGCCAGGCGCCGTGTGGGAGGAGGGTGGATGTGTTGATGCGTTATCAGCCTGATATTGGACCGAACACCCAGTACAGCCTCAGGGTATCATGGACAGACCCGAGCGGTCGAGGGTGGTGGGCCTTGTTGCATTTGCCACGCGCGTGGTCCAAGTCGATATATTGGCGGGTCGATGGGTCGACAGGCTGAACGGTGGCACACGATATCTTTGTACGAAGCGCACAGCCGCTGTCAGCTTAGACAGCCTTCAGGCACTGGCACGTGGGGCGAGTTGATGTCGCTAGGTCCGATGAGGGGCAGCGAGAGTAACGTCGGTTCTGCCGCTGAGATGGACTACGCAGGGATGTGGTAGGGAAAAACGATGGTGGCGCCGGTGTTGACGTCGGCGGTTGATTATAAGAGTTGAGACTGCAGCAGCGTATCGCCTCGGAACCAGGAGACTGGTCAAACAGGGTCAAAGTACAATCAATATCTCTTCTCATGCACGCCAAAGAGAACACTGGGATAAGAGCAGCCCGAGTCGTGCACGAAGAGTGGCCCACGAAGCGGCGAGTCAAGGCTGCCGCTGGTCATCTCGCTTTGAGTTTGTGCCCAAGCGGTGCTGGGGCTGCATCAGCCCCCGCTTAGGCCCCGCTTAGGCCCCGCTTAGGCTGTCAATGGTGCATGTCCAGGCGCTGGGCCCCTTGGCCCCAGCTTGTTCGTGGTAGCCGAGAGTGTATCCGTCTGCCGATCCCGAGAGATCAGCGCGTCCGAGCACCCGAGTCATGAACAGAAGATACCTCCGTAGTGCGATGATTACAGGACTCAATAGGCGAATCTGAATGGGGGTGTGGTGGGCTGAACGAACGGGATGCCGCCGCGCTTCACCCTTATTTTCAGCCGCGTTCTCCGCCTTTGCGCTTCCGTTAAGCATAACACAGATATCGATTCGAAATAACACACAGTTCCACTCCCTTCCGACGCAGTGACACCCATATGACTGACTTTTCCAGGCCATCACGAGGTGGCTTCCTCATTGCTATCTCTACCACCTTTGACAGCTGCCTTGGCCTTGTCGGCCAGCCCTTTGATGGACTCTTCAGCTCGATCTTTACCCCGCTGAAACGAGGTCCGCCGGACTCGCTCGTTGTTGGTTTTGGCGTCCAGTGCCTCCGATCCTGTCGGAGTATACAGGTTGGCAGCGCCGCCTGCCGAATATTATGAGGGTCTGTCCATCTGCTCAGTGTCGTTGGGGACTTACCTCGCCCAGTGTGGTGAGTGTTTTCAGGCAGAGTGATTCCCGGCACGTCAACATCTTGCGCCGTGCGTGCCTCGTCGCCGAAATCGTTCTTGGCCATGTTGCCGGTCCCGCCTCGGCCGGTGCTGTACATCTTGGATTTGAGAGTTGGCGTTGTCAGAGGCTCGGGTGCCGGCGAAGCCGTGTCCCGTTTAGGCGCAACATTGCCTGCACCTCCACGACCTAGTTGTAAATGGTTAGTATCACATATCAACGCCCTTAAAAGAGGTATAAGTACCATAGTGCTGAATCGGCTTGCTCTTACTACCCTGCTCAGACATGTCGTCGTGGTGTGACGGGGCTGCGATTGCGCGAAGTGTAGCCTTACGAGGGGAGCACAGTGAATGAGTTACGAGAGAGAAACGATTACTGGCTGCGGCTACCAGAAGAGTGGATGTAAAGAATGGGAATGTTTATGGCAAAAGGGAACAGCCTCAGGGCTAAGTTTATGAGATCTGAAGAGGGCTCCATGTCCACTGAAAAGCCAATCTGGTCACTGCTCGCCGCTGTCAAAACGGGCGCCGTCCTTTACGTTCACGTGCGCCTGAGAATCTTTCCATGAAAGCCCTCGCTAGCAGATTTTGCCCCTCAAACAAGGTGACCGCCCATCTCGTCCGACTGCTAAGCCAACGGGAAGCAATGCTAGACGTAACGAAAACACGGCTTAGGCTAAGCTTGGTAGCATAAGCGGGCTAGGCATCGGATGGCGCAGTCTGGGGTTGACTGCACGCCCGGAAGTGACGTAGCGGGCCTGAACACCCGGTGCCTGAGCAGCTGCCAGCGGTCAGGCGCCGAAAGCTGAAACCTGACAGCTACGACAGCCCAGGTCGACGGCGCCGACTGCAAGGTACCATTCCTCGACGTGCGGATATCGCTTACCGAACCAGTGGGGAAGACAGGCACAAAAATACCATTTTCAAGCTCTGCAAGCTGCCGATCTGACCCTCACCCAGTAGGCGCTCTGTCGAATGCTGGATACCATTTCCCGCCGCCGCTGTACCACCCCGCATTTTAGATATATTCGTAACCACAACTTCCAAGCGACTTCCTGTAGCCTTGAAATAAATTCCTCACAGCTAGCTGGCTGAAAGGTGTCAAGACTCTCCATCTGCTCATTGTTGCGGCGGGGGCTGGAAGCGCAGACATGCCTGGACCACGCTCAAGACGTCATGCCAAGGCAGCTGTTTCCATCGCCGATCACCTTCCCAACCAGAAGTTTTCCCAATGCCCGTCAGTCCGACCACATGTTGAGATCTGCCATCTTGACAAGTCGGTCTCTGCTGTCGGGTACCTGACAACTTGGTCGTGCCATCTATATTGTTATTCGTTTTCACAGCCTCCCTGCAGGAACCCGGGAGCCGCATCCTTGAACTCGTCCTGAGAACCTGTTGGGCTCCTCACCGACATGCAATAGCAGTTGCCACGAATTTTTGAAAAGTACTTTTTACTGCAATGCCTCCAAAGACCCTCCAAGGCAATCGCCTTGTCTACTTGCTGCCTCTGACCGACTATGGCGCTCCTGATGTTCCGAACCAGTACATCTACTTGCCCGCTCCCACCGAGCCGCCATATCACCTGCGCTTCGCCATCGAGGGGACCAGCTCCATATGCAGACAAGGTAGCTTGTGGATTAACATTCCAGCACCAGGAGAGCAATTCGAAAGGTCGAAATATAGAGAATATAAGCTGAAGCCTGACTTCAATCGTACCCTACACATAGACATTCCCATCACCACCGCCGGCGCCTTCAGCTACTATACCACCTACTCTCCCCTCCCAGATTTCTCCCTCGAACCGATCGCCACTCCCGAGCCCACGAAGACTCCCACCTACTATATCGATGTCGAACCGAATCTTACTCTTAATGGCAGCAAGCTACCCCTGGATGCATTGTCAATCTTGTCTGTGGTCTCCAAATTCATGGGCAAGTACCCAGATGACTGGGAAGGACACTTGCGCGGAATCAGTGGGCGAGGTTACAACATGGTTCACTTCACGCCTCTGCAACAACGAGGAGAGTCCAACTCACCTTACAGCTTATTCGACCAACTCGAGTGGGACCATGAACTCTTCCCGGGAGGTGAATCAGAGGTTGCGAAACTGATCCAAACAATGGAAGATGATTATGGCATGCTGGGGTTGACAGACGTTGTCTTCAATCACACTGCCAACAACAGCAAGTGGCTGGAAGAGCACCCGGAGGCTGGCTACAACGTTGATACCGCGCCCTGGCTTGAGTCCGCGCTCGAACTGGATGACGCGTTGTTGGAATACAGCAATAACTTGGAGAGTCTAGGCCTGCCTACGCTCATCAAGACTGGCGATGACCTGACCAAGATTATCGACGGCGTCAAGACACATGTCATCTCCAAGATCAAGCTTTGGGAATATTTTGCCTGCGACGTAGAAGCAAACGTCACTGCTGTCTTAGCGGCTTGGAAGAAAGGAAACAACAAGCCTCCGTCTGGAGGCTTCGATGGCTCGCTTGGTGGCGGTCTCGACACGGTCAAAGGCTGGTCGCTGTTCCAGAAAGCGGACTTTCTCAAAAACAAGGGCCTGCTTAACGGACTTCGTATCGATGGCAGGTACTCGAGAAAGGCCGACCCACCTGTTGCTGCTGCATTGTTGACAGCCTTATATGGACGACCAGAAGATGCTAACGCTGACGAAGTTGCTCAAGCGGCCAAAGATATTTTCAATGAGCTCAACCTACCATTCTACCGGGAATACGATGAAGATGTCGCAGCCATTTTGGACCAAGTCAAAGGTCGCATCCAGTACATGCGTTTGGATTCCAACGGCCCCCAATTGGGACCTGTTTCAAAGGACAACCCACTGATCGAGACATACTTCGCAAGGCTCCCTTTGAACGAGACTACCAAGAAGCACAACCCCAAGGCGCTTGCTCTTGCTGTCAATGGTTGGATTTGGGCAGCGGATGCGATGAAGGACAATGCTGGTCCCGATTGGCGCCCATACCTGAGACGAGAGCTTATCCCATGGAGCGATTGTGTTAAGCTCCGTTATGGTAGCAGCCCCGAGGACAATCCTTTCTTGTGGGAGCATATGGCCAAATATGTGCGAGTGATGGCGAAATACTTCACTGCATTCCGCATCGACAATTGCCATTCCACGCCAATCCATGTTGCTCAATATATGCTTGACGAAGCACGAAAGGTCCGATCTGACTTGGCCGTCTTTGCCGAGCTCTTTACAAACAATGAGCAAACTGATTTTGAGTTCATCAAGCGACTTGGCTTGAGTGCGTTGATTCGGGAAGCCATGCAGTCTTGGAGCACCCAGGAGCTGAGCCGAATCGTCCACCGTCATTGTGGTAGACCTATTGGCAGCTTCGATATCGATGTAGCGAAGAGTGCCAAGAAGAGCATGACCAATGGAGCCGCACAGACGAACGGTCTGAGCACGAGAGAAATCGTGAAGCGTGTTCGGGAAAGCCCTGTGCATGCCTTGTTCATGGACTGCACTCATGATAACGAGATGCCTGCTCAGAAACGAGATGCTCGCGATACCTTGCCCAATGCCGCCCTTGTCAATATGTGCGGCTGCGCTACAGGTAGCGTGATGGGATACGATGAGATCTACCCTAAGCTAGTCGAGATCGTCCATGAGACACGGCTCTACCAGTCCATAAACTCTGAAGGCGAAGTCCAAACCGGTCCTGGTGAGGGTGGCATCGGCGGTCTCAAGAAGCTCTTCAACCAAATCCATACCATGATGGGCAAGGACGGCTATGATGAGACGTTCTTGCATCACGAAGGCGAGCTCATCACCCTGCATCGAGTCCATCCTGACTCGCGAAAGGGCTACTTCTTGATCGCCCACACCGCTTTCCCTGGCTACGGAAATGGTAACGGCGGCCTGACTCCTGTCCATCTGGCTGGCACCAAAGCTCGTCTCATTGGCGCTTGGACACTCGAGGTAGACCAAAGCGACGAGGCCAAGAAGACTGCGCTCGCTGACGAGAAGTATCTCGTCGGTCTCCCCGCCCGCACCAAGAGCATCAAGAGTATGAAATTGGATACTTCCGGCGGAGACACAACCATCACTACCCCTGAGTACTTCCCGCCTGGTTCCGTCGCTCTCTTCGAAACGTGGCTCCCCTCGGCTGAACATTCTTCTGGCTTGAATACATACCTTTCGAGTGGTGCTGACGAAGCATTTGGTGAGCTTGACCTCATCGACCTCAACTTCACTCTGTATCGTTGCGATGCTGAGGAGCGAGACTCGTCTGGCGGACAGGATGGCGCATACGCGATTCCAGACTATGGATCTCTTGTTTATGCCGGCCTACAGGGTTGGTGGAGCGTGCTTGAACCCATTGTTCGGGAGAACAATCTCGGACATGCACTCTGCAACCACCTCCGGCAGGGACCTTGGGCGATGGACTTTATTGTCGGACGAATGGAGCGAATTTGTCAACAATCGGGGTATGAGAAGCTGCATAAGCCTGCACAGTGGCTCAAGGAGCGCTTTGATGCGGTTCGCGACATTCCCAGTTTTCTTCTGCCTCGGTACTTTGCCATTATTGTTGAGGTTGCGTACAGTGCTGCTTGGAACCGTGGTCTACAGTTGATGAGCGACAGTGTCCAGCGTGGGCAGCCGTTCATCCAGAATCTAGCCATGGTTAGCGTCCAACAGACTGGTCTTGTCAAATCAGCTTCGCTGTGGCCGAGTAAGTTGGTGCCCAGTCTCGCAGCCGGATTGCCTCACTTTGCCGTCGAGTGGGCGAGGTGCTGGGGACGAGACGTCTTCATTTCCCTACGAGGGCTGTTTCTCTGCACTGGGCGCTTTGATGAAGCCAAGGAGCATATCAAGGCTTTTGGCAGCGTGGTCAAGCATGGTCTGATTCCCAATCTGCTCAGCAGTGGTACTGCTCCACGGTACAACTCGCGCGATTCGCCTTGGTTCTTCCTACAGAACATCCAAGATTACGCTGCGTTAGCTCCAGAAGGGCTGGCGATTCTGAAAGAGAAAGTGCCTCGACGTTTCCTGCCCTATGACGATACCTGGTTCCCACATGATGATCCTCGTGCTTATTCTAAGGAATCGACGGTCGAGGAGATCATTCAGGAGATACTGCAGCGTCACGCCTCCGGCTTATCCTTCCGTGAGTACAATGCTGGCTCAGGTCTCGATATGCAGATGTCCGACCAAGGATTCCAGATCGATGTGCATGTCGATTGGGAAACTGGCATCATCTTTGGTGGCAGCCAGTACAATTGTGGTACTTGGATGGACAAGATGGGAGAAAGCCCTCGTGCGGGAAGCAAGGGCGTGCCGGGCACACCGCGAGACGGAGCGGCGGTTGAGATCACCGGTCTCAGCTACAGTGCTCTCAAATGGGTTGCGGCGCTCAGTGAGCAAGGTAAATATGCCCATGACGGTGTTGATGCCGAGCATGGTCATGTGTCTTTCAAGGAGTGGGCTAGCAAGATCAAGGCCAATTTTGAGCGTTGCTATTGGGTGCCTGTCGATCCGAAGGAAGATGCGCACGAAGTAGTCGATCCCAAGATTATCAATCGGCGGGGCATCTACAAGGATCTCTACAGATCTGGGAAGCCGTACGAGGACTATCAACTTCGGCCCAATTTCCCCATCGCCATGACGGTGGCCCCGGACCTTTTCACGCCCGATCGTGCTCTCATTGCACTCAAGGTTGCTGACGAAGTACTTCGCGGCCCAACCGGGATGGCTACCTTGGATCCCTCGGATCTCAACTACAGGCCGTACTACAACAACAGCGAGGACAGTGAGGATTTTGCTACATCAAAGGGCCGAAATTACCACCAAGGACCAGAGTGGCTATGGCCAACCGGGTTCTTCCTACGCGCCCTGCTCAAGTTCGATTTGATGAGACGGAAGACCGGTGCCGACAAGCTTGAAAGCTTCCAACAAGTGACAAGACGATTGGCAGGATGCAAGGCCGCCATCAAGGAGAGTCCATGGAAGGGGTTGACGGAGCTGACCAACAAAAATGGAGAGTATTGTGGTGATTCAGTAAGTGTGCAACGACCTGAATCGGTGACATGTTGCTAACAAATTGCAGTCCCCTACCCAAGCCTGGAGTGCGGGTTGCCTCATCGATCTCTTTCAGGATGCGCACGAGATGGGGCTAGACTTTGAGAAACTCAGCATCGAATAGAGCATGAGTAGCACGGAGGAGCAGCAAAGAACACTGACCAGGAAACGACGACCAAAAGTTTTGACACTGCTGAAAGCGATGACGACCTTGCAACGACCTGAGAACGACCGTAGATTGAATACAGAGATAGACGACCCGGAGTAGTGGTTTTTGTTAGATTGAATGATGAGTATCACTGTATCCTTGGAGCAACCTCGCGGCGGCAAGGCCTGGCCTCTTCAAGGGTCCCCACCGTCGGCCAATGACAAACCCCGCCATCGTCATGCAAGGCACCGCAAAAATATTTCTTGAAGCTGTGACTTGTTGGCCCTCGACACCGCATTTTCAAGAGCGCTTCTCCGTGGTTTGACTTATTAATTCACTTCTCACACAGACCAACCTCTCAGTTTCTGGACCTTCGCTCGCGCGCGCACTCCCATCATGTCGGTATGTTGGCGCCCCTCACACCACCGCATACAGCCATGAGTCCATGACTCGAACCTGACACTCAACACAGTTCTACATCGACAACAAGAATGTCGGTAATAAAGAGTCCTCCGAAGACTGGCGAAGTATGTTTTCCGGTGCCGACGACGTCAACTACCACTAACGCTCACCCTCAGTCCGTGGCTACAACCCTCTGACTCCGCCCGATCTTCTGCAACACGAGATCTCGCAGACCGCTGCCTCCAAATCCACCGTCCTCACCGGTCGGGCCGAGTGCGTTGCCATTGTGCAGAACACAGACCCCAACCATCGACTCCTAGTCATCATCGGTCCCTGCTCCATACACGACCCTGTGTCCGCACTCGACTACTGCGATCGCCTGCTCAAATTGAAAGAGAAACACAAGGACGAGCTGCTCATTGTTATGCGGTCGTACCTGGAGAAGCCACGAACCACCGTCGGCTGGAAGGGACTGATCAACGACCCTGACATCGACAACAGCTTCCAGATCAACAAGGGCCTGCGCATCTCGCGGCAGCTCTTCGTCGACCTGACCACCAAGGGCATGCCTCTGGCGAGTGAGATGCTCGACACCATCTCCCCACAGTTCCTTGCCGACTTGCTGAGCATCGGCGCCATCGGTGCGCGCACGACCGAATCCCAGCTCCACCGTGAACTCGCGTCCGGCCTGTCCTTCCCCGTCGGCTTCAAGAACGGCACGGACGGCAGTCTGGGCGTGGCCATCGACGCCATCGGTGCCGTCAAAGGCAGCCACCACTTCCTCTCCGTGACCAAGCCCGGCGTGGTCGCAATCGTGGGCACGGTGGGCAACGAGGACTGCTTCGTCATCCTGCGCGGCGGCACGACCGGCACCAACTACGACGCCGAGAGCATCAAGAGTGCCAAGGAGAAGCTGCGCGGCAAGGGCCTGCCGGAGCGCCTGATGGTCGACTGCAGCCACGGCAATTCCTTGAAGAACCACAAGAACCAGCCCAAGGTCGCGGACGTGATCGCACAGCAGATCTCCCAGGGCGAGGAGGGGATCATGGGCGTCATGGTGGAGAGCCACATCAATGAGGGCGCACAGAAGGTGCCGAAGGAGGGCAAGAGCGGATTGGAGTACGGCAAGAGTATTACGGATGCTTGTATTGGATGGGACGATACCGAGAGCGTGCTGCAGGTTCTTGCCGACGCGGTGAAGGAGCGGAGGGCCAAGATTGAGAACAACGCCAACGGTGTTAACGGGACGAATGGGCACGCTTGAGGATGACGCTACGCTGGAATTTGGAAGCACAAGCAGAGTTTCACGACTTTGTTTGGGAAATGGTTATGCTTGTGCTGCACCTGTGACCGCTGAGAGCATGCCTGGTCCCTTGTCCTCCAGGCAGTGCAGCGACTTGGGCCGACAACTGAGAAGAAGACGACGACGATGCTATGAGAAGAGCTGTGTACAGAATCGCAACGCGAGACGATATTTTGACATGGGAACGGATTGAAAATACGGTCATGGATACAGTGGTGGCTATGGATACGGGATATGAACGGAGCACACAATCACACATGTCCCCTCAACAACCATAATACAGTGCTTGATGATACCAGGAGGGTATATATGTATGGCAATGCCTGAGCATGGCATAGCATGGCATGGCATGGCACAGGCGTTCGACTGGAGGAATCAAAACGAACTCTCTCCTACCTGCTTGCTGTCTTCTCTATTTTCCTATTCCGCCATCTCTTACTGTGTAGGCGGCGGGCGTCCGCCTTTTCTATTTGCAACCACATCTCCTTCCAACACCATTCTCCTTTCTTCCAGAAAACATGTGGCCTGCATCCATCGTCGCAGTAGCACCAAGAACAGGGCGAAAAGAATGTGCAGCAGCAACGTTTGCCAAAACCAAACATAACGAGCAACGGAAGACGCAACGACGGAAGCAAAGAAAAGCAAATTGCAGATAGACACACACCCCGTTTCCAATCCTCATGTTCCTTCTGAGACTCCCCATTAGAAGAAAAGTAATCTTGCTTACCTTTTCGCGCCGTTAGGCTAACTACCGAGCGTAGATCAGTCATGTTATATGCCATGACCTCAACAACTGCATCTGCATCTGCATCTGCATCTGCATGGACACACTGACTCACTGACTCACTCATGTTTGCGTGTAAGCCAATACCAATTCCCAATACCCGATCTCAATCCCGTCCTTCCTTTCCTTCTCCATCCTACTGTACCTAGTCCAACCCACCGCTCCCCTTTCCCCCTTTCAATTCACCCAAATCGTCCCCGTCGCGGTCAGAAACGCGGCGAACAAGTCTGGATCATACGGCAAAGGCTTGCCGTCGGGTCCATAGAGTTGCATGATCTCCTCCTGACCCCTTCTGCTGTTCTTCTTCTCCTCCTCCTGTTGCTGCTGCTGCTGCTGCTGCTGCTGCACCGCCTCCGTGACAGCAGCGGCAGCGGCAGCATTTGCTGCAGTGGCAGTGGCAGTAACGTCCGCCGCATCCGCACTCGCCGGCTTTGTCTCATCCTCATACCCATGCTCCTCCACCTCATCGTCTTCATCAGCCTCATCGCCATAGTCATACCACTCACTCGCCCAATCCCCCGGATCCTCCCCCTCCCTCCTTTTCCCCACCTTCGCATCCGCGCCCGCCAACCCAAACCGCGCATTCCCATTCGCGTTCTTATTTTTAGCGTCCTTTTTATCCCCCGTCTTACTCCCCTTGTCACTCGGCTTGGCCGCCGCGGCGCCAGCTTTGGTGGTGGCGCTGAAGACCGGCGGGGTGCCGCCGCCGCACTGCGTGTCGGTGGCGCCGTTGTGCACCGTGTAGACCATCTGCTTGAAGGCGTCGAGGTCCGTGTAGACGGTGATGGAGCCCGAGGCGCGCACGGCGCCGTAGGGGAGTTTGTCGCTGCGGGTTTCGGCGGCCCGGTCCTGCAGGAGCTTTTTGTTGATCTTGTTGTTCAGGCGGAAGTACGGGAGGTAGCGGTCGATGATGTCCTGGGCGCCGTCGCCGGCGCCGCCGCCGCCGTTAGGAGGGCGCGAGTTAGTCGAGTTGTCGTCCGAGGACCGCTTCCAGGTCCAGTTGGGGAGGTTGCCGAAGTTGCAGCCGCGGTCGAACCAGGCTACGTAGTTGGGCATGCCGTCCGGCCCGTTGGGGTCCGGGTGTTTGTAGAGCGGGTCTGGACGCGTGCTGGCCTTGCGCTTGTCGACGGCGTGGTCTAGTGAGTTGGGGGCTTCGCTGAGGTCGGGCGGCGGGGTCGTGTCGGGGGGTATGTTGGCGACGGAGGAGCTGTTGGTGTTGGTGTTGGCAGTGCCCGTGACGGTAACGAGGGTCTCTTTGGGTTGGCGGTTGGCGAGGGCAACGGATCTGGACGGGCGGAGGTTGAAGTTGTGGCCGTTCTCGTAGGAGATGATCTCGTCCAGATTCATGCCGGGGACGCGCTGGGTTGGCCATGGCGTTAGGTCTTCGGTTGAGTCTGAGGGAATGGAGTCAGAGTCGGACTTGGAGCCTGCGTATTGCATCTGCGAGTCACTGACGCCGGCGTGGATGCCTCGGCAACCGAGGAGGATATAGATGCATGATGTTAGCACGGTTTTGTGGGTGATTTGTGTCATCTTGGGAAAGGTAGTTATCTTCGGCCTTCGAGGGCTACGGACCTAGCTAACGTCAAACGGACACATAGACCTGTGTCAAGCGAGACTCTGGTGGTCAGTTTAGACAGTGGAGAGCGTGTGGCCAACTAGCTATACTCAGCATGAAAGCGAGGGCACCCAGGCATCCGAACCCCTCTTCAGTAGTGTTAGGAGAGCTAATCAGGTGCTGCTCATTTCTTTGAGGCCGTCAAACAAGCAACAAGGCTCGAAATAACGGCCAACCTGGTTTCATACATATCCACACCTTGACAAGGCGGGTGTGCCAGTGGAGAAGACGGCCGAAGTTGGCGAAGCCAGTGGCAAGCGTAGGGCAGGACATCGACGAGGCTGACAAAGGAGAGCAACAAGGCATGATTTCGGGCACTAAGCTCGATATTGACTTGAATCAGCCGGCTAGAATCAATCGGTGTTTGAATAGGCGCCTGGTTGCCTGATACCGCTTCGACTCAAGACAAAGAGGGCTTTTACGTCAGGCAAACGAGGCATCCACCAGCTCGTGAGTAACAAACGAATCGACGTAAGCGTTCCTACTGGTCCATCTTATCGCATGAAGCTTTGTTGCCGATGTAGCCACTACGAGAACTCATCGACATGATAGTTTGAGGAAAGATATCGTATGTGTTGGTCAGAGTCAGGTACTCGGGGTCGAGGACCCCCGGACAAGCATCTGCTCACTCGCGTCTTGTAATGCTTGGCATTGGCAGTGGCAGTGGCAGTATTTATCGCGGTACAAGTGAAAGTGGTCAATATAGTCTATTCGCCCTTCCGTGCTCAGTTCCAGTACTGTCTATTGCCGACAATACTTCGACTTCTCGCACTTCTAGAAACAGTCTCAGGGTCGATCGTCGCCTTTGCGATCGTCCGTACTCCCCTTCACATATGAGAACAGCAAGGCCACAACAAAGTGAACGAGAAGCCCTCAAGTCGGGCTTGCCCTGTTTGCGATGCCTCTGATCTCGTACCACAGGTTCGTTCAGAGCCAAACCATTCTTTTGTTCCAACAAACGCTCAGCGATCCACCAGCGGCGTCCAGCAGCATTGCAACTTCGTGTCATCATCTTCCATTCGCCATATCAGTTGCACTCTAAAGCAGAGTCGTGATCTCGTACTACCGTCTCCATACCAAGCTAAATTCGATGTCTATTCACCACCAACGCCATGTAGTTGAGTCAAGGACCCTTACGTGCCTCGGGTTCAGTCGTTCAAGCCGTGGTCGCTTGGCTCGTCGATCGTCCACTCTGGTCCCGCATGAACATGCCCTCGCTCGGAGTAGCCGGTGTTGACAGGGCGGACTGATGCTGTTGGGCGGCCTGTTGTTGAGCTACGACCTCTCTGGCGTAGAATTCAACGAGCATGGTCCCGTACGCTTCTAGCTCTTCGACGGGAATACTAAGTCGAAAGTCATTGAGTATGAGGAACTGAAGCTCCAGATGATTCAGCTCTACCAATGGCAGTCCTCCAACCTGACACGTGATTAATCCCAAGGCCAAGCAATGGCATTGATAGACTCAAACTCACCTTGGCATATCTAGAATTGGTATAGAAGACATCGGAGAAGAATTTGCTGGCGCATGTTACGCCGGCGATGACGAGACGGTGTATGTTGAAGCTGTCGACAACGAAGAAATTGGAGAGATCAGTCGGACCGACCTGCATAGGTGGCGAGGGTGGCATCTGTGAAGGCGTTCTGCGATCTGAGGGCGACATTTGCCCAGAAGCCGGGGGAGTAGCGACTGCGGTTGGTACTTGATGCTCGGCCGATGGTGACCGCGTTCGGGGGGCCTTTTCGCTTGGAGACGCAGGCGCAGCCTCTGATGCTGCTTGTTGCTGCGCCTGGGCTTGACGGAGAAAGCCTCGATTCACCATTTCCGTCATACGATCGAAATAGACCAAAAGGCTGAGAAATACCTCGTATGTCGTAGGGCAGTACTTGTGAATTCTGCTGAGATAGCTCAAGATTGTGATGCTAGGGACGTTCTTGCCGTGAAAGGCCAAAACGCTGGACGTCTGAGTGCTCATGTTGGCCTGGTCTTCAGGTAGAGGAATCGGACGACTCATATGATCGTGTTGGCGATCGTTGGTGTTGGTGATCTTGGTCAGTAGGCCAGCCACCATCTCGATAATGTCTGTAACAGGCATTGAACTGATCTCGTATGATCTGCCAGCGTCTGAGACGCTGCTTCCAGTCCTCTGGTGGAGACGTGGCCGAGCCAAGTACTCCTCACTCGCGAAGCTCTGTATATGTGACAAATCTCGCACTTTGATCCGACTAGGGGAAGTCGCGGCTGATTCTGCCAGTGATCTTGTGGAAGGGTGTGTCGGCTGTAGCCGGGGAGAATCTGGGGAGGAATGCAGACCTTGCGGTTGACTGGTGAGCGGGAAACCAGCCTGGTCATAGCCGCGGCTCTGTATATTGTGATGAGGGTGGTATCGTTGTTGATTCATGTGGGCAGCGTAGTTTGCGCTCACGGTCGACCCTGTGACGGTAGCCTCCGAATCGGCACTGGACGCTTGCGAGTCCGCATCGCGCGTATTTCGGGGAATAGGCTGGGCCGCAGAGGGACTCGAAGAGGTAGAGGATGAATAGGTCTGTTCTCGGGAGCGCGCAGATTGTGTCGTCGTATAGTCTACCTGCTGGGCGGCGTCGCTGGTGGACATGATGTGGGGATATGTAGTGGTCCCTTCGGGCGCGGTCTGGGTCAACACCAGCGATCCCATCCTTCAGCGTTCAAGGAGTGTCTGAATGCATCCACGATTAGCAGTTGACGGGCAGCGGGTTGGTTGGTAAAGACGGTGGACGCTGGGTGGTGTGGAAAAGTGATTTGGGAAGGCACAAGTCGAGGCCAGGCTGTGGGTACCAGGGCGAGCCTTTCCCACGTGTAAGTGACGCTTGGTGAGTATGCACTGCGGAGCCAGAGCCAACAGTGCAGCGTGTAGTCCTGTTGCGATCGGATCTTGACTGTAGATTGGAGTTCGTAATCGAGGTAGAGAGGGGTTGATGTAAGGCGGTGTCCGGGATCTTCATAAGCTACCGACACGGCCGAATTTCTGGCATGTGCTGCGGGCAGGGCAACAAAGCGGACGGGGACACAGGGCAGTAACTCACCAGCGACATTTCGGGGCTTCGTCACGCAGTGAAACAGGTCGGTCAAGAAGGGAGCAGCAAGATAGTCGTAGCAACGGTGATGCAAGAAGAGTGGTGTATACAGACTGCGGGCGACAAGGCAAGAATGGGTGGGAATCGGAATATCAGTGAGAGCCGCGCGAAGTGGCTCAGCATTCATTCCAGGTATAACAGCGGCCCCTTGTTGGCTATGCTTTAAGGGCTTTTAGGCATTCTAGCGGTCGCCACAAGCGTCATCTTTCAGAGCCGAAAGAACTACGGCCAAGCACTTCGGTCTAAGCGCTTGCTTTTTGTTGACCCAGTTCGCGCGGGCTTGGACACTGCAGATTTGGCTCCTTTAAGCAGTCCTAGGCTTTCCGAGCTGATACAGACGCCGCGTGCTGATACTATGACCTCAAAAAAGGTACCAAGTTCTGATAACCCTGCAGCCGATCCCGCAATGCATGAGTTTAGATCAAGAAACTCCACCACCCCTGTCGAGAATTCTCCATAATGCCTCACTATTGCTTCCCTGGGCCCTTGTAGCCAACATCAGGTAGGTAGAGATGCCTCTGCGCACCCTTGTTGGTAAGCACCACCATGCGAATGACACCGCCTGAGCTTCCATCCCACTTGATTGCTTCTGCCAGCGCTCCCTTGACGAACGCCACACCTTGCTCCTCAGTCATATCCTCCTGCCAATTTGCATCACAGTATCCGTAAATGTATGTTGAGCCGGAGCCGCCAATGGCATACTTTTGTTTGTGGAGGGAGCCGCCCAGAGGTATCGAGTATACTTGACCGCCGTGTCGCTGGTCATAGCCTGCAATGATCATTCCAGCACTGCTAGTGTTAGCCTTGCCCATCTATCTTCATGTTGGGTTGATGCCTACCTCAGCATGTCTTTGTTGTCGTAGCAGAGCTCCTGGAACAGCGCAGCTGCGGTTGAGGTAGTTGGCCGCTCGTCGTTGGTGATACCGTACATTGAGAGGTGATACTGAACAATGTCTGCCACAGCCTGAGTGTCCGCCGCAGATCCTGATCGACAACACCAGATGGTGTCATGTACTTGCGTGAGCTTGTCTGTAACTCTGTTCGCGATGTATGCACCAGTGGTGGTTCTGCTGTCCGCGCCTAGGATGACGCCGTCTTTGAAGTTGATAGCCATGATTGATGTGCCCAGGTTGACTTCGCCCTTCTTCAGATGGTTCATGTCGACGTGGATTCCGTCCTCCCCCAACATCCCCGAGGCGTGTCCGATCATGGTGAGTTGATGTAAGACTTGGGTGCGGTTGAGAGTTACGTAGGGCGGTGCGGTTGGTATAATCGAGCCAAAGGCGCAAAGGAGATGATCTAGCGCTGTTCCGACCTTGAAAGCAGGTGCTGGGGTGTTGATGGATCAGATGGCGGTAAATCAATGTGTCGCGAGTTCAAGTTGCGGAAAGGCAGCTGGAAACGCGAATGCACGACTGCCTTGGTTCTAATGGGCTCTGTAGGCCGCCGTAGTTGGGGTAGTCAAACCGAATGGAGTTCGTCACTTGGTCTGCGGCATTCAAGACGAACTGAACTTCAGACACCTTGCTCACCTCAACTCTACCTTTGCTATCTGTACAACTCAAGCTTATGCCATCGCTGGCACTTTCTGTCCCTCTTGATCGATGAATCCAGTGCTATCCCACCGACGCGAGCCAATCCATACCACTGTCGGGTCATATCGCACTCCTCCCACTAGGGCTTCTTCCTACATCTTAGGTCGCAGCCTCCCCGCTGTGCAGGATCACTCCAGGCGAATCTTCCGCTGTCGGCACGACGACTAATACACTGGCCGTCACCGTCCTCCTCGACGGTTGCCCGCCATGAGCGGCACCGGCAACTACCTCACATCTATGCTCTCATATCTACGACTTCCCGTCCTCGCCTCCTCCACTCTCGCTGCTCTCGGCTCTTCCCTCCTATACTTCAAGCAAAACGATTTGATCTATCCCGCCAACCTCCCGACTGGCGCCCGCACCCAAGTGCCTACCCCACAGCAGTTCCATATCGAAAACGCAGATAGCCTAAATTTCCCCACCCCCGATGGCGAGACTCTGCACGCCTATCTCCTACGACCGCCCAATGCCCAATTACGGAAGAATGTCACACTCGTTATGTTTCACGGCAACGCCGGTAACGTAGGTCACCGTCTTCCCATAGGCAAGGTTCTCTCCGAATCTCTAGGCTGTCATGTCTTTATGGCTGAGTACCGCGGCTATGGTCTCAGCACTGGATCCCCTAACGAAGACGGCCTCACGATTGATGGGCAGACCGCTCTGGACTATGTGCGCAACCACCCTGAGCTCAAGAACACAAGAATCGTCATTTACGGACAATCGCTAGGCGGTGCCGTTACAGTAAAACTCGTGCACGCAAACCAAAACGCCGGAGTTATTGCGGGCGTGATACTGGAGAACACTTTCACAAGTATCCGCAAGCTGATCCCCACGGTCATGCCGCCGGCGAAGTTCATCGCGAGCTGGTGCCATCAGAAGTGGGGCTCGGACGAAACGATCGTCAAGATGGCGGCAGAAGCAAAGATCCCCTGGCTGTTTTTGAGCGGACGGCGGGATGAGATCGTACCGCCAGCCATGATGAAAACCCTTTTCGAAGCATGTCCAACGCAGCGGAAAACATGGAAAGAGTTTGCGAACGGCGACCACAATTCGACCGTTGCAGAACCCGGGTATTTCGATGCGGTCTGGGCCTTTCTGGTGCAAGAGGTGATCGGCGAGCCCAGCAGAGGCGACACGAAACTTCAAACAGCCGAGACAGATGTGCGAAAGGAAGAACTCTGGAGTTGATCTTCCGTTGGTTGGATACTGTACAGGCCACTATCTCAGGCCGGGGATTCGTTCCTCTAATAAACTGTAATATCTTATGATACCCCCATTACCCATGCGTTTACATCTACAACGTGACTTTTCTCTCAACTTACTCTCTCAGCCTCATCCAACAGCTCCTCCAGACTAAACCCGCTATCCCCACTGCTGAACTTCTTCAACAGCTCCTGCCGCCGCTCCCGCCCCACTCCCCCACCGTGACCTTCAAAATCGTAGAACTTCTGTAGGCACATCAGCAGCCAGCGGCCCTCGTCGACGCTCACGCCCCGCCCCTCCATCACCCCGCCATTCAGCAGCACCAGCCCGTGGCTGTCCGCGAGGTCCAGGTGGTGCGTGATGGTCGTGTGAGGCTGCGCGTGCTCGCCGTGCAGCTTGAAGGCCGCCAGGTGCGTGAATATAACGGTGCTCGTATGATTATTTTCTGATTTCGCGCCTGCACCCGCCGCAGTTCCTGATGGCGGCGTGGCGGACTTTGCGGGCGGGTGGAAGCCCCACTGTAGGAAGTGCACGTCGGCCGTCGTGCGTTGGGCGTCGGGCCCGAAGCCGTCGGTGGAGGTCTGGATGTCGCCTGAGCCGTCGTCGGAGGCGGGGCGTGGGAGTGGGAGCACGAATTGTGGGTGTTGTAGTGCCGAGGCGTACATGCGTCGGTAGGTGTCGAGGGGGATGGTCGCGCAGAGGGACAGGGGCGAAGAGGCATGTCGTAGCCGCCACAGCAGCTCGATTTCTTTGGCGGGAAGGCTGGCGATCTTCTCGAGATCGAGGTAGGAGGAGAGTGGCTTGATGCCGCTTTCGGGGACTTTGTGGCCGGGTGCACCCCGGGATGGAGGTTGTGAGGACTGAGTGGGCTGTTGGGGTTGTGAGGACGAAGGAGACGGTGGCTCGAGGGGTGAAGACGTGTTTATTGAAGCGCCTGGTGGTGGTTTCGAGGCTGCCCGACGGTGTTCGGAGATCTTGTCTGCGTAGGCTTCTTTCAGCGATGAGATGGACTCATGGCCCTCTCTGGGAACTTGTCAGCGTCTCCCCCTTCCGTCGTGGTCGAAGAGACATACGATTTGGCCTTCTGTTCGAGCTTCGCTCTATATTTCTCATCTATCGTGCTCGTTCGTTGCTGCGTTGCCACAAAGCGTACATCGTGGACCCTGGCGTAGCGCCGTTGGAGACGGATGGGGGTGGAAGCGCGGGGGAAGGAACGCAACGTCAGTCGAGGAGCGACGTAAGACATTGCGCACGGGAAGATGTAGACGAGATGAGATAGAGCAAAAGCGGTAAGGAACGTAGACACGGCAGGATTTGGCTGAGTTGAAGGTATCTGCACTCGAGCTGCTCGATGACACTCTCCGATTGGCTTAGCATACAAGGCTGTGGGTCAGCCTGAGATGTCGTCTAACGGCAACGAGCACGACGATTCTGGACCGAGCGTTACACAGCAGCAGCGGAGAGCCGCTTTTCGTCTGCTGCATAAGATCAATGACACCTGCAGCCATCCGTTCTGAAGCTGCACCATTGAATATTTGAGCACAGACACATGAGAGTTGTAAAATCTTAATTGATCCTGGAAGGTTGCGAGACTGGAACACTGCTTCTTCCAACTCCCTCTCGAGGCAATAAATCATCCCATAAACGCCGTCGCTGATGCTGAGACACTGACCAGATGCAGAACGAAACATCCTCTCCACGACCCACCGATCCTTAAGCCATGCGCCTCGATCGCTCGCCAGAATCGGACGGATTCCCGCCTGAATTGGCTCTTTGGCAGTGCAACAAGCGTCGCGATCCATTGGCAGCAAGGCCACCAACCTGACGGCCCGATCGATCCATGATGCACTTAATAACGCTTTCGAGGGGTTCATTCAGATATCGTGTGCTCGCCCAAGCCCAATAACATGCGCAAACCCAGAGTCGATGATGGTGGTCGAGCAAATCGAGTCACGGAACACCGTTTTGTACATTTGCTGATTCCGGAACTCCGTTTATTATGCCCATTTATGCAAGTCTTTGTCACTTAGCTCGTTATAAGTAGCGCCATAGGTGTAGTTCGTTGATCCGCTGGCAGAGTAGAACGAGGATACACTTCGGTGCTGAGACGGTTCATCAAGACGGTACTATCGTCTTGACGGATCCGATCCATCCCTATAGTGACCAGCCGGAAGGTGGTGTGAAGGTACCCTTGATTGTCTTGCAACCTCTGCGGTTGGGGAGAAGAACAGACTCGGCACGCTCGAGAAGGATCGGGGCAGCTTGCTCAGGTCAGCCATGTCGTGTCCAGACTGCGCCGCTGGGTTTTTCTTGAGGTCGGGAAGCGGGGTGTAGCTGGGGCCTGAGCCGCTTGCAGCAACCTTCTTCGAATTTCGGTTCATTGCCCATGAACTCATGAGTCTCCATGTGACAATCACAAGGACGATAAAACCAAGAGCCGCGCCGACGACGATGAAGACGAAGTTATCGGGTAGGCGCGATGATTGCATGTATGGGGCGCTTGCAATAGGAGGCACCGAAGGAGGGGGGTAGCTGAACACGCCAGTCAGGGTTGGGGCAGACTGGGAGCCGCTCGGTCGCTGTGAAGACTCGGCCATGGTGTCGGTTTATGCGTTGTCCCGTAGATTGCTGCAGTCGAGAGAGTAAAGTGTGGTACAGGTGGGTTGAAAAGATGTGGTTGAAAGGAGGTCAACTGACAGGGATTGTTACGCGACGCAGGAGGCTTAGATCTCTGGCTTGGCGAATCTAAGAATGGGTTGGCATAGCAGTCGCCCTGGGTCACCGAAGTTTCGCTACGGTGTTCCCTTCAAGTGGTTGCGCAATTCTCCAAATTCACTGCCTGCTACCAAAATTTCAGAGGCTACGTCGAATTCACCTACCGCCAGGCCACCTTCCCACCACGATCGATCTCGCCTGAACCACCATTATGGGTGTCCAGAAGAAAACGAGAAAATTTGCGACCGTCAAGCGCATCATCGGTAAGCGAGATGCTCGTCTGAAGGAGAATCAAGCCAAGGCTGAGGTCGTGGCCAAGAAGAAGGACGACGATGTGATCAGAGAAGTGTAAGCCGCCTTGCTCCAGAACAAGATACAGATGCTGACCAGTGGCAGACCGCAAATGTCCTCTGCTCTGTTCTTCCAATACAACACTGCCCTCGTTCCGCCGTACAATGTCTTAGTCGATACCAATTTCCTTTCCCACACCGTACAGAAAAAGCTAGAGATGCTCCCGACAATGATGGACTGCCTCTATGCAAAATGCATCCCTATCATCACCGACTGCGTAATGGCTGAGTTGGAGAAGCTGGGTCCCAAATATCGCATCGCTTTGCGTATTGCACGAGACGAGCGGTGGGAGCGGCTCAAGTGCGGGCATAAAGGCACCTACGCCGACGACTGCATTGTGGACCGGGTTATGCGACACAAGATCTACATCGTGGCTACGAATGACAGAGACCTCAAGAGACGAGTACGAAAAGTGCCTGGCGTCCCAATTATGTCCGTGGCAAGAGGAAAATACGCTATTGAACGTCTGCCAGACGCGCCAGAGAAGTGATCTTCGCACCTGGACCGTTGATCAAACACAACACAACGCAAAACTCTGGCGCGCACCACCAAAACAGGGTGATGCACTCATTTATCAATACAATCACCGAAAAGGTCCTTGATCCTTCAATATCAGGATTGTCCACCCCGAAGGTAATACCAGCCGCTCGAAATGATCCACAGCACAATGGCACTGGCGATGCCGCTTATCATGCACATCCCAGCAATCACTCTGCTCCGATTCTGAAAAGCCTGGTCCATTTCCGATCTGGCAAGCTTGCGCTGGTGAGAGTGGTAGTAGCCATGGGCGTCATGATTGGGTCCCAAGATGCTGCTGTACGTCTTCCGATCGACTAGCAGCAGAGAGAGGAGGAAAGAAACGAAGAGGACTGGTCCTACGACCATCCTGGAGAAGAGGCTTTCGGGAACGCGGGCGGCAGCGGCGGCACTGTCAGGACTCGGAGGCTTTGATGCTGACATGATGGCGACCAGTACGGACAAGTCTCGGAGTGTTGATCGGTGTGGCGATGCTGTTGGCTTGTCGTAGTCAAAGGGTTAGGGTACTTGCAGGTCTGAAGCATTCGCTTGAGCAGCGCAAAACGCGGTTGCGAGTATGTCCCTCTGTATGATCGAAGAGCTGGCGGCTTTTGTGGCAAGCCGGGCTTTCATGTCCAAAGCGCTCGGCGGCAGGCCACCGGTGTAGTTATAGGTAATGTTTATGCCTACTCAGGGGCCACACTCAGTTCTTGCGGTATCAGAATGAATTCTCTAAATAGCAGGACGGACGATCCGGGGCTTTGCGGAAAAGCTCAGCCTTGACCAACGACGTCAATTTCGCTGCCTGAGCTTGGCGGTTCGTTCACTGCCTCATGCGCGCGAAGCCGCAAGTCGCCCACGTCGGATCCGTCAGCGATTGGCGGGCTTCGCTGCTCCATCATTTTTCCTCTCGTCTATTTTACGTTCACGATCTAGCATGTCTGCCGCAGTCCTGCTGCATTGCGCGCCTAACGCCAGATCCTCCTTCCAGAGATATGCGACACACGGCTCAACCCGCCCTCGAATTCGCAATCTCGAGCACTAGGATGTCGGTGGCCCCCACTCCAGCTAACTCGTCCATCGCCGTCGCAATCACTTTGCGTTCTACCATGCTGCTGACAGCCACCCAGCCATCCTCTTCCAGCGCGTTCACCGTGGGCGCCCGCTTGCCTGGAGTGATCTTGCTAGCCTCTTGCAGTTTCGAGCGGGGAATATTATACTGACACAGCACGTAGCGCTGCGCTGTTATCACACCGCGTATGCGGGCCGCAATCATGTTGACGAGCTTCTCGTTGGAGACCTTGCGGGATTTGATGAGTACGGCGGAGGATTCAACGACGGTGTCGATGGCCTTGAGGCCCGCGGCGCGCATTGTTTCGCCGGACTCGACCAGGTCGACGATACCATCGGCGACTCCGAGCGCACAGGCAGCTTCGACGCTTCCGCCGACGAATTTGATCTTGGTTTGGAGTTTGGGGATGGGCGAGGCGGCGCCGTTGATGGACTCCTTGCGGCTACCTTTGCCCTCCAAGCGTGCGAAGTAGTCTTCTGCTAGGCCGGTGAAAGAGGTGACAATGTTCTTGCCAACGAGGTCCTGGACGTTCTGTAGGCTGCCTTTCTCAGGGATTTGAACCTGCAATTTGCATTTGCCGAAGCCGAGATCCATCACCTGCTCAACGCCAGAGACCTCGCCGAGAGGGAGGTGCGCGTCGTGCTCAGCAACTTGGTCCACGCCGGTGATCCCCAGGTCGACACGACCTTCGCCTACGAAGGTGGGGATATCGGCAGCGGGCAGGAAGATGAGAGCGATGGGGTGATTCTTCACCAGAGCGATGTCTAGACGTGTTTCGCGGCGGAATTGAATATCAGATCCGGAGAGAAGGTCCAGGGTTGCGGCTTGGAGGCGGCCCTTCTTGGGCACCGCAAAGAGGAGGCGGTCAGACAGGTGGTTGACGAGATCCATGACAGGCGTTGTGTAGCTTGACAGAAGTATAGACAGGGTACAGTGCTTTCAGATGCCTCGGCACCGTTCCAGAAGCTCAATCTATAGCAAGAGCTCGATATGCTCAGTAGAATGGTTGCAGCGAAGTCGGATGTGGGGTATTAGCAAACTATGGCGGGATCTGTTCCCTCGTGCTGAGCACCAGGCCCGTGATTGGGCTCTGTCGGGCGATAACCAAATTCCTGGCGGGACAATTGACCTGCTGATTATCAGTGTGAATCTCAATTTTGTCTTCTTTGAGAGTGACTCACCTTGAGGAAGCTGGTTCCGGAAGCTCGTCGGCCAGAAATTTTGGGCTTGCTATACTTGGCATCGGAATTAGGTGTCGTAAATTCCGGTCACTCTTGGCGATTTCCAGCCCACAGTCATTTGAATCCGCCGGCTTTTGTTCGAGATCCTGCAACTCAACTGCGACCCACGAACCCGATCTCTCTCGCAGCTGCGCATCCTCAATACCTCCCCCGTTAAGCACCACACATACCAGTCGCCCAACATGGATGCGGGAAAGGTTCCTGTCAAGCTCGTGAAGGTCACCAGAGTCCTCGGCCGTACCGGTACGCGCAGCCAACAAGACATTGAAAAATCACGACACTAACAAGTTGATGCAGGCTCACGAGGTGGTGTTACCCAAGTCAGAGTCGAATTCATGGACGACACCAGCCGAAGCATTATCCGCAACGTCAAGGGTCCAGGTATGTCAAGGAGAGAAACAGATCCGATATCGAGGGCGCCCGCGTGGCTAACAGTGTGCTGCAGTCAAGGTCGATGACATTCTCTGCCTACTCGAATCTGAACGCGAAGCCAGGAGACTGCGATAAACAGAGAACGGTGGAGATGCGTCTGAGCTTGTAGGAATTGCGAACGGTGAATTGAGAGAGGCAACATCGCGGAAGTGATTTGAAAAGAGCGATCTCCTCTTACGGGCGATGGATAGAGCAGCCCGCTTTCGACATGAGCTACGCGGATATGGTCAAAGAGGGCGTTGTCCCGCAAAGGCGAGAAATATAGGTGCATTGTGGTCGCCTAGGCTTGCAAAGGTTGCGCCCACATGCCTGCTGCAATCAAGTATTTGAGAAGGGTAAATTTCTGTCCTCTTCTCATCCTCACTTCTTCTTCAGCTGTGGTAGATCCGTCAAGGTCCGGGGTTGCTCCTCATCTTTAGCGAGGGAATGTCAAGGCCTGGCTAGTCTTCGGTATATGGCCGTCCAGTTACATGCTTTCGAGGAAACTCATGTCGTGATTAGATCCGTCCGGTCAGGACAGCACTGCTCGTGAGTGGCGGCCAGGTAACGTGCACTTGGCCATTGTGTAATTTGCTGGACGTTAGATTCTACAAGCCCCTCTGTCTTCAGCCTTGCAGTTCCCTGCAAAGCCGGGAAAGTCTTGGCGCATTCGCCTCTGCTTTGGAGGCAACAACGACCACGTACTCTACCTTGCTAGCTCATATCTGGCCTACAAAGTCGTGCCTTTTGTACATTGATGGAAAGATCTTCTGTAACCTCTCAACTACAATTGCTACATTTTCACAGCGCTTTACTCTGGTTCGTCATCAGAACTCTTACTGGCAGCACGACCGATAATCTGGGGGCCGGCTTTGCACTCCGCTGTTTATCAATGCTCGTAGGCCACGACATTGTTATGCAATAGAGAATCTTCGGAGCCACAGAAATGGCCGCAGCACCTCCAGCAGATCCAGTCCGCGAGTACCAGCTCATCGAGAAACTCGAGCTGCGGATAGCGGGTGCCAAGAACGATGAGCAATTCGAGGACATCATCCAGAAGTTCCTTCCAGCATTAATCCTCAAGCTGGCCTCGGAAACCGAACGCAATCGCAATCTGACCATCAAAGTCTGCCAGTATGTCAATCAGCGGCTCAAGATCAGCCAATCGATACAAGTCCCACTTCCAGGCTTGTTCAAGAACCTTCAAAGTACGGAGAGCGCTTTCGTTCGGAGGTTCAGCCTGGTCTTCATTCAGCAAGGTCTTGGAAGAGTGAGACCCGCAGATGCTCCTACTATCCTCCAGGAGGTCTTGAAGTTCGCGGTACCCGAGACACCCACTGTCGATGCCACAACGCAAAAGCTGTGGTCAATTGCATTTGACTTTCTCTTGGACGGACTTCGGCAATGGAAAGCCCCAGAACGTCGCAGCAAGGAAGATGTGGCCTTGAAGGAGAAGTTAGACCTATCGTCGCCACAGTGTGACATCCTCGCCTCACATATTTCTCGATTTTTACTTTACGATCCGAAGCTGTCAAGTACAGTGCAAGGTCTGCACGACGACTTCAAGGTAGTCTTCGAGAAACAGTACCGCCAGAGAACGAGCGTCGTCCCTCCACTCGCTGACTTCCTCTTCACTGCAGTTTTCGGCGACAGCCAGAGACTGATTCCGGCTACTATCATGACTGTAGACGCCAATGCCGCAGCATCCAGCAAAGCCGATGTAATGTTCAAGCAGTGCAACTTTGACTTAGAGTCAGAATCTTCTGTCGAGACCTTGTTCGATCTATACGACCGGTCGAAACCTAAATTGCAGACCAGGATATTATCATTACTATCAAGAAGTCAGAAGTCGACCGAAAGTACGGGAAGGATCCTCGCGCTGGTGAACAAGCAGCTGTCCTCGCCCGATACCGGCCTTGAAGCATCAAAGCTACGTGCTGCTATCTTCTCGTACCTTTCGTGGGCAGTTCGAATCAGCTCTAGCATGGGTGAGGTTGCCGAGAAAATACAAGTCCTGCTAAAAGATTACGTCGAACTACAAGGTTGGCCAACGCCCCAAGATCGATCCCCTGCAGAGTCAGAGCTTCGTGCCAAAGCTTACGAGAGCATTGGTCTGCTCGCAAGCGTTAAATCGCCTAATTCTCAGAAACCGCAACAACCCAACATGAATCTAATTACGTGGCTCTTTACCAGCCTGAGATGTGACGAAACCCGGGATATCCGGGGCAGTATCGAAGAAGCGCTTAGCCGCATTATGAACATTGTACCTACGGAGGATGGAAAGTTCGCACCTGCGCTCATAGAGCTACTCCTTTGGAATGTCCGCGCAGAGCCAGGCGACGAAGATCCCACATACTATTTCCCGACTGTGCACAGCACACGCTATACTGCTGTCCGCTTCGCAAACAAATGCTTGTCGTTCTCAGACACTACTGCACGACTTATTGACGTCCTGGCTGTTGGACTTGCGGACCGCAAAGAACTCGCTGATGAGGGTGAACGAGGTCTTGATCCCTACTGGCACATTTCCAACCAGAACTTGGCTCGGAATCTTGCCCCCACCGACAAGCTCGACTATCCCTCGTTCACAAGTCTAGCAGATCGCTTCTTCAACAGTGCTGATAGTCAGCATCTGCTGTCAAACAAATCATCGTTGAGCACAGCCATAATTTTCTGCCGCAATATCTTGGTCAGCGAGGCATTGCAGCAGACCTCAAACCAGCTTGATGACTCCGCTGAATGGAAGAGCCAGATCGACGGGTTGATACTCAATAGTGCTAGTGCCCGTACTTCCATAAGGGACCGACTTGATCGGCTCCCAGAACCGGCTCTTGCACAATTCCTGCAGCTCGCTGTTCAGAGCACGGGATCGAAATCCGAACAGCATGCCGAGGTTGCACTCCAACTCTTGTCCCTTTGCAAAAATTCCGTGCTCAGCCTCCTGAGGTCAGGTGGAATGGTTCATCTGCGCGAGGAACTCCTGCAGACCGATACCCAGCGTCGCGCAGCTCGAGCCTTGGGTATTTTTGAATCTTTGAATGACACCGCATCCGGCCAGGTCATTTCATATCTTGACCAATGCTCTGAATGGGAATCGGCCATTGGAAGTGGTGCGGTTAAAGTGAGAGGCAGCTTACTAGCAGCCACATTCATTGCTACACGGTCTAGCCTCCGACAGTCAGCCGACATGCAAGTGGTTGTCACTAGGATTACGAGCTTGCTGACAAGCATGATTCTCCAATCGTCTGATTTATCTATCAAAAACACCGCGATCGCATGTCTGGGCCAAATTGCGTTATGTACTAAGCCGGAGAAAGAGCTACCGCTTGCGCCGCCTGATGTGGTAGAAGCTCTAATGAAAGAATGCAAGAAGCAAAATGGGCAAGCTATCCTCGCCATGGGTCGTCTCGTTGGGTTCAAGGCTGGTTCAGAGGGCGATGAAGCCACCCATGGCCTTCTGGACCGCCTATTCACACTCTATGAGGTGAAGCAGGCGGAATTCCACTTTGCACTTGGGGAGGCTCTTTCCGTGGCTGTTACTGGCTTTCAGTCGTCAGCAACCATGAACGAGTTCGATGTGCGAGCCGAATTACCACCGTGGGGCTTTCATCCGAAGTTGCAAGAGTACCTTATGGAGGCATTGATTGAAAAATGCCAAACGACAAAGCCTACATTAAGAAAGGCTGCCGCAATATGGCTGCTCAGCATGGTCCAATATTGTGGAGATGTAAGTGCCGTACAATCTCGGCTCCGACAGTGTCAAGCCGCTTTCGCTAGGCTACTTACAGACCGTGACGAGATTGTTCAAGAAGCCGGTTCCCGTGGCCTAGGCATTGTGTATGAGAAGGGTGATAAGGGCCTTCGAGACGACCTCGTGCGCGACTTAGTCCATTCTTTTACCGGTTCCGGAGCGAAAATGTCAGGAACTGTCAACGAGGATACCCAGTTATTTGAGGCTGGGACTCTGCCTACCGAGCGGGGTGAATCTGTCACGACTTACAAGGACATCGTTAGCTTGGCTACTGAGATGGGAGATCCAAGCTTGGTCTACAAGTTCATGAATCTGGCTTCCAACAACGCCATATGGTCTAGTCGTGCAGCCTTTGGCAAATTCGGCCTGAGCAGCGTTCTGGCAGACTCGACGTACCTTGCAGAAAACAAGAAGTTCTATCCGAAACTCTTTCGATATAGGTTCGATCCCAATCCAAACGTCCAGCGGTCGATGAATGAGATTTGGCGAGCGCTTGTAAAGGATCCTGCGGCTGTCGTCGACCAGAATTTCGGCCTGATCATGGACGACCTTCTCAAAAGTGTACTGTCCGGCAAAGAGTGGCGAGCTCGAGAAGCAAGTTGTGCAGCTATCAGTGACCTGGTGTCGGGCAGAGATATTGAGAAGCTTGAAGGATACCTTGATGAGATTTGGAAAGTTGCCTTCAAAGTTCTGGATGATGTGAAAGAAAGCGTCCGGGTAGCTGCCATGAAGCTTTGCCGTACACTAACGAACATGCTTGTTCGGAATCTGGAGGTTGGACAGGGAGACACGAAACGCGCCACGACGTTGCTGAACCATGCGATGCCCTTTCTTCTGCAGCAGATGGCGGGAGCTGCTGGAGCTCAGGAAGTGCAGCAGTATGCCACCGTCACTCTGCTCGAGGTTGTCAAAAAGAGTCCGCCAAAGTCTCTGCAGCCATTCGCTCCTGTGATTCTGGAAACACTTGTTAACTCTCTTAGCTCCCTCGAGCACGAGAGCATCAATTATCTGCATCTCAACGCAGACAAGTACGGGATGACGGCGGAGAAGCTCGACAAGATGAGAGTGTCGAGTGTAAATGCTTCACCAGTCACTGAGGCGATAGACCGATGCCTAGAGAGTTTGACAGCAACCAAGTCGGTAGAAGCAAACAGCGACGATGCTATGGAGGGAGTGGAGTCGACCGCGAAGGCGCCGATGGATGACGCGATGCAGCGCCTGGAGAGTTGTTTCAAGACTGCCATCGGGCTCCCCTCACGTGTTGGACTCAGCAGAGTTATGGTGACACTCGTTGTGCGTCACCCAAGTGCTTTTCGGCCCTTCGCAGATCGGTTCGCTCGGCTTCATCGCAAACATATCATCGACCGGAATGCTACCATCAGCGTGGCTTTCAGTACGTCACTTGGTTACTTGATGCGGCTGGCTTCCGAGAAGGAGATCCATGCCACCAGCAAATACGCTCAAAAGCTGTTCTTTGAGTCACAGGACTTGACTCACCGCGCAGTGGCAGGAGAGATCCTTCAGTCGATCTCAAAGACTTCGAATGATGTCTTCCTCAACTTCGGCTCGACGTTCCTTCCATTTGCGTTCATTGGACGTAACGATACCGATGAGCAGGTCCGAGAACGGTTCGATCCACCGTGGAAGGATAACATTGGGGGCTCTCGTGCGGCTCAACTCTACCTAAAGGAAATCTCGGATTTGATTATGCTCCACATCAAGTCGCCACTATGGCCAATTCGACATGCGTGTTGCTTTTCCGTGGCCGCATTGGTCACCTCACTAGCCTCACATGGCCAGAACGGTGAAGCTGAAGCGGCGCTTGTGTGGCCGCTAGTGCAGGAAGCGCTTAACGGCAAGACATGGGAGGGCAAGGAGAGGGTCGTCTCGGCCTTCCCGAAGTTTGTGGAGAGCGTCCCAAGTCTATGGACTGATCCAAGCGCGAGCGACCAGATGGTGAAGATTGCGCTACGAGAAGCGAAGCGACAAAACGAAACCTACCGACCCCATGCTATCCAAGCGCTCGGGGAGTTCGCAAAATCTCGACGGGATTTGAATCTATCCGAGCAGGTTGTACCTTGGCTAGTCGACTTGGTGGAGGAGTTGGCAAATGACGATGCGATGGAGATCGACGGTGAGAAAGACAGTGACAGACGGACCAGGTAAGACTTATCCGAATCGTCTCCGAATCTGACCCTAACGCAGCGAGCAGGAGCAAGACAATGGATCGAACACTAGAGGCCGTTGGGTTATGCCTGTTTGAGGTTCTGAGCCCACGTGGCAAAGCTGATGTTCTAGGCCAAGCTGGTGCAGTGGTGAACCGGCTCCATGCACAGAAAAGTCCGGCTCTGGACACGGCGCTATGCCAGCAAGCGACCTCATTTTTCATGAGGGTGGTGAAAGAAATCGAAGAAAACGAAGAAAATCAGAGGCGAGGTTGTGAAGGAACGAATCAAAATGGCGCATACGAAATAGGGGCAGGCTCCGGCCTTGAGGCTTTTTCGGAGCAGCTCATCTTGGCGTTGCTGAGCCACTTTGACCATGCGTCTGCGCCCGAATCCGCGCGCCAGGCACGAGTTGAACTCGGTTCGGTCTTGGCCGGATCCCCCACTTTGACCACCGCACAGTCCCGCGGCAGGCTGGCTCCGATCCTGGACAGCTGGCTTCAGACTGAGCGTTCGAGGCCGTTACGAGACGACATGGCCAAAGCGGTGGAGATGCTCAAGCGTGCGGAAACGGGGGTCTAATTTGCATCTGGTGGAACCGCGTGGCGTGATCATGGTGCAGCTTTGGCTGTAAGGCTGTAGAAGTGCGAATTGCAGACGGTGGGAGACCATTTCCGTCCGAAGTCCTGTTGGCTGACGAGCAACCACCCCCTCATGTTGTGTATCCTTGCATGGCACGTCCAGTCGTATCTCGAGGGGCGATCTTCCGATGACGGGCAAGATTCAACCCTAGCTGCGGATCATGGGCCCCATGTCCACACTTGCTGTTTCTACTTTCCGTATTGAGAGAGCTTAGGCCCGGCCTAGAGGCCTTGTCTGACAGGGGTACCATGACACCCAAATCGCCAACAAGGTACTGTACATTGCATAGCGGTGACCCGGCAAATCTCGAGCCTGATCTTCGCCAGAAACCATCTGCTCGGTAGCGAACCGAGTCGGCAGGCCCGAGTTTGATTTTTCGGTGTCGACTCGCACCCAACGACCTGTTTTCGCTCGAGTAATGAGAATGAGGGTGGGGGAGGGAGGGGTGACGGGTGTGGCTTGAAGTGCCTCAGGCATCCTGGCCGGCGGGCGCCACGAAGCCTCGTCCAAATGCCGCAGTGGTCGCTCATTGGCCAGACCGGATCTTTATCGGCCCGGTTCTGCCCACGGATCGGAAAAACTTTTCGTGTCAGCTCCTCTAGCCGCCCCTTGACTCGCCTGGCGTCGGCCAACCCAGACTCAGGCTCAGCATTGTCGAACCATGCCGATCTGAATACACCTTGACCCGCGGGCTGTCAGTATCGCCCGTTCCCATGATCACACAGTAGTCAAAAGACTGATCCAAAAGCCGCCGCCGCTAGCTCCACTGATGCTCATGCAGGCCTGCAAGCCTGCAAGCCTGCCGGAATCGTGCGAGTCTTGACCCAAAATGAACCACCAGGGTCTCTCCCTTCTTGTAGGTATATCGACTGCAATGTATCCTTGGTCTATCCATATTCTAGCCTCCCCATCAATTACCGCTCCCTTCCCAAATTTTTCTGCTCCCCCCCACAGGTCCGATCTATATCTCTGGGTCTGCGCTTCGGCAGATACTACCAACGATAGCCTCCGCCACATGGCTGGGCTAATGCACTGTGACATGTGCTTATGAACCATTGGACTCCCTTTTCTCAAGCCTCCCTCACTTTCTCCGACTCATGTCCGCAACGCTTGTAATGCAAGAAGAAAAACGAGGTGAAGCCTCGAAAAAAGGACCAGTGCGACTCCCCATCATTGCGCCCAAGGACGACCTTTCATCCTCGGCCAGTTCCAGTCGGAGTGGGCAGCCTAGCATCCCGCCCCGCGCTCGTTTACCGCCAAGGTCACGCACCGGATGTTGGACTTGTCGCACACGAAAGGTAAAGTGCGACGAAGGACGACCCGTTTGTGGGCAATGCTCTCGGCTTGGACATGTCTGTGACTACAGTCCTCGTCTATCTTTTCGAGATGACACTCCGAGGGTGGTTGAGCGCATGGCAGAGGTGTCCATAGTGGGGAGCTCCATATGGGATTGTCAGTATGTCTCTTCAGAGTCTGGTTGCTGGCTGACGACTTACAGCCCACTCACCCGCTCCCACCGAAACGAGTCAGGGATCGGTACCCGATGATCTGCCTCCTTTCGCAAAGCTAATCAACGACGAAGAAAGGGAGAGGAAGGCCGAACGCAGCTCACCCGGCACATACCATGTTTTGGTCAATCCCAACAGTTTTGCACATCTACCCGAATATAGCGACGACATGGACATGCGACGTGAAAAAACATCACCTTTGCGTCGACCTTCCATCGCAGCAAGCCTTGCTAGTTCCCTAGGACGAGACAGCGAAGTTGTTTCACTACCCCACGACCCAAATATCGTTGTGCTGCCACGCTTCGAGGATGTAGTCCGCAGGGTTACTTCGCGCGAACAGCCGCCAAGCCCTACACTCACTCGTATCAAGACGGAAGACGAGGGAGACGCCGAAGATCGATATATGAAACAATTCAAGCACGTGGTGTGGAAGCATTTGGTGCCAGCAGAACTGGGTGTGGTTGATGGGCTGGACAAATCAAGCGCGCTGCTTTTCGAGCGCGAAGCAAGGTTCTTCCCACCAGTGAGTCCACCGCTTGTTGCTTTGAATATTGCTGACAAAACTAGCTTCAACATGCCATCAAAGCAGTCGCTGCTTTCAGCTTCGCAACTGACCGAGACCGCGTCGAAGCCCTGCAGCATTATCAGGCAGCTGTGTCTGTCCTGAAAGATACGTTGAAGAGCACGGAAGATCTCGCTTCTGACGGCTCCTTCCTAACGCATTTCCTACTCATCATTCATGAAGTATGTTTATTTCTCCTTTCAATCATCCATTGCTGACAACCTCCAGATTGTTACCGCCGAAGATTCGCATTGGCGACAGCATCTTTCCACACTTATTCAAATATCCGGATTACGACGCAGCATCTTTGGCACTGAACGATACCCCTTCATTATTTGGTGGCTTTGTATGATCGACATGGAAGCGATATTCGCTGGTGCAAGTTCAGGCGATCTGGTTGGCAGTCTTTTCAGAAGCGACATGATTCCCCATCCCAGCTATCACCTGTACCCATTGGGAATGGATGGCTCAAGCATCGTCTACGGCAACGAGCTCGATGCTCTACCAGTCATCCTGCAACTGGATTTTGAAGTCACAATTCTAGCCGTTCGCCTGGCTCTGCTCTCCAAAGAATTTCGCGAACCTGGAGGCGGCTCACCGCACCGTCAAGTCCAGGTCTACGAGCTCCAGGAGTCGTTGCGCGAGCTCTGGGCAACACCCTCGGTGGTGCTCATCGCGCAAAACACCGACCACCTCCCAGTCCGTCCCAAGCGCCTGTTCGAGCACGCCCAAACCCTCTACCGCGCCTGCATCATCTACTCCCACACGTCCATGTGGTCGACGCAACGTCTCGAAACCCCACCCGAATACGACACGGAAATCTCAGTCGCCGCCAACCAGATTCTCGCCGCCACGTCACGGTTATTGGACCAGGGCCTCGCGGATGCCCGCTTCCTGATCTTCCCCACCTTCATGGCGGGATTCGCGTGCCACGACGGCGGGCAGAAGATCCTCGCCCTGGAATTGCTGGAGCGTATGGCGCAGAACAGCATCGGGAGGAACACGGCGGCTACGCGACGAGCGCTGGAGCGCGTCTATCACAGGCAGAACGAGCGCTTCATGTCCACGGGCCAGAGTCTGGATGTCGATTGGCTGAATGTCATCCGTGAAGAGAATATCATGATCGTTAATTTCGGTCTTTGATCAGGATGGTTGCAAGTGAGTACTGACCGGTGAAGAAGGTCCGCCCGGCCGGATTTCAGATTTCAGATTTCAGCAATCCCAGCACTTAACTTAAGGAAGTAGGCTCGAGAAGAGCTCAGGAAAATACCCCGCTTGAACGCAATGCAGTAGTTTTTGTAGCGAGCAATCTGGGTTAGTCGAACCAGTCTCGAAGCAATCACATCACGTAACGAACCATAATGCAGACTATACCATCGGTCAACAACACGTGGTCACTATTTCCCTTGAAACCAACATTCCGCTTGAGTCGACATGCAGTCCTAGCAGCTGCTCGCCTCTCTTGCCTTTGCATCGCAGCGAGGAACAATTGTGTACCACCACGCCCCGTAAACGCCTCCGTCCTAATCACCACAGCATGCCCCACTGACTCCTCTGCGAACCCAATAATGATCTATATCGCGCAATGTCCCCCTTGCCCCCTAATTCTTAAGCCTTCCAGCGCTCAAAATCTCGGGCTCTACACACTTTTTGTGGCGTTCCCCCCGCCCCTCTCCCTCTTCCAGCCACAAAACCCAAAAAATCCCCTTTTCCCCCAAAGAGAACAGTGAAAACATATTTGGAACACATCTACCCGGGCAGAATGTTATGTACAGTATTAGCATAGCCTTCCCAGCTCCGAGTTCCGAACCTACGGGTCATGCCCCCCACCCACCCGACAAAGTCAACTTCTCCTCTAACTATTCCGTGCACTCCGAGAGAGAGACACAGAGGGACACAGCGAGAGAGAGAGAGAGAGCGGTGTGTACACTGCGGTGATGGCAATGATCCAATAGGGGCTGGGTAACCCCGGATTACTGAACCTTATGCAGATGCGCATCGCGCAACGATCTTTTTGCATCGGTGTGTACGTGTGAGAGAGAAACACTCTCCCTGGTCTAACTAAGCACGCGAGATGGAGATGGACGAATCTCAGGGGCCTGGCGTTGGCGCACGGTAGCCGGTACATGCAACGGACCAGGGAAGCGTGGCCCCGATCTGGTTATGGGGATTGGGGATGGGGGCGGGCAGAGCATCGTGTTTCTCTTGCGGGCTTTGCAAATGGTGGTTTTTTGCGTCTGTTAGGAGGACCTGACAGGGAGGATTTGGGGAAAGAGTCCGATGAAGTGACGTTGTTAGGTTTGTTGCTTGTTGGCTGCCGGTGTGTGTCGCTTTGCTACAGTATGCTTTTGGGAAGCGTTTTTACGTATCTCGCTGGAAGGCATGGGAGCAGGCTCCCTTTCTTCGGTGGCGAACGTGTCGAGAGGACAAGGCAGGGCCCCTTCCCTGCTCTACCGGCCGTTGGTGACACTATAGGTTGCCGGAAAAGATCTGGGATCGGAAAGTGTCTACGAATTGAAGACTCATGTATGTTGGGGAGTTATATTTCCCGTGTAGCCGCCGGATTTCAAAGCCGTGTATCCGACAAGGGAGAAGAGTTCGCCGCACACATACAGGCTGGAGAAAAGAGCCGCCTTGCGAAAGACTCCCCGAAACTTCCAGCGGCAGGTTGCGAACGGACCCTGCCGGGACTGCTCATACACAATACGCTGGAAGCAACCGCCTGGATTTCCTGAACCCCCCGGGTGTCAGCCGGCCGGCAGTCGGCGCGGGGCCAATCAGGCGCCGGGCGGCTCCCCTTTCGACAGACTTTCGTCTTCTCATAGACATCGTTAAACCCTCTTAGCCTGGCTTTCTCGTGAGCATATACGGGAGCACGGCACTTCCGGCCAAGGGGGGTCCTTCAAGTTTCCATGAAGCCGCCACGTATCCTCGACTTGGCATCTCCGATGAGAAAGCGGCTTTCGAATTCCGCAAAAAGGAATTGCAAGAAAACGCGGTCTTGGTGGGAATTGCCCATGAAACATTTCGAGCGAGGAAGTACCAAGACAAGTTCCGTTCTCGCCGCGATGGCCCGAGGCTCCCAGGCCACACACGCCCCACCATTATTTGCTGGGCAGCTTACCTGACAGGGATACATCGGCGCTGAAAGCCATCTGCACAAAGCCCGTTCGAGACCTCTCGGCTGGAACAAGGGCCAGGGAAAGGGGGCCTTTGGGTGCTGTATGTGGTGTGAGGGGTTTTCCTGCCCCGAGGGGAGAATTTTTGTGCGGTCGATCGATTCTACAAGACATACGAACTCACGCGAAGGCGGTGTGGTGCGGAAAAGGAAAGGTAGGCGAGAAAGCCACATCGCGGGCCAGGCTGGCCTGTGTCAGGGGTGGCGTAAGCGAGGCTCTGGACCGGGCGGTGGCTTTGCCCTGGGCCAGGAGAAGAATCGAGCGACTATGGCTGTGTGTAACAGCAAGTTTATATTTTACTCTGGCTTTCTTGGCACATGCCTTCGGGCATTTGGTCAATTTGAAACGATACAGAGAAGATTAGCATGGCCCCTGCACTAAGGATGACACGCTCAATCAAAGAGAAGCTCCAAGTTTTTTTGCTCCTTTTGCAGTTCTTTTGCGTTTTGGTGGTTCGATTATGATACCTGATATCTTTTTGGTCTCTGTGAAACCCGTTGACGAGCCTCTTCGATGATTTTCGTGTGCGGAGTGGACGCTAGAGCTGGGCGCCAAGCGTTGTCATGCCGTAGTCAACTTCGTCTCGCGCACCTTGGCCAATGTTCTCTTTCATCAAAGCAGCCTTCGAGTGCGAGTCGATCGTTGCATTGCAACCCTGGGATGAATGAGCCTCTTTTGGGGTTCTGTGCTAAAGCCCCATGTCCTGCAAGGCCGCTCACTGCCAAGGCCCCAAGGACCTCAACTTCCACCCAGAGCACGGGAACGATATCCTTGTCGAGCAGACTCTTGTGATTGCTGTGGTTGTATGCTACAGCCTATCTGTGCTTCTGTCCAGATTCAATTGCACGGACGCTGTGTCAATGCAAGGCATGTCGCTGATGTAGACTTGAGCTATGGTATGCACCAGCAGTATCGTTCCCCAAATAGTCCGCCAGAGCCCACCACGCAGCTACCGGCCCCATATTTGTACCGGCGAGAGCCGTGCTCCATCTGGGCGTAGTGTAGATGCAAGGGAGATGATGAGTGCTGCATCGGGCAGGTCGGTGGCGTGATAGTACATCGTCCAAAGTATGACGAGCCGCGCTCTCTCCCGTCAGGTGGCTTAGTCGCCAGCAATAGTCCTTTCTATCCTTCGAATGCCAGCAAAAGCGCTTTCGCGATCTGGTGTCGCCATTGGCAAAGGTTCTGGCTCCCACCACCACGGCAGGTAGCCTATCTTGCGGTATCTGGTTGGAAGAATATAAATGTTGAACACGTGTAGCATTTCCAGAGATGGGACGCACGCAGAGCTGTGCAGCATGAGTTTGGTCTCATACCGGTTCCAGCCTCCATAGACCAGACAGGCCCTACTATGAAGCGTCTCAGCAATTATATCTTCCTGTGTTAGTTAGTCTCTAGTCGTAGGTTGATCAGGCAGTGAATGCACAAAAGCGGGGCGGTAGAACCCCGGCCGCGGACAAGATTTCCGCCCGCGACATCGAACTTTTTGAACCGCAACGCTTGCGGGCTGCGAACTCACTCGTGACCTTACTTCATCTTACTTGCTCATGCAAACGAACTCAGTGCGATCCCTCGCAATAGCGCGCAGCGATATTACAGACGCTAGACCCTCGCACCTCCTGGCGAGAGAGCTATCAGAGCGATCGCACCACCTCCCACGCGCACGCTCAATACCAGACTTGCGACACCCCGACCTCTGACCCTGCAACCCTCGAACCCTTCTCGACCACCACCCGCTAGTCCCCAAAATGGCGCACCTCACCCCTCCCCACCCCCACCAGACGCACACCACCACGCGCCTCACCCACGCGGAAGCCCACGACTTCCTCTCCTCCTTCCTCACCCTCGCCGACACCAACGCCGCCTACCGCCCGGACAGCACCCTCACGGACCACGGCCCCGTCTCAGCCTCCGCCGGCGCCGGCACGAACCTCACGCTCTCGAACCTGCGCCGCGTCTGCTACGGCATGGAAGGCAAGCGCGTCGGCATATCGCTCTCAACCTCCGCAGCAGCCGAAGGTGACGCCGCGGACGAGAAGCAGACGCAAAGGCCAACGAAACGAGCGCGTCGGGAGGTCGAGATGGACGCTGACGGGGAGGTGGTGCTGGAAGAGGAAGGTGGCGCCGAGGGCCAATGGCAAGACAAAGACGATTTCGAGCTGGAGCAAGAAGACGTGGTGCAACCGGTGGCGGAGGCGGAGGCGGAACAGCCGCAAGTTGGGGATGGGAATGGAGAGGTGGTGCCGGAGGCTGAGGTTGGGAGTGGGGCGGTGAAGACGACGACGACGATGCTGAGCAAGGCGGAGAAGGAGGCGAGGAAGGCGGCCAAGAAGGCGAGGAATAAGGATGAGTTAAGGAGGGAGGGGGGAAATAGGAGTAAGAAGAGGAAAGATGGTTGAATATCTAGGGGTGGGGGAACTCATGGGAGAATTTCGCCTTTTCGTCACGGTCGAGTATGGCGGATGGGACAGGTCGCGACTCTCAGGGTGGCAGTACAAGAGGACCGTCGATGGGAGAAGCCCACATGGAGGTACAGCAACGAGCATCGACGAGCGAGTGTGCCATGTACCAAGTATTGGGGTATGCAATTCCAACGCCATTGTCTACGATGGCGGCAATTTAGCCTACCATTCCGACGGTTGACCGGGATGTCTATTTCAACAAAACAACATACTCGTACACTCCACCGGTCGCCGCACTACAGCTCGCGGTCCTTCGCGGTCAACACCTCAGGCTCCTCCTCCGCGACCTTGCTCTCGCTCACCCACCCGAGTCCCTTCAACCGCTCCGCCAGAATCGGGTGGCTATAGTGATAGCTCGCGTACATCCAGTCCGCGTCCATGGTGCTCAGGTTCTGCACCTGCAGCTTGATCAGACTCCGCGCCAATTCCTTTTTGTACCCCAGGTCGAGCGCAAATTTGTCAGCCTCGAATTCGAATTTGCGGGAGAGGATGTTCATGAGCAGTTTGACAACGGCATCCATTGGCGCAAGAGCGTCGGAGAATAGGATGAAGCCGATGATGATGGGCCGCTGCGTGTGGAAACCAAAGGCATTGTACAGAGAAGCGTTGTTGATGAAGACTGAGAATAGGGCGAAGATGTAGAGCATGTGAGCCTGCAAAAGTTAGTAATCGGAAAGGAGAGGAGCGAACGGCGTACCTGAGCGATGCCGAGCAATTTCGTGGTGTGGGACAAAGACCAATGGCCAAGCTCATGGCCCAGCACTGCAATAACTTCCTCCGGCTCAGACTTCGCAATCAGTGTGTCGTAGATGACGATGTGCTTCTTCCAGGGCAGACCGAAGAAATAGGCGTTGCTGTGAGCGGAGCGCTTGCTTCCATCAATGACGTACAGGGAATCCAGCGGGAATTGGAGACGCTGCGCCAGTGCCTCAACGCCAGACTTCAGTTCACCAGGCTCTAGAGGCGAAAGCTTGTTGAATAGCGGCAGGATGAAGATCGGGTAGATGGTAATGGCGAAGACCTGCACCACAATGCTGAACAGCCACAGGTAGTAGAAGAACTGAGTTCCAGTGACCTGAATGATCTTCAAGAATGCGCTCAGTAGCGGGGTTCCCAGCACGACCATCAACGCCTGGCTCTTCAACATGTCTGAAATCCACAGCTTGACCGTCTGCTTGTTGAATCCGAACTTCTCCTCCAGGACAAAAGTACTGTAGTATGATGGCGGGAGCGCCAGAATTTGCGAGATAACATTGAAGGTTAGGAAAAAGAGTACCGAGTGTGAGATCTCCCCAGAGAAGCGTGCGGGAAGGTACCGTGCGAGCCAGAAGCCAGTGAGAGACCATATCTTGGGAAGGACATCGTATTGAATGAAGAGGAAGTTCTGAATCTGCGAGTAGAGGCCGGAGATCAAGCCGAACTTGGATTTGGCGCGACCGTATGCCTGTCACAATCAGTACACACCACGAAGCAGACTCGGGTCTACGTACCTGAGACTTGTCGTACGTTTCCTGCGAGATCTCTTCCTGAAGCGCTTTGGGGGGTTTGGTCTGTTGCAGTACCCTATATTGCCGCAGAGAAAGCAGTCCCTCGAGCGCAAATTGACCGATAGAGAAACCTAATATCAGCTTCTTCCAAGGAAAACCTGGTCGGTCAAGGAACTCCGCGAGGCGCTGTAGATGCCATGTCAGATTCGTTACAACGGCGGACGAGGGGTGCAGCTTACCCGGGGAAAGTCTCCCAGCATCTGCAGCAAGGAAGCCATCTTTGACCACAGTACTACAGTCCGATGTCTTATCCGGGTGAATAGGAATGAAGACAGCAAAAGAAGACAGATGGTGCAAACAGCGAAACCCCGGATGCGCGAAGGACAGCGCGGTGCACCGCGCGGCGGCTTTGGCTCTGGTTCGGCGCCCGGAGAAACATTTGCCGAATCTTGAAATTCGGCGATCATGAGCTTGCCTTGACGACGGCAATATCGACTTCTGAGCACTTCACGGCATCTCAACGTTTCGACTCACAAAATCCTTCATCTCAATCGCAGACATGTGTCGCATCTGTGGCCGTGTCGTCAAATGCATCTTCGATAGCATGCCTTCGCGCGTGCATCGTGTTCCGAACCGGAGGTATGCCTTTGCCCCAATACCTCCTTTGGCCTCTCACTGACATTCGTAGGACTTTTACAACAGTCAGCAACATCTCCTCCAGACCGACGACGGCGCGATCAGCTACATCTTCGTTAGGCGCCGCCTTCTCGAAGCTCGCAGTTTCCACACCCGCTACCACGAGTACGCGACCAACGATGGCACCCTCACTTCTGACATCCGCCTTTACGGACCAACCATCAGTAGCACGGACGTTCTCGACGACAGCTCCTGTACTAGGCAAGCGTCGACAGATGGATACATACAGCCCCTCACGGAAAGTACAGAAGCGGCGGCATGGCTTCCTTGCTCGACTACGGACAAAGAATGGACAGAAAACGCTGACGAATCGAAGACTACGAGGGCGGAAAGCATTGAGTTGGTAAACGTGTCGAATATGTATAAATAAATGAATATCATCGTGGTCCCTGAGATGAAAGGCCACAGCTCGGACGATACGTATGTCTTATGGACACTGATCTGTGTGTATACAGCTCTATTCTGACTGTGCATACTTTTCCGGTCGACGGGTATCGTTTTCTTGATGCATATCGTGGTCCTGTGATCCGTGAACCTTTGTCTTCCAATCATGCACTGATCTCGGCATCACCGGACTTCACTTCGCCTCTCAGATGAGTGAAACTCCTGGCCTCCATTTGCGGCTCGGCCACAATCTTGCTCGCCTCGGTCTGCATTGGTTCCATGCCCCAACGCTCGAACATTGCCTTGTCCTCATCCCAGCCATTGCAGTCAGTGGTCAACATCTTCTCGCCGGTGAAGATGGCATTGGCTCCAGCCATGAAGCACATCATCTGCTCACTTTCGGGCATGGTCACGCGACCTGCGGCTAGCCGAATGATGGTCGCTGGCATGACCAGACGAGCCGTGGCAATGCAGCGGACGAGATCTTCCAGCTTGGTAGGCTCCTCGCCGAACATGGGCGTGCCTTTGATGGGAACAAGTTTGTTGACGGGGAAAGACTCGGGATGACCCGGGAGGGTTGCGAGAGTATGAATCAAACCAACGTGATCGGTTTTGGGAGTCTCTCCAAGACCGAGAATGCCGCCACTACAGACGTGGATGCCGGCTTCACGTACGTTCTCAATGGTCTGTAAGCGCTCGTCGTAGCTTCGGGTGCTGATGATTTTGGGGTAATGTTCTCTCGAGGTATCGAGATTGTGGTTGTAAGCGGTCAGGCCAGCTTCTTTGAGCATCTGAGCTTGCTCCTTGTCGACCATACCAAGCGTAACACATGCCTCCATACCGAGAGAACGTACTCCCTTGACCATGTCGACAATGTTCTTCATGCCTCTTGACCGTCCCCGCATGTCTCTCCAGGCAGCGCCCATGCAGAAGCGGTTGGAACCATTTGCTTTAGCCACCTTCGCGGCTTCCATGACAGACTCAACAGTGGACAATTTGGTGGCTTGCAGGCCGGTCTTGTAGCGCGATGATTGTGCACAGTAAGAGCAGTCTTCGGTACAGCCGCCAGTCTTGATGTTCATGAGAGTGCATAGTTGGACAGCAGAAGGTTTGTGGAAGCGTCGGTGCACGGTACCCTGTTATCGATCAGTCATAAGGTCCGACGAGCGGGTAGGGAACCATACAGCAGCAAAAGCAAGCTCCATCAACGGAGTCTGATGTATCTGGGAGATCTCTTCCTTCGTCCAGTTGTGTCGAGGGCCGGTGGCAGCTACGGCGTCGTCAAAGACAGATGTGCTACGCGGGGCAGCTGGGGGAGCGGCATCGGTGAAGCTGCCTGCAGGACGAGGTACGTCCCGGACAGTACTGTAGGTCCGAAGGGTTAAAAGCTGGCGGGGACCCTGCCGGGTCACCACCCGGCCTAGTGCAACTTCCATCGCGGGTGTAGTGAAAGTTGAGGTGTAGTGAATGTTAGAGAAGGAGGTACTTGATATGTGAGCCCGGACCAAAGTGTTGGATGTGGGGGGTTTTTCGGTAAGACTCAACACCGCGAGCTCGATTGGCGGGGCGGGGCGGCAGGGGCGCTTGACAGGAACAGGTAAGGCTCCACTCCGGCGGGTTACAGGGGGGAGGCGGTCTTTGCTCCTACGACTGCAACGAAACAGAAGTATTTTTGAGTGACTCATCTGAAGACGCCTTAATCTAAGAACAGATCTTCGAAGCTCGGCTTCCGACATAAAGATGTGAGACGTCGATGCTGCGTCTGCGAAACAGACGCCCTCACGACCCCGCCGTAGGCTTCTGCTATCACGATGCACATCCAACCTGCCACGTTTGCAGATGTTAGCGAACTGGCCACACTATCTGCCGCGGCCATGGCCCTCGATGAATGCATTGGACTGCACGGGTTCTTGTGTCCATATGGGCACGCCTATCCGCTGTCTCGTCGTGAAGGCTTTCTCCGCCGTGTCAAGGGCCGCTTCTATCAAGGAGGAGTGACAATGTTCAATATGGTGACTGATACCTTCGATCCTGACTATGATGGCACCTCACGCATCATCGGTCACATTGGCATGTCTTCCACCCTCACCGATCCCAACGCAGAATCACTGGATGACCGTATCTGGAACGCTCTCAACCTTCGCCTTCACAGAGCTGAGGACTTCGTCCGCTGGTATATAGGATCCGACCACTCAACATCAAACGCCAACGTGCGTGCGTTTCTTGCCACACAGAAGACCATCGACCCAGCCGACTATCTCGATCCGAAAGGCCGCCACTACCACTTTTGCGAGTACCTGGTGGTCAGCCCCGACCACCAGCGAAGGGGAATAGGAAAGGCGCTCGTGGAGTTCGCGCAGGCGAGAGCGAGAGCCGAGCGTGTTCCCATACTGCTGACGTCAAGTGTAGCAGGCGTGAGGTTCTACGAGTCTTGTGGGTTCAGAGAAGTCGCAAAGCTTCCGTTCGCCGAAGGCAGCGGTATTGAGGATCCACTGATGTTGTGGGAGCCAGAGGGGCTCGAGAAGGATGCAATTTCAAATGGCTGAAAGACGGCCGCGAAAAGGGGAGAGCATGAACGTCCAGCTCGCCTCTTAAAATATGTGTCTCGTTTACCGAACCGTCAACGCCGACTATCACCATTCCACGAGTCAGCCAGTCTTTCGATTTGAGCCGCTTAGCAACCGACGCATCACTCCAGCACCAAAGGGTCATCCTCCGTCCCCTCCCCTGCCCCAGGCGACCAAGCACTCCTAATACCGCCGCCACCACCCCGCGAAGAGGCATTGTCTCCGCCCACTGCAGATATCGCCCTCCACGCTTCCACCTTCTGCTTCCCTCGGTACGACAGCTTCCTGTTCACCTCTCGATTCGCCGCCTGCAACTGTGAGCCATCGCCCCAAACACTTCTCCGCGACGGCACATGAGAATTGCCGCTGTCGCTGGCGCTGCCGCCGCCATCGCCCATCCCGCCGCCATTGCAGCTATTCCCATGCGTCGCTTTGGTACCAGGAGCGCGCGCCTCATCGCGCTCAGCGCGTTCAGCCGCCGCCGCCAACTCGGTTGCTGTCATGGGCGTTTCCTGTACCATGTGGATGCACATCTGGCCTCCCAGTGTTCGATCGTGGGTACCGTGGTCCGTAAGTTTCTGTATGCTTTGGCTGATCACTTTTTGTGGCGGCGTGCACTTCATGGCCCCTCAATTCGGTCGGACAAGGGAATGCCATTACCATGCAGAGCAGGGGTTTGCGATGCTCCCTCGAAGAAGACATAAGCGGAAGATGGCGCGTAGATAATTGTATTCTTCAGGGCCGTTTGACGGGACGGGACGGGACTTTGGTAGGCCACGCCATCACGTCTGTGGCGAATACCGCGGTACTAATAGTTCGTCACGTCGAGTCAGACCCATCATGACACTCGCACTCGAAATGGCTTGTGGAAGCCACGCTGAGCTCGATATATCAAAGCTCTTGGTTTGGTATGAAGCCCAGCAGCCAAGGGCCGTGACTTATTATACTATAGGTAATCAGCCGTCAAACGAGTCTGTAATTATTGGTAATATGGTGACAGGCTTCCGGCGGTTGAGCTCGAATGCGACTCTAGCTGAGATGTATGCTGCCATGCGCCCTGTGAAGGGAGTGTCTGGTTGAGTGGTACTGCCTGCCTGGCGATCACGATATTTCAGGACATGTGGGCTTATAGAATGCTCATGGTAAGTTGTTGTTTCGACGCTGGAGGAAATTCTTAGCAGTCACGCTCGTAAGAACCAGTTATACTGGCGAGAGACCGGAGAAGTAGTGACTAGGATGTAATGATGTATTCTCATGTACAGTCTTCTTGGTTCTCCGAGGTATTATCATCGTCGCGAGACGGCGTGTTCTGCGCTGTGCTTTATGTGAGCAGGGTTGAGTCCTGACCGACTGATGTCCAACGCCGAACGCCCTGCAGTTCATTATCAACACGCACCCTCGTCAATTACGTAGGCGTGCCATACCCACGGCTTCTGCGTGGCCTTTGCTCATCTTGCACTTACGCCTTGACATGGCCATTCGCATGACCATTGCCGTTCGAAGTCTTCTCGAGCTTCCGAAATCGCACCGTGGCAGGCGCCATCGGTCTTGAGAACAAGCTCGAGTAGTCTGTATCAACCACGCCATTCTTGCCTGGCAAGTTCTCAAATCGCACAAGCCGCGCCATCATCGCCAGGACTGTGCCTAGCTGCACATACGCAAACTGTTCGCCGATGCACCGATGCCGACCTGCTCCGAAAGGTAGATACGGAGAGCTGGCACCTTTGCTGATCATGCCGTACCCGTAGTCCTCTAGCTCCTCTTTCTCGAGGCCGAGCTGGGTGTATGCGAGCGGATGGCCTTCATCCCAGCGGTGCGGTTCCCAAGTGAGGGCCGAGGGGAAGTAGGTCTCTTGACGTGAGGTGAACCCGGGAGCGGACATTAGTGTGTGGGTCTCAGGAATGTGATATTCCTTTGTTGAAGTAGGAGTTTCAGCGATAATGTTGAGGGGATTCTTGACTTTGCGCATGATGCTGTGGATCGGAGCGTGCAGACGAAGGGTCTCCTTAACGACTTTGGCATTCAGAGTGAGCTTCTGAACACTCTCGTAGGTGAGTGGTGGGAGATCGTCACCGAGGATGCGGCGTTGCTCCTCGAGCAGCTCTTCCTGGAGGTCGGGCCGTGTAGCGAGACGAAGCAGGATCCAAGACGAGGTGGAGGATGAGGAGTGCTGGCCAGCCATAAGTAGGGCGATCATCATGTGCGCAACCTCGTGGTCGGGAACTTTTGTGCCATCCTTGTAGCTGCAATCCATGAGGTTCCAGAGCATGTCTTCCTCGCCTTCGCGTTTGCCACCAGCGGCACGGCGCTCTTTGATGATGTCCATGTACAGGCTGGTCATTGTACGCTGAGCATGGTCCCGAGCGCGGTTCTGAGGTAGAGGGGCCCAGGAGAGCATAAAGTTAATGGGAGAAAAGCCCATGTCGAGGTCATGGTAGAGGTCGGCGAAGGAGGAGTCAAACTTGTCACGAACTTCTTGACCTTGCAGGGCGCGAGAAGCAGTATAGATGGTCAGCTCGGCCATGGCCTTGCTGATGTCGATGGTGCCAGATTGGCCACGGAAGAGCTTGTTGTGGGCGACAAAGTCGTTGACCTCAGCAGAAATGAGAGAAACATAGCTGCGGAAGGCTTCGGTTGTTAGGCCAAATTTGACCATCTTCTTCTGCTCCATAAGCTTTGCATTTGGACAATCGTAAATGACATCTACCGGGAATTAGCATGTTCTCTTCAGGACGGAGCTGGGGTATCGTACCGCTGCCAAAGACGGGAGTGGTGAGTGGGGAGTAGACTTCTTCCGCGTTGACATCCTTCAACTTGCCGTTCAGAATGAACTCGTTGCCCTTGGTACCCAAGCAGACGGTAATTTTTCTTCCGAGCAATTGAAATGTGAAGACATCTCCATATTTCTCGTAGCAGTCGAAGAAGAATTTGAACGGGTCCATGCCGTAGGTAACGGCGGAGCCCAGTACAGGGACAACATGGAAGACTTCGGGAGGCGCATGCTTGTCGTAGAAGAACAGCTGACGTATGATATTCACGAGAATGGACAGTATGATGAAGACGAAGCATCCCAACAGGACAACCTGCCAGAAGGGGAGGGACGCGGTAAACCGCTCCAGGGGTTCGAGGAGGGCGCTGAAGAGACCCATCGTCGTCGCTTGAGGGAGTGGTTGCGACTACAAAGGGACGATTAGGAATGATAGCAGTAGCGACTGTGAGAGCGGGAAACGGTAATAAGAAGCAGGCCACTCGTCCAGCTTAACGGTATGCGCAATGGCGGAACTTCATGATGCAGCAAAAATATTTGGCCCCAGGTACCCAAGCCCAGCGATTGGTCGAGCAGGTGGCGCGACGCGATTCCGTTCCTCGATCTTTCCGTCTCGAACCACCCTGCCACTTATGTAATCGCCAAGCTCGAGAGCCGCAGCCAACAAGTTGACCGCGAAGAACAGATCCAGAATCAGGCCATCACGGCAAACTCGCCTCTCTTACAATAGTATCCTTCGTAAAGCGTCTCTAATTCGGCATCTCGTACTCGCTCATGCTACCAGAATAATCCCATGTCAACGTCACCGCCGGTTTGGACTCGGCGGCGTTGACCCTATAGGCGAATCTATTCGTGGCGGACTCCTCGACTTTCGACCCGGGTGGGGAGATTCGCTAACCCTATGGCGATGAGATGAGGTTTGAGCCCGTGGGAGGAGATCGGGGATACTCACGAGCGCCGCCTTTCGCCCTCCTTTCGAAACCCTTCAATAACGCGGAACATCTCTTTTCGACCTTCTCTTGCGTCCACCCTTCTGCCACCTAGACTCATGCTGACTTTCTCGTTCGTATGTACCTGCAACAGCCTCTTGAGTAGTAGATGCCGCATGTTGAGGCACACAAATACTCCGCAGTCGGATGAATTCTCTTGTTGAGGGCTATCATGTAGCTGAATGAAACGGAGCGGTTTTCCAATGAGCATAGCCAACCTCCGGGTGATCACGGCGGCATCGAACTGATTGCCAGGAGGCAGTGAGTCGTAGTGAAATGCGACACCATCGACGATAGACACTAGGAGGAGCGACCAATGTGTACCTCCCTCTGCCTCATTAGGATTTTGGCAGTCGTTGATCGGCAAAAAGGCATGGGTGATGCCGTCGAAGCTCGGAAGCGCAGACTGCTTGGGTTTGCATCAACAAGCACACCGCGTTTCCCACGGCTCTTACCTTGATCGCGTTTATGTTCCGGTCAGGTGTAACGCCAATCATGAACGACATCGAAGGTCGCAACAGAATGATTTTGGAGTTCTTGTAGCTGGTCAAGAACTCCCGCTCAAGGTACCTGGCCAATCAGTCTTTGTATGTACCCGTCGAATGCGTATATTACTCCTCCCAGAATTGAATTACCTGATACGATCAGTTAGTCTGATGTGCACCGACCGAGTCTGACCTGAGCACTCACATTGTCGGTCAACCAATCATTCTTTAGCGAGCTTATATCTTCCTTGGTAACTTGTAGTTTGATCAGCATCGTGAAGCGTGGTATCGTGGTGGAGGTTACTGACGTCGCACATCGTAATCTGCGCCTGGGTCAGTCGGGTCGCGCATGGTGGGGAAATGCGACACTCACAGCTTAGCCAGGCGTCGTCAGGTGCAAGCTGGGGAGCATCCGTGTCAGTCTCAAGTTCCTGGGCTGTCATGATGGTAAGGCATGAGGTGAATGTGTGTGCTTGCAGGAGGATCGCATGCTTGCCGTGTTTGACGTTGGAAGGCGACACAACATGGCCAGTGGGCAGGGAGGGCATGTGGCCAGTGCCAACTTTCACGGAGATATCACCTACTCTTCCCAGATGTCTGCTCAGCCTGCTCAAATGTCCGCCGATATCAGGCATGTTTTCTTTGTCGACCACGGATCAGGAGGGATTCTCCGAGTCGTGCACCGTGCATAGTAAGGGTGCGGGGCGGAGATTCAACTCGCGGCAAACATGATGACGGAGCAAGCGAAGAAAGTCGATAGCAAACTGTACCTCGCTTTAGGCACGGAGGCTAGAGTGCAACAAGGCAGACCTGTCTCTCGTGGACGGAAGTGGGCAGCCCCACGCGATGCCGTCCTTAGTGTCGTCGCGAATGCGCCTCTCACATGGGCACCGCCTCATGTTCGTGACGCACGCGGGATGAATCAGCCTCATTCGCCAAGCTTCGTCAACAAGCCTCGGTAGAGAAGAGATGCGCTACAATTGACTACGGCCAAAAGTCTTTCGTTGACGTGTGTGCGCGCGCTGCGCGAGAGTATTCAATAGCGAAGGCTTTACACAAAATCTCAAGGAATGCTATTCTCGAGCGGCAGGCTCTACGCTCGACGCGATGCATATGCCTCTTTGCTAGAGTCTTCGCATTTTGTCACCCAGGCTTGCTGCAGACCTGAAGCGCTACTACATCCTGCACGCGGAGCAGGTCCAGTGCCACTGTTTGTCGACCAGCATTGTTGAATATTGCAGATGTTCACTCTGTGGGTAATTCGCCTGATTCGGGACCGGGTGCGTTCCCGGTCTTGTCGCTCCGGGTCTTCGGTTGGCGCCAATTCACCACATACTTCTTCCTTGACAAGCACAATCTCTATTTCAATACGCGATGTCTGTTGTTCTTTCTTGCTAAATGCTGACTGCGCTTACCGAGCCATCTGAGGCTAGCGTACAAGCTATCCGCCATTGTGTGAGTACTTATCAACAAGCCACCGGAGCTTAACCTTGGGCGAATAACGGGCAAAGGAAGCGTACAGGGCCCCTAACAAGCATCTGTTTGCTACACTCAGTCAAGTACCGAGCTCGCAAGCGATCTTCAACACTCACTCACTCAGTGGCAATGGCGCCAACCCTGTCCCTCCCCGCAACTCTCCCAAAGGAGGCTCCCTCGGCACCTTCAGATGAGCTTCAGTATGCGGATGTGGCTGTGACTGCAACCGCGAACGAGTTTGAAGGTATCTATCGGGGCAAGAAATACCATCCGACGGATATATATGGCATGCTTGACCGTGCCAAAAGTGCCAACGTACACAGAGTTCTACTGACAGGCATGTCTCTCCACGACGTTGAATTCAACTTGGCAATAGCGCAGGCCCGATCGGACCAGTGTGGCATGACTGTTGGGGTTCATCCATACCACGCCGCTCAGCCGGAGACAGAAGATGACTATCTGGAACGACTCGCCAATGCCGTTGATGGCCTGATACAACAGAAGCCAAGACTCATAAGAGCATTCGGTGAGTTGGGCCTTGACTATGACCGGCTAGATCATGCAGGCAAAGAGGTGCAGATTCGCACGTTCCGAGCCCAATTGGATCTGTTTGTGACGAGGAAGTGGGATCTGCCACTGTTCTTGCACTGCCGAGCCGCATTTGACGACTTTGTAGCCATTATCAGCCCATACATACCGAGTTTGCCTCGTATGGGTCTAGTCCATTCTTTTGTTGGAACGGTAGCTCAAATGCGCAAGCTGATTGAGCTGGGCTTCGACATCAGCGTCAACGGCTTCAGCTTCAAAAACTGGAGCAGTCTGGAGATGGTGAACAAGGTCCCACTGGAGAAGCTTCAACTGGAGACAGATGCTCCATGGGGTGAAGTGAGAGATGGCGACGAACTCTGGCGGCGCTACGGTGCTAATTTCAATGGAGTGGAAGCGAAGAGGAAGAAGAAGGATAAATGGGAGGAAGGGCATATGGTCAGAGACAGGAACGAGAGTTGCTGCGCTGCAAGAGTGGCCTTTGTGACCGCTGGCTGTCAGGGACGCAGCGTGGCAGAGATTGCGGGAGCAGCGTGGAGAAACAGCACGAAGATGTTCTGGTCTGACACCTGAACCAGCTTCGGGACGGACCACAATGCTCCAGCTGCTTCCAAAGGAATATCTCTGTGATGCCCAGGCACGGACCGCAGAAGGCTCACTGCGGACACTGTCGATCAGTGGTAGACTGTCACCTGCCTGTTCGAGAACCCAACTCCCTGATGGAGGCGGAAGCCCCTGATTAAGGCGGCGAGCTCTGCCCACTTGCATGCTCCCTGCAGGAGATTGTCGAACTTTCCTATTTTGTCTGAATGTCAATGCTGCTCGTGTGAGACTGGCTTCAACACGGAGGCGACGCTTGTCTCGTAATACCTGCTGGAGAGATTCGCGACAACATCGCTTGACAAGCGGAGTCCTACTGTACATTCATGATTCGAGGGTCGGAAAGGGGCAGACAGTGGATTGCCTCAACAATTGCAGTGCTTGCTCGTGCGAGTCTGCGGCATGGCGGGCCCACCCGGTAAAAAAGCTTCCATCAATCCTCAAATGCCGAAGATCCTGGTTTCTTCACCTTGTTCCCACGTGCTAATACTCCTGCATCAATCGTCTAGGATGATTGTGGCAAGTCATCCGTTCTTCGCTCGGCCGAGACACATCCACCGCTTCCGAGCGCGATGCAAGCCTGATGGCTACTTGCCTCGGCTATGAGCGTGAAATCAGGAGGCGTCGAAATTTTTTTCGCTTTGCCTTCCGCAGCAACGGCACCCGCGTCGACTTCACGAGAGGTTCATCAATATTCCAAACGAATCAGACCTCGTACACTTGTTACAAAGGAGCTGGAAACCCATATTCGCGCTGTCGTCGTGGCTGGAGCACGTCCAAGCCTGCGACTCAGTGTCATTATTGTCGTCCTTCTCGAAGCATCACGAAGTCAAATTTGCCGTTGTCGTTACCGACCTCCCAGGATATGCTGTTTCAACTACTAATAGCCGTGAACTTTGTTCGCCCCCAAAACGATAGTGGATCGACCGACTATCCTCCCCAGCATCTTAGCACACGCCACACCGTGCAGGGTTGAAGCTAAAATTCTTTCTCTACACTACATCCGTTTCGGACCAAGAGTCTCATGATTAAATGCTGCTGTTGGCCGACATCCGTCGATCAGAGTGCCCGACCTCCATGTTGCTGGGAGGTGGATCCGCATTGGCAGCCCTCAGCAATATCTGACCAACGGCAGCCTCCACCGTCGTTAGCATTCCACATACTTTTTGCGGCTGGACGGGTCTGCGGAGCAGAGCCGCTTCTCATGATGCTACATCCAAAAGGTCAGTCGACGGTGGCATTCTTGATCAATGGCATCTCTGCTTCTTTTCTGTGCTTCATTCACTTTTGCTTCACTAACCTCACGGAAACGTGAAAACGTCCAAACATGACCGTCCCAGTAGCAGGCAGAGGACCTCAGGTCGTTGGCGTTTACTCTCTATTTATTGCACTGACCACCTTGACCGCCGTCTTACGTGTGTACTGTCGCACCTTCATTATCAAGAAATTTGGAGTGGATGACTGGTTCGCGGTTTTTGGCTGGGTACGCCACCCGTTGATATGTCGCTGATTTGGGCTAACAGCGGTAGGCCATCTTTATACTCTTCTCAACCTTCGCGATCAAGGGCGTGCATCATGGTACCGGCCAACATGCGAAGAACATTATACCACCAACCGAAATCCCAGTCGGAATCAAGTGGTGGTGGCTCTGCGAGCCTGTATACGTATTGTCGAATATGTGCATCAAGGCGTCGATTGCCATCATGCTTCTTCGTCTAACTGTCATCCGCACGCACCGCATCATCATCTGGATCACCCTCACGGTCACCGAGCTCTACAGCGGCTTCTTCTTCTTCCTCTTCGTCTTCCAGTGTCGTCCTTCCTCGTATTTCTGGGAGCAGTACACCGGCGGCACCGGAAGCTGCATCGACCCTAGCATCACCATCAATGCGGTCTACGCCTATTCGGCCATCACTTGCGCCACCGACTGGACCTTCGCGATCCTGCCGTACTTTCTCGTATGGAAGCTGCAAATGAACTTCCGCACCAAGGCTGTCGTGGCCCTCATTCTCTCCATGGGTGCAATTGCCTCCACCGCCACCATCATCCGCATCCCCTACGTCCACACGCTCGGCGACGTTGAAGACTTTCTCTACGCCACCACCGACGTCGCCATCTGGTCCTGCGTCGAGACGGGTCTTGGTATCACAGCCGCCTGCCTCGCCACGCTACGGCCGCTCTTCCGCAGCTGGCTCGGCAACTCGAATCTCGGCTCCAGCCATGCTCGCCGCCAGGCTGGCAACCCCGGCGCCGCGGCGGGCCTCGAGGCTGGTGGCCGGAATAGGAATATGCGCAAAGGCCGCAGACGTGGCTCATCGACGGGACTGGAGGAGATGAATCTGGGGATCCGCAAGACCACGCGAGTGAGCGTCGACGAGTTCAAGCATTGGGACACAGTGGCGAAAGACGTGGAAGAGGATCGCGAGAGCAACAAGAGCGAGACGAGCCGGACGGATATCACGAGGGGGCTCACGCGGCCAGAGAGTGCTGTTTGTCCATGGGACTCTAGGAATGTGATGCCGGATGGGGAGAGGTCACGAGGCCTAAGTGAGGTGGGAAGTGCGTGGGCAGGAGGAAGGGTGCAACGGTAGGGGGCTGACATCATCAGCCGGCCTGTTTGGTAGACTCGATGACCCCACAAGACAGCTCTTGAAGGGTCTCGGCCTCAGCCTCAGCCTCAATCACGACGGATAAACCGGCCTATTTCGCTGAACAACCAGTGTCCCACGCAAGCGCAAAGAAGAAAAACAAAATCTTTTCTAGCGTCAGAATTATACACTTCACGGAGCATTTTTCGCAACTTCATAGTCCCGCCCCCCCTCTCCCTACTCAAGCCCCGCCCGCCCCCTTCCCTTCCCGCTCCACCGCCTCCGCCATCTCCCCCAACGTCGCAAACCTCCAATCCGCCACCACCTCCTCCCCCTCCTTCACATTTCCCATGACGGCCCCGGGCCTTTCGATCCACGCACTCCTCACCCCCGCCCTCTTCGCCGGCAAATGATCATGAAACTGGCTCTGCGCCGTCTGCAGCACCGCTTCTTTGCCCACCCCAAACTCGCGCTCCACGCTCTCCAGCATGTACGCGAAATTGCGCGCGTCCGGCTTGTAGCTGCCGATATCCTGCGCCGTGAGCACGAGGTCGAAGGGAACGCCCTCCAGGGGGCCGGAGTTGGTGAGGGAGAAGGACGCGCGGTCCACGTTGCTGAGGACCACGAGCTTGAAGCCCTGGTTGCGCAGCGAGCGTAGCGCCGACACGGTGTCGGGGAAGGCGGGCCAGGTGCCGACGCTGGCGCCGAAGGCGGCGCTGGCGGCGGGGGTGGGGGCCGGGAGGGAGAGGGACGCCAGGAGCGAGGGGTGCAGGGTCGTGAGGAGGGAGGTGTAGGGGAGGGAGGGGGTGGCGCGTTGTTGGGAAGCTTCGAAGTGGTGGTATTGCGTGAGGAGGTGCTGGCGCGTGAAGGTGTGGTTGGGTGGGAGGGAGGGGGCGAGGGCGGCGAGGACGCCAGTCTCCCAGTCTATGAGCGTGCCGTAGACGTCGAAGGTGAGGACTTTGAAGTCGGTGAGTTTGGCCATGGTGGAAGGGATTTGGCTGGTGGTTTGGTGGTCTGGTGGTCTGGTGGTTCGAGTTGTGTGGGTTTGAGAAGGCATCTTGGTGGGATGGTGCTGACTTTGCTGCAGCGGTTTTTGTTCGCGGGGCTCGTAGCAAGCAATGTACCACGCCTTTATATCGTTGACTAGGCGCTATCAGCAGTTACTTGGAATTCTATAATCATCCGTGTTCCAACCACTTCCGACTATAACCGCGTCTAGTCAGAGTGCTGTGCGCGTATAGGCCATTGTCTTCGGAGGGCGCATGGACGCCTTACAACTTAGGGGCTGCAGCCCCGCGCGACGGCTGGCCGCCGAGCCCAAGACCCGGTTGGCCAAGCGGTCAAGGGGGCCAAGCTTCTGGACCAACATCTCTGTTCTCTTGCAATTGCTCAAGTATGTTTCTCTATGGTGACAATATACCTAGAATTCCACAACGTACGGCATTGACTGATCTTAGATGCCGAAACGCAGCACCGTAATCTGACCGCATGTGTGAAATGCCACTACGATGCGTGAATAAGGGGCTCTAGGATAGACAATTATTGAGGAGGGCTCTGAGACTTACGACAGCTCATCAAGCATGTCGTTAAGTTATACAGCGATATGAACGCCTGTAGGTCTGCTGCCCTCCGAAGCGGCCTACAAGTACGATCTTAAAAACGCACGGGAATTCTACATTAATCATTCTTGCGGCCAAGTCGCTCATCTGAGCATATCATTTTCACTGGCCTTGATGATTTATCTGATCGCGCGTCAGCGCCCGAAGGCCTCCCCATGCCATCAAGACCGGACTTGCGCTCTGGTCGCTCATCTGCTCACAAAAACCCTCCCTTGTCATAACAGCGACCTCTCGCCTCATAAGGCCGATGGACCTGCCCAGTATTCTCCCTCCGCCGGCTCAAACCCCTCCGGTAGCTCCCATCCTTTCGGCACCAGCGTCTCGTCATTGGTGTTGGTGTTGGTGTTGGTATTGGTGCTGTTGTCGTTGTCGTTGTCGTCGCCGTAGGTATAGGCGTACACAGCAGCAGAACCACCAAGGAGAGCTGGGTCGATCACAGCTTCTTCGTCCTCGCCCTCCTTCTGCTTCTTCATCGGCGGCTCTTCTTGCTCGCCCTCTTCATCGTCGTCGTCATCGTCGCCATCGTCATCATTGTCATCGTCTTCGTCACCGTCGTCGTCGTCGTCGTCACGCTTGCGCTTCTGGCTGGTGGCAGGAGCCGGCGTAAGGACGACAGGAGGCACAACAGGCAAAGCCGGCGCGGCAGACACGACAGGCACGGCGGGCACAGCGAGCACAGCAGGCAACGCAGGAGCAGCTTGAGGTAGCTTGTCTACCTCGGCGACGGCACTAAACTGGCCGCGCCAGAGCTTGAACTCCCTCCAGCCACCGCGTACCATAAGGTCGCGGACGAGGATTGCCGGGGCGAAATTGGTGTTGGTGGTGGTGGCGGTGCTGCTGCTGTTGTCGATGACGATGAAGACGCCGCCATCCATGGGGTATCCGAGCTGGTTCCACTCGTCGGCTCTCAGGCCCAGCTCCGTCTGCAGGACGCTTCGCGAAATGAACTCGACATCGAGCTGCTGGCCGGTGGCCTTGAGGACGAAGCGGAAGCGGCTCTGCTGCTGCTCGGCATAGCCGTTCATCTTGCGGTTGAAGAGCAACTGCAGCATGGTGGCGGGGGTGCGGATGATGGGTGCCAGTGCGGCGCGCAGGACAGGGAACGAGCTGAGCTCGGGGCGGGTTTGGGTGCGGCCTCTCTTTGGAGGCATGGTGTACTGGTTGCGAAGAATAAAAGAGGAGAAAGGAGTGCCAGAAGGTGTCGTGGTGGTGTGCAGGGAGGAACAACAACGGAGTGGTGGTATGAAGTTGTGCTGTGATGGAAGGTGTAGTAGGCAGCGAGATCGAAATGACATGTGGTAGGTCAGGCAGGCAGACGCGTTGGGTTCAGTGAATAGTGAATGATAGTATGCACTCGACTGTCCTCTGCGTCATATGTGTGCTGTGAATGAGGTTGAACAGTACTTGTCTATTCACACCCTATTGCCTGCCAAGCATTGACGAGGCAGCTGCCAGTGTTCACCTCATATTCGTCCTTGGAGGTGACTGACCGCCTCGAGCCACCAAGAGAGGGCTCAATTCGAACTATCGCGTGACTCTGATGATGGGGAAAGCCTATATAAATCTGCATATCTCTAATAGGTGCTGGTAGCAGCTTACAGGCGGGCAGGCAAGATGGAAGGTTTCTGCCATACGTCCTCTGTCAACTAGAATGTGGGTGTTTACATGCAACTTGTAGCACTAGAAGTGTCACTGTAAAGGGTTGGTTGACCTCTGTCTGTATTGGCGTCTTCTTTGCGTTTCAACATCATCAGGCAACAAGGCAACTCCGCCCCCACACTACTACTATTAATTTTGACGTCCATTCGTAGAATACGAGGCCACTCGCCCCAATCGTGCCCAGCCATTGCTCAAGGGATGAATCGCAAATCAAACTGATCAAGTCCATGCAGCCCATACCTTCCCCTATCACGCCGCCGACCACTCTACAAATACCACCTCTTCATCACCTACACACCATGCATCATGTCCTGGCGCTACGCCAAACACATCCCCTTGACCAAAATGCTCCTCGGTACCGTCGTCCATGCGCACGCCGAGCGTCCCACTTAGCACATAGCCTGCATGCTGCTTTTGGCAGCTGTCGGTCCCGGCCTGGGCCTTGAGGTCGGCAGACCACCCTCCCCCGGGTTGGATGGCCACACGTTGAATGGTCGAGTTGTGGAGCGATGCGGACTGTAGGTTGACTCTTCCGAAGGATTTGGAGGGGGCGGCGGAGAGATTGTGCTTGATCAGGGGGGAGGTAGACATTGTGGAGGCTTGGAATGAGCGTTAGATGCTTTTTTGAGGGGTTCGAGCGCAGGTGCTGTTGTGGGCCTTGGGCAGAGAAGCTGGAGAATCTTATCGAACTAACGAGACGTCTTCGAATGTTGCATCCACGACGACCACGGCTCAAAGAAACGCTGCATTTCTTTGCATTCCGCTGTGATATATATGCCTTCCATTAGACGACCTCTCGATCGTACTGAGCTGAAAAGCGGGTTGAGCCATGGCGGATCCAAGCTCGGATTACGAGGCAAAGGTCCAATATGGCAGCCGAGATATTAGCAGTCTACACGAGGGGTTGACCAATAGCATATCTGCGGCCGGGTCTAGGCTTACGCCGCCGACGCAGAGGTGAAGGATGAAGTGCACGCCGCAGCAGTCGTAGACACGATCTCAGGATGGGAGCTTGACAGGCGGTCAAGACACAGCATAGAAGGATACCTGTTGGCTGTATCAGTCATGCAGGAGTAGGTCAAAGGAGGTATATGGGAGGAACAAACATGCCAAGCACAGTTTGGTGTGTTTGCATCCGGTTTGCTCCGCAGCTCCTCCGTGTACGCAGCTGAGTTGCGGGTAACTGAGATTCTGTCGCTACGTCTGCCTGACATGTTTATTATTCTCGCCTCTCTGTTACAGTAACCAAGTCAAATCTACAACCGATCAAAGCGACCACAATGGCGAAAATACGGCCCGTCACCGATATTCCCAGATTCCTTGTGCCACGTCTGTCGTGGGCTTCCGCCGCCTCCTTCAACTCTGCTTCCGGACCGTCTCTACGAGCGATCACGCAACGGGCTAACCTTGCGAAGGCCCGGCAACTCTCCACTGTCCGAGCTGTTCAGTCCGAAGACCCTGAATCCCATCAATATCGATCTCGCAATGCCGCACTTGCGCAATCTAAACGGACACGTTCACAACCACTGGCCACTGGAAATGCTCCCATACGGCACAATGGGGTCTACGTAGCCTCATATCGGGGCGCAAGGCGAGCATTCTCGTCTACAACAGTGCAGCAAAAGGACCACCATTTCGACACTCTCAAGTTTGTCCAGCGACTAAAAGGCGAAGGATTTTCCGAAGATCAGGCTGTGGCCATGATGCGCGTGTTGAACGATGTCATAGAAGAGTCAATCCAGAACCTCACTCGTACGATGGTGCTCAAGGAAGATGCGGAGCGCAGTACATATACCCAAAAAGTCGACTTCGCCAAACTCCGCAGCGAGCTTTCCAACGCCGACAGCACCGAAGCGCAGCTGACGCGCTCGAGCCACGAGAGACTATCCAGTGATCTCGCGAAGCTCAACTCACGCTTACGAGACGAAATCGGCAGAACTCAGGCAAGCGTGCGCTTGGATTTGAACTTGGAGAAGGGCAGAATCCGAGAAGAGGCAAATACCCAAGAGATGCGCATCAAGGAGACAGAGGCACGCATCGAGCAAGAGGTGGCCAGCCTTCGAGAGCGGATCGAAGCTGTGAAATTCTCAACAGTGCAGTGGTTGATGGGTGTGTGCACCGGCACGGCAGCGCTTATTCTTGGTGCCTGGCGTCTCCTGATGTAGGACGCTGAATCGCTCTACTCGACTATACGACCTGGACCTCAACTCACGTGCTTCATCAGCAATAACCAGCAATGCTCCATGGGCGCCATCTTGCACCTGCATCTGGTTTCCGGCTTTTCAGGTCGATTGGGTTTTGCTTGGCGGCAGTGCTGCAATATCGACGTCATGGACTAATTCTCAAGTCGCTAACGCGAAAGAGTATTTCGGCCGTTTTCAGATTGAATATATGCCGAGGCTGTCGGCACTAGGAAAAGCACTCATCCCCAAACTACTCGATTCGGTACGAAACGCCTGCCAGACCTACAACATGTCGGACACCAAGGTCAAGACATGGCTCTATACCACAGCCGGTTATCCACAGACTCTGAAGCTGAGCGAGAGCAATGTCCCTGCGCAGCCTTCTCCTCACCACATCCTCCTTCAGGTGAAGGCGACAGCACTCAACCCGGTCGATATCCAATTGATGAACGTTCCTCTGCACTCACTGCCCGGACTCAATGGCCCCAAAATCCCAGCCCGTGACTTCTCGGGCATCGTTCTCGCATCATCTCCAGAGAGCGGTTACCAGAAGGGAGAAGAGATCATGGGCATCAGCATGAACTACACCGGCACAGGCTTTCTGACAGAAGTATCCCATCTTGACACTAGGACGGCATGCATTATCAAGAAGCCCAACCATATGAGCTGGAATCAAGCTGCGAGCCTGCCATTGGTGTGGTTAACTGCCAGAACGTCAATCGACAAGTGCACGCCGTTCTTGTCCAAATCGAAGTCGTCGGACAATCGGCTGGTGGTATTGGGCGGAAGCTCAGGCACAGGTCTGTACACCGTCCGTCTCGCTCATGAGCGAGGCTGGAAAGTGCTATCGACGTGCTCCGGACGCAACGTCGACTTCGTCCAGGGTCTCGGCGCTGATGAAGTGGTCGATTACACCTCGGCGCCCGATGCGGTCACCTCTGCCGTTCGCAAGTTCCAACCGGATGCCATCATCGATTGTGTAGGTGGAACTGAGTGCATTGGATTGGCGCCGCAGTATGTGACGATTGTGGGCGACAAGACAAGCAGATCGTCCATGGGGGGGAGTGCGCTGTACTACACTCATCCACGCATGGTTTTGAGATGGGTTCTAGGCTACTTTGGTCTGATCAACTCGTATGAATGTATCGTACTCGAAGCCAAGCCAGAATGGCTCGAGGAGTCCACAAATCTCAAAGGCGAGAAGGAGATCATTGTTGACAGTGTCTTCGACCTGAATCGAGCAAACGAAGCTTACGAAAGACTCGATACCGGCAGAGCAAGAGGCAAGGTGGTCGTTGAAGTCGAGGCCTAGCAGGCAAACCTGCAGCTCAAGCGAAAATTCATATCTTGGAAGCCAGCCTTTTTCACATTTCTACTCACTGTGCGCCTGCCCTGATTCACATGCACCGTCACTCACTAGTGGTTCTCTCCTGGCCGCCGCATCATGCCCTCGCTGGTTCTCAATCACTACCGTGGCCAGGTCTTCAAGACTGCTTTGCCCCGTCTTTGGTGATGGCAACGCTGCGCAAGGCAAGGATGCCATGAATGTCACCGCAGCTAGCAGTCACTGTCGACCATCCCACGTGATACATGGCTGCCTGCGCCCTGCCACTTATTTCACTACAATGCGTTCCGCAACACAAAAGTTGTACTGCAGCCTGCAAACATACCCAGAAAGAAGACTACCCCAGCCTCCACCAGTTTGTGCAATGCCTTCCATCAACGACGTAGAGATTTCGGGAAAGGGCTCTGAGGGCGCTGCAGATCTCGTGTCTGAGCAGCTTGCAGCGACCGATATTGATGACTTGCCGCGCAGACAAGACAGAACGACGACCGACATGGTCTCCGTCAGCAGTACAGAGCTTGTATATCAACGACTTGCAGCGCTTCAGCTCTCTACGAATTGGGACAACCCGACCTTCGACTCTAGTGGTCTGATCCTCCTTTCGCCCGACATTAGTTTCGATCCGTCACCGAAACTTGACGATGGTCATCTGCCGAATGAGGGTCCATGTCTTTCTGGCCCTGTTCAGGGATACGCAACACGTCGAAGAAAATGTCAATACGTCAAGGCGCCGCATGTCACGCAGCGTCAGAAAACATTCCAACTCTTCCAGAATAAGTCGCGCGTTTTCCGTCGTGTCTCCGCGTACCGTCCCTCCACATCACACCCACTTTTCCCTCTCAGCACTTCTATTCCTTGTAAGAAGAATTGTCCCCTGCCTCTTTCTCCCACTGCCAACGCACGAAAACTCTACAGAGACATCCATCCGTTACCACCCCAAGCTTTCCACGTAGTTCTAGACACCCTCTCTCAACCCACCGAAAACCCATTGTTCGCTCGTCTACGAAAACTTTCCGCTGTGGCTGCTGTTGTGTATGTGTGGCGTGTGTCCGCACTTTGTCGTTCGCAGTCGCAGTCGCAGTCACATCCGCAAAAGCGAAAAGTTAAGCTCGAGCCTTTATCATAGCGCTGGTTGCCTTGCAGGATCGCTTACCCGCAATAGGTCTTGGGTGGGGTAGGGCGATACCACGACGCAAGTCGTACGAAGGACAAAGTCCGGCGGCCATATCGATTCAGACAGGAGGACCAGCAGATGGCGGAAAAGAGCAGGGCACCAGGGCCTTGATTTTTCCTGATCTCTTTCGCATTTACTGGGGGCTATTCTGATGATGTGACGTTGACGAGTGGAGAGAGGATCTCGGGGTAATTATGATTATTATGATTATGATTATTACTACTATTCAGCTCGTGAACGCGAACGAATACCCAAAGAAACCAGCATGACAAGCCGTAGCCAACCACATCACACTTCAACCCAAATGCAACAGAAAATCTAGGGGAAAACATAGTGTAAAAAAGGATCCCCGCCGGTCTCCTCACGTGCCCCCTTGCCGACGGGGCGCGCGCGTCCTGGACCCTGGCGAATTGTGATCGTAGCCTCCGCAGTCTTCGTGTGCTGTCCTGCGACGAGGGCGCTCATCGGCCGGGAGGTTGAAGTCTTAGTTGGCGGGGGTGCCGTGTCAGGCGGGATGGTTAGAGGGAACGACTGGGCCGTGAGCGGAAGGAATTAGGGGGCCTGTGTTTGGAAGGAGGGGATTAGTTGAGGTGTTTTGCTTGGCTTGGGGGGGGTAAAAGGGGAATAGGGCAGAGGAAGGTCGTACTTTGGTTTGTGTCGGTCGTAATCGCCGGACGATGCTCAGGAGGACTCGGAGTCGAAGCACAGGCAGGTGGTGCTGGCTGCCGGAGTGGAGCTTGTCGAGCTGTGCGTGGTGCTTATGGTGGTCCTCGTGGGTGTAGACGTGATGCTATGACTCGTGGTGCTGCTGGGAGTCAGGGTGTGTGACGTCGAGGAGGAAGTAGGATGAGTTGTCGTGGTGGTGCTGCGGGTCGTGGTATGTGATGTCGATGAGGAAGTGGGAAGAGTGGTCGTGGTGCTGCTGCGGGTCACGCTCGATGTTATTGTAGTAGTAGGGTGAATAGGCGTGCTGCTACTGTAAGTCGTGGTATGTGATGTCGAGGAGGAAGTAGGACGAGAGGTCGTGGTGCTGCTGCGGGTCGTGGTGTGTGATGTCGAGGAGGAAGTAGGATTAGAGGTCGTGGTGCTGCTGCTGGTCGTGGTGCTGCTGCTGGTCGTGGTGTGTGATGTCGAGGCGGAAGTGGCATGAGAGGTTGTAGTGCTGCTGGGAGTTGGAGTGAGTGACGTTGTTGTAGAAGTAGGGCGAACAGGTGTGGTACTGCTATGAGTCGTGGTAAGTGATGTTGTGGTGGAGGAAGCGCGAGTGCTCGTGGTGCTGCTCTGTATTGTGGTGTGTGATGTTGTAGTGGAAGCAGGGTGGCTTGTGGTGGTGCGCGAGCTACCTGTTGAGGTTCTGGTTGAGCTGGTCTGTACACTACTTGTCTGGAATTCGTTAGTCGATGAAGGGCTCGAGATGATTGATCTTACTGTGGTCAGGGGTACTGTAGTGCGCGACGTGGTTGATGACGTGGTTTTTGACACTGTAGTGGGTGACGTGGTTGTTGCGGCATTGCTGGTGGTGTGAGATGAAGTCTTCGTAGAGCTTGTAGTTGTGCCGCTGGAGGTGTGGGATGACGTCGTTGTGGAGGCTGTGGTTGTGCCGCTAGCGGTACGGGACGTAGTCTTCGTAGAGCCCGTAGTTGTGCCACTGGAGGTATGGGATGAAGTCTGTGTAGAGCTCGTCATTGTACCGCTAGAAGTGGGGGATGTAGTCTTTGTAGAGCCTGTGGTTGTGCCGCTTGGTGTATGGGTCGAGGTGCTCGTCCGGCTGGTAGTCGTGCTGCTAGACGTGTGGGTTGAAGTTCCTGTAGGATGTGTGGTTGTGCTGCTGGATGTGTGAGAGGAGGTCGTCGTAGATCCCGTGGTCGTACCACTCGATGTGCGCGTAGACGGACTCGTAGTTGTCCGGGTGCTGCTGACGCTGGATGTCTGGGTTGACCGACTCGTGGTGTGTAAACTGGAGGTGGTCGATGTAACGATTGGCTGAGATTTGGTGGTTGAAGCACTGGTAGTGGCAGTGGTTGAGCTGCAGCTACTGCCACACACGGTTACGGTTTTCGTTACTGTTACAACGGTCGGTGAACACGTTGCGCTCGTTGACATGCCTGTAGTGCGGATGGCTGAAGTCGACATTGTCGTGGAAGCAGTCGCGACATTCGGCGTTAGCTCTCTGCGGGACATCCTGGGCCCGTTAGCGCGGGGAGCTGCCCCTCCGTTATTGACCTCATTCCATAGCTCTGAAGCTCGTTCGCCTGAGTCCCCGAGCTCTTGTCGGACCTGATTTCTGAGGCCGGGGCGACACACACAGGTTGAAGCCAGCAATGACAAGATGGAGAGAATTTTGATTAGACCCATTTCGACTGGACTGTGGAAGGAGCAGTGGGATCCTCCAGAGACAGGGTTTGAGTAAGAAAAGACAAGAGAAAAGGAGATAAGACGAGAGCATCACGCCTGGCTTTTGAATAGTGGCCAGTAGAGGACAGCGCCTGCAAAGGCCAGAAGGGGGCAGCCATTCCGCTGCTGGCAGTCCATGGAGACAGAAAACTTTTGCCATAGTGGCATACATTAAAAAAGACTGCCATTGGATTTCCATACGCCTTGCACTGGATATCATCGAGCATTCATTGGTTGTGGGGGGGGGGGGGCATGTTTGGAAACAGTCCAGGTTGAATCACCTTCGCAGGGTCGAGGCAACCCAACAGAGGATGTCGATCATTGGGTCAGGCACCAGAAAAGGCCTGTGTGCTTCTCGGCTGAGACAAACCCCTGTTCGTGCGGATCTCGACCAAGAAGTAGCCGGCAGTCGGAAGCAGTAGACGAAGTCGCGTTTAAGGATGGCATCTCGCTGCCAAACTGTGCTGTTTGTGCCGAACAACTGACCATTCTGGCGCTAACACTGACTTTTGTCTCGTTAAGGGTCAGATAAGGCAAACCTACCTAAGAAGAATGAACTCTCGGATGTTATGAGTGTGGTGTCTGTTTTCCGAAGCTCAAGATAAAGTCCGCGCCAAGGCTGTAGCTTGGCATGCACGTCAGTGGAGCCGCGAGCTTCTGCCGCGCCGACGAACGACGTCAACTGCGCGTACCGTGCAAGTGTTCAGCGTACAGTATTTGAAGTTGGAGTGTCCACTCATTGAATTTTGGGTAGTCGAGATACCGATGGACTCGTATGTTATTGTTGTAAGAGGCTGATCATCCACTGACCATGCGCCAGCACAAGGAGCTCCCTTCGTCGCGATGCCTTCTCCAAGATCGCGGCGCTCGCGGTGCAACCCTCCACTCCCACGTCTGGACATGACGACCTTCGAAGATTGACTGAAGCGCTCCCAACCCTGCACCCGCAGTCCAATGGCTATCTGGATGGCGTTTTCCGTGCCATCGCCCCGACGTCCCGCGTGCCTATGAGCTTTCGAGAGCTGGACCTTCTCCTAGCCTTGTGCTCGAGCGCCTCTAAGATCAAGAAGGTGGAAGATGCGACAAAGCTCTCATCCCAGCTCGCAACTTATCTGCCGGAGGTACATACACAGCTGTTCTCACCCTCACCGTACCTACCGGATATAAAACCAACACCATGGACGGTCTTGACCACTCAGTTGACACTGGCAATACTCGTCCTTGGAAAGCGGTTTCCCGAAGTGAAGACGATCGTGTCGGACAGCATTCAGTTATACGTCAGTAATTGGACAGCCTCCGCCGGTGCTCTGGCTTCACAAAGCAGCGCTGCCGAAGACGATGAGGTGGAGCACGAGGCACAGGGCATTGCTGCTTTGACCGTATCCTTGGTAGGGTTCCTCGAAGCGGTTGCACAACATGAAGACTTTTGGGATCCATTCGAGCGCGTGCAGCTTATCCGAACAATCAAAGATGCCTTAACGGATGGATTTATGATCGCAGCCGAGAAAGCGACATCGGCAATTCGTCATTCAGCCTCCGACGGCCTTTCCACACGCAATTGGAAAAAGTACTTGAAACGTTATGCCGCAGCTGGCAATCCTATTGGTGCCATGCTCCTGCAGAAAGGCTTCATGCACCTGGTCTTGTCATGTACTGCGCGCTTCGTTGATGCTAACGCCGACGATGGCCACGTACGACTCGATCAGCACCTTCGAAAAGCGCATATGCACCGTAGCGAGGATTCAAGTATCACCGATGATATGATAGAATATATTGTCGAGCTCATCAGTGAGCAGATGCGGGTTCTCGAAGACGGCTCGGACTATCTGCAATTGAGTTCCTCCTGGCAGCAGAGGTTGGCATTCTCAGTCAAAGCGTACGCAATCGAAACATACATCCATTGTATGGTGCTGGAGGAGGACATTGCTGATGCCGAGGATCTCATCGGCTGGCTGGAAGACGCCATTTCAAACACAATACAGATGGCTGACGAGGACCTTGCTGCGGTTGCCCTCAGCGGCCTGGCTGTCGCAGCCAGGTACACGCCAGAATCGGCACCGAGTATAGCACGAACATTGCTACGTTTTATTGTTCGAGGAACCTCTGTGCCAAGAGCAGTAGCGCATGCATCTCAGAGCCTATCTCATGTCCTTCGCATGCTTTCACAAGATACAGTTATCACCACACTATACTCACTTGGCAATATCCTGAGCTCGCAACCAGGGGGGGATAAACTTCAACATCCACTGTCTCCATCACCCGATAACCATCAGCAAAACGGCTCGCTGGGGTCACGCGGAAAACGCCGAACCGCAAGTGTATTCTCTCTTTCTATGAGCGGCGATGAGGAAACCTCTGTCATTTGTGGCAACGTCGCGCACGCGATCGTGGTAGTTGCGACCAGCTGTAATGACAGCAGAGTCACAGCTCTTGCACAAACGGTAATGCTCCAAAAAATTGGCCGCATCAGTATTGTGGTTGATGCTCGCATCGTCGAAGAGAGCGCGGCTTTGGCCGTATATGGCAAAGAGAGCGAGTTCAGAGCACTGATGAGGCTTCATTCGCGACTTCATCAAGAAGCCGTCCAGCAGGACAATCAGGTCATTTTCGAGGCAGTACGGAAGGCCCGTCAGTATCTTGCTCTAAACCTGGACAGCCATTCTACTCTGCTCCGAATTTTTGCACAGCACCTTCTCGAACGCATTCTCAGCAAAGGTGATGTCGTCGAAGGCGAATTCAAGCATTCTGCAGAAGTAGAGCAGGCCGCAAATGAGATTGGCCCCCTTCTCAAACCTCTCTCGATTCTTGCGGTCCGGAGAGCTCCGTTAGGTGGTCCTGGATCGCTAGCCGAAGACAACGAGCTCTCGGCGATGGTTCGCGAAGCTTGGTTCAACATAGCCGTTCACGGAATCACCTTGCAGTCCCGTCTCGGCCAGCAATATTATCAGGAACTTCGACTGTTGGCGAAACATTCCCAGCCTTTGGCTGACCGAGACAGGCTGGAACTTTTGGAATCTGATGTGGAGTTGAACACAATCTTACGACGTGGAATGAGTCCCCAGCATACGGCCGACCAGAAACGTACCTTGGCGAGCATCGTGCCTGAAAAAGAATCTGAGGTTCGCGGCTTGTCCTATCAGAAAGTCGTATTTCTGAACGCGGTCTATCTTGTTGAGAGTCTGCGAGCAGTGTCCGGAGACTGTTCCGATGTTCTCCAATATTTCGCCGACCCAACATTGCTAACGAGTAATATGGGTCGATGCCTGACGACCATTGCCGACAGCATCGTGAAGCGGTACATTCAAAAGGTGATTCCTGGCCAAGAAGATGTCTTCAGCGCACCGTACGTGTCCCGACAGCTGGTCAAAATGTTCAGTGGATGTTGCCACTGGAGCAAGAAAATGCAAGAAGTTGCTCGTGCTGCAGCCGATCAAATCATCAACTCTGCCCCGTCGGCTCTTGTTCAGAAAGCGGCACTATTTGGACTACTCGAATTACTCACCCTTATGTGGTCTAGCTGCCTAGAGGAAGACATCGATGAGTATGAGTGGAGATCCACCTTCACGTCTCGCCGTGGTAAGATCACGGTGGAGCTCTCTGACGATTATCCCTTCAGGAAGGCCACGCTGAACCGGTTGTATGGCGATGCTCGAAGATGGGTCGAGACAGCGTTGGCGATTGCTCCACTTGACATTAAAGGACTGCTTCAAACGTATCTGTCAGAGTTTGACGACACCGGGGCGTACGGCCACGTATCGCTAGGCAGATCTTTTGCTTTGGAAATGGGCGCAGCCATACCACCCCTGGACCAGCGCCTCGGAGCTATTGACAGAAAGGGCGAAGCAGTGAGCATTAATGTCGCCTCGGACTTCATCGCGCAGTATACCACGCGACAGGAATACAGATTTGCTGGCATCCCTGAGCACGGCCGAGAAGATGTTAGAGCAGATATCATCGGTGTCCGAGATGGCGTTTCCTCCGCCAGCAGGTCGATTCTAGAAGTGACAAGGGATGCCGAAGAGCTACTTGGGAAGATTCGGTCTGGTGAGCAACAGCATCTGTCCGTCGCCGAATTCAGGGATGTGCTTCGCCGGGCTGCAGCTGTTCTGTGTACCAGTAAAAGATCACAGACTGCAATCGTTCATCATCTCGTGGCAATTCCATTCGAAATTTTCACCAAAGACTCGATCAAACTTGGCATATCTCTCTGGCTGGGTGTCATCCATGAGAATCCCAGAATGGAACCTCGAATTCTCACCGAAGTCGCCCAAGCATGGGAAAGAACCATCGACCGGAAGATCGGCATCTTCAACAGTACATTTGGCCATCTTGATCCCTTTTACGTCAAAGAGGAATTTGCTCCGAGTGATAAAGCGACCTTGCAGAGATATGTCCAGCTCGCACAGAACACAATCTCGCCTCATCTACGGATAGTTCAATTCTTTCAGAGCCACTTCAACGCGATCCGCCTTGGGAGCTCAAATACGCAGCGAACCTTCATCCGGATGATGGTTCGAACTCTCAGAGGCTTCTTGCATGTTCGAGGCCACCCCCTGTTGCGTGAAACACAGTTCCAAGTGGTTCTATTTGCTCTGCGCCTGCTAAGATTTAGCACCTGTTTCAGCAAGCTATCACTTTGGACATTCAAGGATACAGTCATATCTGTTGGCTTGCACTGGTTCAGATTGCCACCAGCCTGGTCCTATGGAGGTAATCGTCTGCAGATGAAAGCAGAAATCCAGATTATGCGCGGTGTACAGCATCTACTTCAGCAAACGCGTCACATCGGCAACACTACGTCGCCGAACCGTAAGGATCAATCTCCGAAGCTGCAGCTTTTTGAGCTTCTTCTCGATAATGAAATCACTCGCTTGAACGTGTGGCTGTCCCCACTAAAGAACGAAGGATCCCATCCCAACATCCAAGCGGCGGCGCAGACACAGGGCGCCGGCTTAGCGCGCACTGCTTGGACAGAAGATCCGGCTTTGGCAATTCAGCTGATGACAAGATTTGCCAACGAAGGCCTGCATCGCGATGTTAGGTTCTTGCTTCTGAACTTCCCCGACAAGGCGATCGGTGAGGCCAACGCCCTTGACTCATTGCTTGGGGACAAGTTACCGAACGATATATCTTTCCAGTTGAAATATCTGCTGTACTGGAGCCCTGTCAATCCGGTGCAGGCTGTCACTTATTTCATGCCCGCTTATGGCAATCATCCGTTCGTGCTGCAGTACGCGATGCGAGCACTTGAAAGCCATGCAGTGGATGTCACCTTCTTCTACGTGCCACAGATAGTTCAATGTCTACGATATGATGCTTTGGGTTACGTGGCAAGATATATCGTGGAGACGGGTAAGTCTTCTCAGCTCTTCGCCCATCAAATCATCTGGAACATCAAAGCGAATGCCTACAAAGACGATGATGCTACAATTCCGGATGCCATCAAGCCAACCCTGGATCAGGTTATGGACAGCCTGATTGCAAGCTTTACAGGCGAGGACAAGGCGTTCTACGAGCGTGAGTTCGCATTTTTTGGCGAGGTCACCGACATTTCTGGCAAGCTTAAGCCTTTCATCAAAAAGTCCAAACCTGAGAAGAAGGCAAAGATTGAGGAAGAGCTGCGCAAAATCAAGGTCGAAGTTGGAGTATACTTGCCTAGCAATCCGGATGGAGTTGTTGTCGGCATCGACCGTAAATCGGGGAAACCTCTGCAATCCCACGCAAAAGCGCCCTACATGGCGACGTTCCGAATCCGCAAGCAGCGACAAGATCTACCAGGCGATCCGCTACCAGCAATTGAGAGTCCAGTGAGACGCCCAGCGGAGCGTCCAGGCCATGAGCGTTCGGCGTCTACAATGTCGGCGCCAACAATTCAGGATCCTAATTCTTCTACTTACGAGATCTGGCAAAGTGCCATTTTCAAAGTGGGAGATGACTGCAGACAGGACATCCTTGCTTTGCAGATGATTGCTGCTTTTCGTGGTATCTTCAACTCCGTCGGACTTGATGTCTACGTGTTTCCCTACCGTGTCACTGCCACAGCACCTGGGTGCGGAGTAATCGATGTTCTCCCAAATTCTATCAGTCGAGATATGCTGGGTCGCGAGGCCGTCAATGGGCTGCATGACTACTTCATTACCAAGTACGGAGGCGAGCATTCCATACGCTATCAGGAGGCCCGCAGTGAATTTGTCAAGAGCATGGCAGCCTACTCTGTTATCAGCTACCTGATGCAATTCAAAGACCGTCACAACGGCAACATCATGGTTGATGATAAAGGTCATATTCTGCATATCGACTTTGGATTCTGCTTCGATATTTCCCCCGGAGGTGTTCGCTTCGAGAGAGCGCCGTTCAAATTGACCGAGGAAATGATGGCCGTGTTGGGTGGCGATGACAATTCGCAGTCATACCGTTGGTTCGAGGAGCTCACGATCAAGGCTTTCCTCTGCAGTCGGCAGTACTGCAAGAAGCTGTGCGATATTGTTAGCCTCATGCTGGACTCGGGCCTGCCATGCTTCAAGCCTGAGACTATGAAGAACTTCCGCGATCGATTCGTGCTGGAGAAGACGGATCGCGAAGCTGCTCACTTCATGTTGAACTGTATCAAAAAGAGCGAGGGCAATGTCTCGACCAAAGTGTATGATGAGTTTCAGCTGCTGACCAACGGCATCCCCTACTAGCGAGTGAGCGTTTTCAGCGACCCGGCAGAAATAACAGCACATAAATTGGTCTTCGGTGCCCATAGCAGTAATGTTTAGATGTGTGACATAAATCTGATAGTCGCCCCAACAGCACAGATGCTTTTCGAGCAACTCCGTGACCTCCCACTTCCCGTCGGTGCGCCAAAATACATGAGACAGAGCAAATATGCTTGATTCATCGATCCACGCCAAGAAGGACTTCACGTGGTGTTCAACGCTTGACCAAACCGATGCTCGAGAGAATCTGCATGATGTATTCCCAGGCTTGAGGTAACAGCCTCAGCGGCTCCAGCAGCAGGGGAACGATTACAACGAAGATCAGTACGCCTAAATGGCTGATCAGAAGCCTAGCATTTAGAGGACATGGTTCGGCACTCACCAACGATGATCTTGTTCACTGGAGACTTGGGCGCATCCTTCTTCTTCAGTGTCGACTCAGGCTTGCCCATACGCTTCTCATTGACTGACGCGTACTTGGCGTTTGCCCGGCGCTGTTGTGGTGTTTGAACCTGGAGGATTGGTCAGCTTTGATCTCCAGTCCTCTGAGTCGGCTACTAACCATTGTGGTGAGGATGAGGAGGGAAATGGTCGAGAGAATACTGATAGCCTGGGCTCCTTGAATATGGTATTTCAGATTCTCCTAATGGGTTTAAACAGTTGCCAGTGTGATTGTATGACTGATGGAGCTCCAGTGGTTCTTGAAATCTGCAAGAGGGCGGTCGTTGATCAGCCCCCCTGTCCTGCGCGATGGAAAGGCAACCGTTTCCTAACAAGGATCTGGGGTGCCAAGGCTCTGGTATTGCCGAGCGCGGATCCGTTCCTTCCTGCAACCTTGAGGTCCGTTGTCCAAATCATCGAAAGCCCGCCTCTATTCAGCGCCCTGCAACTCGGCCAACACCCTGACTTTGTGCTTGCGGCAAGAGCTACCGTTCTGATATCATCCTCCAACACTTTCCTGGTGGCTCTTACGAGCACCTGCCATCATGACTGAGAAGCTTCAGCCGTCGCCATTCGCCGACCCCAAAGATGCCCTACAGCTTGCACAAAAGGCACCGCGGGTCCTTGCCAAGTCAGCGTCGATAGCGACAACATTTCCCATGTCCGTCGTCGGCACACCTGAATCGCCCGAGACATGGGTGGAACTGGCGTCACTATTCTACGCCTGCCTCCGGACTGGCGACGACAAGTCCGCGTATCTAGCCCTTGAACGGCTCACCAAGCGATTCGGCGAGGACAATGACCGTGTTATGGCAATGCGGGGGATGTATCAAGAAGCTGTCGCCCAAGGCGACGAGGAGCTCCGAAGCATTCTACAAGATTACAACAAGATCCTATCTACCAATCCAGTCAACGTGCCCATACTCAAGAGGAGGATAGCACTGGTCAGAGCCATGGGCCGAGACCAAGAGGCCACCAATGCTCTCGTGGATCTGCTCGAGGCGTTTCCCACCGACGTCGAAGCTTGGTGTGAGCTAGCAGACTTGTATCAGTCGCAAGGGCTCGGGGCCCAGGCCGTCTTTTGCCTCGAAGAAGCCTTGCTGACCACGCCCAATGCATGGAACTTGCATGCGTGGATAGGCGAGCTTGACTATATGAATGCTGTAGTCGCAGGCGAGACGAGCGAGGCAGGAAGGACTGCACTTGCGCAATCAGTGCAGCGCTTCAGTCGAAGCATTGAACTTTGCGACGATTACTTGCGGGGCTATTATGGCCTGAAGCTAGCGGTGGCTAAGCTATTGCAGACGGATGGTCAGAGCAAGACGGCTGCATTTAGTCAGGAGAAACTGAAGAAGCTGGACCAATTGGCTACGACGAAATTGCAGGCAATTATCCGCGCACGCAAATCAAAGGTTATGCGCGACGTGGATGAAGCGGAGTTGATCGCTGCCCAAGCTCTCCTGGATCAAACCGGTGCCTGAGGCCGTACTCAGAAAGTCGTTATAGGGCTCAAAGATCAGCCTCACGTCACTCCGAGCACTGCAGCGCACACGCCCTGAAAAGTCCGGCTCGAACCGCATGAGATGTGGCTAGGCTGGAGAGATCAATGTTGGCGTCAAGACCACCATTGGAAACAGGCCTCGAGATAATACATGACAACATCGGGCAGCAAGGCGAGTTTGGAGTGGTCTGGAAGACACCCTAGGGGATGACCGGACCCATTAAGTCGCATAAAGTCGGGCACCAAGTTTGAACTGGCGCCCAGGCTACGTGGCAGATGATGGCGCGAGTGACCACTACAGCAGCGACACGCCCACACCTCTGCCACGTTCTCAACCAGAGTTTGTTCGCAGACCAAATTAGAAGTGGCTGCCCTGATCATCAGGTAATGCATGAAACCCATCCGATTCAAGGGCAGACAATGAGCTTGCGCCGTTCGGGGTCTGCCTGTCTGGACATAGAAGGTCTTCAGTCCAGCTGGGCAGTTGTGGAACAAGTTGGGCACAGATAGGACAATGCATATAGACAATAGATGGCCACGAGGAGGCAGAGCAAGCTCCTTACAGACCGCAGTTGCAGTCAGCCGGACACAGTGCAGACAATCAATCAACATCCGTGACTCCCAACCACTGCTGTGTCCGCCTATCGCCCAATGTCAAGCCAACAAGGAACTCGCTCAATAACCAGACGAAACAGAGGCAAGCGACCACCACGCAAGAAAAGGTGAGACTGCATGAGATAGACACCCGATCTGTGCGACTTGTGCGTCACATACATCGAGCATTGTTGCGTTTCGCCAGCTCATTCCTCATCTAAACCCTACCGGTGGTGCATCATCATATATCCTGCACTCTTGTCAGTTTCCGGCATTTGGTGATCCTCCCACGCCATCGCATCGGCTATCTCGCTGTCACTTTCATCATATTGACGGCATTCTCAGTGGCGCTCGTCCGGCTGCCAGGGATTTGCACAGATCAATTCACCCCACGATATCGTGTTGCCCACATCGCCCTTTGCCCCCTCCAAAAGGCCTGAGCCAGGCTTGTCCCATCTGGAAAAGGACAATCGAGAGAAAGATCCAGAGAAAGCAGCGGGCGGAAGCGAGGAGTTGGGTCTAGTGAGCCCCACTACTGACTTTGACCCGTTCGTCGCTTGGGCATCATTTTTCTGCCCATCCCGGCTTCACCTCGTCCGCGGCCCTCTCACCTCCACCAGGCCGGCGGTAGCTTGCGCTCACACATTTCAATTTCCTCCTCGACGCCTGTCCTGCCAACTTGCCAGTATTAGAGCACACTACGAGACGTCGGTAGCAGCATCGCTGTTGTTGCCGCTTCACCGCCTCGACTGCATACCGGGCGCATTCTTCCCCGCAGTCCGCGATTTCACCTCCAATCCGCGTCTCTTCGCTCGACACGTCGCCTCACAGGTAGCCAACAGGCTGCCAACTTCGAGCAGGAACCGTCATTCGACATCGTCAGAACAGGCCTATCACTGACCACCTCTTTCGACAGGTGACTGGCTGCATCTCAACGCAAGTCGCTTCCAATCCCCGGTCATTTGTCTTGCACCACTCAACAAACACTAACGCCCTCCAAGGCTATCGCATTCGCCGACCCCTCTGGGACCGGCTGAATGTGGTAACTCCTTGCTCAATTCAAGGTCAATGGGGTGCGTTATCACCCATCTCCACTGTTCTGTGCCCACTAACGGTACTGCAGTAAAACAGAAATAAATATCACCCACCGTAACTCTAACCCTCACTCTCGCTCCTCTTCGATTGCCTCCGCCGATCGCGAACTGCGCGGTGACGACGGCGTTCCAATACACGCGCCCGGCGACTCGCCCACCTACTCAGTTGCGCGGCCAGCAGCGAGCCAGAGCGGCTCGTCCTCCCACCACGGCGATTTCGTTAAGATTCATCTTCCATATCCTAGCGATCTAGAGGAGGACAGACAAGAGTCCCTGTCACGCATTGAGTCGCAAGGTAGAGGAGGCGCCCGGCACACCTCACGCTCCGGCTCCTTACACGGCCCCTACTCACAACACGCTCGTTCACGCGATCCTCCTCGATCAAGGCCACCAGAACCCCCTGGCTCGCCCACTGGTAGTGGAGACTCGGCCGAAGACTTCCTGCAAAGGTCCGGGCCACGTCCCATGCATCGACCCCAATCCCACTACGATCCCAACTATCCACACTCGAATTCTTCTGGCTCCTACTATGGCCATCCTCAGCCTTTAAATCAGATGGTCCCTCATCAACCACCACCACACCCATATCCTCCTTACCCCCCGCAAGGACAACCGCCTCCAATGAGCTACGGACCGCCCAGCCAGATGAGCTATCAACATTATCCACCCCATCCCGGGCACCCTCCCTCGCATATCAGCCCTCCCTACACCTCACCGTATGGACCTCAAAGTATCGTTCCTTCTCAATTTGGCGCTCCCTCATATTTTCCACCACAACCACAGCCACCTTACAGCCAGCCGTACCCACAGCCGCAACAATACCCGCCACACTATATGCAATATCCGCCGCACATGCCGATGCAGATGCCTCCATACGTTGACCCGTTACAAGCGTTCCGGGTTCAGTCACCCGCGCAATCCAGTATGGCAACAGCATCGGACACGGCGAAAGACAAGTACGATCAAGAGGAGTTGATGAAGCGCTTTGAGGCTCTTATGAAACAGCAGACTGAGGAAAAGAAGGAGGCTGAAGTCAGCAAGGAAGACGCCTTGAAGCAAGCGATGGACCAGATGAAGGCCGAAAGCGCAGCGGCGGCAGCAGCGGCAGCAGCAAGATCGGCCGAGGAGAGTCGAATGAAAGAGGAAGCGCGGCAAGAAGTCTTACGTGCCATTGAAGAGGAGAGAGCGCGAGCCGCGGCGCAGACAGCACGAGAAGAGCAGATTCGCAGGGACGCGGCGGAAGCGGCATTGAAGAAAGCTGAGGCTGAGGCCAAGGCTCAGTCAGAGCGGGCAGCGGCCGAGAAGAAGATCGCTGATGATGCAGCGGCGGCGGCCAAGACTGCAGCGGAAAAGGAAGCCGCGGAGGCTGCAGCGGCGAAAGAGGCCGAGGCCAAGAAGGCCAAAGAAGAGGCTGACGCCAAACTGAGGGAGGCGGAAGAGGCTGCGGCCAAAGCAAAGGCGGATGCCGAAGCGGCGGAGAAGAAAGCCGCGGAAAATGCACCGCCGGAGAAGAAGGCCCCGGTACGGTTCAAGGATGCCATTGGCAGAAGCTACAATTTCCCTTTCGAGCGGTGTCACAAGTGGAGGGTAAGTGCTTGACGACGGTTTCGAAGACTGGTGCTGACTGCTACAGGACATGGAAGGCTTGATCAACCAGGCCTTCGCGCATCTCGAGAATTTGGCCGACTGGGTGTACAATAGGAATTACGACTTGCTCGGACCGGACGGGGAGATTATCATGCCGCAGTACTGGAGCGAAACCATTCAGCCCGACATGCAGATCACGATGATGATGTGGCCTTTGCCGGAAACCAAAGAGGACGAGAACCCCGACCCAACACCTCCTCCAGCCGACGGCGATATCTTGAACTTAGATGACATCCTCAATCCTGGGGGTGGCGGAGGAGGCGGAGAGAAGAAACGGAAGAAAAAAGGATCATCGAAACCGAGTGGGTTCAGCATGTGGATGCTGGGAGGCGCACCGGGCAAGCGGCATTTAAAAGGTGATAAAAGGCCTGATGTAGCCGCTGCCAGTCAGCACGGTGCCGAGCAGCAAGGCGGCTGCACCGTTATGTGAGAAGGTGATGGGGATGCAAACTGTTGGCAGAGGCTGGTGTGACTTTTGGTCATAGAATGGTTCGAGACGACAGGTGGAGGACAGGACCAAAGAAGGCGGCAGGCATTGTGTTTTGGAATCTTTCAACAAGCACGGGACCAACGACAAAGACGCTCTTTGCAACGACGACACCTACACGACAGCCGACTACCAAGACCAAGTCACGACCAGCCATCATCAATGGATTTGCGGACCGATTTGCCCGCTCCATAGGCTACTTCAGGAGGCATGGCTTTTTCCTTCCCGGACAAACCCGGGAATTGGTTTTTCATGCCTCGACCGGGGACGAGACAGCAGTGGAGGATTGTGCCATTTGACTTGACTTGGGAAGACTTAGCGGGTGTTTTGGGCATTTTTACAGGGGATATACACCAATCTACGGGTTTGACTTTTGGATGGGCTATGGTGGCCCGATGACTGACGATGACGGCCATGATGAGATGGATGAAAGAGAAAGAGCGGCGATAGGTGGCACGGGCGCGCAACGGAGCAACAACGAGCAAGCAAGCATTTCTTTTCTCTTCTCGGGGGACTCTGCATGTGTGATAACTCATGTGGACAATCCTCCATTCACACAAGCTTGGGTACTTGTTTTCGGACGACGGCTTGGGTTCTGGGAAGATGACGCTCTCCTGTTACCTCGATCTGTTTGAAGATACCCCTTTTTGGATGTTAGATAGCATAGCGTGAATGCGAATTAGCAATGGCGTTGTGCAACTAGCACAGTGATGGAAGAACAATAAATCGTGTCTCCTTTCCTGCTGTGGTGTGTCGGGCTGAGAAGTCTTGGCGGTGTGTCGAATCGGCAAGTCGCTGAGGCTGACGACTTCATCTTTTGTGAGTGCCTGACTGCTTCAGGTGTCGTGCGACCAATCTTATCCATCACTGGTTGTATCGACAGCTTATACCGTCCCTTGGTTATCTATCTCCATTGTCTTATCGAGCCATCCAACGCTTTGGCTGTGACAAGCACCTCACCCCTCTGCCGCTGAGCGGGCTCCCCACGTCTTAGGCGGAAACGCCTTGATCAAACTTGAGCACCACCTCCGACTCAGCCAGAAGTTAAGGTCACTTGAATGACTCGGGCTCCCGTGCTCACTACAGCGGTGACTGCACTGGGCTTCTAGCCACATCATTTCCTCGATCCGCAGCTCGCCATCCCCTCGGGCTTGGTCTTGGCACATGAATGGATGCGCCGGAGTAGCCGATCACGACACCCCCCAACGCGGCCATGGCGCTGACAAGCCAGAGGTCAGAGATGTCGATGAAGGTGCTCATCAATGATCATCCTCATCGCACTCTGGCCATCGCCACCGACACCCATGCCCTCTTCTTCCGTCACACTCACTCCGCCGACGAGTCCAAAAGTCCGAGCTCCACCAGTCTTCCCCTGCCCAGTGCCGCTCCAGCGAAATCGATCCCACGATGCATGGTCGAGTTCTCGGAGCTGTCAAACTTCGACCTCTCTCAGCACCGCAACGTTGCGGCTGCGAGGGGCACACTTGGCGTCATCACCTTGAACAGTGATGTCTTCATTTGCGTCGTCACAGGATCCGTCGAGGTCGCCAAGGTGAGGCCTGGCGAAACAGTGCAGCGTATCTACTCGGTCGAGTTCTACTGCCTGAACAGGAACGACTACGACCACAGCCACGGCCATCTGCCAAATCCTTATCCAGGCCAGGAATTTGCGTCCGAAGAATTCGAGTATGGCAGCGGACTCGATACTAGCGACACACTTGCGGAACATCCGTTCCATGCTCTGCAAAAGCTACTTAGTGGTGGCAACTTCTACTATAGTGTCGACTTTGATCTGACCAGGCGTCTGCAAGACCGCGTCGAAGATACGAGCCTTGATATCGCAACCCTGGATGAAGGTTTGCTATGGAACTCGTACATGATCAATCCGCTCTTGCAGTTTCGGGCTCGACTCACGCATCATGAGAAGGATGCGCTGGACGGGTCTCGAATCCTCACCTCCGTCATCCGAGGCTTTGCCCGCACCCTTACTGTCCCTCCGTCTTCATCACCCATCAGACGGAAGGTTTCGAACATGCCCGCTTCACTTACAGTCGTATCCAGACTGTCCTCAAGGAGGGCTGGAACCCGTTTCAACTCTCGTGGAATCGATGATAATGGAAACGTCGCAAATTTCGTCGAGACTGAAACCATCTTCTGGTCTCCGACCGGCCTCTGCTTCTCGTATGTGCAAGTCAGAGGATCAGTACCGCTGTTCTGGGAATCCTCCTCTTCTCTGATTCCCGGTCAACAGAAGATTCAAATCACTCGGTCGCCTGAAGCTACTCAACCCAGTTTTGACAAGCATTTCGCTGGACTTGAGAATAACTACGGTGCCATTCACATCGTGAATCTGCTCAGTGCCTCGAAGCCAGGTGAGCATGAGCTGACTCAACGGTATAGAGAGCATGTTCGTCGTAGTCCTCTTCGACGGAGTGACCCGAACGAATTCGAGGACCACAACCTGCTCCGATCAACAGAGTTCGACTTCCATGAACACGCCAGAGGTCAAGGCTATGACGTGACCCAGGCCTTCCGACCGTATGTCGACTTGTCCGCCGAGTCATTTGTGTACTTTCTGTCCGAGGAGCTGGAAGAATGGACCACCTCCAAGGGCAAGCCAAAAAAGGTCAGTCGAGCCGCCGTGATCATGCAGCAAAACGGTGTATTCCGCGTCAACTGCCTGGACTGTCTTGACCGCACGAATCTGGTGCAAGGCATGATTTCGAGGATGTCGCTAGAATTGTTTCTCAGTCATCGCTCGGAAAGAGCCAACAGTGATTTTTGGATGCGGCACGATACCTTGTGGGCAGATAACGGCGATGCGCTCAGCAAAATCTACGCCGGTACTGGCGCTCTGAAGAGCAGTTTCACTCGCCATGGGAAAATGAGTCTCGGTGGAGCACTCGCGGACGTTCGAAAGTCTGCAACGCGACTATATGTCAACCACTTTGAGGACAAGGGCCGTCAGAATACTGTTGATCTGCTGCTTGGCAGACTAGTGGGTCAGTCTTCTGTCGACCTCTTCGATCCTATCAACGACTGGGTTGTAAATGAGCTTAGCAAGCGACGTGGCGAATTCGAGTCTCGTTCGCAAGTAAAGGTCTTTGTCGGCACCTTCAATCTCAACGGCAAGACCGGAGGTACTCGAGAGGAGCTCTCAGCATGGCTCAAGCCGGGACCAGACTTTGACATTGTCGTTGTGGGATTTCAAGAGATTGTCGACCTGTCTCCGCAGCAGATCATGAGCACAGATCCGAATCGACGTATGGTCTGGGAGTCAGTTGTGCGCGGTTGCCTGAATGGACACACCTCTGAGAAGCCGTTGCAAGCCGACGGCGATGAGTATGTGCTGCTTCGCTCGGGTCAGCTTGTTGGGGCGGCTCTGCTCATCTTTGTCCGCGCACACATGCTCGACCGTGTCAAGAACGTTGAAGGGGCTATCAAGAAGACGGGCATGTCCGGTATCGCCGGCAACAAAGGCGCGGTAGCCTGTCGCATGGAGATCGACTCTACATCAGTCTGCTTCGTGACAGCCCATTTGGCAGCAGGTTTCGGAAACTACGATGAGCGCAATCGCGACTACAACACCATCACATCAGGCCTCCACTTCCAGCGGGAGCGACACATCGATGATCACGAAGTTATCGTTTGGGCTGGCGACTTCAACTACCGCATTGGTCTCAGCTATGAGAATGCCAAGAGCCTGGTGCAGCAAGCAATCAAAAGCCAGGGTTCAAAGAGAGAGGATGCCTTGGGATCGCTGTACGAGAACGACCAACTAAATATCCAGATGGTGGCTGGCAACTGCTTTGATTTCTACCGTGAAGGAAAAGTGGACTTTCTGCCAACTTACAAATACGACATTGGCAAGGATGACTTCGATTCGAGCGAGAAAGCACGTATACCGGCGTGGACTGACAGAATATTATACAAGGTGAATCACCGACACAGCATGAGCGGTGGGCAGGGCGAGGAGCTTGGCACCAAAGTCCGACTGGACAGGTACGATTCTGTACAGCACATTCGGATCAGTGATCACCGGCCGGTGTTTGCAACGTTTGAGATCGGTGTTCGAGTGATTGATGAGACCAAGAAAGATGCGCTCACGCATAAACTGTACATGAAGCGAGCAAGAGAGGTGAAGGCTGCCATGCATGCTGAGGACTACGAAGATGATTCATCCGACATCGATGACGTGGTAGGCTACGAAGCTATCCAGGAAGGCCTCCCACCTGCCAGCAGTGACCGGCGAAAATGGTGGCTTGACGGCGACAAAGCCGTAAGGGCTGGCGTGCAGCCGCCGGAGAAGGGCATGATGCTCAACCCAAAACGGAAGAGCAACCCGTGGAGGCCGTCTGATGGCGTTGACGAGGAGGACGAGTGGGTCAAGGTGGACAAACTCAACTTGAGTGACAGCGCCGGCACGAGTGGGAAGAATAGTCCGCGGCAGAAACCACAACCACCCCCACCTCGGAGTGCTAGTTCTGCCAGCCAAAGGACAGTGTCTGGGAGTGTAGGTGGCCTGAGAGGAGGAAACGACAGCGTGAAGCCGGAACCGCCACCTGCTAGGAAGAGAATGGTAGCTCCGGCATGGGAAGGTGAGAGGATGGCGAGTCCATCTCCGTTGTTACCTGCACGAAGCGCCTCGAACGGAACAACTGCAAGCCACGCGGTGTCTACAAAGACCCCACCTCCCCCACCGGCTCCCAGGAATCCAACCCCGACGCCTACCTCACAAACGTCCGCAATGGCAGACCGAGCCCGCAGCGCCTCCTCCGCCTCGGTCAACAGCACGACCTCATCTCAGGTGACGAAGCGCCCACCGCCCAAACCCACGAAACCCTCTGCCCTCGCCTCAATGAGCACCGGCTCCTCCACCAGCTCGGTCCCGCAGGTCAGCAGCCAGCTCGATAGATCCGTCTCGTCCGCGTCGACAGGTACAGTGCTGACAAAGGGGAAGCCTGTGCCCTCGCCTCCCGCCAGCAGGAGCGTCACGACCGGTTCGGCCATGGGTCCGGCTGTGCCGACCAGGAGGAAGCCTGTGTCAGGCTTCGTCAGTGGCGATGCCGGTGATGCCGGTGGCGCGGCCGGTGAGGAAACAACTCCGCCACCGCCTCTTCCAGCTAGGACTGCCACGTCTTCAATCCTGGGCATCACCACCGGAGAGGACAATGGTGTTGATGCCAACGATGGCCCGCTACCGCTACACCCACCAGCGAAGCCGCTCGTCAAGCAAAGGAAAGGCAGCCAGTTGCAAAGCCCGACAAGTCCGCTTGGTGGCTTGCCGGGCGGTTGGTCTTCATGGGGGTCCGCAAGTGGTGGTCACAGTGGTGGTGGTGTGGGGCAGGGGCCATTGAAGGAAATGGATCCTATGCCGATCCAGGATACCGGTGGGGAAGACAGGCCGGGGTTGCCGCCTCGACGAGGCATGGGCTCGGGCGCAGGTGCCGGCACGGGTGGAGCGAGAGCGGATGCGAGTGGGTTGATGGATATGGATGTTGATGATGGGGACGGTGGTGGATTGGGGAGCTGGGAGGTGTTGAAGCCGAAGTCAGGGTAAGTTACTGAGAGGCTCTTGCGAAATGTTGAGAAAGAGAGAGAGAGAGAGGTGGAAGGGCTTAGGGCGGAGAGGGCTGTGGCGTGAGAGGGGCCGTTAGAGCATTGCCAATGCTGGCGGGTCTCTCGCGGTGTGATCTGCAGAGGAAGTGTTGAGAGGATGCGGCGTGGCTGACGGCTAGAGTTAGTTGTAGAAAAATCAAAGACGGAAAGGGGGCTCAACGCGTACGTAGACGGAACGTGTCCAAGTCAGGCGGGTGGTGGTCCACGATCTCCTTGGGAATGAGCGATACTGCACGGTATTCTCATCATGCCCATGGCGTGTAGCAGTTCAGACACTGGAATATCATTCCGTAAAAGCATAATAACCGTAAGACCCCCTCCCTGTTGTTCTGTCTATCCTCAAGAATCTAGACTAGTCCCTTCCATGCTCGTCCTGTCGCTACTACAGTAGCATTTGCCCAGACTCTTTCGCGTGTCCAGTAGGGTCAGGGTCAATCAAGCTTGAGTTGAGTTGTAACTTGTGTCCCTTCCCGCCAGGACTGTGTGTGTGCATTTGTGTGTTCGAGCCGTGAGCCGTGAGGTTGTTATACATTCGACGTAATGCAGGCAGGCAAGGCTGCTGTTCTGCTACCGATGATACTGCTTGGGTTCCCAACAGTGCTGAGGCACTTTCTTCCAGCGATGAAGTCTGGTGCGTGGTTGCGAACGCATTGGCTCTCTCATCCGCCTTGAGTACATGCCGTATCGCTACCGGTAGTGGCATGTGGTGGGCTGGCATCCTGTGGTGCTTGTGGGGGTTCTGCTGCAGAACTGGTCACCCACAGATTCTTCAGCGATGCGTTCGCTGGGTGAGATGGCTCCGTGGGTTGAGTCGCGTTCGTTGCCTGGATGGCATGGGTGCATTTCTGCGGGTAACACAAGATCTCCTAGCTGTACAGCTTGTCCACGTGGCCAATGACTACGAAAAAGGCAGCCCTCCTCATCGACACTCTGGACGAATGTTGCACTCTCGTCCCCGAGCGAGAAACACTTTTGTGAACCATCCGCGATGCGAGACCACTCGGAAGCTGTGAGATGAGATTTAATGCACGGCCTGTAAAGCTCTGCCATGGTAGTCAACATTCGATAGACGTACACAGCCGTAGAATTCGCTGCCGATGCTAGAAATCGCTGTTCCATCTGCTGAACCATCACTTGGAAGTAGGTGTAATGGTGCATATTACCTTGATAATCTCCAAGCGTAGCCGATATCCTGGTCATGACAGAGAGTGCAAACGAAACTGCTACAACGCTCTGACCATTTCTTTCGAACAGAAGAGACGAACCATTTGGGCAACCTTCCACGAGGACTTTGCGAACGGCTCTGAGAAAGAAGTGGTACATTCTGGAAAGCAAAGGTGTCTGAGCAAGAAAGCCCAAGGCCAGGTCGGCTACGATTTCAAGTTCATCGTCATCCGTGTTGTAAGCATTGCCGTCGGCACTGTCTTCATCGTTGTCACTCCCAGTGTCTTCTCCATCGTCTCCATTGCTTTCATCCTCGTCCTGACCAAGGATACCCATATCGTGGTTGCTTCCAATTTCATGGCATTCATAAAGTCGCCCTTGACGTCGTTGCTGTCTTATTGTCTCTCGAGCGAGCGTGTGGACAGCATCGAATGTCAAAATAACTTGCCACAGCACATCGAGGGCATTGACAGTCGATTCGTGACTCAGGAGCATGCAAATGGAAGGATCGTTGTTTGACCGCCGCTGCGCTAAGACGAAGGCGTCGTAATTGGTACCTGTTACAAAGTACGACTGTTGGTGGCTTCGTTGGGATTGAGCAGTAGAGGTCAATATAATCTCCTCATCGCAATGGTCCTCAGTAGGGTCATCGGGATCCATCGCATCGCCAAGTTTTGCGAGCCGGGAAGGTGAGGCGGGCAGCCTAACATGCTGAGGCAGTGATGCTGTAGTGACTACAGCCTGTGTATGAGGCATCCTCAATGGGTTGTGGGGCTCGAGCGGCACTGAGACCGGTCGGGCGTTAAGAAAGCGACACAGCCTACCATTTTCCTGCCTCAAATGTCGACAGAAAGAGCGCTTGGATTTGTAGAGCACCTCGCAATAGGAGCAACGGACTCGAGAGGTCCCGAGATGGACCTCACTTTCGTGGGCTTTACAGTCATCCTTCCAGGTGAAGAGCTTGCCGCAGTCGGGATACCTGCATCTGTAGCTCTTTGCATCGAAGTGGCCATCGATATGACTGTTCAGTTGCTGCTTCCGTTGGTAGCTCTTATCGCAATGAGGGCATTGATGTTGCGTTTTGGATGCCATTAGGATCAAGGTGTTGGGGGGTGAAGTCAGAGAGAAGACAGGATGAGAAATGGCGGCCCGCTCGGGAGCCTAGGGGAGGTCAGAGAATATATCACGGTCGAACCCGCAAGGCTCAGACCTGGCTGAGGTGGTTGACTCAATCTAGTTTAGCCGTACCGGCACTGGTGGTGGCATTGCATGTCTGGGCAACACTGACCGCACCGGAATCCAATTTCAATTGGCCCATGATGTCTGTCAGTGTCGACGTTGGCGGACGCTCATGCGCCAGCTATCCGACCGGGAGCTCTCGTCCGTGATGGGTCGGTTCGCTCCAAAAGATTTTGACAGAACTGCCAGCAAGGCTCGTATCCGCAACGCTGTGCCGGCACTGCTGCCACAGTTGTGCTTGCTCATGCCCGATCATCTGCTTTCCTGTCATTGGCACACAAGCCCTCCTGCGTTGACTGCCTCTGACCATGATGCAGCTCTCCTTGCCATGTAGAAGCCCAGCTTTATCAGGAAGAATCGAGACTGATAACCAAGATGAAAGCGGAGGTGATGACTGGACGACGGTCCCTGGCTCATCCTCTGAGATCCATATGAAACCATTGCGGTCAATTCTTACCTCGTAAGTGCGCCTAGAATCGGCTTGGATGCCTTGTCAGGCTTTTTGGTCCCGGCACTGGTATGCCAACGTCAACAACGTGACCTTGATACCCGTCATCGTGGGGCGCACTGCCAGTGCCGGTACCGACGATCATCTAGAATTCCGCCCTTTTCAGCGGTGCCAGTGCCGGTATCAGCCACATTTGGAACATGAAACCCTGGAACTGGTGCCGGTACCTCCTACCAAAGGAGCAAGAGACATGATGTATTGCACTTGCTAAGCTTCCAGAAGGCATATTCCCATATCGCTAAGACAGTATATAGACAACTTCCTCTGCATTTATTGACTCGTGGTCAAACTTCCAAGTTTCGTTTCCACAAATCTATTATTGACCCCGTTTGAGCGGGAAACGATACCAGCCTAGGACCATCGAGATCTTCCATCGCACCATCATGTCCGAAGAAGTATTTTGGACAATTGTCTTTGGCTTCATCGCCACCATAATTGGACTTGTCACTATCTGGCAGAACCAGCAAGTCGTTAGGGCTCGACAAGAGAGTAAGGCAGAAACAGAATGGGCTCGAACGGTAGTGCTGACTCAAGATCTAGTACTTTCGAATCGATATCGGTCAATGTGGTACGGCCAAGCTGAGCGTCGACGCATGTAATGCTGTGGTATTCCGAGTGTTGGAAAAGAGACGATGCCTTGACATTAACATATCTCTCGAGAGCAAAGGCCTACATATGTCAAAGAGTCAGGGGCTGGTCCTGGCGAGAGACAGGTCTTGGCGTCAGGAGCTCCCGACCGTGCGCTGGCACAATGTGGGATGCCATTGGCCTCACTTCAGACTGACCCCAGAACGCGCAGCTTCAGGTCCAGAACAGTGAAGCGACTGACTCAAAATTCCGTCGATGTTTGACGCGACCTCGCCATGAACCTCAACTGACACCATCAGGCTCGAGTCGAGCCCAGCATACTCAGTCTGAGCTATTCCGGACTGGCTAGGCCCGTAAAGGCGGCATGTGAACCCCAGTAATCGCTGGGGTAGGAGACACTGGTGGACCGGTCAGTCAAACCACAAAGGTCCATGTAGAGCAATCGTTCCGTGCTTTGAAACAGCCTTGCTGGCTCTGCAGTTGAGGGTTCAGACCAAAGTGTACCAGACTGGCCAAACCATTCATCGCCGGAGAGCTGTTTCCCTCTAACGACCGGACAGCCACGACCGCCTCCAGAACTGAACGCAGAACTTACTTGGACAATTGAATCGCCGTCACTGCCAGCATCATCGGTCTCAACATCAGCCTGGCAGAATACAAGAGATCGCCACGCCGTGCAGCAAAAGCTAGTCGGCCTTGACCATCTGCCACAGCGATGCATAAGACTGGCGACGACACCTAAGGGTACAGGTACACGAGAACGTGGTACATGGCGATACCCTTCGGTTGGCCTGGGGGCTTCGGCAGCCACTCGGTCGTAGAGGTGCTTAGAAAGAGGCAGCTCGGTGCGCATCGGAAAATAGACCAGAAATTGACTAGCTGCTGTCCACAAAGACAGAGATACGCAAAGTCGGAGAGGGCTGGAAACTCGGCGTCACATTCATGGTCAGGGCCATCGCAATATAAGATGAGGCGTGTTATTCCTTATTTGATTTTGCCATTTTGCACCAGCTCTCTCAAGACCTCGATGGTGCTCTCGACGGCCTTCTTCGCCATGGCTTCCTCGCCCTTCTTCTTCTCCGCCAGGCCGGCAGCATCGCCCTTGAGCTCTGGATGCTGCCATTCAAACGTGTAGGTCATGTAGAGGTCTGTTTCGCCACCCGCACCCTGGCTGATGATGTTCATGACTCTGCCGCCATCTTTCTGGTGGAACTCGACTTTCATGGGCTCGAATGCGACACAAGTCTCATGCATGCGGCGGCCACCGTCTCGGAAGACGACTTCGCGTTCGGTCACAGGGAGGCCGGTCTTCTCCTGGGAGTACTTTTTGAGGACGTCCGTGGATTGGATGGCAGCACCAACGAAGGTCTCGCCACTTTCGATTTTGATCTCGAGGCCGGCCCATACCTGTTCGCGAGTAATGACTGTTGTGGCATTCGGTGGGTTGATGGCTGCTGTAAAGGCAACGTAGTTTGCCATGGTGAATTTGTCAATGGCGGGGCAATTGAGTTCCTGCAGAACAGCTGAAAGCAAGCAGGTCTGCGCTTGTCTTATATTTCAAGCTTACGGGAGCTTCGGGTACAGCTTGAGACCGAGGGCGAGCAACTTTCGGCTCCGTTTCGTTGGTGTACTGGATGATAAACTGGATGGCATTTGTTAGGCGGGGTCGGTGCTCTCAACGCCGCTTCGTCCGCGCCAAGCTCGAGTCGAGCTTAAACTTCTTGAAGTTCGGGGGCAGGCACGGCCCGCAGACCCACAAAGCCAAACTAGACTGGCAGGTGCAAGGCTCGCCCTCCTTTTGACTTGGACATACTGGTAATCACTATTCGTACAGGGACGTCAACAGAAACCCCATGTTCTGATTAGATGTACTAGAGACCTGTGGCTATCCCAGACCAGAAGACTTGTTCTGAAGTGCTTGTCTAGTCGCACCGCTGAAGCGCAGCCTCCCCATCACCTTCTAATCTGAACCGCATCATTGTGGTCAAAAGCCAAAGCTCCCAGTTTCTAGACGTAGTCTTTGGGCTCGATTGGTTGCCAATTGTGTCCTGACTTCTGATCGCAACCCGCTCAACCCGTGCTTGACCAAGTAGCTATCCATCGACTTCTTCATCACATGAGTCTGTGCGACTCATTGCTCGTCTTAGCGCTGACGACCGCTGTAGTCCCCGAACTGAGCAAACTGCTGTCGAGGCTGTTGGTTTGCACTCGGACCATAGTTCCTCGCAAGATGTGCTTGCCAGACCTGCTTCAGCTCCAATTCAGCCAGTCCCTCCCGCTTGATCTTTCTCTCCTGCGCATCCTGCCACTCATGGCTCAGGAACACTTTGATCTGCTCGTCATCGACACCCAGCTTCTGCTTGATGAGCTTGCGTAGAGCCCATGACTCCCACTTGAGGTTAGCTGGGTCTTCCGGGTCTGGCTCCTCGGCTTCGAAGCGGCGCCTGTAATCCAGAGAGCCCTCATCGAAGTGGTGGTAGTTCGGATTGGAAGGGACGTTGAGACGTGGCTGCAAATTGTTCAACATCATCAGGTGCCGATCGACATGGGCTTGATTGTTCATGGTCGATTCTCTCCACGTCAGTCCAAGTTGCGTCGTGGCAGGCTGGGGCTGCGGCTCGGGGTTGTGGATGCCTCTTGAGTAGTCTGCAGTCACATGCCCATGAGGAGCTTGTTTGGTATGACACACGTGGTGAGTGGAGCCGACTCTAGGGAGAGGACGAGAGGTGACCGGGGCGTGATGAAAGACCCTGGCGATGTGAGTCGAGCTACTCAGTCCTGCACCTGGCACGTCACTGCCTATGAGTTGCTGATCGGCATTACCGTAGTTGGTGTTGACTCTGGTGAAAGCGCCGTTGGCTGTTCTCTCAGAAAGACGCATCTTCTCTTGCATGTCACGCCGAGCTTGTTCGATGAGAGTGTCGAGATTCTGACGCGAGACTTGAATATTGTTTGACTCAGGCATGATGTGCAGTTCAGTGTGTTCGACGACTAATCTGACCGACAGTACCTAATAAAGGTGACAAAGAGTAATATTCAAGTGATGATCCAGCTAGTTATGCCACGAGATACGTTGGTCGACCGCTGGTTTACGAAAAGTGTATTGCGTCGACTGGTCTAGGAGCAGTGCTCGCAATGTAAAGCCGACCTCAACCGAGAAGACGCCACCTGTCAACGAGCCTCATACAATCTCTATCGAGTCACATGCTCCCTGGCGTTTGCCAGCCACTGCAGTCTCCGGCTCTGTTGCTGAAGGCGATGCAGAAAATTCGAATGGCCGACATTGCCAGTCGAACAGAGAAAGTGAAATTCGACATCGTGTCTTGCCTACAGTAGGCCTCTCGAATGTACTCTGTCTGAACGGGCTACTTGCACGGTTCTTCATCGAGTCCTTGCTTCAGATCTGACCTGCTCCTGGCTTCCAAGATACTTGCCAATGCTGTTCGATTTCTTGTCGCCTTCACGGTCTATTCCGCTCTATCCACATTTCTAACAAAGTACCATGCCGCCATGAGTGAGACAAATGTACATGTGAGGAAGACAAACACACGTTAGTCAGACCTATTGCCAGCCTTGCAATTATGGTCCCCCTTACGGCCGGGATTCGTTCTATCACTTTCATTTGTGTAAGCACAATGAAATGTCAGAGTTTCATACCTAGCCAGATGATCGGGAAGAAGCTCTGACCGCTGCGGTGGCAATTGTCACCAGGTTGTGCTTTGCCACTTTATCATTGACTACAATGAGGTGTATGTTGCAAATGATCTGCAGTATCTCGACTTCCACCCCGGACACCCAGGTGTTGAGTCGTTGAGTATGGATGGAGTGATATCGATAGCAAGATGACGAAGACAAATATATAAGGTGGCATTGTCATCTGCTAAGTCCTTGCCGTTCCCCATATACCAAGCTCGTAGATAACGGTGGGAAAGACGGAGAATGTGCCCCATCCACCAATGCCGTGTGCGATCCAAATGAAGAGTAAAAGGAAGAAGGTGGAGTCTTTGAAGAGTGATTTTGTTTGCTCGGTGTTGCAAGTCTTCGCATTCATTGTTGAAGCAGCTGGCGGGACGTCGGCGATAATGGCTTCTAGTCCGTTTTCATCAAGGATCTTGACAGGTTGCGGATCTGTGGAAACGAATGTCAAATTGAAGCCCGCAACGGCTTCCCTGGAAGTATGAATCGCCGGCAGACAATTGAATTATTTGTAACGTGGGTGACAACTTGGAGTTCTGGTAAGTCCGCTATCTCAAAGTAGTGACGCATCGCGTTGTTCGTCCTCCTTTAGATCAGCTAAGTGGTAACGGACTTGCCATATTTTACTTTGTCCGACCAAGAGACATTGTCGACATCAAGTCGGTAGCATCTCCATTGCTGCAACGACTCGAGCCAATTGATGAAAATCAAGTCGATGCAGAGCCTGTCACGGGTTTGCAGTAGGTGGAGAACTATCACAATTATACAGACTATGTGGATGGGAAAGGTCAGAAGTTGAAGATCGCGAGCCTCAAGATTGAGGATGAGGCTGCTTGATTCAACGCCAGGCTGACTCATTGAACGGATCCGCAGACATCCAAAAACATATTCTAGAAGTGTTGATTCAAGGAAGAGTGATGGGTTCTGAGCAACGTATAATCCCAACACATCCAATGATCCTACCACACTGGAATGCTTTTGCTTCACGGTTCTTTTTAGCTCTCCCATGCACACCGTCACTTTCTCCTAAAGCCAATCTCGCTGGCTACAACAGCCACACAACATGCAAGACCACGCAACAGTAGCACACAAATCTACCACGTGCCTCCTCGGCAGCCACTATCAAACCCTCAGGCCCTCCTTCCCTTCACCTTCCTTTCACTCACCCCCAGCCCCACCAAAAACGCGACCCTGACACTCAACAAAACCGCAAAACTCACCACATTAGTCCATTCATACCACCTCCAATCCCTCGAATCCGCCAAGCCCACGGCCGGCATAATTTTCACCATACCCAGCACCATAATGCTATCCACCACGGTCAACCCGCCGATCCAAGTCCGCCAGACTCCGAGGTCATCAGGCCGCGCCCGCAGCAGCACAGCTTGCAGAAACAGGGCCATGGCGTAGAAGCCGGCCAGCATGATGAGCAGCATGTCGATTTCCGGCGTGATGGGGCCGGAGAAAGAGGGATTGATGCCGTTGAGGAAGGGGATGGGGTCCCAGATGGTCATGTAGATGCCTATGGAGCTGAGGAGGACCTCGAAGGTGGCGAAGAAGTGGCGGTAGAAGGGGGGGATTGGTGAGGAGGTGGTGGATGATGCCATGGTGGGCGATCGGTGTGGATCTATTGCGGCTATTGATCGAGGGAGACGCTGTAAGTTGGCACAAAGAGAAAATAATCAGTCGTGGAAAGCCACGGTATACATATTGTCCAAGCGTGTCAGCCCTAGTCGCGGGAGCATTCGCGGCTGGGGCCATGTACAACTGCCGCGAAACGCGGAAAAGGCAGTCTGTGATTGGCTCGCAAGTGTGAGCGGTCCCCTCCACCTCAAAGTCGCTCTGTTAGTGTTCGTTCCCTCGTTTATTCGTACGCCTATTCTGCATATATGCACCGTGTGCTCATCAGCGAGGCGAAAGCGTCTTTCGTAGGCATGCAGCACTTGATCCGAAATGTCCGAAACACCTGAGCTCCAGCCTGTTTTGATCCGCCTTTCTTTGTTGGACAAAGGGTTTGGGGGCCGCTGAGGTCCGGCTTCCAGGCCTCCAGGCCTCCAGCATCCAGGCTTGGCATTGTTTTGCTTCCATCTACCTACTTGTGGGATAAGACCTCTACGGATATTGCTATCGTAGCACGGTAGCATTCTCAGCCTTGTCTAAGCCCGAACCTCAGGTCGCGCGTTATGATATCAGAGGGGAAGTGGTTGTGGAAGTCGAGCTCGGACTCGGCGTGGTCGTTGCGGGTGCTATACCTCGCGCAACGAGAGAGATTGAAGGCATTCGGAGTCAATGTGAATCGATGAGTTGTCCCTCGCCATGGTCATCTAACCATGCCGAACCCTGAGAGACATGATGTCAAAGCGGAAGCTCTCGTCCTTATCAACGGCATCGATAGTGACGTTCTTGAGAGATTGGAACCCGGTCTCAAAGTATAGAGGCTCTCCCGCAGTCGTAGCGATCAAGGTTGCGTATAGGTCCCCCGGAAGGCCGTCTTCTGGGAACTCCTTAAACTCCCTCAGAGCTTCTCGTACCACATAGCCCGCATAGTCATGTCCCTGGTAGTCTGGGAGGGTTGCAAGCGAAGCGAGGTAGAGCTGTTCATCTTCCGGGTAGGCGTCTTCCAGCCACTTGTCCGCAACTTCCCACTGAGGTTGCCAGTCCAACGCGCGTGTCACATTGATATCGCGCTCCTTGCATTCGTTGCGCAAGCCGTGCAGGAAGCTGACCATCGGGGACCATCGCCTGGTTTGTGAAGCTGCCGAGGGATCGGAATCCATCCACTCCGGCAATACCCACAGACCAGCCGAGACTGCCAGCCTCTCGTGCGGTGGTTCTTTTGCAGGTACTGTGGCGATGTGGCCTACGACTCTGGGATGCTGTAGACCCACATACGCTTCTTCCTCGAAGCAGACATATGTGTCGTTGGGATACTGGTCGAAGAATTGGTGCAGGTACGTGAAATGCGGTGATTCTCTGAATGCAGCCACTGTAATGCGGGCTATGTCCTTGTAGTCAGTCACCTTCGCACGGCGAATCTCGGGCTTGGGGGCGAGAACTATCTGTGAGGGTTGGGCGGCGGTGGAGAGAGGAAGCAAGAGGAGGCTAGCAAGCACAGATCGCCATAACGTGATAGCCATCATTTTCGTTGACAGAAGCTTCCACAAGAAGATGTCGCTCTCCGCTATCTTTTGGCGCTCTACGGTGCTTGAATACTCTGTGACGTAACACTGCAATGAGAGTACGGACGCGGGTCGCTTCAATCGATTGCGGGGTTGATATTGCCAAGACGGCTGAGATGGCCAATATGCGATGGTGATGTTACATAGCCTATGCTTTTTAGAATGCGATATAATGCAGACCTTTATGGGCACTTCATCCCAACATATACATCCAAGAACAACGCCCGCTCGCCCCTAGCACCATTGAAATCCAGTAGGGACATCTCTCCGTACTTCCCACCGCTAATCAGTAATCATCCCAAGATCCTGCATTTGCAATATCTGCAACAGTTGTCAATATCTCAAGGTCAAAAGACCTCAAGGAGGCACCTCTGCAGGAAGATACCTACTGCTGTCATCATTGGCGAAAAGTTGCATGTCGCCTCGACCACCCATCTGCATGAATTCCTCTTCTTGCCGATTGGCCGCCGGATGCTCTTCATGGCCGTTAACCAAACCATCACTTTTGTTGTCAGCATCTGAAGGGGCCATTCCGATCTTGCCACGAGGATTTTTATCCCAGATCTTGACCTTTTTGGTATCTCCATGTCCAGTCTTGACATGAGTCTTGGCGGCGACAACCTTGGTAATTCTGATGTCGTTGATGTCGGAAAGTAGTGTCCGTTGACGCTGAACCTTTCGCTTCGAAAAGTCTAGACCACTCATAGCGCCGGTGAGACCATCAGTGCTGTCTGCAGGATTGATGTTGTTGCCAAGATTTCGGATCCAAGGATGCTCGAGACAGTCGTCAATGCTGATACGTTTGTCGGCGTCAACAGTAAGCATGCGATCAATGAGGTCCAGGGCAGGATCTCCAACAGAGTCCCAATACGGACTGGGATAATCAAATCTCCCCATCTTGATCTGCTGTGCCATCGTGTAGGGGTTCTCGCGAGAGTAGAGTTCGTCCGAGAATGGAGGAAATCCGCACAGACAGATGTAAAGCACCACACCTAGCGACCATACATCGACAGCACGAGTGTATTTTCGATGTTTGGTGTTTTGTAGGATCTCGGGAGCGACATCTAGTGTTGTCAGTAAGGTCAGCGCACATGTCAAATTACTCACAGCTGGGGGTGCCACAGAGAGTGGTGGTAAATGACTCCTCGCCAATAATTTTGGCAAGCCCGAAATCGGCCAACTTGACAGAGAGATGCTTGTCCGTAAGCAAGATGTTCTCTGGCTTGATGTCGCGGTGGACGATGTTGCGTTCGTGAAGATACTTAGTGCCCTGGAACAATTGAATGAAGACTCTCCGTGTTTCGTCCTCGGTGAGCTTCTGCTTGGTGACGATCCAGTTGAAGAGCTCTCCTTCAGCAGCAAGCTCAAGAATTAGGTAGACACCATCGTCCTCGTTGAAGGTATCCTTCAAGCATAAGACATTTGGATGGCTAACACTTTTCAAGACGGCAATTTCTTGCTGCAGCCCTTCGACTTGTGAGCGCTGGGACTCTCCCATGCGCTTCTCGAACTTCTTGACCGCAAACTTAAGGCCACTGGACCGGTCGACGCAAAGATAGACTGTAGCAAAATGCCCCTTGCCGAGTTGTTGCAGTATGCGGTATGAAGCACCAAAGCCCGACGCCTGACTGCTGCGCGGATATTTGAACACGAATCTCGCATCGTCAAGTAGGGTGATTTCGTCACCGTCTTCCAGTTCTCGCCGCTTGTTACGACTCAGCAGCTGGTCGTTCACATAAGTGCCGTTCGTCGAGAGGTCCTCCAGAACGGCTCGAGCGTGACCTGCCCGGTTCTCATTGAAGAACAGGCAGTGTCTGTTTGAAATGGTCGGTATGTCCACGATCAGATCGCACTCAGGATGTCTCCCTACCAGATAGCCGCCTGCAGGGAAGCCACTGTCGGCCTTGTTCTCTTCGTATTTTTGCTCGTCCTCAACCAAGGACTTGGGCTTGCTCCGTTTCTTGCTCTTCGTTGAGGATCTACTGATCTCTAGTGGTTGCACAGGCGCAGGGCAGAACGTTCTCTTCTTCATGACAAGCTTATTGCCATGTTCTGGGTTGATCGGGTATAGGACGCCCCAAGTACCTTCCTCGTCTTCAACGTCAGGCTCAAAGTCTCGTGGAGGGTAGATGAACTGTGACAGAGGCTGTGTGTCCTGCGGAGGGGATGATACGGGCAAGTTGGAAACAGGTGTGACTTGTCTCTGCTGCCGAGTATCGGCTTGCGAGATGTCCTCATCTTTGGGCTCGGTAGCGGTTGACTCTTGGTTGGTCAGTGGGGAGGGCAGGTATTGGTTCTTAATTGGTGTGTGCTTCGTCTGCGCTTGTGATTGAGAAAGACGATTCGATCGACGAGGCTTCTTGATCTCTTGATCCTCGCCTGTGCTATGCTACTGAATGTCAGGTTGAGTACTATGCAAGCATGGCGCAGTCAACGAACCCTTCCACGCTTCAAATTGCTCTTCTCCGCTTTTGGACCCATGATGCGCACCCCAACCCACTGCTGAAATACTTCGGGTCAAGGATGGACCGCAACCCACCAGAATGTATGTTCAACAGTCTGGGGACGAATGATCGGCAGGTTGAGGCAGTGAACGCGATGGCTGGGATGAAAAGGACGGCAATGCCTGAGGCACAGAAAATTGTTGTAATTCGGCGATCATAGGCACGGAGAAATGCAAGATGGGCACATGCTGCAGCTCAGAGGCGGGTTTCAACTCCAGGTCATCATCAACTTGACTATTGGACCCTGTCGAAGCTGGGGGACGCTCCAGACTGCGACCGGTCAGCGATCCGAGTCGGTCTTCACAGCTCGGCGGGTAGTTTCTCCAGTCCCGCAGGTGGGCTCCACAGCATTCGATGCCATCTTGGCATAAAATGCTTCAATCTTTAAGAATATGCCAACATTATCGTTGATGTTAATTCGTGCTATTCGGTTGTATTCGGCACAAACCAGAGCCACTAACGATAGCTCACGCGATGAATCATATTCTACCGCCTTTTCGCAGCTTGAAGCCAGTAAAATCGACCCAATTTTGTCTCGTCATGTGCCACTCACTGAAGAGGCTTGCATTGCAAGGAATGATACTTATGAACACCTGTCTAGCTACAATGATGTGGACTGAAGCCCCATGACCCGTTCGAGGCGACGTAGCCACTAAACGCCCATTTTCTGTAGGCTTCTCACTAAATCGGTCACGCTCGTCTCCAAGCTCCGATACTCCAAGCCCAGCACCTCCTTTGCTCTGCTATTATCGATCTTGAATGGAAATTCCTTTGGATCCGCCTCGTACTTTTCCGGCAGCTTCTCGGCCAACTCCGGAAACTCTTTCTTGATCGCATCCGCCACATCGTTATTCCGATAGAAGCCCGCCGTCACAAAGAAGCGCTTGCCCTGCGCCTCCTCGCGCTCGATAGCCCGCACGTGCGCGAGTGCCAAATCCCGCACATCGACGAAGATGACCACACGAGTGGTGGGGAGCCCGCTGTCGCGGAACTTACCCGTCACCATATCGCGCACGATCTCGTTGGAGGTGTTGAGACTGGAGAGATCGGCAAGATAGTGAACCACCGGGCCGAGCACAAGTGGCGGACAGAGTGTCGTGAGCGTGAAGTTGGGCTTCTCCTTCTCAACAAAATCCCAGGCGGCTCGCTCGGCGAGAGTCTTACTGCCGCGATAGGCGGTGCCCGCGTCGGTGTGTAGCGCTTCGTCCTCGGTGACTGGGTTCCAGGAGGACTCGTTATAAACAGAAGGATGTTGCTTGGCGTTGATCTGCGGGGGACGGCAAGGTCAGCATGGGGTTGGAATGCAGGAATAGGCATTTTGTGGACCTCTTGGACATAGATGTGGCAGGGGAGACTTACTATAGCAGCAAAGGAAGATGTAATCGCTACCCGTTTTACACTCGGCGCATTGGCTTTGATCGCTCTGAGTATGCCGGTGGTTCCGATAATGGCCGGGTCAAGCAGATCCTTCTTAGGATCCTGGACATTGAAATGGAACGGTGAGGCGGTATGAAGCACTGCTTCGAATGGCGGATCGGATTTGACAGCCTCATCGAAAGCGTTCTCTTTGGCGATGTCTTCAACAATGACATACGAGAGTTGCGACGACGGGACATCTGGGTGATTGGACAGGATTTTTTGCCCTTTGGCATCGGACCGCACAGTGAAGACAACTGAGTGCTTGTTCTGTAGCAGGATGTCGACGCAGTGGGCGGCGATGAATCCGCTGCCTCCTGTCAAGAGAACACGCATGTTTGAGGCTGATGTATTGGAAAAGGAACGATGTAGCAGTAGCGGCTGCCGTAGTCGTGTGGAAGAATTCTTAGCAAGAGTCAATGCCGTGGTCTTCATTGCAGTTCTTAAGAGACGAAGTGGCCAATACTTATCTAATCAACAAATGCGAAGTCGGCAGTTGACGATCTCGACGTCATGAGTTGATATTTTGCATGGTACACATTATCAGCGGAGATGAATGGCTTTGGAGCTAAAATCCGACTCTAGGAACCCGGTCGCTTGCTAATCAATGTGTAAGGTGTACCCATGTTGCAAGCCGTTGTTTGATTAGTCGTCTTCGCATTCGGCTATCTGTGGTTGTGCCTTTTTCGGCAAGGCAACACGGCGCCTTGACCCACGGACGCGGCCGCCTCGCGCGCACAGCGGCCGTCTAACGCGCATCGCCGACCCTTCCGGTCGATTGCGGTGGAAAGGAGTTATGCCTTCTGCACGTCCTCCTTGTCTGCCGGCACATACGGAAGTCGCAGCGTTTCTGCAGGGCTTTCTTCCGCCACAGGCGAACGTGACCGATGTACCTTTTCTATTCCATACACCAAGACATCCACTATATGCGCCAGAGCGGCAGAGAGTTTCCCGGTTCATCTTTGGAGTGACCGCAACAACAGGCGTGTATGCCGCATTGAATGACGCTGATGTCCGACAAGCACCAGCCTGTTTCTTGCATCGCCCTTGGTCACTTGACAGACGCAGGGTACGACGTGGATCGCTTGTTTTCGCCAGTCACAATGCCTTCGATGCGAATCTGACTGTTGGGTGGAATGAAGCACTGGGTGCCAGGCTGGGTCTCAGAATTGACAATGCGATCTGTATACAGGGGTACAAAGGAAACTCAGATCGGAAGATTGGTCTGGTTGCTAAATTGGCTCAAGCGACACCACTGACCGTGCTTGTAGAGCAGCTCAAGGCCGAGTTCGCAGGAGCAGGAGAGCTGTTCGTTCCACAGTCCCTGGAGCAACACCTGACAGGTTCGATGATTGATATCGTCGCCATTATGAACGCCTTCCACCCTGATGAGATTTCACGCGTTCTGTCAGCGGTTCGCGATGCAAGCTGGCTAGAGCATGATTGTGATGGGACCAAGTTGCTCTATCTCACAGGCGCTGCTCGTGACTACGGACTTGAAGCTGCTGCCAAAGCCAATATGCCCGCACTCTGTGTTGGCCATCGAGCATGTGAGGAGTGGGGTGTCAGATACCTAGCCGAACAACTCCGAAACAAGTGGCCGGACGTGGATGTCGTGGAAGTACTTGAGGAAGAGGAGAGTGATATCAGGCAGATGGCGAAGTAGAATCGAGCTGTAGACTCGACTTGAGCCCTGCTGCATCGGCGCTGGTCCTCGTCCCCGGGAAAAACCGCCCGAAGATATCACAGCCGTCGCAACCATAATTACTATCCTCATAGTAAGCTAGGTCTCAAGCCTCGATTCCGCAATTGCCAACGAAACATCTCGCATCGCCTTCGGACAGCAACACTAGCCCATAGCCTTCCCACCCTCCAGATAACCCTCCCTGTAACTGCATCCCTCCCCAAGGCGCTCAAAATACTCAATCTCGAACTCCTTCTCCCACGTCGGCTTCGACTTCGCCCATAAAGTCTCGTAGTACGGCTTCGTCAACTGCTTCGTCTCGAACCACTCCCGCGACTCATTCCAGACTTCGAGAAGACGAAAGACTCCAGGCTGTTTCGGGTCGTTGAAGACGTCGAACAGTAGACATTCAGGCTCAGCGGCGCAGGCCGCCCACACCGGTCGGTGGGCTTCCTTCCACTCTTCGATCATGCCGGGCTTGATATAGAATGTTACGAACAGCGTGCATTGTTTTCGCGCCATGGTGTGTGGTTTCTGCCGTCTGTGCTTTGGCGATACGAGAGCGCTGCACGTGGTGTGTTGGGGCACGCTCAAGGTACATATACACAGCTTCCGCCCAGCTGTGGAGTTAAGATCACTTATATCAGCTCAAGTGCCAAAGTCCGATATAATAGCGCAGCTTCGATCCGAGTTAGGGACCTTTGAGCCTCTCTCTCCAGGACCCCCCAAATACGTGGGTCACGTAAATTTTGTTCTCCACTATCCCGCCAGATACTATGGCCTATATGGATCACGAATTGCTTTGAAGCGTGGTGACATCCATGACACATTGTACTTCACAAATTGACTGAGCCTCACATTCTTGTCCGAGAATTGTCAGTGCGGCTACAAGAACACCGTGTTGTCTGCAGATGGGGGCGAAGAAATGCGCCTTGGGTCGTGGTCTTTCTCCCATCGCCGTCCATGTCTGTCTGCTTTTGCAACACCGTCTTCCATGCAGTGAATTCGTTATCCTTCCAGTGCTTTTCGACAAAGTGAACATCACTTGCTTTAATCTGCACACTGAGATCGGCGACTGGGTCCTATGTTTTCGACTTCTCTGGCTCACGAGCTGCGTGGATTCGCAGGCCTGAATGGTGACCACCCAGAAGAGCAATGGCTTCAGAACCGGATCGTCCGTGGTCGCGTCCTTCAAGAAGGACATTTCGATGACTGCGACGATCTATCGCCGACTGAAACCAGAGCTCTTGTGCGTTGTGTAGAGGAGTCTCCTCTCGGGAGTGGTGCATACGGTATTGTTACTGCCGTGCGATTCGACGCAGGTCATGTTCGATATAGAAGTCCGGAAGACACACGCAATTCGCAGGTATGTGTGAGGTTTGTTCCGCTTAGTGATCGATGTCGTTGACTCGGCAGTCAATCGTCCTTGCGAGAAAAACGTTTTTTGGAGGTGAGGCTGAGGCCCGCAACAATTATCTCAACGAAGTCCGCTTCGACGAATTCCTTCGAGGTACTCTGAACAGCTCGGAAGAGATTCATGAAAATATCATGACTGCCTTCTGCGGCTATGGTAATATGGTGGATAGTAAAGCAACCTGGAGCATTTTCTATCACCGCGCGCAGTGCAGCCTCACCGAATATCTTGCCAATGACAACTACTTCCCGATAACATCTCGTGGTAGGCTTGAACATATCTACCAGATGCTCTGCATTGCCAACGCGCTCAAGTGGATGGCCGATAGGACACATGATGGGGTACAGGGCCCCGTCGAGTTAGGATACTACCATTGTGACTTGAAACCAAGCAATATTCTGGTTTTCATCACAGAAGGTGATCCCAGCAAACTGACCTTCAAGGTCAGCGATTTCGGTCGTGCGGTGCCTAGCTCAAATGCTTCCGGACCTGGTCGCAGTATGAACAGATCGAGTACTGTTCCAGTCGAAGCTATCGACTCTATGTGCAGTGCTCCGGAAATGTCGGGGAAAATCCCTGTTGTGGGTTCAAGATCCGATGTTTGGTCCTTCGGCTGTATCCTCTTGCTCGTTCTTGTGTTCAATGCGCATGGAATGGCTGCTGTGGCCGAGTTTACCAGCAGTCTTCTCAGGACGGCCGCTACCGACAGCTTCTGGGAGCCTAGGCACAAGTCGTTCGGCAGGACTGCAGACATAGTGGTGAAAGCAGAGGTGTCTAATTGCATTGAACAGTTGCGAAATCTAACCAGAGACAACACTGACTGGGTTGTGGTGGATGGCCTTCTGACATTGCTGGAAAAAGAGATCCTGATAACGAACCGGAAAAAAAGAGCCCGACTCGACAGATTGATCGCGCAGATGGCAGAAAGATACAACAGCAGATATCAAGTCACACCCAAAGAGGAGAAGCGAAATAGGCAAGCTCAGTACCTTCTATGTGCTCAGTCGCCTCGAGGAGAATTCGAACTTTTTCACGAGAAAGGAGATCGCCGAACTCTTTTCATCTGGCGCTTCGGTTGGACTGGTCCTTTACATGAACTGCGGCCCATGAGCCCTCCGAAAGATTCAGAGAACATACTACCGCAGTTGAACCCACACTCTGATTCTTGCGCCAGCGAAAAGATCTGTCAAGTGGTTTCTAATCGTGATCCGTTTGAGGTGGGTCTTGTTGAGCAAGGATGTATCCATTGAAGCTGAACTTCCCAGGTACTCATCTACACGATACCAATATCTCCTCGTACAAGGGTCATCCGAGACTTCATCGCCTTATCCGGCTTCAAATACGCTGAGTCTATCGCGATTTCTCCTGACGGAAGCTCCCTCGCTATTGACACAATCGAGAGTATCAACAAGCACAAGCGAAGGCGACGGCTCTGGTTGTTTGACGTTGGGACATTGTTGGGGCAAATGCCCAGGTAAGCCACCTTCTGGGACGCCACCTAGAGAGAACCTCTCTGCATTACGCCGTGGGGTGCAGATGTGACTGAAATCTATGAATTATAGAATCCGATCACTGCCGTCAACTATACCGGACGAATTGTCACCGACAGCTCTGAAAGCCGACTATTACGATAAACTTCGAGATCATTCTTCATCGGTCAGAGATATAGATCAAGAGACTCGATACCTGAGGTTCCGGGGAGCTGAGCGACTAATCTTGTACCATGGGGTCAGATACAAGGTCAGGGGAAGGCGCCGGTTCGATGTTTCTGGGTGGGATGTCGACAAGTCGGTGCTATTGAAGCGTCATACAATTGAAGACAAGGTATGTCCATCATTTGTTTTGTTCTGCCGAGGCTTCGTAAAATCTTAGGGTGATCTCGTCACTGACACATGGACTAGAACATTGAACATGAAAATTGGGTCACCGGTTTCGCGACGTTCAACTCAAAACTCGGGTTTGCCGTGATCATTCATCGCGAGACGATTGAGCTGTACAATCTGAACTCGGATACGGGCACTAGAGTAACCTGGATTAATGAACCAAAGCCCCGGGATCTCAAGGTCATCCTGATAACGTTCGACGATACTTGGGCGATCGTGATCTGGGGTGGTAGTCGCTTGAACGTGTCAGGATTTCCGTTGCCATTCTCAGCCGGGCGAGAGAAGGTTCTCAAAATCGATAAGGCGGACAACTATGCATTTGACACAGAGAGGGACAGAGCCTGCATCACGGTGGGGGAGAACAATGAACGCTTCTTGCTAATAACCTACTGCAGCGGTCGCTCAGCAAAATTCAATCTTGAGCCGTTCTTCTTCCCAGAAGAGTCGGAACGACCTAGTTAGCTACAGACACGTCGATCTCGTAAGATTTGAAAGTAGCTTGCCAAAATTCCTGGTTCTTGTACATCATTGTAGGTATAGGCTCGCAGTATGATGATCCTGCTATGGTTCTCTCGAACTTCGCCCTGAAAAGTTTGATCGCAACCATGCGGTTTGTTCTGGTGTCAGGGGAATAATGCCCAAAAGATCGCGCTTCCGTAATACTGGCGGCTTACGATTTCTGAGACTCGTTATCCGCCTCTCGGTATAGTTCTCGAACAAACTCCTGACGGACTCGTCGTTGTCGAGATCCGTGAAGAAGCGGAATGGTTTGCCTCTGAGAAACTTGAGACCTTTGAGAGCTAGTGGTGTCAAAATGAACAATCCCACCTAGGTGGAGAACCAATGAATCAGCACATTGTCATCTCATGCGCCTGCTGGGCCGAAAGGGAAACAGCCTTACAATTCCAGATAGCGAGGAATACTCTGCTGCATCAGGAGTGCGGACACACGTGAGGATGCCGCCAACAAGGACGATAAGCAGACACAAGACACCGGTGCTGAGAGAAATTGTACAATGCAACCAGTACCAAGCCGTGTCTGCGATGGGGATGTGTTGTTGCAGAGCTCCTGTCCAGTGAACCCTTTTCCTTCTCAGACTAGAACCATTTATCAATGTTAGCATACATTTGTTGACAAGAGAGCAGGTGTATCACTTCACCACATGTAGAGCCGCCATGCGGCGATTTGTTCACAGCCCCAGACCAAGATACAGCATATAGACCCCGCATTTGAGGTCCAAGTAATCGCCTGTGTGATTGTGAGAAGCACATCTCGTATATATGGAAGTTGAGAACCAAGTTACCTTTTCAATAGCGCCCTCCCACCTATATCTTACAAAAGAAATTGGGACTGGCAGTAAGATAGACAGAATTACCGCCATATGCGGAACTTGGAACTTGTTCTTCCAAATAAGCAATTGTGGAAACTTCTGAATGAGGCTGGAGTTTTTGTCGGGTGCAGTACCGAGGTATTGGCCTGAATGTCTCATCCCAATCGTATACAGTGTACGACTTGCAATGTAGAGAGCAGTACTGGACGTCAAGACCACATTTAAGGTCAACAGGGCTTTGAGCACTGTGTCGAGACCTTTGAGAGAGTCGAGAGATGAAGCTGCGGTGACAAAAGGTGAGATCCCCGGTTCGATGGCGCTAAGATTCAGGTTCTGAACACTGCCTGTAGTCTGCACATTATTGATTGAGACCTGTGTAGTGGTGCTCTGGTTTGGAACAACATTTTCGGTGACAATCCATCCTCCCCAGAGGTATATCAGTGTAGTGGTAAGTGGCACAAGCCAGGCAGGTCCGCTAAATGGGCTTCTATCTAGTTGCAGATTTTTGGTGTCAAAGAAATCGTCGTCTGTAGAAGTTGAGTTTGTAGAGTTACTTTCGACGTGGTCAGAGGCAGCCTCACGGCTGGGGTATCTGCTGAAGTCGACTTCAGTGGCTGTTGCTGCAATAGCTTCTATTCCGACAAAGGCGAATGCCGAAACAAACACGGCAACACAGACATCTTCAATCCACCAATGACCTGTTTGGAGGAAGACCGAGTCCCTCTTTTCTTTGCCTACAGTGTTCACCTTCGGATTGATGATCATCATGGTCGTGTTGAAGGTAACAGCCAGTACCAATTTTAGTAGTCCACATCCAAACTCAAATTCCTTGAGGTACCGAATGTCTGTCAGGTTCGCCAGGAAGGGAACAACAACAGATACAACAGAGAGTGTGATCGTTAACGAATGCGGAATTTCAAACGAATCAAGCAGCTCCGCAGCAGTAGCCGTCAAGGCAGCAAATGACAGGCAATAAGTCAGCCAGTACAGAATGCCAACAGTTTGCCCGAGTTCCTTGTCGACAAAGTCTTCAACGAAAGCCACCAAGGCGCCTCGAATGGGCCACACGTGCAGAAGTCTCGCTTGATCTTGGAGGACCGCAAAGGCCAAAAACCCAAGAACTCCGTACGCGCAAAGCACAGTGCCTTGGCCCCCCGAGTCAGCAACCATGCCTGTCCTGATGTAGAAGCCCATGCCGATGACTGCACCAATTGATATACAGAAGATATGGCGCGGTTGAAGTTCACGCCTGAGTGATAGGGCTTGAATCGCTTCCGTGTCGGAAGGTTCCACTCCTACATTTGAGGTCGCGCTGGGCCCGATAGGACCTCCAATACTAGGGACATGCGGTCGAGAGTGTACACCTGGTGAGGAAGGTCTTGAGTCAACCCTATCTGGATTATCGTCATAGCCGAGAAAGTTACTTTGCGAATCCCCGGACCGGTTCCGTATATGTGATGTCGCATGGGCAGTCTGAGGCTGGTATCCCGACTGCAGCGATGGTCGAGGTTGTCGACTGGGTGATTGAGTGGAACTAGAGGGGAGATCGTCACCCGAATGAAGTCGATGGAATACCTCAGCCCGTGTGCGTTGCTTTGATCGTGAACTAAGCTCCCAGTCGTTATTTGAGCTGACTGGCCGTGTCATCGCTGAGCCTGTTGCGAGTAGTATGTGTGCTGCAGAGGGACCCAGACGCTCCTTGGGTGCGAAGGACCCCAAAAAGGCTCTGACTCGTGGAAGACTGCAGTCCCTAGTCGTCAGAAACTGGTAACATGGGAAGGCATTCTGAGAGTCAGCATTCGAGAGATGTTCGGCTGGTGAGGAGAAAGGGGGCGTAGCGATAAGGTAACCAATGATGGAACAGATGAACATCGGACATTGCAGATAAGCGAAAATTGGCACGCCGTGACCGCCATTTCAGGGCGTTGCGTCGCCAATGAGCGAGCCTATGGATTCGCAGCCTCCTTGACCGGTGAAGGCATCCTGGGGGCGACGGCAAGGCCCCCGTATCGATCGCGGTCTAGCCTTCCTGCCGGACTGATGACAGCCTGATGGTCGTTTTTATGAATTCGGCCGCTCTATCTGCGGAATAGGACATCAGATCGTCTTCCTGACATACCTTTGCTGAATCGATCATGCCTCGATATACTGTGAACCATTACTTACGATCGGAAGAGGCGTTATATGAAGTACTCCTCGACAAGTTTCCAGGTCGTTCCATGCGCAGCTTCCACATCCGGGTAAGCGGCTCGACCCGACAACTACCAACAATTTGTTGTTGACAAAGCGCAAGCGTTCTAGAGATACTTGGATTTACGAGGCACCAGATAAGCTGAGCGACGAGGAACTACAGTGAGCGGCTCACTTGAAAGTGGTTCGTGAACATTTAGACTGATGTTGCTAGGCCTGCGGTCAGTAGATACCGGCGAGACGCTCGGGGTGAAACCATTTGAAATGCTGTTTCCTGTGTCGGAGCGCGCGGTCTGTAACACACCGGTATTGTCGTAACGTACAAGTGAGCGGCGTTGCCAAGCAGGTGCCTGCGTTGTACGTGGTAGATAGAGCCTGAACGGTAGATTCGTGCAATCTGAGTATAACTTCCCATCATTCTGTGCTTTGTGTTATGACAGAGCTTTCATCGCATCATTGCTGCAAATCACAATGGAATTGTCGGTTCTTGACCCAGTATTTCGGCTTCCTGTGAACCCGGAAGAGCTATCAGTCGAAGTCCTCAGCCTTGCCAGCCGAGACACTTCAGCGAACAAGTTGTCGATCTCGCACGACCCGCTGTCACTGAAGCTTGAGAATAACCGATTCACCCAGGCGCAGGCACTTTCGCAGTACCTTCAGGAGAAGAACAGGGAAGGCTATACAACCCAAGTGATGTTAACCACCTCCATCTGACTCAGCAAGGTCACGGTCTGATATTGGTTAGCTCATTACAAAAGAGAATTCATATGCCCCGATAGATGCTGACATAGATCTCATCAGAGCAGTATTGACATCCCACGACGTCATGCCAGCTATCCAGCAGGTTATCTTGGCTTTCCGACCGATGAGTAATAGACTCGAAGAAGCCTACTCTGAGTCTCTGTGGAAATGCGAAAAGGCGGACATACTGGGTGTGCTAGAAAGGTTGATTCCTTTCAAGCCGTAGAGCTGACTAAAATTGGGCAGAAATCACGTACGTTCTCAAATTCCCCGAGCCCAGAGCAACAGATGGGCAGAAAACCGAATGGTCTATTCGCAAACTCGGCATATATCAAAAGTACAACATCTCGAATGGACAAAATACATGGATCTTGATATACCCAAACCGAGAAAGCACAATCAAGACGACCTTAGCTCACAGTTTGGATCCACAGAGAGACAAGCTGCCGATCTTGGATCACCCACTAGCGATGCACAGAATTTTGATCATGTCCCGGATCGACAATTGGAGACCGTACATCAGTCAGTTTGAGCGTGAGGTTTGGGAGCTGGTGTGTGCCACGAATAACGTCTTTGAGATCATGCTAACACGTCTCAGGGAGACTTAAGTGCAACCATTGACATTGAGGATGTGCTGCCGTTTCGCGATACCTACATGGACCTCTCGACTCTCCACTATCTTGAATCACGCCTCGCTCCCCTCCGCTCCATATTCGCAGCGAACAAGCGACTGCTCGACGCTCTAGACCTCATCAATAACCGGCTCGAGAATCAAGGCCATATCACACGGCAGAATGCCTGGGAAATGCGCGAGTCACTAATTAACCTCAAATCTCGCATTCTTGCGAACGATGAGAATGTCGATTTTGTGCTATCCAAGTTATCTCGGATAACAGAGCTGGTAAGGATGCCCCATCCCATGCCATTAGCTTGATAGTATCGCTGACTATATTGACATCAGTTATCTGGGACCATCAACTTGAAAAGTCAACATGCGTCTGAGGATATGTCAAACAGGGTCTACGATCTCACCAGATCCGCGTTTGAGGATAGCACTTCTATGCGCGTGACAACCTTTACAACGTTGCTGTTCTTGCCTTCAACGTTTGTCGCGGTACACAATAGCACCCTCTCTACTTCCTCTCAGGAATGCTTGAACTAACAGTGGCTGTCGATAGGGAATATTTGGTATGGGATTCTTCTCTGTGGGCGGTGATTCTCACGTGGCGTGGAATATGTCACCTCTCGTCTGGATTTTCTTCGCCATTGCTATTCCCCTTACTATGATTACGCTTTTGTATTGGAGGTGGAGCATGATGAGAGCGATCAAGCGGACAGCCGACAAAGCCGGGCTCAGATGGCACGTGTAGCATGGCTTGCGCCGTGTCAGAAGTGTCCGGCATGTACCCATGGACAAGCTTTTCTTTGCGCTTCAGTCAGTATGCCAGAGAACTACACTCGGTAGAAGCACAAGCACCAACCCAATGAGCTTCTTTCGGTTGCAGTAGAGAAGACAGTCCAGACTTGGGCGAACTGATTGAATAGACATAGCTCCCGCCGTAAGTGTGTTTTGTGTTTTATGCCAAGAACTTTACTGCCTGCTATCCCCCTCATCAGCCGAAGATCTGCCGTCATCACCGCAGAATTTCGGTCAGCACTCCGCTGCTTGCTCTCACTTCCACGTTCTGTTTCCACCTTGTCCGCGTATACCTCTGAGAAAGGCTGCATCTTCGTACACAGTTGAGCAACAAAAATGGCGCCACTCCCTCCATCTTCTAATCACCGTACCGCAGCCCCCAAAAAATCCATCCTAAAATCTTCTGGTGCCTCAGCCTCTCAAGTGAACCCAGCATCATCCTCAAAGCCCTCCAAAACCTCTAGCCGCGACTCCTCTCTCTTCCCCACCACAAAAGCCGACAAGCGCCGCATAAAGCATTCTGCCCTCTTGTCAAAGGTTACCAAACCGCGTCTGTCAACCACAGAATCGAAGCAACGAAGGCGGCGACCGAACAAAAAGCTCGTCACTACCCTTGACTCCCTCGTCGATGCCTTGCCAGAGCCGACGTCCACATCGACGACCTCAGAAGCCGGAAGCAAAGATCATCAGGCAGCAGGCGATACGCCAGAACAACAGGTCAATATCATCAAGCGGAAGAGCATGAAAAGCAAACCCGGCGCTTTGAAACGGAAGCAGCGGGTCGAGAATGAGGAGAGGGCGCGATGGGGACGCAACATGGCGCAAATGAGCGGAACGGCAGCCAGTGTTGACACGACTGATGGCACCAAAAGTCGGTGGGCGGCTCTACGGGGCTTCATCGGCGAGACGCTGGAGCGGAGGCCTGATGTCACGGCTGCTATCAAAGCTGGTTGAGAATGAGCAGGGACTTCTACCAACACTGATATGAAACTCCTGTCCGCGCCCAGTGAGATGAATCGACCGCCATTACGTCTACAGGGAGGCACTCAACGCGCCAATCGCTAGCTCGCCTGCCGAATGACACCTCCCCTGGCCACTCTGCTACACTATGCCATTCGCTCAGGCCCAGCATTCCCTGAGACTGGGCTCGTTTTCAACAACACCGTCCCGGATCAGAATGCCCACAACAAGCCCACCGTCCCCATACCACTGAGCACAAACACCGCCAAACTCGTCTTCACCACCAACTCTTTACTCCTAAGCCCCCACGCCGGCCACAGCCCCCTCACAACCTCATGTATGCCCTGCACGGCATGCAGACTCAGCCCCCACGCCGCCACCGCCTTGCCACCCCACACCACCACCCCCGGCAGCGCCGCCACCGCCGCCACGACACCAGCGGACGATATGCCCACATCAGAACCAAGGAGGGGCGACAGGCCGTGCGCGATAAGGAACAGGTACAGCGGCCCTGCGAAGAGCAGGCCGGTGTTGCGCTGCAGGGCTGAGAGCAGCATGTGGCTCTGCCAGCGCCAGATGGTGATGTGCGGGGAGACGGGGCGGCGGAGGCGCTGTGCGGCGAGGTGGCTTTGGTGGAAGCCCGGTGTGCTTGGTTTGAGGGTTATGTGAGAGGTGGTGGAGCTGTGCAGGGACAGAGAAAAGGAAGTGTTAGCGAGACGGCTCTTCGTGAATGCTGGGATGTGGGGGGGCAACGGGGCATGGGTCGAGGGAAGAAAGGAAGACGTACTCTGTGGACTGTGTCGAGTGCGCCCGAAGAGCATGTTGATGGCGTTGTAGCACTGTCGCGTGCAGTGAAGCGAGCGCTGGCCGTGCGCCGGCCGGAAACTCGTTACGAAGAAGGCCAACGGCGGCACGCGTTCGGAGTCGCGCCAGGCTGACGGCGTTCGTAGACATTATCGCATGCGTCAGACACGGCCATGCAACTGCGGTAGTCGAAAGATCGTGTCCCAGTCTCGTATCGTGGCTTTCCTCTCGCTACAAAATAAGAAGCAGCAGAATCACAGCGCAATTCGTTGTGCAAATCATCCCCGTGTCGGAGGCTCGCCGAAGGACCGGACCAGGTTGCATTCTGTAAGCTACCGGTCGCACGCACTCATGACAGACCAAGTCAGCTGGGTTTATTTCATGAGAACGAATACGAGTGAAACTGGGAGTCAAAGGTTCGTACGAGTACTCATACATGGTGCCGCCATGGCACGTTGGTTCTGTTTGCCCAAGTCAAGTGCCACAGTACCGGAGGAGAACGAGAGTGAATGCCAAGCTTTCGCTGCCTACGCTCGCAAGCTCGTTGCCATCCAGTGGTGTGTCCGGGACGTTCCCGAGGACGAGCGGTAGGGTACAGGCGGTGACACTTAGGGCGGCTAGATTACTCTCTTCTTGAACCCGTCGGTCTGACCATGAGACTCTATCAATTATCAATCACTGAGCTGCGTGCTTCTATCCCCCCCCCCCCAAATTCCTCACTCGGTCAGTGGAGGGGAGAAGAAACGCCCATTCAATCCCTCGCGCGCGTATCTATCTACATGCCACGCTCACTCTATCTTTTGTCTAACGCGCCCCGGCTCCTCCCCAAAATATTAGTCCTTGATCAAACTATTCCTCGCCACCCTCCCCCTCCCCTCCATAAACTCCACCATATTCCCCACGGTGACCGCACTAATCTCCCCCAAGGCCTCCTCGGTAAAGAATCCCTGATGACTACAGACAATGACATTCGGGAACGTCATCAGCCTGGCAAACACCTCATCCTGCATGACCTCGCCGCTGTGGTCGCTGTAGAACAACGGCGCCTCGGCCTCGTAGACATCGAGCGCCAGGCCCCGCAGCTTGCCGGCCTTCAGGGCCTGAATCACGGCTTTGGTGTCGATGAGGCCGCCGCGGCTGGTGTTGACGAGCAAGGCGCGGTCCTTCATCTGCGCCAGCGTCTCCTCGCGCACCAGGTGTCGCGTGCTCTCCAGCAGCGGGCAGTGCAGGCTCACGACGTCGCTCTCCTGCAGCAACTGCGCCAACTCCACATACGTGCCCAGCTTCTCGGTCTCGAAATCCTTGGATTTGTAGACGTCGTACGCCAAAACGCGGCAGCCGAAGCCCCTCATGATGCGCGCGAAGCACAGGCCGATGCGGCCCGTGCCGACGACGCCGACGGTCTTGCCGTGCAGCGTCTGGCCCAGCAGGCCGTGCAGGGCGAAGTTGCCCTCGCGCACGCGGTTGTAGGCGCGGTGCGTGTTGCGGTTGAGGGTCTGGATCAGCGCGACGGCGAACTCGGCCACGGCTTCGGGGCTGTAGCTGGGGACGTGGGCGACGAAGAAGCCCAGGGATTTGGCCGCGAGGAGGTCGACGTTGTTGAAGCCCGCGCAGCGGAGCAGGATGGCTTTGACGCCGAGGCTGGCGAGGTGCTGGAGGACGGGCGCGGTGAGGATGTCGTTGACGAAGACGCAGACGGCGGTGTGCGAGGCGGCGAGTTTGGCGGTTAGGGGCGTGAGGGAGACGGTGTAGAAGTCGATTTTGAAGGGAGAGGCGTCGCCGAACTGGGTGGTGAGTTGGGCGGAGAGGTATTGCCGGTCGTATGGTTGGGTGGAGAAGACAGCGAGGGAGTGGATGGCAGGTGACTCGGTGCTGGCCATGCTGGTCAGAGGTGTAGACTGATAACTAGATGGGTCTAAGTTGGTGAATGTTTAGTTGTGACGGTGACGATGATGGTGGCGATGAGTAGAGGCTTTGCTCCTCAGGTCGTTGGGATATCCGATCAGTTTCTTGTGTGGTTGATTAAGGGATACCCCAAGGCGACGGTGCTCTTATAAAGGATACTTCAGGGGCTACAGCCTCACTCAGCTGTTGATTGCGGGAATTGTGTGCAGGTAGCAGCAAGTAGTCAATCAGGCGCCCAGAAGGCGCCACGCTGTTCTATGTCTGACGGAGCTGGCCGGACGCAATCAGATGGTGGCTGATGCTACGTAGCCGTATTGGCAGACTGCGGCGTGGGCCAAAAACGCTATCAGAAACAAGGTGGTGTGATGCTCTGCTGATGAGAGAATCGGTCGACCGATGAGGCTCATGTGCTTCCCACGAATGATTGCTGTGATTTCGTGCTGGTGCTTCTCTTGTCAGATAGCGACTATCGAAGAACACCACTTCTGCAAAGAGGCAAAGAGGGGTTCGAGGTGACCTCGCGGTCGTGCAGGGCGAATACGAGGGGCTGAATACGGTGAAGCATGTGACCAGCATTTACTGCCTCTTGGCATGAACCCAATACTCTGTACCAGGTAGTCTTCATAGACAGTCATCAATCCATTCCTAAGGATCTGTCAGGACGCCCATGCAATATGCTATGCTATGATATGCTTTACTCGACACTGCCTGCCACTTCCTTCCATGCTACGCACCATTGATGATCGCTGACTGTGATGGTTGAGTAGCACTGTTTAGCTACGAGCTACCTTCTGGATCCAGACGCTTTCGCACGTTTGGAATCATGTTCATGTTCGTCGTAATCGTCCACCGTCATCGTCATCGTTTGTATCTGGACCCGGACCTCAAAACCCTTTAGTCGGACTCTCTGTCCCCTCACTCTCGGCATCCTCTTCCTCGATCATGGGCGTCCTTCGCGCCTTGGCCCGCTCGTCTCTCCGCTTCGGTCTCCGTCTTCTCGAGCTGCTAATGTTGCTCGCGCTGTCGTCGGGTGCCAGCTCGCTGACCCCGTCCCAATCCCCTAAGCCATCGTCTGTCTCCGACTCCCACATCCCCGTACCGACGCCACCCCCATACGGACCGCGCAATCCGTCAAAACCAACTCCAAGCCCGCTTCCCGGTGTGCCCATCCGCACCTCCACTCCTCCAGCAGCCGACCCGCGCCGACGGTGTGAAGCAGCTGATAGGCCGGCAGCCCGCTCCGCAAGTGCACGGCGCACGGCTTCTGCCTTGACATGCAACTGCTCAAACGCGTCTTCTAAAACTTCCATACCCTGATAGATATCCCGTTCGATCTCCGCAAGCGTGGCGATTTCCGTTTCTTCGTCAAAGGCAATCGGGGCTCCGCGTGTGGCTGTGCCGGGCGTGGCTGATCGACCATATCCTGGGCCAGTACTGTTGGGCCGCGCATGTTGGAAGCCGCTGGCGCTCATTCGCCCTTGTGCAGGGGTCGCACCACGCGACAGTGGTTTGCGGAGTGGCATGTCAGGTGCAGGAGCATCGTCGGCCCCAGACCGCAGGAATCCATCAAAGCGGCCCGAGATGAGAATTTCCCATTCATCGTTGGACACCGCTGCAAGCGTCGCGAGCGCATTGTGCAGCTGAGGATTGTTGAGCATGAAAATGGCAGTCTCGGGATCGCGCGGCGGCGAGTGGAGCCGGTAGAGTCGTTGAATAGCTTCACCAACCAGGACAATATGCGCTGGTCGCTCGCGTGGTGCGGGTGTTGGCACTGGTTCGGGTGGAGCGCCTTTCTCGGGAGACGGCGCGCGGCGCGGAGGCTCGAGCGGCCGATCGACAATACACAAGAGGTTCTTGTAGAGCTGACGCTGTTCCACAGGTAGATGGGTGAGCATGGCAAATGTCAGAGTCTCATCGTCGAATTCTTCCGGCGGACTAGTTGGCGCGTCATTCTGCCGGTTTAACCACTTGTCCACTGATTGTTTGGTCTTTCGCGACTGTCGTATGTAATGCTCGCGATACTCCTCTGGCACATCGATATCGAGCTTTTGCATCGGGGCGTGTGGCTCTGCAGCAATACCGAGGCCCACAGGCGCGCCGACAAGGGAGAAGGGAGGCCAGATGGGCAATTCCTGTCGACCAGCGACGAGTTCGAGTATTTCACCCCAGCTGACGCCCCGGACATCTTCGCCTTGTTGATGTTCTTCCGCGCACATACAGCATTGACAGAATTCGTTGGAGATGTCTCGCGCAAAAACGGCTTCCAGGCGATCTAGCAATCGCCGTGCAACGGACTTGTAGCCTGTCGCAACCGCCAGAGAGCCATTCTTGCTGATGACTCGGTCAAAATCATCGAGCAGCTGGTGATACGGTTCGAAAAGATTGGCGACCACAACCGGCTCTTGACTCGGGGTCATGGCTTGCTGAATTGCCATTGGCTTTCCAGAAAGAAGTAAATTCTTTGGGACGGTGTAATGCAGACCGCCATGCTGAAGAAGGTAGTCGACACGCGGCACGGACACAACTGGTGGCGGTGGAGGCGGAGGCGGGGCAGCTGAGGCTGGATATGCCGAAGAATGGGGGGATCCAAACACTTCGAGCGGTGTTGTGCCTCGAGATTGCGCATCATTGAGCGAGGTGACGTGAGATCGCACACCATCATGACCAGCACCCGGCGGTATTCTCGAACCTGGACGTTGAATATTGGGTTGAACTGGTGCGATTGAGGTGCCGTCCGAGCTGCTACCAACATCGTCGGGGGATGTTCTATCGGGCTCTGGGGTTTTCTTTCTGGTAGGTTGGCTGACAGAACGCTTCACGCCACCATCCAACTCTCTGGGCTTCAGCGGTGACGTTGTCGCCTCCTTCGTTTTGGTGGGCGAACCAGTGGATCCTAGATCGGAGGAGCTGCGCAAGTGGCCGTTGGAGCGTGACGACTTTGGCTGTAATCTGATCCGGATCTTGCTGTCCCTGTCGCTGGACTCTTTCTTGTCCTCTTCATCGATTGTCTCCACCCTCACAGGCTTGACCTTTGATGTTTTCCTGCCCGCAGTCTGATCGGTGAGTGGAGGGCTGGGAGGGCCACGAGTCCCGGCAGCCGATCTAGGCTGTGATAATTTTTCTTTCGACGCATCCAAATCTGTGGCTGTGGGTGTAAAGATACCGTTCGGTGGCCTGGGTCCAATGGCCTCCTTACTGTGCAGTTTGGAAAATGAGGGGTAAGGAAGGCTCGACTTGGACTCGGACTTGGGTATCGGCTTCTCTTCTGCCTCTGAGATGGCTTCGGGCATGGATGAACGTCTTTGGGAGCCGTCTGAATTCAACGACGTTCGCGAGGTCGATTTCTCTTTGGACGAAGACTTGCGGGAGGAGTGCGTCTTGTGCCGGTGGCGCTTCTCCTTGTCATCTTTAGAAGACTCTTTTCGCTCGCGGCGCCGCTCAGGGCTTTTCTCACGTAGCTTGGAAGGCATAGCAGAAGAACTGCATCATGCGACCTTGTGACGGGCAGTGGCAGCGCTAAGCTCGAGGCGAAGAGCGGTCGAGAGGGGGTCTCGTGGCGGCTGTAAACGGTCGCATGCGCTACGCAGTCATTGCCAGCCTTGGTCGTTACGGCCGCTGCACGTGTCACTCGATGTCACAGTACCACGTCGAGTCAGAGTTTGGGACGGGTTTGTCGGTGAAAGTAAGAGCTATGGTACGAACGATCTGGGTAGAAGTGGGAATATGAGGGCGCATGTCGTTGGTCGAGATGGGCGTCAAATGGGGAGGCTGGCAAGGATGCGCTTCCAAGACCAAGTCTTCTGGAAAATCCTCCCGCCTCGCGCTTTTCATTTCGAAGCGCCCTGTTATGACGGTGACGGGGCAAAATTTAGCCATTGACCGTCCGCCAGCTCACTGTCGCGTGCATAGCTCCTGGTCGGGTACACATACAGCTACATTGGGCTTATAAGCGGGCGCGTGGGGATATCGCGCCCTGCCACCCCACATTGGCCTGTGGACACGAGCACTCCCGTTTTTCCTCGATGAAGGTGAAAATGCATTCAATTGATATCTCGCTTGCTCTTCCAGTATTCCATGACTCCTCGCTATGCCCCTATGCTGAAATATGCAGACTATACAAATGCTCTACCAGCCAATAACAAGGCCAGCCACCAAGACCACAGCCAGCAGACCTCCCTTTGGCGAAGCAGTCTTTTCAACACCACTGCGGAAACTCCTCTGATTAGTACCGCAGCACGAGTCTGTGTCATAGGTGACGTTGTTTGCCGTAGCCGCAACTTGGAATACAGAGCCGTTGAAATTGCCAACGTTGTAGTAATCGACAAGGACGAAGTTGGGTGGTCGATTCCAGTCTTGCGTACAGTTGGTGACGGCCAACCCAGCACTGCCGAAGCCTTCGACGGCGTTGGTCTCGTTGAGGAGATTGGAAGCTGGGATAAGAAGACTGATGCCTGCTAAAGCCACCTCGAGGTTCAGGTTATGGTTAGCCATGAACATTCTGTCGCGACTCGTCTCCTCGGATTGATCTGGTGGTCGCTGGACAGTACAAGGAAAGCTCCTCTCGGTTGGCGAGAACGGAGTCTCCCACATTTGCGAGAATTCGTCGAGCAGCCAAGGAATCTCGTCCTGGTTGGCCTGGTAGTCGAGCATAAAGACGACCCTTTGCTGACGAAGTATCATATCACCCAAGGCCGGCCAATCATCGAGTCCCATGGGTCTCTGCGGCGGTATGTAGGCGTATTTGAGAAGGCCCGAATTGCGGACGGGCTCGACGAAGCTCTCTGGAGGGACCATACCATAGTTGCCCATCAAGATGGTCACCACATCGTATGGATTGTCCTGCATCCAGCCGTACACAGTCCTCAGATAGTCTTCCAGCGGGCCCGCATTGAGCAGATCGCAGCTCGTGTGGCACAACATCATGGTCCCATTTACATCGTGCACTTGAAACTGTAACATACGGATGCCGTCGTTCAACTGAGAGAGGACCTGCAGCTCTTGGTTGCTGGCAATATTTCCCGGACGGACGAAGGGCGAATTATGTGCTGCTATGTAGGTGATATTGCTGTAGGATCGTGTACAGAACTCGGGGAAGCCGTTGCAAGGAACGGTATTTGTGGGTTGAACGGAGGAAGTGGTGGAAGTGGCATTGTTACCGGACGTAGCATTGGCGCCAGTTGTGGCAGTCCCACCCACGAGTAGTGTCTGTGTCGCAGACGTCGAGTTTCCCGTGGTCGATGAAGCATTTGTGGCCGACGCCAATGCACTTGAGAGGTCTGTCGGTCGTTCGATACCGGAGGTTGTGCGGGTGAAGGTGATAGTCTCGCCATCACTAGCATAGGTAACGCCGGTAGTGACTGCAACGTAGTTACCACCGTTCAGTGTTATGGATGCGGTATTGCTGCCGGTCAGTGTGATGGCACTCCCAGTACCCTCATCGGATCTGCTGCTGTCACTTTGAGCTAGCACTTGTAATGCTAGCAGCGCACAGGCGACAACAGAGGCCCCGAACATGTTGCTGTATGTACAGGGAGGAAATAGCGACGGCAACAGCCCTGCACACGAAGTGACGAGAAGGTCAAGGAGAGGCACGGAACAAAAACTTATCGAGCCGGCGATGACTTCACATGTGAACTTGCCGTTAAACTCAACATACCCCTGTAGGATTCCGCCTTGTCATGTCATGTTCCGAAGGTTCGGTGAGTGAGGGCGGAGACGAAAGTGGATTCCTCAACACTCTATTGGACCGGTATGTGACTTGAGGCACTTTGAGAATCGCAGCGGCAGTTCCGGATCCTGGCAACAGCAGCAGCTGATGAAGCTTGAGGGGGTGGAAAGTGGTGACAGGTGGTGACAGACACGCGTCGGAAGCTGGCGAGATTTTCGCCGAGACTCAACAGCCTCCAGCAGGGCCGGATTAAGGTTGCTTTAGTCTCTCGGCACGCTCTATCCGGGTTTAGCGAGCGGGACTGTCTTCGCTAGTCTTGCTCAGTGACGTAGACGTCTCCAAAGATTTTCCGCTGGCTTCGACGCTTCCACCTCGTCCTCTCCCCCGGCCGTTGTGCCCGATTGGCAGCACGAGACAGCCTCACATGTCCGACTCCTCCTGCGGTCTCCCCTGTAGACTGCGTCCTTTCAATGTTTTTATTCAGAGACACTTGAACTTTATGGGAATGACGCACACCGGTAGGCAACCTATCAGCTAGCTTTTTGCGTCGAGTGCGCTCTTCCTTTCCCTCACCATAGTCATCAACACCGCTCTACCCAGTCGTTGTTGGACCGAGGACGGTGAGGAGATCAATTAGCAGCACAGAGGTGGCCTACAGCCATGGGCATCTTCAATCGACGCTCACGAACTCCAACCGAGAAGCAACCGTCCGATGACCCTCTCGCAAATTATGTCAAGCCCAAGCCGATCGGGCTGCGGGCAGCAGTGGTGGTCATGTACACCTTATCGCTGGTCTTCTTGATCCTGGTCGAAATCGGCAACATCAACAACAAGGCGGTGATTAGAGACACATATTTCCTGCGCATCGACCTGGCCAACGTCATCCCCAATACCGTTCCGAATGCCATCTTCATCAACTCAATAGCCCAGTCCATCGGCTTGCACGACTTCTATCAGGTTGGCTTGTGGAATTATTGCGAGGGATATGCCAATGAGGGAATCACACACTGCTCGAAGACTCAGACACTATACTGGTTTAACCCAGTCAAGATTATCGTTAATCAGCTCCTAGCAGGCGCGTCAATTTCCCTGCCGACTGAAGTGACGGACATCTTTGATCTTGTGAAGCTTGCGAGCGAATGGATGTTTGCTTGTTTCCTGGTTGGCACCGTCTTGACATTTCTATGTATCTTCATTTGCCCAATGGGCTTCTCCAAGCGGCCAAGATGGCAGCACAAGGCTCGCAGAATCTTCCTTCGGCAACTACCCGTCACCATTCTGGCCTTTGTCGCTGCTCTCTTTACCACAGTGGCCACCGTCATTGCGACAGTCTTGTTTATCATTTTCCGCAACACTTTCGCCGGCGCCGCCGACTTCAACATTGAGGCTCACATCGGGCAAGAAATGTTCGCTTTCATGTGGATTGCGACAGGATTCAACCTTATCGGCCTCATTATGCAGCTCGGCACTTGTTGCGGTGTTTGTTGCTGCACGGGTCGGAGGAAAGCCGAGCGAATTAGCCGACACGCCGTGGAGAATGAACGAGCTCACACCCAGACTCCGATTCGCGCGGCTGCATCTTCAGATGACGAGACGGTCGTAGCACCCGGGGAACAAAGGAAGCGTAAATGGGGTTTCAAACGGCATTGAGCCCTCGGCATGATCGCTAGCTGTGTTGGTATTGTTATTTAGCGTCGAGTCTGTGTACAGCGATGGAGTTTCAGCGCACTTATTCTACCACTAGACATGGAACTTATTTTGTTACTGATTGAACATCGCGCAATCCTCGATCGCCTAGACCAGTCCATACATCTGAGTCTGAGATCACAAACATCGATGAGCAAAATTGAGGCAACTGAGGCCATCGACCCTAGTGCAGCACAGGACTATCAGAAGTACCATTCGTCTTCCTACGAACGTACGAGAAAAAGCTCTCCCCACCACTCTTCTGCCGCACTAACCTCCAGGCACCCTCTTTATCAAGTCCGTAACTGGCTCGCCAAACACGAGTACGGCCGTTGGGCTCGCGAAACCAACCCAAAAGTGGTTTAGCACCTGTATGCCTCCCATAGTGGAGCCACTCCAATTGGTCACCCGCCCAGAGGCAGTGAACCTATACGAGAGTCTATTGGCTGACGCGAGCCTGAGTTTGGTATAACAGCTAAAGCCGTTACACGCGAAAAGGCGCAGGATAGGGCCGTATCCGGGTGCCCTGCGCGAGGAATGACTGGTCCAGCAGCTAGAAGAGAGTGGAAAAGGGAATTATATATGTCAAAGCAGCTGCTTACTGCTGCCTGAGGAACCCCAAGCTTGATTTATATCCGACCGCTACCCAGACACTCCCACCCCAACCTTCGTCTCATAGGAGCACCAACAGACGCAACGCATACACGCCTACCAAATTGGAACTCCAGAAGTCCGCTGTCAGATTCTCACCGACGCTCTATACGGCGACTCTCGCCCCCATATCAGCCCACATCCGCCCACCAACCCAATTCACAATGTGCCGCCGTCGCGAACACCCCGGGCCCTTCCCCATGAGAGGCCCACTCGCCGCCCGCCTCGACGCCACCAGCTACGGACACCCCCACTGCGGCCGCGGCCGCGGCTACGGCTACAACCACCACAGCTGTCACGGCCGCCAGACTCTCACAGGCCTCGCCATCAACGCCATCAGCACCGCCACCGAGCTCAAGAACCAGCAACGCAACGAGAAAGCCGCCGCCATATCCCAAAGTATATCTGCCGACCATTACCAACACCGACACCAACACCAACATCAGCATGAACAAGACAACGGCAGAAGCCCCGCCCCCACCACAGGCGCCGCCGCGCCAGACTACGACTACGACTACGCCGCCACCTCCCTCGACGGCATGGTCCGCTCGCTCAGTCTCGGCGAGAAAGCCGCAAGTAGCGCTGCAGACGCAACACCGCGAGCGCAACCGCCGCCGCCGCCCATTGCAGTAGGCGAGGCGCCGCCCGCATACAGCGCGCATGCCCCTCCTCACCCACCCCCCACCTCCACCTCCACAGTGACGGCCTCCCTCTCAAAACTCCAAGATTCCCATCCCCTCCGGCCCCAACCGGAGCATCATCAACCATTCACCTCTCGCCTCCTGCAACTCCACGCCTCCCACCCAACCATAACCTCGGACCTCACAGCGCTGCAAGCCGCGGCGGCACAATACCACTCCCCAGCGCGACGCTGCGGCGATTACAAGAAGCTAAAGCGGGCGAGGAAGGCGCTGCTGAGGGATCTGTGGGTGTTGGAGGCCATGAGGCTGAAGGAGGAGGGGGAGGAAAAGGGGTGGAGTCGGAGGAGGGAGAGGGAGAGGAAGAGGCAGTTGAGGGAGGGGTGGAGGGTGGTGAGGGGGGAGTTGAGGGGGAGGGGTCTTTAGGTGTTGGATAGGTGAAGGTGAAGGGGAAGGGTGCCGTAAGCGTGGTAGGAGAGGGAACTTTGGAGGAGCTGGAAGGGGAGGAGGGCAGGTGATGTATAATACACATACCAGTAGCTGGGACTGGAGAGCTTCCCATGGCCATTCTCGATGGGATTCGTTCGTTGGGGCTGCGGTCACGAATTTGTATCATTGTCTTAAAATAGAATGCCTCACGCTGTGTCTTTTGGGGATGAGCAGAACTAGGAGCTCTTATGAAGCCACAAAAAAACAGTTGTTGGAACCTTCACTTTGGTAACGAACAAGACCTGGGGCACAGTTATCTGCCACTAACGGCTCTACCACTAGTCGCTGTTCCAGCGTATGGCTGGAAGATGTTAGCTTTCACAGTGTGCTTCGCAGCGCCGTCTGACTGCTGGCTTTGAGTCATAACATCCAGATCCGGAAGATAGGCCAGAAGCAAAGCGTCGATATGAGGTGACACGCGAGATGGGGGGCCGCCTGAAGCTTAGACTGAACCGAGCGAGATGCGCCACAGGCACAGCCACAAATCTAGCATCGTACTCCTGGCTAAGAAAGCCAAACGCCACAAGGGGTGGCGCCGATCGGGGACTCGCTGACTTCCCGGGCAAGATCGTCACGTTTCATCACGAGATGCTCCAGACTCTTGGAAGGCAGGCTTGGCTTGAAGCAAGGGCCCTTCTGCCGGATAGCTCGGGGCGTCAACAAGACTTTCTGCCCACATGGAGAACGCCAGAGCTGTCAAGGCCGCCCAGAAAGGCCCAGACAAATGAAGAATGATGATGTCAACGACTCCCCCGCCCCCGTGTTGGCCCAACAGCAATCCACTGCATATCCAAGATCTTGTATGTAATCATGCTAGACATTGACCAGTGGGCGTCGGGTGAAAAACCATCTGCAGCTGCAGCTGAGCCACAAACGAGACTGAATAGAGCAAGGCGGGGGGTGCTGGACTGCATTTAAGAGGCTCTTGGTAGGGTTCGAAACGCGGGGAAACGCGATCTTCCCGGGTGATGGGTGAGCTCACCTGAGCACAGCAGAAAAGTCCTCGCGCTGATTTGCACGTTGTACAAGTCCACATACCGCCAAGGCAACGCGTCGTAAGCTAGAAAGTCAGCAGACGGCTAGACCTTCCGCCTTCCGAACCCTTCTGAGAATTTGTAGAACTCTTATGATATGACGACCGGGGTCCCTTGCCTGGGGCCATCAATATTGAACAATGCCGAAACCTACCAGTTGCATCTGGCTTCATGGTCGGGCACAATTGCACCATTTCGAGGCCTGATGGTGAAGTTGTGGGGAGCTGGGACGCCATCATATAAGCCAACAGAGCTGTCGTGCTCTCGAAAGCTCGATAGCCTCGATGAGCCCTGTGTTGGCTCCAATCGAGACGGCTAAACATTGCCGATTGGCTGTCAATGATGAACAAGAACATGACGGACAAGTCAAACTCGTCATAAAGGAGAAGAAAACTCCATCAAGGGCTGCAAGCCAAGACTCTGGAGCAGTGCTTACGGCAGCTGCATTCGATCTGGATTCACGATCTTGCCACAGCCAAGGGGCAAGGCGTAACATGCCTTGCCTGACTGGCCAAGATCGTCGTGTAGCTAACAGAATGGATCAATGACAGCTTCGAGTATCGCAAGAAAAACAGGTTGGAGAGGTCGAACCTACCACAACAATGCCCCATTGTGGCTGCCCTTCAAAAGCTGGGATCCTGCTGCTCTTACCTTGAAACTTCTCCTCACTCCCAGACATCGTATCAGATCTGTCTTTGGTTTCTCTGTCGCCTTCAGCAGTAATCATGCAGCTCAAAGCTCTTGCCATCGCAGCCTTCGCTGCCACCGCCTATGCCCAGGAGTCGGGCGGCCTTGTCCAGGCGCTCAGCAACGTGACGGAGCTCTCCAACTTGACGAGCTACCTGAACCTCTTCCCCGATTTCGTTCAGCAGCTCTCGCAACTGAGCAACGTCACCCTGCTTGCACCTAGCAACGATGCCTTCGCAGAGTTCCTCAACTCTTCGGCTGGCTCCGCGCTGGCCAACAACGACGAGGCATTGATCCAGGGCATTCTGTCGTACCACGTCCTGAACGGCACCTATGAGAGCTTCAATGACACCGAGTTCATTCCCACTGCTCTTCAGCCAACGCAATACACAAACGTCACCGGCGGCCAGGTCGTTCAGGCCGTTGGAGATGGGGAGACGGTCACCTTCTACTCTGGCTTCCTCTCCGCCTCCAACGTCACTGGCGAACCAGTAAACTTCACTGGTGGTGTCGTTCACATCATCGATGCGGTGCTCATCGTCCCTCAGAATATTTCGGCTACCGCCATCGAGTCCAACCTTACCGCTGCAGTCGGTGCTCTGACTCGTGCGGAGCTTGCCCAAACTGTGAACGACCTTCAGGATGTCACCATCTTCGTGCCCGACAATACCGCCTTTGACGACATTGGCAATTTGATCGGCAACTTGACCACCGATAACCTGACGGACATCCTCACCTACCATGTCGTCAACGGTACTGTTGCCTACAGCACTGACCTCGAGAACACCACGCTGTCGACTCTCAACGGCGAGAACATTACCATCTCCATCATTGATGATGAGGTGTTTGTCAACTCAGCAAAGGTCACCGTCGCCGACGTCCTTGTCGCCAACGGTGTTGTTCATGTCATTGATAGCGTGCTCAACCCTGGCAACAGCACTGCTGAGCCCAATCCTGATGAGGAGGAGTCTGAGCCTGCGTTCGAGGGTGCGTCCAGTGCCGCCAATGACCTGACCAGCGGTGTACCTACGCCTACTGGCACGACGAACCCCACCGACTCCGCACCTGGAGCCACCAGTTCCTCGTCAGAGGATAGTGCTCCCATGATGACCGGTGCCGTTGGTGCTGCTGCTCTGTTCGGTGGTGCCGCCGTGCTCGCCAACTGGTAGTGCTCTTGTACTAGGCTGGATGTTGTGGAGGCCACTATGTCATATGTAAATGATGGATAATGTCAAATAAGTAGAAGCTGGTTGTGCTGCAAACGGCGTTGCTGTCGAAGATGTGCCCAGTAACCAATCAAACAAACAATCGTCAACCAAGTCACTATCTTTGCAAATTCACATGGCATTCGATTCGTGCTCATATGGCTAATCTCGCATCTTTCTCAACCACCTCGACATGATGGAAGAGTAGCTAGACACCGACAACTGAGGTTCAGAACATTTTCTTATCGCTCGCTTCGGTTGTGGCTGCCACTTTTGGATCAAATGACGACGCCCACGACTCCACCCGCAACCTCCCCGACCGCCCCTCCCCGCGTTCTTACACAGCTCTACTCGCCGTCGCCTTCTCCTCCCTATGATGACCATCCTGTCATTGCGACCGACAAGCGGGGTATGGTGCTGGAGGATGGAATGCTGTCACCGCCACCCCCAGCGGCCGAGGTTTGTGCCGTGAAGGAGAAGAAGACGCGACCTAAGAGGCAGCCTGTGCAATATATCTCAAGGCACTTCGCGCCCGGGGAGCTCCTCGCAGCCGAGAGCAAGCCTCGACCCAGGAGGAGCAGGAAGAAGGCATCTCCCGTCAGAGATGAGGTCAAAGATGAACCTATTCCGCCCGCAACCCCGCCGAAAACACCGGGCCAAGCAACGCCTCGCATCTACCACGGTCTGAATGTGGACGACCTGTCCTCTGACTCCTCCCTGACAGATGTTCCCGATGATATCGGACCTGATCCCTTCATCTCGTCTCAAACAGGCGCCGAGGTAGTCGCAGTCAAAACGCCGCGTACGCCCAAGAAGAAGTCGCGACACCCTACCACCTCCCCCTACTTCCCCACGCCTCACCGTGCTCGACCACACTTCCTCTCCACGCTCCCCTTTCCACCCATCTCCAATGTCACTTTTGGTCTGATGCAAGAGCGGCTGGCCAACCGGCCTTTCGAGCTTCTCCTAGCCACCATCTTCCTCAACAAAACGCCGGGCGAGCGTGCCATGCCGGTATGCTACCAGCTACTATCCCAGTACTCCACCCCGGAAGCCCTCGCCACAGCAGAGGTTGAGGATATCACCTCTCTGATCCGCCACCTCGGCTTCCAGAACCAGCGCGCTCGTAAGATCGTCGGCCTCGCCAAGGGTTGGATCGAACGCGAACCCGCCAAGGGCGTGCGGTACCGCAAAGTGGACTACCCGCTCAAGGGCGACGGACGCGACATCAAGGATGAAGAAATCGTTGATGACAACGATCCGCGCGTGGCGTGGGAAATCGCTCACCTCCCAGGCTTGGGGCCTTACTCGCATGACAGCTGGCGCATGTTCTGCCGCGACCAGTTGCGTGGTCTGGCGCTGGGATGGAATGGTGAGGGCGCTGCTGGAAAGGATTTCGAGCCGGAGTGGAAGCGCGTGCTGCCGAAAGACAAAGAGCTCCGGGCGTGGATGACGTGGATGTGGATGAAGGAGGGCTGGGTGTGGAACTGCGAGACCGGCGTGCGGACCAAGGCATCTGAGAAACTCATGGATCTGGCGCGAGGTGGCGGCGTAGTGGTCGAAGAGCACGAGGCAGGCAAGGAGACATTGAGACTCGAGCAGGGCTTTCCAGCACAGGATCGGGCCAAGCCGGTAGGCGGCATGCGCGCGGAGAGACCAGCAGGGGAGATCTTGGACGAAGTAAAAGCAGAGGCTCAGGGTACTGTTTGAGAAGCAAGAGCTGGATAGAGAGAAGGTTTTGTCTTTCTATTCAAAGAACTAAAACAGAGATCAATCGAGGTGTCATCGATCCTGTTGTGCAAGCGCTGCTCCCCCGGCTAGATAACTATTCCCCCATATGACATTTCCATGCCATCTCCATCCAGCTTCAAATCTTCCAGCGATGGTCCTCAAATCACTCATGTGAAGACTCAGCAGTCCAATAACGCAGAGACCGTGGCTCTGTTGACCTTAGCGGCTTCATCTGTCCTTGTAGAGGGCCTCCCAGTTACGTCAGCCTTTGCTTCGGTAACAGACACAGCTTCTGACAAGTGGCAGAAGACGTGCGAAGAGGAAACCTGCGAAAAAGGACACTGCGCGTCCTACCTCAACCATTGACCGAACTCTCCTCGACTCCCGCTCGCCATCCCCCCATTTCCCAAGACTCGCCCTTCTGCTGCCTCTGCCTTCGTTGCTGGCCGGGTTGACAAACTTGCCTCGTTATTGCCTACCCCGACACGTCCCCACAGGAGACTCGTGGTTGTTGTGAGAGGCGATCCCCAACGACCCGCGCCAACGACCGCTTGTTTTTCCCGACACTGCCATCAACAAACAAACTGACACCCATAACCACAGCCCCCAGCCCGAAACACCCCGCCGCCCAGATTCCCACCCCTTTGACACCGACCGTATCGACCAGCCGCCCACAGACCAGCGGGCCCGCCAGCATGAACGGCGACGCCAGCGTGTACACCAGCCCAGACAGCTGGCCGTACTCACCAACCAACTCTCCACCCTCCTCCGAGTCCTCCGAATCCCTAACCTCTCCCGCCACCACCAGAGCACTACCACAACGCTCCCGCCCCCGCTCCCGCGGCCGCCCCACTGCAGAACGCGCCGACCGCGCCACCAGCACTTCCTGCAAATCATTCTGCGTCAGCGCCACGATCCCCCCATGCAGGATCCCGTATACGACCGTGAAGGCGTACGCCGCCGCAGGCGTCACTGCGCCTTGCCCACCCCCATCATCTCCACTCACCGTGCTACCCGCAGTTCCCTGCTCTACGGGATGAGCCCCGCCAGAAGCGGAAGCGGAAGCAAGTCTCAGCCAAAACGGCGGCAGCACCAGCGCGGCAGCGAGCAGGACGCAGGCATGCAGGTGGCGGGCGCGGACGTGGTCGGTCAGGAGGGAGGAGAGGGTGCGGGCGGGGAGCTGGGAGAGGTTGAGGATGGTGAGGAGGGAGATTTTCATTCCGCCTCCTCCGTTGCTGTTTCGGTGGTTGGTGGTTGGGGTTGCCGAGGGCTGGAAATGGTGGTGAGGGGGACGCAGGAGGAGGAGGGAGGACCAGGTTGGGAGGTAGAAGGGGATCTAGAACGAGTAGATTAGGAGCGGTGTTGATGGGGGAACGGAGCTGGAAGGAAGGGGGGTATTGCGATGTAGGGGTGAGAGGGAGGACACGTTACGCTGAGAATACCGGCAAAGACGACGCAGAGCGCGGCGGTGAAGAGCATGACGGCTTTGTCGTCCATGGCACGAAGCAATCGCTGCTGCTGCTGCTGCTGCCGCCGCCGCCAGCAGAGTAAGAAGGAGCCACAGCAGGGTGTCGCTGAAGCAGCGTGTTTCACCGGACGGAAATGCTGGGGATGCGCCACGGCGAAGCCGACAACGAAGATCGACTGCGCACCAGCGATGGCCGCCAAAGCCAGAACCGCCACCCGGAAAGAATGCGCGTTGGTGAGGGATGTAACGACCTAAATCGCACGGGCGTCAGCAAGCGTGCCGGGCCCGCCAAATTCATATTTTCTGTAACATCTAAACCTAACCTCCCAGGCGAGCGGGCGTGAGAGAGAGACCTTACCAATGGAAACACCGACCCTCCCAGCGCAGCACCCGCGTTCACGACGCCGATAGCCAGACCCGGCCTCCGAGGCAGCCAGGTGCGCGCCGTGTGCGAGGAGGAGAGGAAGAAGATGCTCTGGCCGAGCCCGAGGGGGAGGGCGCACAGGAGCACGGCGTAGTATTTTCCGCCGCCGGCTTCTCTGTGATGGTGGTGGCTGTTGGTGAAGGCGAGGCTGGAGAGGGACGACGTGATCAGCACGGCGGCGCAGATGTTCAGACGGCGGTGGTGGCCTTGGTCGAGGAGGCCGCCGACGGGGAGGGCGAGGGCGTAGAGGAGCTGGAATGGGGGTGTGTGTGTGTTTAGTGGTTGTGTAAGGGGTTGGGAGGCATCGTTTGACGCATTTAGAGGGGTAGGGGTGGGCGATGGGCTGGAGGTTAGGAAACGTACAAAGGGAGGGACGGCGCCCATGAGGGCGAGCTGCGTGGAGGTGATGGTCCGGAAGAGGTGAGTAGTCTAGTAAGATAAGATGGTGCCGTATGTCATGATTAGGCCACTGGACAGACTTTGCTGGAATAAACCAGCGATGAGGGCTGCACAGAGGCGCCACTGGGCTGGTGGCTGAGGTGAAGGCTCCCGATCAGTGTCTGCTAATACGGAGCAGGTGGGCGCCTTGTCTGTGGCGTTGGAGTGTGCTGAGGTGCTGGTGCGACGAGACGGTTGGGCGTGGGGAGCGCTCGTCGAGGCAGCCATACCGCTTTGTGGATCACTTTGTGGATCACTTTCATGTACCAGTCCTGGAAAAGCCAGGGCGAGCTCGATGTCGATGGTTCTCGTCTGGTGAGATGGGAGATTGCGGGAGTTGGGACCGTGAGATGCGCTCTGCGGTGGGAGAGCTGGAGAGGGTGGTGGTGTCTTAGGGGGGGCCATGATTGTCTCAAGCATTGTGCTCGCCCAGTGGTCCATGCTGTTGATCTTGGAATGTCAATCGTCGTGTTCTGCTGTTTCTGACGTTGATCAAATTCCTGCAAGTGCTCTGAGATGCGTTCAGACCTGTCTTGTCAGCATATACCGCTTGCTATAAGTACAATCGAGTTGCGAGCCTTTTCCACATAGACTTTGCACGCTCTCCTTGGATACTTCGGTTAGACTTGCGTGGCACCAGATGATCTGCAGCTCCGCATGAGAACGCTCAACGGCCCGTACCAAAGCTCTGGACAACGGCTGCAGCTCTGAGTGGCCGTACCAAACCTCTCTGAGCAGGATTACGCAGCCTCACCTTATGAACAAGACTGATGTAGGCTTGGAAATGCGACATGGAGATGCTGCTGAGCATTGACAAGCAAATGGTGGGAGCAGTTGATGGAGTTCAAATTCTTTTCTTTGTTCATCGACGTTGTCGCCCATGCTGGATGTTCGCCCCAGCGAATGAGACAATCGCCCGAGTCTGCCATTCAGCCAGGCTTGTACTATGCGTTTATACTTGCCGTCCCTGCCTCCGCGGCGGCTATTAGATCCGTCGGTACTGGAGGCTCAAAATGTGAGATTTGTCACCGAGGGTCACATTTCTTTGTAACAAACTGATCCGCCGACTCTGCTGGTGGAGATTTCAATCGCTCGTGGTGCTGTCTGCCGACTCAAAATGCTGCCAGGTCCCATGCAATGATCACATTGTGGGTATCTGCTTCGGCGCGCTCTTATCTTCAGACACCCATCAACAGCTGAATCGAGCCGTGGGACTTCCGTGAACGGCGGTCAAGGTTGCAAATGTGAGGCCCATCCTGCAAGGCTTGATCATGCTGGCTGAGATGATTCGTTCTTCTCGACCAGATCGCCCACACCCAAGCCTCGTCCAACCTTGACCTTGATCATCTTCTCCTTGTCGCCGTTTATATCTTCTCCTTTCTTGCCAAGCTCGCCCACCGCGTCACCTTCATCTTCGTCCTCAGGCGCTTCCTTGATTTGCATGCTCGTCAGGTCCATCTTCATAGCATACGCGTCCTCGCCATCAGCGTAGTACTTGCTCTCGATCTTCTCCACCTCGAAGCCCAGCGTGTCGCGGTAAAGATGTAACGCCGCCTTATTCGACATGCGCACATGCAAAGACACATAGTTGGCATTGAAAACCTCTGCCATGGCTCTTTGACTGTTACGCATAAGCTTCTCGGCTATGCCTAATCTTCGATGTGTACGCATGACCGATAAACTCGTGATGTGACCATGTTGTACTCCATCAGGCGGGTCCTCCTCCATCTTCGCCAGCACATAGCCGACCACCTTCGGATATTGAGAGGGTTTGCTTCCGCGAACGATGGCAACAAAGCTCAGCTGAGGCCATGTCAAGGCATGGTACATGTAGTATTTCAAAAAGTAATTCTCGGGAAGGTTTGTCAAGTTGCATTGCTGTATGCTGGGGAGGAGGGAAATGTGCGACGGGTACGACGAAACCGGGACCACATCGACCATGTTTGCGGCTGCGGGCTACCGACTACCTGTCGGTACCAACTGAACTTCTCGTGACGCAATGATCGTGCCAGACAGTGTGTGTTCGACAGTCAGTCGTGTGCGTTCCCTGCGGCTATGGCACTTGTGAATAGTCGAATATGTGAGAAATGAAGTGCAGATGAGGTTGCGGAAGATCTTCGTTGATCGGCGCAGCCTTGCAGCCCTTGGCACAGCCTCGACGCTGACACTCGCTTACCGAATGCTCTATCTTTCGACCTCTCTACGTCAAGCTCTCCTATTCCGCTTGAAGAGCATGAGGAGCAGTTACGCTATCGACATCTTCATGCCTCCGTTTGCACAAATCACCGAGCCTGTGGTCCACCCACTCTCCTCGGAGCAGAGCATGCCTACTACACCAGCAACCTCGTCCGTGAAGCCAGGCCTCTTTGAACCCATACCCTCTGTGACAGTCTTGTGATACTCTTCTGGATTGCCGCCGGCGCGTGCCTTGATGTGTTCCTCACCGTTGTAAGCCATCAGAGGGGCGCCGTCAACGTATTTCTGGTTGATATCCCAGAATTCCTTGCCGGCTTGCGCATACATGTCGCCCCAGACTGGGCCAGGGTTGATGCAGTTGACGGTACATCTCTCGGCCAATTCTCGCGCCCATACCCTCGTCATTGCCTCCACCGCGGCCTTTGTGCCTGCATAGATCGATTGTCCTTCGCAACCGATGGAAGACGAAACACTCGAGACATTGACAATCCGACCCGAGCGGTCTTTCGGTAGGTACGGCTCGCAAGCTTGTGTAAGTAATAGTGGTGCCAGCACGTTGACGTGATACTGCTTGTCAAACTGTGTGATCTCTATCGGCCCTGCTTGCGGGTCGTTGAGAGTCTTGTTGCCAGCAATGCCGGCGTTGTTGATCAGGATGTCGATCTGAAATTCACCTGAGCGAGGATGCGCAAACTTGCTTTTTGCAACGTCGACAATGTAGGGCGCGCTTCGAGTCGGGTCCGAAAGATCGGCCTGCAGCGGTATGCACACTGAGCCGTACGTGCTTTGAAGCTCCTCGCACAGTCGCTGTGTGGGCTCCGCAGACGAATCAGAGGTATAAATGAGGAGCAGGGAGCATCCCTTTGAGGCGAGATTCTTCGAAATGGCCTCACCGATACCTTGGGATCAGTCAGTCGAGTCACAGTGTCCTTTGCGTCTTGACCAACCTCTTGAACCACCAGTTATGATACCGAACTTGCCCGTGTGTGGCTGGTAGCCGACATCTCGTGAAAGATTAGTGGAGGGCGTACGGCGGGCCCAAGGTCTCTCTGCGGTGATAACCTGCATTTTGAACGTATCTGCCACGAAGTGGTAACGTGTGAGCCAGTCGAAACTATCGTGTTTGTAGATTGCACTACCCGTAAAATGCGGGCAGCGAGTCCGGAGCGCGGGCGGCGGGGTTCTGACGCGCGCGGGGGTGCGCGACACTTTTTGTACTGTAGATTCAACCGCGAGTCGATCTGGACAGCCACGTACACCTCTTTTTCATTTCGTCAATTTTGTTTGTCCAGCGTTCCTGTTTTACCTCGCTGGTGGCTCTTTCAAGCACGCGCCTTGATGGATTTTCTCAAGTCGGCAGTAGCGTCGGCTATTGCGAAATCGAGTTCGTTCCCGTATTCCATCGGCGACCGGATAGACAACAGCGACTCGATATGGACTCTTCACAACGCCACTAAGAAGGTATGCTAGATATTCATCGGTTGAGTGATCTTGGCTGATTGCATGTAGGAGGATAACTTGCCATGCTGTGTTTTCACCTTCGAGATCAACGCCAACAAGTCACGGCTACCCCTTGCCAAAAATGCCGCTCGCAAACTACGCACGCTTCGACATCCAGGCGTTATCAAGACTCTCGACGTTATAGAGACCGAAACTACAATATACATTGTCACAGAACGAGTCACACCTTTGAGCTGGCACGTGAAGAGAAAGAGCTTGAGCGTGGAGACAGTCAAATGGGGCCTCCACGGTGTAGCCACGACGCTCAGGTTCATCAATACCGATGCCTCGTCTGTACACGGTGGCGTGCGTGTGGGATCTATCTTCACCAATGAGGCTGGCGAGTGGAAGCTGGGCGGTTTCGAAGTGCTCAGCTCTGTGAATGAGGACGATGCCGTCATCTATAACTACGGCAGCCTGGTACCAGACGCCAACAGATACTGCCCACCCGAGATTGCAGCCAATGGATGGAGTGTGATCAAGAAGCATCCACTGTTTGCGGCAGACGCATACGGACTTGGAACCCTGGTCTACGAAGCATTCAACGGCTTCTTTCCTGGCACCGATCAGCTCGCGCAAACGAAGAGCATTCCAGCCACCATCGCTCCCAGCTACAAGCGTTTGATCAACGCCAATCCAAAAATGCGATTGAGTCCAGCTCATTTCCTCGAACAGGGGAAGAAGACAGGCAGTTTCTTCCAGACTCCACTCATTCATATCACAGAGAGTGCTGACAACCTAGGTCTCATGAATCATGAAGAACGAGATGACTTTCTCGAAGAGCTTGACAAGCTCTCGGACGACTTTCCGGAAGACTTCTTCAAATCCAAAATTCTCCCCGAGCTATTGAAGTCAGTCGAGTTTGGAGGCGGCGGGCCTAGCGTGCTCAGTGCGATCATGAAGATCAGTCAGAAGATGACAGATGATGAGTTCGAGACCAGGCTGGCTCCTGTACTCTTGCGTCTCTTCCAAGTACCCGATAGGCAGATGCGTGTGGCCTTGCTGGATCACCTCCCGCTCATGGTAGATCGCATACCACAGAAGGATATCAACAGCAAGATATGGCCCGCCATGACGACTGGCTTCACAGACACGGCCCCCGTCATTCGAGAACAGACCGTCAAGTCAGTGCTTACTATTATCCCGAAGCTTTCGGACCGGACGATCAACGGCGAACTGCTTCGGTTCCTTGCTAAGACAGCGAACGATGAGCAACCTGGCATTAGAACAAATACCACAATCTGCCTTGGCAAGATTGCTAGAAACCTTGGGACGGCTTCAAGAGCGAAGGTCTTGATTGCAGCATTCACCCGCTCCTTGCGGGACCCGTTCGTGCACGGTCGAAGTGCAGCCTTGATGGCGTTGAATGCGACAACAGATGTCTTCAGTGAGGACGACTGTGCGACCAAAATTCTGCCCGTACTCTGCCTCTCGCTTGTAGACAAAGAGAAAGTTGTCCGAGAGCAGGCGAACAAGACCTTCGACACCTTCCTAGCACGAGTGAGGAAACATGCCGCGACACTACCCGATACTGTACTGCCACCAGAGGCATCTGGCAACACGGCCGCTGCTCCGGCAAGAATAGGAAATCAAAATGACACCTCATGGGCTGGTTGGGCTATCTCATCTTTCACCAACAAGATGACTGCAGCAAAAGGGGAGATGGATAGCACATCCGCGAACGGAGCTGTTCCTCAAGCACAGTCGCTGCCTCCATCTGGTCGTGCCACGCCTTTGATTCAGGTAAACCGACCTGCGTCAACTGCTCCGCCAACCTCCAAGCCAGCGGTTGCTGTAACTGCGAGTGACGTGGCTGACTTTGACGATGCCGACGATGCCATGGACGCTTGGGGTGAGATGGACGACGAGGAAGACAACTTTTTCGAGGCTCCCTCCAAGACCAAGACAACCACCCCAGCTCCCACCAGTGCTTTTGATGATGGTGGAGAACCCGACTTTGCAGGATGGCTTGCGGCGCAGTCAAAGGCAAAAACAGCTAAAGCAGCCCCAAAAGGACTATCAAAGCCGGCTACTGCAACTTCCTCCAAGCTAGGCGTGCGCCCTGGTCCAGCGAGGAACGGCGCAGCTGGGCTTACTACTCAAAAAGCTGCTAGCACTTCTGCAATTCCGAAGACATCTACCGTCAAGAAAGAACTCCCAAAGCCCAAAGGACCTGATCCGGCAGAAGACGATGAATGGGGTGCGGCTTGGGACTAATGGTCTTCGCCGTGGCTTGGCCCTCAATATCATCATGCCACTATACCTGTATCACATCCAGTCTTCGAGCTTGCTGCTTACAGACGAGCTTCTTTCGAACATTCCGCCAAACACCGGCATCTCGCTCTCTAAGGTCGAGAGCCATGTGCACAGCCACGTTGGCCAAGACCGTCCATGCACGCCGAGCACGTGTAAGAGTTGACCACCGATCACCAAGATGCTCGGCTGAGACAGCCAACCATGATCGTCACAGCACTCATTCAGATAAGAGCACGCTAAACCCAGCCTCGAGCATACAGATGCGTGCTAGTGGAAGCATATATATCCACTGACAGATGCGCTCATTTCGACTGCGCCGTAGCAACCAAGCGCTCTTAACAGTCTTGGCTTCTATAATTGTGCCCATGTCGTTTGCCATGGCTCGACTACGGACGAGTGTACCTCATCAATGTGGCTGACTACTCCGACCTCAGGTGATGTTGCCAACGTCCCAAGCTCTCGATTCTATATCGAGCGTTGGAGAACACTTTCACTGTCAATCGTTGCACTTGAATTACGTCCAACGAGAGAATACCAAGCACCAACCGTTTTATCCCATTTCTTGACCTGCACAACCTCCGCGTCCACTCATCATCAACAGTAACTGGAACGTGGCCCGGCCCCACTTTCGATGATCGATGTGAGGTACCAACGACTTACTCATTGCCGCTTCTTAAAGAATGGGCGATCCTGCCACAAAGGTGGACTCCATAGATTGACGAACGTGAGAATACTCGTACTTTTGCATCGAGCCCTGCAGCATGCATTCTTTGCAAAAATTTCCAGATCTCGTCAACTTGGCTGTCATTGTTGGTGCTACGCTGCAGTTAGCCAAAGCACAGAATATCCAATTCATTGGCGTTCCAGAGACCATTCGCGAAGATAGCGATGGTAGCGAAGATCTGCTTATATCATGGTCAGGAGGCACGCCTGGACTCGTATGTTGCCCGCACTTGTTGGGATGGAGTTATTGACGGAGCTGTAGCCTTGGACCGTGCAACTGGTCCAGGACGATCGAGTTATTGATGATGTGGACGAGTCCAGTGGTACGTAGGCTCTACAGAGTCATGTTCCAGCTGATTTCTGCGATAGACGACGACGACGGTGTTGTAGATCAAACCTTTGAATGGGATGTTGAGCTCGACAGCAATCCTGGGGGATATTACAGCTTGCGATTGGTACAGGGTACACAAACAGCTGATTCCAATCCGATCAACATCATCGATGAAAATGGTCAAGGTGCTACTGGTTCTTCCCCAACCAATGTACCAAGCACACCGAGCTCGAATCCAGCCAGCACTTCCGCAGCCTCTGCAACCTCAACAGATGGGTCAGCCTCATTATCTCAAGCCTCGGCTTCTATCGCGGCCACCGCAGCCACTCTCGTAACAACAGTAATCTCTGGGACTACAATTACAGCCGCTCCTTCTGGATCCGCAACGGATGGCAGAACCAGCGATCCTGCAGACGGCGGCACTGGCAGCGACGGCCTTCCCGGCGGAGCGGTTGCTGGTATCGTTATCGGCGCCATTGGACTTGTTACACTGATCGTCCTGCTCGTCTGGTTCGTGCGTCGCCGCGCTCGCAATTCACGAAGATCACACGGCGTGCCGTCTACAGTCGAACCAGAAAAAAGAGAACCCGACTTCGCAACTCCGGCACTGTTTGCAGGCATTCCTCGATCCGGTGCGACGCTATCCGACAAGGGCGGAAATGGGAAGTTCGAGCTGCAATCTGATGCCAAAGCTCTACGCACCACGCCTGGCGTACACGAAATGCACAGTCCCGACGAAACGACTAACGCGTCCTCGGATCTGTATGAGCTTCCCTCACCCGACGCCTCGCAGACTGCTGCGTCTATCAGACAGGCTCACACAACAAGTAACGCGTCAGGGACAGATCGTTCCGACGGCAAGAACCCAGATAGCCATGAAATTGCGAGAAGCGCGGACAGCCACAACCACCAGAGCGTGAGTCCTTCGCAGAGGCACGCCATTCCGAGGAAGACAGTGCCAGGGACCGGCGTTAACGGTAAGGGCTCAGGACGAGGGCAGCCGCCGGCGGTTCACGAGCTTGGCTAGCTTACCTAGAGCTGGCGGGTCAATTGACTCAAAGATGTTTGGTGAAAGCATCCTTAATGACCCGCACCACGCCCGATTTATGACAGACCATCATCGCCCGGACCTCCTTCTTCGCCTTGATGATTCCGCGCCTCTTGTATATGTGCCTTTTTCTCTTCCAACATCTCATTGTCACGTTTCACCCGCTGCTCGTGAGATCGCCTGGCTGCGTCCAGCGCATCCGACAGCCTCAAGAACTCCTTTCGCCTGAGGAACGCGGCAGCTTCATCCCTCTTCTTGGTCTCCCTCCACGCCTTCTCCCGCTCTCTCAACACCTTTTCAGTCTCGCTCTTGGTCTTCGTGAAGTCGTCGATATCCTTGTCGAGATCGGCGTACATCTTGTTCTGTGCCGCGGCCTTCTCATCCAGTCTCCTCTCCCTGTCTTGCAAAAGCTGGCGATTCTTCGCGAGGAGCTGTTCTCGGAACGCGAGATCCGTCTCTTTGGTGCGCAATTCGCCATGTCGATGCAGCAGGTCTTGTGACTCGAGCCCCACCTGGTTTCCTGTGCGGTCAACTCTTGCCGCCTGATTTTCCACTCGCGTTCGTGCTTCCTTCTGGCCGCCTGCAGGTCTCGTTCGCGGTCGAACAGCATTCCCATGTCTCTCTCCAGAGTGGCCTGCTGCTTTTGCCGGTGCTTGTGCACGATCTGCAACACGAGCGCGATGGTTCGCCATAATCTTGCGTAGTCTGTCGATACCGCCGTCTTCGAGGAGATGGCAGCAAGTTTCTTCAACTGGACTTTCATATAGTCTCGCCGCTGCTGCAGGGATGTTTCCGTTTTCGTCATTTCCTCGTGCCGGTTCTTGAGATCTGCTTCCCAGCGGCTAAGCTTCGCTGCTTGATCCTCTACAGGTCTCCGACGGCTCTTCGTATACTCGGGCGACTGACGGGATGCACGCTGGGTACTAGCAAGTTCACCTTCCAGCATCAATGCCTCATAAACTCCTCCGTAGTATTCGTGTCGTGACCTTGGTGAGCACTCACGCTCTCGTGGAGCGCTGTGGCGATCGCAATCTGGAACGATTGTGTAGCGTGAGCTTGGTGTTCTCCTGCGCTCTTGAGAAGGTTTGACGTGTGAGACGGGCGACAGGTCTCTCCGGCCAAAGAGACTCCTCCGCCGCAAATACGACTCTTCGTCGACCTTCTTCGCCAGCGCAGAAGTGTCGGCACCCAAAGTTACCCCCACACTTTCGTTTCTCAACTTTGTCTCACGCCTGTCTACCTCGGCCTCTCGCTGAGCGATCTCGACTTCGCGTAAGGATGCTCGTCGAACCAGATCGTGCAGCTCCGTCGCTCGTTGTGTTTGGTCGCGGTTCCAGGTTTTCCTCTCTGTGTAGCGTGATCGGACGGCTGTGCCGATCGCAAGACCACTCACGGCGGTGGCAATGCCTCCGGTGATGTACGGAGCACCGGTGTCCCTGCTTAAGCCGCGCTTTGCAACTTGTGCTGCCACGTCGGTTAAAGTAGTAGTACACGAGGGTTCATTCACGGCGGGAAAGAACGTCCCGCGAGGGCCCTCTAGGAGGCTGTCCGTATAGTCTGCGATGCTGTGACTCTCGGTGGAGCGCACGTTGATGTGTGGGCCGGCCTCGGCGTCACTCTCAGGTGGCAGGAGTCGCGAATTCCATCTGAGAGAGCCGATGGCCAAACGAATTCTCTGATCAAGGTCGCATCGCACACTTTTGTCCGTCCGGAGGGCGCAGAAATAGTCTTGCCAGCCTTGCCAGTGCTCAATGCACTGCCGGAGTAATATGGCATAGCAAAGGCCTTTTTGGGACCGAGCCGTCCAGTGCTCGCTCTCTGCCGCCCAAAGGAAAAAGTGACGCGAGAGCTTCATCAGGCATGAGTGTTTTACATCAACACGTCCCTTCAAGTAGTCTTCGAGCGCACAGATATCTTTCTCTGTCAATAGGTTGATTCTGTCGCAGGATGGTCGTCGCCAGTTTGGGTCCATGTCGGTCCCGAGGACGCCAGTCCTTGCAAGATCTGTCCCGTAAGAACCTGGAACTGTGGGCTCTGGATCATCATGTAAGCTTGTCCATGTGTCATACTCCTGATCGTGGAGCTGTGGAGCACTAGCACTTCGCCGAATGGTCTTGTTGCGGCTCGGCTTGGTCGGCGAGTGATGAGTGCTAGTCTTCCTTCTGTCCAACGTTGTCGATTCTTCTTGCGCGCCACGTAGACGCCAATTCAAGTCCTTCATTGTTTCTTTCGATGGGCATGTAGAAGCTTCTATCAAAAACCCAGGACGAGACCCCGAACGCTCGCATGGTCGAACTTCTGCCATCAAATCAAGGCGCTCACGAGCCCATTGCTGGAGTATTTCCAGCTCATGTGGAACATTTTGTGCTTGGAGATAGCATTTTACTTTTGCATTCTCCATTCCACTGTCTGAACCGTGTTGTGCCGGATATTCAGGCATTGTTGACTCCACAGTAACTGTCTGCGTTATTTGATGGATCTTCACTCTGCCCCAAAATGGAATTGATGTAGTGTCTGAAGATCGTCTTGAGCAGTAATGAACAACATCTGGCCCGAAGTCTTTCAACGCAAGCACAGACATGAAAGTGAGGAAATCATGGCTTCGGGCGACGGAGGTCTGGCTGGGGAGGGGCTTGGTACTGGACGGTTTGACACAGCCAGGGTTTGCATTCACGTGGCTCCATATAGATCCTTGTACCTCTACATTGCATGACAGTAATTTGTCTTATTGGAGGTTCAAGCGAAGGCAGTCGACGAGGCAGACTGCCAGATTGCGAACCACCACCATACATGAACCCAAAGTAGACTCAAAATGGTTTTCACCCAACGTCCAGCAGGCATTTCTTCAATATCATCCATGCTCTGTGTAAGCCTATCTGAATGTTGTGAAAGAAAAGCCAGGATGAACAGCAGATGGTGGCGTGGCTGGAGGATGAAGGAGTAGTCAGGCTAAAGCTGCCTCGCGCCCCGCAGGTCTAGAGCAACTTGCCACGGCCTCATCATTGGTTACATCGAGGAGTCTACCTTCTCCACGAGTCAGCATACATTTGTTCAAATTGATGACTGAGCAGACCCGGTATCACTCCGCCAAGTTTCTCCCTTCTGCATTGTTTGCTGTATTCATGGAAGACTCTGCTCAGGACAGATGTTTGCTGATCATAAAGCTATAGGTGTGTTATGTGTTTACGTAGTCTGTTTGTTTGCCCAGGTCGCACGATTGCGCAACGCTATCGGTGGTCCAGGTCGAAGACGTGCTTGCAGCATTAAGTCCTTGCCTTCTTTTGTCAACTTGTGACTATATCGAAGCAAGCCGGTCGTTCGTCCGATGATGGCTTCCTGAAGCAGGACATGCCACATGACATCGGACGCCGCTTTCGGGACTTCAACTGACATCGAGACAGAAAGACGCCCAGGCGCCGGACACATTGTTCATTCACCCAGGAAGACCCGCTCCGCCACGGAATTTCCATGCCCAATAATCCAGTGCAGCAATATACCCAAACACGCCGAGGCCAGCAATTACCCCCTCAGCCTTATCACTCAAGTAGCTGTGATGCCGAAACGGCTCGCGCTTGTGCACATTCGAGATATGCAATTCGACAAACGGGATGCTGAGCCCCGCCAACGCGTCGCGAATCGCTACGGACGTGTGCGTGAAGGCGCCGGGGTTGATAATGATGGCGTCAACCCCCTCTCCGTAGCTGGCGTGGATCCGGTCAATAATGTGGCCCTCGTGGTTGGACTGGAACGTCGAGAGCTTGAGGTTGTGCTTAGTGGCGTGCTGGTACATGGAGCCCTCCACGTCCTTGAGCGTCGTCGAGCCGTAAATGGCCGGCTCCCGTGTCCCCAGGAGGTTCAGATTGGGTCCATTGATGAGAAGGACACTTTTGGCTTGCCCTTGCTCCTCGGCCATTTTTGGATGCTTAGCACGCGCCAGAGGAGGTCCGCCAAGCGTGGCTGAAGACGCAGTCTTTGCGCAGGTCCGCTTCTACTTTCGTATGCCTGGCGGATGATGCTCAGCCCCTGCAAGACGTGGCGCGTTGACACACGGGAAAAATATACTCTAGGACGAATCGAATGAAAGACTCCGCGATCTCGTGACGACTATATGAGCCACACACGTTCGGGTAAGGTTGCCTTTTCTTTATAGTCCAAGTTTGTGGGACCCAAGCGTCCGTGTCCGACCGATATGGTCCGCCAACACGGCGGCATGGAACTTACCCGAAAAGCTCCACCGGGCTCGGGTTGAGGAAAGGTTGTGTGGGATTCTCTCTGCAGGGACGGGCACCGAAAGATGCATGGGAAAAGGCATACCATCGTTACGTCGATGTCGTCCGCGTGTTCACCTTTACAAAATTCTCAGAGGTTTCATCCTCAGCATCGGGCCCGGACAGACGTGACGCGGATTCTTGGAGATGCCAGCCATTCCATTGTATAGTCGTTCTATGACGGCGTCCCTTTTCTGGCCAGGGCCTCCGCGCAGGTATTGTCTTTGAGGAGGGAAACCTATCTCGTACGATCTATATGGCATATTGGGAGATGAAGGAATCTCGTTCACCAACCTGATCAAGGATTTTTTACGGCTTGGCCGCATTCCTTTTGTCTAAAGCTTCCCGAATCGCTAGAACAGGAGCACGCCTGCCCGTCCACAGTTCGAACTGGCAATATGCTTGCTCTTTCAACACAGCCACGCCATTTTCCACCTTCCACCTTGCTTGGCGTGATGCAACACGCATGAGGGCAGTGACCGGAGGGCGATAGGCCATTTCAATCACCACCCCGGCGCCGCTCGCGAAAATGTGCTCTGGGATGTCGGCTTCGCTCACGTCGTCTGCGGGGATGCAACTGACAATCACGTTTGCGGCCGGCGCTTCAGCCAGAGACCCGTATATGTCAATTTTTGAGGGGGAAAAGTCGGCCACCAGCCGTTCCGCGGTGCTCCTGGTTCGATTCACAAGACCTATGCGTTGAATGTCCAACTGCTGGTACGCGTACACAGCCGCGCGTGCCGCACCGCCAGCCCCGACGACGAGACCCACGTCAACTTTGGTCAACCCACTACTCTGAATGCACCTCAGGATACCAATCCAATCGGTGTTATCCCCCCGGAGCGTCCGGCCGGACTTGCCATCTTCAACAATGACTGTATTCACCGCTCCAAGCCTGGTGCTAGCATCTGACACGGAATCCAGGAGCGGTTGAATGTTCAGCTTATGGGGATATGTGACCGACGCGCCGCCAAACTCGGGCTTTCGCATCAGATCACACACAGTATTGTCAATCTGAAGAGTTTCATGTATCGAATAATGATGTGGCAGGCCTAGCTCGGCGAACGCAGTATTGTGGATGGTGGGACTTAGCGAATGAGAAATGTTATTCCCAAAGATGTAAAAATTGCGTTTTGGCAATTGCCCCATCAGATATTTTGCGTGGTTGACCTGCGCGAGGGATATCTGTCCCGCTGCTGATGGGGCCGGTAGAAGAGGATGGGTGACAAAAGAAATCGGGCTGATGATGCGGGACAGCTGCCCTGGCGGGCCCATAGCCACTGAAAGGACGGGTTTGCTCGATTGTGTCCTATATTTCCGTTGCAGTAATGCCAGTTCGTGGCAATCCGCAATGTCGGTGGCCTGAAAGCTGAGCTTCAGGATATCTGCAAGAGTTGTCAGCGTGAACCTGAGGTGAAATAGACGGCCGACGCAACGCACCTCCGTAAGTATCCTGTTTGATGTAGTGCTCAAATAATGAATCTGACCATCTGACCTCTCCAGTCCAGTCGTGAACTGAGGCGATAAGTTTACTGGATCCCTTATGCTTGACGATCTCCTGCTTCAGGGACTCGGGCCAAGAAAACTCCACGTCGATATACTCGCACCCGAATTGGGCGGCGAGAAGCATCAGTTCAAGGGCTTCAGGTGCTGCACCATCCGGAAACTGGCCTCCTTGTGAAACTGTCCGTATGGTGAAGATGATGGGCATGTCCGAGCCTCGTCTCAACCACTCTAGTTGTGAGAGCACATACTCCTTGGTGGGTAGCTTAGTCACCTCGTCGGGTCTTAGCAGGTCGACTCGAAGTTCCCATACATCGCCTCCATAGCTGATTCTTTCGAGGTTGCAGCCTGCTTGTGTGACATTGGGAAAGGTGAGTGGAATCAGGAAGATTTGTTTTCCTTGGACATAATACGACGATATCAAATCTCGCGTCGTGCCATTGCTCATGTGTGAGGCCATAATTTGACGAAATGACCTCGAGCGTCCAGGTGGAGGACATCAGCCATGAACGAACAGTCTTGAATCCCCTTTTCCCTCGCAGGGTATTCCAAACGCGTGCTCCACCACGGCAAAGGGCTCAGCCGGTGCATCACGTGACTGGATATCACCTCGATCGCCCTGGGAATGGATCCGACCCACGTATTTGCCGGAATTCAAGGCTAGTAGACATGGTCCGATGATCTACTGTAGTGCAGGACCTACTAGCTCATATTGCTGTCGGATAGCCCTCCTCATCACGTGAACTGGGGCAGGTCTGCCCGTGAGGAGCTCGAACTGTGAGATGCCCTGCTCAACGAGGACGTCGAGGCCATCAACCACGACCCAGCCACCTGTGGACCTTGACTGCATTTGATTCATCAATCGGGTCACCAATGGCTTGTACGCCAGCTATGTATAGTTAGCCGGATTCACTGATCATTCGTATATGCATACCTCAACGAAGACGCCGCCCGTTCGGCTTTGCAACCATTCAGCCGGAATCGTCAGTTCATGAGCTGCCTGTCCGGAGATAGAGTGAGCAGGGATGCAGGATACGATCACCGTAGGCTGCCGTAGTCGCTCAGGCCACTGAGACTCCAACGTGGAAAGCACATGAACATGTAAATTCTGCTGCCTGTAGTGGTCCGCAAGCGCCTCAGCATGCGACGCTGTTCGATTGTAGAGGCAAATGGTCCTGATCCCCAGTGTGCGGCAGGCATATATCGCTGCTCTGGCCATGCCTCCAGCTCCTATCACCAAGGCGGTGCTGCTATCACGAACGAAGTTGGCGGGAGATATCTTTCGCCCGATACACTCCCGAATGCCAACGTGATCAGTGTTGTAACCTTTCAGGATAGTATCAGTGTCATCAGACTGGTTCTGCTGCCTCTCAATGACTACCGTGTTGACTGCACCTATGTCCCGCGCTTCGGGGTTTATATGGTGCAGCATGGGGAGGACTTGCATCTTGAAAGGCAAAGAGATTGCGAGACCACCACATTCGGGATCGGCCAATAGCTCTTGTATGCTGCTCAAATCATCTGACTGCAGCAATCCATACGAATGCGGCATACCACACGCAGCATATGCCGCGTTGTGCATTGCAGGAGAAAGACTGTACGAGACGCTCTGCCCGAGGATGGTAAACTTCTTTCGAGAGTGGATGAAGCTGGAATACAATGCCGTTTGAGCTTGATCGATTGTGATACCGTCTGTAGTCATGGAAGGCAAAACCACTGGTGAGAGGACAGGATTGAAGCAAACGGAAGTCCGGCCGAGAGCGCCTGTGTTGTACGCTACCAGTGGCATCGTCCAGGTCTCCCGAGCGACCTGAGCATCGTAGAGACGCTGCAAATTTTCCGAGGCGGAAGCCGCTTGGTGGGTGATGCGAATAGCATGGCAAGCAAGTTGCATCGCAAGGTCATGTATTTTAGTCCATGGAAGTTCGTCCGCAGCCCTGGCCTGCTTGCTACTCTCATAATGATAGGTTCCAACAATTTGAGTGGAGCCTCGGAGCGAAGCGAGAGACTTCACCTGATCACGGGCTAGCCTCAAGCACACCGTCAAGAAGTCTGGAGAGCTCCGCAGGCAGAGTCGAAGGAGCTTGAGATAATTGGCCGAGTCCTGAGTGTCTGGATATGAGACATCGATCATGATGGGAGCTCTCGCGTGTCTTCGCAACGTAGCCACTGCCCTGGGAACCAATTCCAAAAAGTGGTCGGCAGCTTTGTCCCCCGGATCGATGACGAGACTGACCATATCTGCGCCACATTCGAGTTTGTCGTATTCCAAGACATGCGCATCCAGCCAGTGAAGCGGTACCTGTAGTACATAGGTATAGGAAGCAGACAAAGCCTCGACAGAGCGCAGGAGCTTGGGGGTGCGTCCAAAGATGCGATGTAGAAAACGGACGAAATCCACCTCGGTCTGCTTGAGCTTCAGCGTCCCAGCCGGATTGCTTCCATTGGGACTGTCGAGAGTCCACGTGATGTTGTAGAAGTCAAAGGTCGAATAAGAGCGGTAAGAGGCATCGTGGATCCTGTACAACTGCTCCTGGTTGTTTTGACAGCCGAACATGTCGCCAAGGTCGGCTTTGTCTCTTTGAACATAGATGACGGGATGTGTTTGCGCGAAAGCCCTTAATAAGCGCTTTTGAGCATTGCTACTATAGGCTGTCAAGCCGCCAATTACGTGATCTTCACTGTAGGTGTTGAGAAGGGACTTGGTGACTTTCGTCTCGGCCTCGCGGTAAGCTGGCATTCCATGAGTGGATATGTAGTCGTATGGTGTCATGCCCATCCCCTTCTCAAAGGCCCTGCCGAAGTCCACATATTGACGGCGTAGCACCACGGATGCAATCACAGATAGAGTATGTTTGCCGGCTCGTGGAAAGCCAACCAGAAGGATGCTAGCACGGTCGCTGTACACTACTTTATCCGTCGGTGTTGTCAGCGGTTCCAGGAGACCAACTGTGTCGGAAGCACTAGGGCCAACGAGTCGGCTTGGAGAAGATGTCCTCGAATTGAAGATTCCGGACATGAGCTCCGGGACAGGAGTCGTGGCATGACTGTTGGTTCCTCCAGGACAAAGTCCCTGGGCGCTATCAAGAGCCTTAGCCTTCCGCTTCATGGCCACGAATTTGCATCCCAAATCAGGCCTCAGCCTGAGTTCAGCATTGCCAGAGGTGTTCGAGAAGAAATGGTAACGATAGAAGTGTATTTCTGCGGGGCAAGATACGATGGCATCGGAAGGGCTCCGGTGGGTGATGGTGGTGAACGACAAATTCAGTCTAGAGTGTTGAGTGTGGAGGTGTGGAGGTGTGGAGGGAAGCCTTTTCGGCTAGAGACTTTGCCGATCACGTGACTGCCAGTCCTAGTCGCATCAACCGCCAGACCAGCCGCCAAGAGAAAATCCTACCAGCTTCCCAACGACGTCTGATGCGGTTACAATGTGATAGTCAAAGGTGTACACCTTAATATGGTCGAAATATTGATCCGAAGAACTTCGGAAGCCGTAACAGCGTTACCTCGTCGAGACCGCTGGGCGGAGCGCAGCTGTCCAGGAGGCAACCCTCAAAACTTCATCAGCTCAACCGGCCCATGTCCGAATCAGGTCCACCATATCCGAAACGCCAGAGAATTTCACAGGCCTGTAAAGAATGTCGAAAGCGCAAATCCAAATGCGGTGGTGAATATCCCTCCTGCCTGGTCTGCGTCTCAACGAAACGCGCGTGTTCCTACGACCAGAGCTTCCGAAAGCGTGGGTTGCAGTCGGGCTATGTGCGAGCTTTAGAAGCACTGCTAGGCACATTCACCCGCAACTCTCCCGAGGCTGAACGGAAAATCCGAGCATCCCTTCGTTCTCCCGACTTGCAAGGTGAACTGAATGAGAACCGGTTCACGGATGTCGCTGTCGAAGCTTGGCGAACTTCTGGTCTCTCAAAAGACATTGAACAACTTTTGGCAGCCTCAGAGGATGTTTTCAGCACCTCCAGAGTAGCTCTTTCACCCATCGCCCACACAGACGCCGAGGACGAGCGGGCGAATGAGGCTACACGCCGGGAAGAGTCTGCCAGGCAGCCATTACTAGTCCCAAATGCTCTTCCTGTTTGGCATGGTCCGACACAAAACCTTCCTGATAGCCCCTTGCCAGTCAACACATCGGACATGGTGGAATTCTATTTCGCACAGATTCAGTGTTGGTTCCCGGTCTTGGAGCGCCGGGATATCCTGCGCATTCTACACTCCGAGACTCCTCCTTCGGCTCTTACAAAAAGCGACAAGGCCCTGAGATCGTGTCTCTGGGCTATATCTGCCTTGGTGACCGCTCAAAGACGCTTTTCTGCCCAGGTACGTCTCAATTATGAGAAGATCTTGGTCGGTCTCTGTCTGCAAATAAAAGAACACGAACAGCAACCAGAACTGGGGCATATCCAGTCCATATTAATCATTGCACTCCTAAAAATCGGATTGGGTCAGCTTAATGCTGCGTGGACGTCGATCGGTGCGGCCATCAGAATGCTTCTTGTGGCCCAAGAGCGTCCTCCGCGCTACTTGCACACTTTGTTTGGGTGCATAATGCTTGACAACTATCTCTCTTCCCTTTTACGACAAGGCTCCTACTTTTCACCGAGCGACCAAATCTATCTTGCCAAAGTGGACGAAAATTCCGTGGAAGAATGGGAATACTGGAACCCGCCCTCAGAGTGTACAACCGTTGCCACCGAAAGGAAGAAAGCCCCGATGCGATCGCTCAGTATCCTGAATCTGATGACGCAGCTTATGTATCATCTAACAAAGACCAACGAACAAAATGTGGACGACGCAAGGCTTGTCGAAGATATAGCTGCTCTGCAGACCTGGAAGGCAGATCTGCCCGGACATCACCGGATCTCAAGCTCTAATTCTTCAAATCCCTCTCTTTTGAATCTACACCTAATGTGGAATTTCGTCATGTGCTCTTTGCTGATGAAGATCACTACCCTCCAAGACACTTTCGTTGAATTGGCAGAACAAAGCGCAACCTCTACCATGGAGCTGCTCAATATCATTTCAAGAGACATGGGCATGCAGTTCCCGCTGTTGCTGGGCTACACCTCCCAAGCTTGGACTTCCTTGCACGTTCTGGTTCGCCCGGAGGTAGACAGCAGTGCAGGCTCGACCAAGGCGCGGCTTCTCGAGTTGAAGGAAAGCTTTCATCAATATTGGCAAACCGGGAACTATGGCCCAGCAAACCAGCCGCACGAGGCTACTGAAACCGGACAATTCCATCTAGAAGCTCTAGAGCGGACGCCCTTGATGTTTCCTGGAACATCCTCCTCAAATATGCATGCAGAACATCCGACTCCCAGTGAATCGGTTGCGGACGCTGAGCGCCATCCGACATGTCTGCATCAATCTTTCCCGGAGGTGCAAACTCCCGCCACCCAAATTGAGGGGCTCGCCACGAATCAGGCTTTGCCAGCAGAACTGGAACCTAGTAGCGATCTGGAGAACCTTGATGTGCCCAGCACAGACCAATTCAGTGATGTGAATGATTTTGATGCTATTTTCAACCAAGGGCCGTGGATAGCGCCGATGAGGAGGTAAGTGAACACAACTTCTGTTCGGTCTTTATTGGTGCTGATCTGTGAAGGCCTGGTGACGAATCTGACTTTGCACAAAACCTTGGGTTCGTAGGCGGCGAGGTTGATGCCGACTTCTTCTCAATCCTTAGTCCAGAGGCGAACACTCTGTGGGGGCCTTTTCATCAACCGGCAGCCCCGAATGGCCTATAAACTCAGTTCCTGTGCCAATTTCTTCCACGCCTTGATCCCCCTCTGCGCGTGCGTATGTGGGATACTGGGATCGGGATCCGACATGGTCCTTGAGAAAAGCTCCATTGATACCCATCCTTCGAAGCCAAGTTCCTTTAGGAAAACTCGGGCTACCTCGACTACTGGAAGATAACCACCCTTTTCCTCTTCGTAGAGGTACAATCTTGCGTTTCGACTCCAGCTCATCCTACTGGGTTGACCATCGACGTGGAATGGATGATCCTGCGTTAGAGGAGGATCCATCTTCTCAGCATCCACAACCTGGACATAGAATACCTTCTTGAGATCGACCGTCTTGACGAGTCTCTCCAAGGAAGCCTTCAGGTCTTCGTCCGCATTGGCAGTTTTGCCCGACGGCTTCGCAGGATCAGCCCAGACACGGCCGGCAATGTTGAACGTGTCCAGACAGCATCCGAAGTTAGGACGGTCGACCCGTGAAACTATCTCCCATAGTTTCTCCCACGTATCGACATAGGTGCCCCAGGCCAGGTTTTCGTAAGCAAATCTCACTGGGGGGTCTTCTTTGAGGCCGAGATCTGCCACCTCTCTCATATCCTGGACGATCAGATCCATGTCTCCGGAAATTCCGCCCCGCTGAAAGTTGGATGGAATCTGTATGACATCCGTGCCGAGGGCCGTGACAATCTTGAACCACGTCTTGAGCTTCTCGATTTTCGCGGCATGTTCCTCTCGATCGATCAATCCTTCATAGAATAAGAACGGCTGAAGGCCGATGATGGTCAAGTTGAGGCCATCACACAGTGTTCGGATCTGTTCCGCTGCGCGGATCAGTGTTTCTGGGGTTACCTCTTGTCCGTCTTTCTTGGCTAGATATTCCAGGTCTTCGTAGAAAACCTCCAGGCCCTGGAAGCCGGCTTGGGCGGCTTCGCGTAGTTTTTCCTCCAGGTCGTGAACCCAGGCACGACCCAGAGACATGGAGGTGATGGCCGGCCTGCAGCGCATAGTTGCGACAACGTGAAAGAGGACTTGCTGAAGGGGAGAGGAGACACAAATGTTTCTTAAAGCGAGGGATTCACAGCGTTATACATGTCCCGCTTCCGGCGGCAAAAAGCTATTCCGGTCCCCACCTGCTTGAAAGAACGCCTTGGTTGGCGTTCTGGTGTTTCTTGGTTGGAGGACCATATCTCCAAAGGAACCCTACGGAGCAAAGTGTTATAAGTACTGCCATCTCGTCGAGGAAATCAATCAGGATGCCCCTTGAATTGGCTTGGGAAACAATATGCCCTAGAAGTTGATCGCTGGACTGGTCTCCGCCGCCTTTTGCAGCACTGCCCGTGCCGCGTCCACGTCTATGCGTTTGGCGGCCGCTTCCCCAATCCAGAGTCGGTATTGCTCTTCTATTTGGTGACCAATAATCCCCGTTCCTTCAACCGTCTTCCAGCCATGTTTCTCGGCGAGCTTCAGCCACCTCGTCCGCCGAGGTTTGAAGCACATGTCCAGCAGAACCCCCTTGTTTTCAGTGCCAGCGTGCGACAGGAAATACTCGATCACGTCCCGGCCTGCAAGTTCCTCGGGACTCTTTGGCTCAAAATCGGGTACCGTCCCCACGATGTAGTATGGCGCGTCCAGTGATTTTGCTTCTTCGACCGAGCGAATCCATACGATCTTCACCCAGCCTCCATAGACTTCAGCATCCTTCCGTAGGGCGTCGACCTCGCCGGCATCCCGATTGACAATGTAGATCGGGTTGCATCGTAACTGGTCGTACAGAGCATAGAGTGCCGCCCTGGAGGCACCTCCGGCGCCTATCACGAGAGCCGGTCTGCCCTTTCCCTTGCCCTGCGGATCTCCATCCGATAAACAGCCTCGGATGCCACGCCAGTCCGTGTTGGTCCCTCGCAGCGAACCGTCCGCGGATCGATACACGTTGTTACAGGCCCCGATGGTGGTAGCATGCTCGTCCAGCCCATCCAGGTGTCTCATGATCGTCCCCTTGTATGGCATGGTCACCACTCCACCAGCAAAATTGGGTTTTCGAAAGAGAGCCACGGCGTCTTCCACCGTGGGACATTCTTGAGCGAGGAACTTCCAGTCGTAGCCGAGCGATTGTGCGACAAAGTCATGCATCAACGGCGCAATGGAATGCGTGACGCCGATGCCGACCAAGTAAGTAAATGCGCGCTCATCTTTAGAAGAATCATTGAGCGCCATGGCTTAGATATTCGCTACCAACAAAGTAGTGAGACAGTGTAGCGTCCTGGCCATCGATTACATTCATCTAAGATGTGGATGGTTTCTTGGCCATAGGTATCGAACTGGTCATATCGTCGTGCGCAATCCTGAGAGACGTCGGGGTTGCTTTTCACCCTCGTGGCGGTCGCTTAGGCATTTATCCGGTCCCCAAATTTCGAGAGCGGAGCCCAGCCCGTGGCATCCGCTCCGTCGGGCATGCTTTTCCTGGGGAGGGAAGTATGCCTCTACTCGATCTTCCAGCTCGGGACGAGGTGAGAATGCGACCCGCAGTAGTAGTCAATACACGGTGTTCGGAGCTATACCCTGGTCTTGTCATTGTCATGCTCTAAGATATCCCGCCAGACTCAGCCTCGGCCTGTTTTTATCACTATAGATCACACTCCCGTTAACCCTGAACTAGCAGAACCGACGGCACACTCGCAGTCAGCTTGAGACTTTAGCTAACATTGTGTTTAAAACTCCAGGTCCACAGCGCCCTCAACCCACTTTTTACATTGCCAATACAGCAGGTCGTGTTTATCTCCACATTTCTTGAAACTTCCAGGCAAGTCGCTCTGCTCGCGCCTGTGTCCCGGCATGTCCAACGAACACTTGACCCCCATCGTTTTCTCTTGACAGTAGGCCAGATAACGATAGCCGCTGGGAAACTTTTGAAGGGCTTCCTCATCTAGCGAGGGGACCTTGTTGGGATTGACGGGAATCAATTTATCCTAGATCGTAAGCCGACATTTTGACGAGTGGAATCGAAACGAGAAGAAAAAAAATGGGCCCTTTACCTTCTCGTACCAGTGCCTCACATACTGTGCTTTCCATTCGCCACTCTCGGTCTTCAACCAAAAGAAGCAAAATCGACAGTCGCTCTCGGCGTCTGCCTCACCGTCGTCAAAGTAAAACCGCTGAGTGATGGTGGCTTTCATTTTCGTCACGGCCCGGGTTGCTTCCGTGTTGATGTCGGTGCTAGTGCCGTGGCAGCGATGCATAATGAAGGCGCCATTGTCCATTCCCTTCTGAGATGCCGCAATAAAATCAAGATGGTGTGTCTTGCCCGTCCAGGTGGTGTAAATGTATGCATCTGGGTGGAAGATGGATTTCAAATTCTCCCACTCACAAGCATCACTATAGTCATTCTGGTCAGACTGGGTCAATGGTGAGCAGGCTGTAAGGTACTTGCCGATACAAGGGCCATCCTTCGGCCAGCTCTCTCAGCTTGTAACGCTCAAGGACAAGATTATCCGGTCCGTTATTGCGCACAGCCTTCTCGGGCCTAGACCCCACAGGTAGAGTATGCAAGTCAGGCATATTTAATGACAGCGCTTGGTATCCGGACATTCTCGGGGGTAGATGTCCCATCGACTTGTTGTTATATACCGGATGACTGGCTGCCGGTGTGGATCCACTGGAAGCGGAGGTCAGTCACGTGACCGGATAAAGTCTGCCCCTGGAACGGGGAGACACTATGGGGTAGCTGAACCAGTGTGGCGGGGTGACCAGGAGCGCGCGTGCCAGCACCCCACGGGAAAGGACTATCCGCATCAAAGACCAAGAATCCATCGGACTGGGGTTTAATTACTTGGTCTCGCCCTCGCTTCAAAGACTTTCCAACCTGTCCTCAAACGACATCACACACCTGTCTAGGGCAACTTACTCCCTCAGGATTTTTCCCCCGTGCACAAGCACCATGGGTCTCCTTGCTCCCAAAGATCTCTCCTCCAACCCTGCGCCTCCGCAGGTCTACAATTGGAGGGTCTATGCGTTGGCAATCTCCGCCTCGATGGGTTCGTCCATGTTTGGATACGATTCCTCATTCATCGGGGGTTCATTGTCCCTCCCATCCTTTCGAGAGAGGTTTGGGCTCGATGATGCCAGCGCAGCGCAAAGATCTGCCCTGTCCGCCAATATTGTCAGTACCTTCCAAGCTGGCTGCTTTTTCGGGGCCATCTTGTGCTACATGATCATCGAACGCCTCGGCCTGAAGAAGACCCTGATGCTCTGCGGCGCCACCTTCAACGTTGGCACTATTATGCAAGTTGCGAGTACTGGTCAACTTGGCTTGATCTATGCGGGCCGCGTATTAACGGGTAAGGCTCCAGTTCTCTTCACCTGTCTACACGGGCCATGCCCGAGACTAACAGACGTGCGCAGGTCTTGCTGTGGGATCATCGTCCTTGATTGTTCCCGTCTATATTTCTGAGTGTTCTCCGCCCGCCATTCGAGGTCGTTTGATCGGCATTTTTGAAATTGTCTTGCAATTGAGCCAGATTGTGGGCTTCTGGGTCAATTACGGCGTCAACAAGCACATCTCCGGCTCGGATGATTCCCAGTGGCGTATTCCCTTTGCGCTTCAGTTCGTCCCGGGCACGCTCCTTGTCGCTTTGATGGCTCTGCAGCCCGAATCCCCCCGATTTCTCGCAAAGAAGGGAAACTTTCTCCAGGCGCAACGCGTTCTGTCCTCTCTCCGCCAACTTCCCGAGGAGCACGAATACCTCGCCTGGGAACTCTACGCCATTCGTTCGCAGATCGAGGCTGAGAACGCCGAGAGCGCGACTAGCCTGCTGGGGAAGCTCAAGGAAATCTACAACACCAATGTTCGCACACGCCTTCTCATCGCAATGGCGCTGATGCTGCTGCAAAACCTGAGCGGCATCAATGCGCTCAATTACTATTCACCCACCATCTTCAGGTCAATCGGCTTCACGGGAACTGACGTTGGTCTCCTGGCCACAGGAGTCTTCGGCATTGTGAAGGCCACCATGACGACGATTTTCATGCTTTTCCTCGTCGACCGCTTTGGAAGACGTCCTGCCATGTTGGTTGGGTCTGCCGGTGCAATCCTTGCCATGTACTATCTCGGAGGCTACACCAAACTGTCGAATTCCTTCAACGAGACGCCTCCCAGAGATGGCGGCGCATACGTTGCCATTGTCATGATCTACATTTTCTCCATCTTTTATGCTATCTCGTGGAATGGCATTCCTTGGATCTTCTCGTAAGTAGCCTCCTGGAGAGTCTGAACTACTTTGATCTGACACTGTTTCAGGGCCGAAGTCTTCCCCCTCGAGGTGCGCCAGGTCTGCTTGGTGTTCACGACTTGTACTCAGTGGCTTGGTCAATTCATGATTGCCTACTCCACGCCCTACATGATCACAGGCATCCAGTATGGCGTTTTCTTGTTCTTCGGAACTTCCGTGGTCATCGGCGTCACCTTTGTTTTCTTCTTCTTGCCGGAGACAAAAGAGGTCGCTCTGGAAGATATGGATGTCATGTTCAACGTCAAGGGTTGGGCCTGGCAAAAGAGAAAGGAGACAGAACGCATCCTGGCTGAGAAGCGGATGCAGCTCCAGGAAAACAACGGGATTTTCGTCGACAAGGTTGATTATAGCCATCTCGAGGAAAGCGGCACGGATGAGAAGGTGTAAATTGATATATGCCAGGTGGGTGTTGGCTGCTGAAAGCTCCACGGCAACCATGACCCATGAGAGCCATGGTCCCATCCGCCATAGTTGATAGTTGGACATAACAGAGAGTAGATACTTGAACACTACACTTTGACCGGGAATTCGAGTCCAAGAGCTGGGAGGTGACAATAGTTTGAAGTTTTCTTCGTAACAACAATCAAAGCCAGACTTGAGTAGAATACCCAGTGGTGCAAAAACCACCGAGTAGCCTGAACAGTGTCTGAGAAGCTACTATAGTTTCTTATGATTTATTCACAAGAAGATCCAGCTCTTTCTTCCAGCACATTGGCTTCAAGTCTCGGGTCTCGGGTCCTCCATACCAAGTCCTCAGGACGATCCACTGTTCTCGGCGCGTTCGAAGTGTACATACCATTTCCTGTCTGTCCACGGTCTTTCATACACCCGAGGACTTGCAGTCTCTCAATCGGACATCATAGGACTGACAGTGGACTCTGACTACTGTTTCCGACTGTGTCCAGTGAGTTGTGGGCACCCGGGTAAGTTCCTAAGCGAAGCTCCCTGGAGGATCGGGGGCTCATTCGCGGGGATCTCTCCACAGCAGTTCCGGGCATGCAGATATCATCGAGCTATCAGAAGTCACCATTAAGGACCACGGCGACAGCGGCACTGGAGATTCTCATTTGTTTACTGCAGTGACCATGGCAGACAACCAAGGCTTTATGCCTGTGCCTTCTCTGGCTTCTACGCTCAAGGACTCCTTCCAGTACGGCTCGTCACTCAGGAAGACGATCCAGGAATCTAGAGCATGCAGGACCTATCTGCTCGGGCATCCTATAGCGCAGTCGCTTGCTCCCTTTCTGCATAGCACGCTGTTCGAATTGAATGGTCTGTCGTGGACATACCAGCTCCTCGAATCGACCAACCAGCAGGACTTATTATCATTGTTGCCACAAGACGACTGCGTGGGCAGCGCGGTGACAATGCCTCACAAAGTCACATTCGCGGCGCAAACCGACGAGTCAACTGAAGAAGGGCGCGAGATCGGTGCCATCAACACAGTCTTCATCCGTTTGTCGCCCGAGGGACACCGTCGATACATTGGAACCAACACTGACTGCATCGGCGTCCGCGAGGCTTTTACCGGCCACGCTTCGCCAGAACAACTTCTCGCAGCTCGGTCACGGCCGGCGTTGATAGTCGGTGGAGGGGGTGCTGGCCGGTCTGCCTTGTACGCTCTTCATAAATTCATGGGTGTGCAGACCATATATATGGTCAACAGGTTCAAATCCGAAGTCGACGCCATCGTTAAGGACTTTTCTCGGGTGGCCGGTTGGACGGCGAGAATTATCCATGTCGACACAGGCGAGCAAGCACAGAAGCTTCCAAAACCTTATCTTGCTGTCGGCACCGTGCCCGACTACGCCCCTGCGACACCAGAAGAACAGCTGGCACAAAAGGTATCGCGGACTTTGATGTCAGATCCTGCATCCGAGAAGGGCATCGTCTTGGAGATGTGCTATTTCCCACGAGTTCGGACGTCCTTCTATGAATTTGCCGAAGCTGCAGGCTGGCAGGTGATTCCCGGGACGGTGGCAATGATCTGGCAGGGCGTGGCTCAACAAGTCTTATGGAGTGAGAGCGTCGCGCCTGCGGATGAAGAAGTGGTCAAGAAAGCCAGTGCAACAGTGTTGGAGATTATCGAGTCTAGGCGAGCTCAGCAATAACTCTCAGCATCGAAGTCTGTTACAGCAATATACCTCTCAACATTTTGCTAAACCCCGTAGCCGTTAAGATACGTAGGCTGTGAAGCTGGCGGGAGGCTACTTCTTCAAAACCCCGGCGCTTCACCAACCACTCCCTCTCACAGGCTTGTTGATGAGCAACCGGTGAACAAAATCAACCCCGTTTAGCCTTGTCGAGGGCTTTCTAATATCCAGCACAGCTCAGCGACAGCGCCAAACAGGTATCAACGATAACCCAGAACACAACTTCCTCTTACTACTATCCCACATTGTCTTCGTCTGGATCTCAACCGCCCTCGCCCCCCAAGAGACCGCTTACGACGCCTATCTCGCCTCTTTCCGCGCCGTGACACATCTCGCCTCCTCGATCCTTCAATCGCGCGCCGCCCGCCCAGCATATGTCGGCGCCTTCGTGTTCGAGACCGAGCTCATCCCCGCCCTCTACTGGGTGGCCACCAAGCGTCGCACGCAGGCGCGCGAAGCGAAGCTCTGCATCTGCTGTGTGACCCGCTCCTCACCTCCCGCAGGGAGAACCTGTGGGATGCGCTGGAGTCGTATGCGCTGTCGACAAGTTTTGTGTAGAGATCTGTCACCTTGCTCGTGTTGGGGTGGACATAGCGATGGATTTCCCAGGTGCGGCCAATCGAGTAGCTTCGACTACTGGTGAGCACCTCTGGTTTCAGCCATTTGCGCGTGGTCGGGGCACTGGAAAGCGTGTTGTTCAGTATGGCAGTACCCAGTTTTGACAGATCATTGATCGTCGGAAACGATCCGCCCAAAGGGATGGTGAAGCCCGGGTCTACTAGCCACTCCACTAGATGGTAACAAAGTACTATTATAATGCGTTAGACCAGTTCCGTTTCACCGTACATACCTGCAGTATACCGATGGCTCCCGCCGGTTTGATCGCTTTCTGATCCTCACCTTCAACGTCCTAGAGGTTTGTCTACACCATATCACCAGCCTCCGCAGCTGACGCTTGCAGGCCAAGGTCAACATAGTGATCCTCGGACAAGAGATCTCGACTCCACATACGACTCTCGCAACAAAACCCTCAAGAACAATATGGACGACGCCGCCCTAATGATTTAGACCGGAGGGAGGCCATGATAGGAAGGCGCTGTGGTATTCTCAGCCACGGGTACGTTCTAGAAGCTCTTGAGATTTGTGCGTGTAATGCGCAGGCGTCAAAAATATTTGCTGGCACACAAAACTTGGCGAGCACAGTTCTGAGCAAAGAGATTCCATTCCTTTTCGTCTTTCTCATACTGTCAGTGTGTAACCCCTAAATCTCACACGGATACAAAGGACAGGATCTTCGTAAACCCATTACTCGCCCGTGTCGCAGCTAGCACTGCAATCAATACACCGCTAAGAGGAAGCCTTCAGGCCTTTTCCTTCTTCGGGCTTAGTCCCGGGTAGACTCCACTCGACAAGACCTGGCTGCCTTTGTTTCTCATATGCCGTTGGGCTAGTCACGTTCTAAGACATCGGATCGATCAACGTGATAGCAGTGTCGACGTAGGTGCGCGGTACGACCTCCATCTGCCCTTACCCGACATCACGTCAGTCTCGAACAGTAGATTGAGATACGAAGCAGTACGAGTAAGATCTGTCAAATGACTATGTTCATTGGTACTACAAAGGAGGTCTGCTCCGCTGCTGCGTCTTCCAACTTCTTTCCCACCGTGTACGCGCGAAAAATCCCACTCCGCAACGATGATGTAAATCCACCACACCTTTTTCAATGCTTCAACCTAGAGCAGTAGCGTTTCATCGCCTGACCTTTGTCTCAGCAGGAGGGTTGTAGACGAGCTTCCTTGTCTTGACCGGCGACCACTTGTAGCGTTTGACCCAGATCGACAAAGCAAAGAGAGCAGAAGTGACGACCAAGACCTTCAGACCCATCTTCTTGCGCTCATCAGCCTCCGGCTCGGCAGCCCAGTTGAGGAACTCGACCACATCCTTAGCCATCTGCGAGGTGGTAGCGGGAGTTTTATCCTCGTACTCAACGAGGCCATCATACAGAACACGGGCCATGGCGATACCGGTACCAGGGAAGTAGGGGTTGAAGTTCAGACCATCTTGCACGACAGCGCCAGCGGGAGGGTCCTCGGGGTAACCGGTCAGAAGCGCGAAGATATAGTTGACACCACCGTGACGAGCCTTCACCATGAGTGATAGATCGGGAGGCAGAGCACCGTTGTTCGCCGCGCGAGCAGCTTCATCGTTCTTGTAGGGAGCGGGGAGGTAATCGGACAGCTTGCCAGGCCGCTTCTCAATTTCGCCCTCGTCATTGGGATCCTCGTTATCGTACTCATTCTCCTCAGCCATAGCCTTCATTTCGTCCACTGTCGCGAAGGAACCAACGATCTTGCGATACGGGATGCGGCTCAGTGAGTGACAGGCGGCACAAACTTCTCGATACACCTGGAAACCTCGGCGGAGACTGGTTCGCACTTTAGCATTGGTTATCACCGTAAGACAGATCTTTCAAAGCTTACGTAGCATGATCGTAGGTCTTTGTCCATCTTGTATGCTCCCAGGGATACTGAGGCGGGTGGAGACTGTCGATTGTTAGCTTCAGCTCTCCGCTCGTAGCTGCGACAAAGCTCACCCTTCTTCAGCAGGAGTCATAGCGAAAGCATCTTTCCCAGCATATTGATAATAATACGCTGCTGAACCAATGGCGGCAGCTGTTGCGGCGCTGGCGGTAGCTGTGAGGTAGAAAGGGGAGGGTGCGGACTCAGACGCGGAGGACGAAGCGGCTCTCTAGAGTTCCAGTGTTAGTCAGTGAGCTCCTATAAATTGCGTCCATGACATTCTTGATGTACTGGGACTGCCACGGCTCGATTGAAGGTGTGCTAACCGTTGTTGTGTTGCGAACAATTTTGGTGGTCTGCTGAACGAGCTGGCGCGCTCGCTGAGCAGCTGCCGAGGACAACATGTTTGCGAGACGCCAGGTGCAGCCTCACAGTGATCTGTGATCGCTCTCCGGCAGAGACGGGGTGGGATGTTAATATGGCGGTAGAGCGGAGAGGGACGTAGTTGTGAGCTGCGCAGGTGAATGTAGGACTTCAAACCTAGCAGAATCGAGACGTTTATTCCGAGCTCGGCCATTGGCCAGCGTATGCCAAGCCACAGCTCCGCTGTAGTCCGTCGTTCTTGGACCGCTTCAACCACCGTAGTTGTTCGTCCGCCGGCCAAGCTCTATCAGCATCATCGTCCAGGCGCCTTTATTCCCGCCGGCCTCCCGGAAAGATGACAATGTGCCGCCTCTATAGGCTTTCGATGGAGTTCGTCAAACGGTAGTCTCTGCTCAGCCATGTCTCAGTTCTTCCTTGCCGGCAATGGCAGCGAGCATGAGCCCTACAAATGGCAGGATCAAGTGCGCAAGCAAAGCCAGCGAGACTTCCAGGTTCAGATCATTGTCTCCGTGGTGTTCGGCCTCAGCGCATTTCTAGCGTTCTGTGTAAGTGCGTCCATTGGCGCATTTGACGACAACTGACCATAGCAGATCCTCCGGCCAAAATGGTCGACCCTTTACCATGCGCGCAAGGAGCAGTCGACTGCCGCTTCTCGATTGCCCGAACTACCCAATACGCTGTTCGGTTGGATCCCCGTTGTCATGGGTATATCTCAAGAGGAAGTGCTTGCATCGGCTGGCCTTGATGCATATGCGTTCTTGTCCTTCTTTCGCTATGCAATCAAGTATCTGAGTGTGATTTGGTTCTTTGCAGTCGCTGTCATACTGCCAGTCAACTCGCGATACACTGGAGATGCACTTTTTCCAGGCCTGGAAAGAGGCAATGAGACGCACCGTGACGTCGACAGCCTTCTGTACGTGTTCGCTGACGACGAAAAGAAACCGAGTATACCGAAACCACCCAAGGACACCACCTATCTCTGGATGTACGTCGCATTCGCCTACTTCTTCACCGCTGTGGCTCTCTATCTCCTGATAAACGAGACTAAGCACATCATCAAGATTCGGCAAGCGTATCTCGGCACACAAGCGACTGTCACGGACCGTACACTCAGGCTGTCCGGGATTCCAAAGGAAATGAGGTCGGAGGACAAGGTGAAAGACTTCATTGAGGATCTCGGAATCGGGAAAGTCGACAGCGTAATGCTGTGTCGCAACTGGAAAAAACTCGACGAGCACATGGCTCAGCGCATGCAGTATCTGCGGAGGCTCGAAAAGGCCTGGACTGCTTACCTTGGTCATCATCACTCTTTGCGGCACACGCGCCATCGCCATCGCAGACGGGAGAACGGGTATGGTGAACAGGATGCCAGCCTACTATCCGAATCAGAGATGGAGTCTGCTCACGCCCATTCAATCGATCGTGCGAGACCCACTCACACCATTCGATACGGGCCGCTATACATCTACAGCAAACAAGTCGACGCCATCAACTACTGGGAGGAGAAGCTACGCCGGACCGACGAGCGCATCAAAGTGTTGAGGAACGAAGAATATGAACCGACGCCCTTGGCTTTTGTGACTATGGAGTCGACCGCAGCCTGCCAAATGGCTATTCAGGCGATTCTGGACCCTCATCCGGGAACATTTATTGCCAATTTGGCGCCACCACCGGTCGATGTGGTCTGGAAGAACACCTATCTCTCACGCAATGCCCGAATGGCAAGAGCCTGGTCCATCATGATTGGGATAGGATTCTTGACCATATTCTGGGCGGTTCTACTTGTCCCAATTGCCGGTCTACTCAGCATCGAAGTTATCGATAAGATCCTTCCTGGTCTCGCCGACATTCTTGAAGCCCACAAATTGGCTAGATCGCTTGTCTCGACCAGTTTGACGACCCTCGTCTTTTCTCTGCTCACTATAGCCGTGGCTTATCTGTACGATTGGCTTGCCAACCAGCAGGGAATGACTTCCCAGGGTGACGTCGAGCTCTCGGTCATCTCCAAGAACTTTTTCTTCGTCTTCTTCAACCTGTTCATCGTCTTCACAATCTTCGGCTCAGCGTCGACATTCTTTGAATTCTGGCAAGATTTTAAGGAAATCATTCGCGACGCGGGTGCCATTGCGAACACGATCGCGAACTCGCTCGAATCGCTCTCACCGTTCTATACCAACCTAATCGTCCTGCAAGGCCTCGGGCTGTTTCCGTTTCGTCTCCTGGAATTCGGCACCGTGGCTCTCTATCCCTTCTATCTTCTCGCGGCAGCCACACCACGCGACTACGCCGAACTCGCGTCGCCACCGGTGTTCAGCTACGGCTTCTTCCTCCCACAATCTATGTTGATATTTGTCATCTGTACAGTGTACTCATTACTCCCGGCATCCTGGACTATCGTCCTCTTTGGTCTCATCTACTTCGTTATCGGCCAATTTATCTACAAGTACCAACTGCTGTACGCCATGGAGCACAGGCAGCAGTCTACTGGTCGCGCTTGGCCGATGATATGCAATCGTATCATTCTCGGTCTCGTCATCTTCCAGATTGCCAATACTGGTATCCTCGTTCTGAGGAAGGCTTTCACTGCGTCGGTGTTCATCGTGCCACTCATTGTTGCGACCGTCTGGTTTACTGTGTACTTCCAGCGTACATACTTTCCTCTAATGCGTTTCATCGCACTCCGAAGTATTGACAAGCCACCTCCGCCACCACTGCCCATACCCCATGAGAATCCTTGGGACCGAGACACCGATCGTGGCAGGCTTGTGGACGATAGCGAAGAGACTGGTCTGCGTTATGTCAACCCTAACCTCGTCGTACCCTTGGAGACAATGTGGGTGCGGAAGCCTGGACATGATATCAGTGAAGGTAATGATGGAGTCGAGGATGGGGTCGCGTGATCTTAATGGGGTCGATGATGGCCATGTCGAGCACACGTTTTCTAGAGGATTGCGTTGAGCGGTTTTATTTCATTACCTGTGACTTGATGCACGAGCAAGCGGAGAAGGCGTTTACTGATTACTGATCACAAGATACCCAAATTGTCACTCTAGACTGTTGTCATAGCCTATATATGAACATAATAATCATCATAATTCAGGAGTAAACGACAACAAACTATCCTCCGCGCTGACCACGATGGAGCTCCACCACGAGCTGGCGCAAGGCTTCCCGCAGGCAACCGCGGCCCGATATAGCTAGACTAGGGGCCAAGGCAACCACGGCCAACCTACTTTATTCAGACCTGATGGCATTTTGCTGTAAGTACTTCCTGTCTCCAAGATCGAACTCACACCTATCATTTCTTGATCACTACACGATGGATGAGCTATCGAGATTCAAGAAGCCAGCAGCCGATCAGTCGGGCAGTCCGCTCTTCAGTATTTTGCCTGGCGAAGTACGCGACAAAGTCTTCGAGTACGCTCTGCTCAGTTACGAGGACACCTCCCATCTCTACGATGAAGAAACCTGCTATCGTCGCCCTGGCTACTTTGCACCGTCTACGGCCGACCGCAGCCTACTTCAAACTTGCCAACAGGTTTATGCTGAGGCCTGGTTCCGCCCCTGGGTCAGTGCAACCCACACCTTCTGGTTGAGTGAGTCATGTCCAACGTAGTTTTCTGACTTGTCTTGATTCAGCTACTGACCATTCTCGTAGCTGCTCAAGATCGGCGGCCGGGCCATGGTGGTCTAAGTGTTCCGAACGTGCAACGAACCCTCAGCGAGCTGCACTCTAAGCATGGGGAAGTCTCTCTTTCTCACTTCCGCGTCTTCTCTCAGCTATACATGCTCCAACCCGGCAGCCGCCTTGCTCAAATACTCTCCATGGACCACTTCTTACCCCAGATATTCACCATCACGATCCGTCATACCGACTGGTGGAGCTGGGAGAGCGATGACGATCTCCACATCGCGGCCAACTTCGTCAACAAATGCCGCCTGCCTGATACTCTGCTAGAGTTTCGTATGGAGCTGGAGTCAGTGGAACGCAAAAAGCCACAGATCGACTTCATCGCCAAAAGCATGTGCGACCAGTGGTGTTTCGAGAAGGCGAATGGCACAATCCTGTCTGCTCAAGAGCAGGATTGCACTTCTGTCACCTGGAGCGGTACCTCAACGTGGAACAACCAGCGTTGGATCCGTGACGAAACCAAGCCCGAGACCCTAGAGTACTACATCAAGACTGTGGTCTGGAAGCCCAACCCGCAAATGAGCCGAAGAGGACTCGCCTTTGATTTGCGCGTGTCAGCTGGTTTCCAGAGGAGAATCGCCGGTCTCGCGTTTCTGCATACAGCCGACATCGAACGTGCGAGCGTCCCCAAGGGCTCAACGGCAGACGAAACAAGGCGTCTCGTCGACATGATGTACGAGAGTATGGCTGTAAGCGACCATGGCGACTGGGAGGATGAAGGGGATGGTTTCGATCCAGATGACTCCGGCGATGAAGTCTGACGGCATCGACAGCCTTCTTTTCCTGAATCACGGCATCTTGACGATAGTAATCCCTGGGCCTGGGAATCGAGAGGAGATTGGAAAGTACGTGATGAAGCTGTGTGGCTGGGCTTATCGTTCTATTCAGACAGCTGATCTTGTGATAATCAACGTACGGCTAGTATCTGGCATTTGCTCTTTAAGCACCAAACTTGCCTCTCTCCTAATAAATTTTCTCTGAGGACGTCTGGGAGACGCTCGACATGGCAGTGACCAGTAGAGATCCACCACTTCACCTTATCCTCCATTTCTTGTGAAGCCCACTGAGCCTCCGTCTCTCCATCCGAGGCCGAGACGTTCAGTACCCAACCTTATCCTCAGCTTCATGATTCATCACGTCCCACGTCGTCCACCACCTTCTTGTCCGCGGAGCATCTCTCGCAGAGTCGCTTGCCGACAACATACCGCACGACCGGCGCCCCGCTGCGACACTCCGCATCCAGGTTCACCTTCTCTGTTCCCTTGCTCTTGGCGTTGACGTTATCCTTGCCCAGCCCGTAAGCATTGCCCATTTCATACGCCTGCTGGCCTCGTCGGTACCCATCAGCAAGCTGCACCGTGCCCGAGCAGAGACAGCTCTTGACGCTCCAGCCTGCCACTTTGCCACATGCACCACCAGCCTTTCCACGTGCGTCTGTGCTCGCAACGGCACCGGCATCAGCATTGCCACGGGCGAGTTCTCTTGCACCAGGACCGTCGCTGGAATCGCCAGACAGGCTAGCATCGGCATCAGCGTCGGCCGTTGGGCCAGTCCGGGCGTCGAGACCGGGACAGGTCCATCGCAACCATACGCACGAGAACAACGACGTTGGCGACGCGCCGAGCGCGAAATCGTCGGGTGCTTCGGGAGCGCGCGAGCCGACGGGGAGGTGCGTGATCGTGGGGTGGGCTTGTCTTCGTCCTGGTCCTTGTGAGCGGCCATTAGGGGCGGATCGTGGACGCGGCGCCTCCTCAGCGATCGATGTGGAATGCAGGACGCTGTCGATTGTTCGCACGTGGTGGCTGTGGCAATGGGGTTGGAGGGAGTGGTGGAAGGGCGTCGAGAGAGCGTGGAAGGCGAGTTGAGTGCTTGTGCCAGTGGTGGTATGGACTGGGGGTGTGGTTGGTGGGGAAGGGTTCGGGGAGTGGTGCATGATTTCTGGTGCCGTTGAATTCGGCGCTGCGATGCGAGCCGCGAAGCTGATCTGAGGGCTATCATTGTTGAAGTGTTGATTCACAGTCCTGCTTGGCGGAGGGACGACCGCCGCCGGCGGTTCAGTTATACCGTCGTCGTAGCTGGGGTCACGGGGCGTTGTGCTCGCTTTGCTGTCTCTGAACGGATCCGAATCTGCGGACACAACCCTCGCTTCCTCACTGGCTGCGCTCCGAACACGACTCTCGCCATGTCTTGCCATGGCAGCCTCATACGCCTCGTCAGTGTTCATGCTCGGTCCTCGCCAAGGGTTCTCTGTGAGACCGACCATCTCCATCTCGCGCTCGATGTTGTCGTTGCCTACGCGCGTGCTGTAGAGGTCGAGGTCGTCGAACTCCTCGCTATTGACTAAGCTGGCGAGGCGTTGGCCATGGAGTGGTGGGGTGCGGATGGAGAAGGATGTGGAGGTGGCTGTTGTGGGAATGGAAGGTGCGGTAGAGACACAGAGGAGGCGGCGTTGCGCGTCTTCTGTGTTAATCTTTGACGAACTAGTGTCGGGGTTGGATGCGCTGGAGTATTCATATGAATCGTGAGAGAAGGGGTTGCTGCCATTGGAGGGTAAGGAGCGCCAGTGGTGGGAGGTTATCGAGGTGGACACAGCGGTCGCGGAGGTCGAGGTTGAAGGGTAAGTGTCGATGGGAAGGTCGAGAAGAGGTTTGGCCCGGCCGTTAAGAAGAGGGGCAGGAGTTGTGGTACCAGGGACTGGAAGGACAAGGACATGTTTGCGCAGGCGGGGTGTGGTGAGGTCTTGCGCTAGATGAGTCTGCCATGAGTCGACAGACGTCTTGACACTGTTGGGGCTTGTAGACAAGATATCGGGATCAGTAGAGGAATTGGTCTCGCGAGCGACTGGGTTGTTGTGGTGCATGTTGAAGCTTTTCGGTGCAACGTCGTCGCCTCTTGGTGGAGGCTGCAGACTCAGGGCACAGCTCAAGTTCTCTCCAGGGCTGGTCTTGGCCAGGGGAACTATTTTCTCATCACCATTGTCAATCAACTGCCCGTGGCGACCGAAGGTCATCGTGTCTCGCGGCCTCGTGACTCTCCTTGGACTGCGTGACTTGCGAGACATCTTCCTGCCCAATTCTTGCGCCGCATCTTTAGCTTTGAGCCAGGTATCTCCATGCGCATCGGTGAATCGCTTCACGAGGTTCTTTGGCAGTTGGGACGTGGCTCGCGTAGGTGATTCAGTAGCACCTGGTCTAGTCTCGGTTTGATCACAGCGGCCTCTCTTTAGCTCGTCTTTGAAGTGTTGCAGCCCTTCCCGTTGGAAAGATGGTAGCCGGGATGAAATGCGCAGACGGAGATCTTCGCGTGAGACGTCTATGGCCATACGACGGAGCTGCTTGGTTCGTGAGCGAGCTCGGCCACGGGTACGAGCACCTGGTTTTGACGACTCCGAGTCGGCATCTCCGAACGAGGGAGTTGATGAGGCTGGAGTGGGCTTGAGTCCTTGTGAGGCTATGGGAAGGTTGCTGGAGCTCGACACGTCCGAGACCCGGACTTCGACATTGCTTTCAAGGATTATTGTATCCTCACTCAGCAGATGATTATGACCGATAGAGTCTATTTCTCGATTTGCTTGTCTACCATCGTGGTCGACCTCGATCTTGACGTCGCTCTCCCAAATCAACTTGTCATGGAATGAGTGATGAGTCTCTTCGGTGGGCTGTTCGGGGTCTTGGTTGCTGCGAAGGGCCGACACGCCCAACTCTGCAAGTAGGCAGTCATCGCATATTGGCTCGAGGAAAGTTTTGTGGACTGTGTGATTCACGGAACAACTTCGTTGTGGACGAGCGGTGCCGTTGCGCTTTTGAGACTCACTCTCCGAATCTGTTGGCGATGGTGAAGGAGGTAGATTGATCGGCGAAGACCTAGTCTGAGTTCGGAAGAGCGAAGTCCGTGTTTGGCGTACAGGCGGCTTCAAGTCAAGCTCAGACATGGTGAGATATGCCTTGGGCCCAGTGCAGGAGATGTGGTGGTCAATCTGGCAACCGCATTCACGGTAATGCCAGATCTCGTGGGTGCACATGGCTGAGGAGGTGGAAGAGTGAAGGTCAGTATGTGGTCACTGAGCCCCCGGAGTTGTCCATGATGACCATAACACGATGGTGCGAGAGGTTCCTGGTCGAGGTGGCGTACCCGCTGTATTTTCGAAGTAGCGATTCAGGAGAGAACGCGGACATATTGATACAAACGCGTTGTCCGGTGCGACGTGTTCTGCTGTCTGCCGCGAGCGGTCCCAGGCGGTCCGGCGCACAAAGATGTCTCGGCTGCCCGCATGGTCAGACTGGATTGAAATCCATCATCTGCGGTTCATGCACTCTACATCTTATTGCCCGTGCTTCAAAAAGGCTCATCCTTCATCGACTTCATGGTGAGTAAATGCAGTCTAGACTGTTTGGTCGAGTGCAACAAAGTCAATCTCGCAGTGATGCTCCTCCATCTTCGGCACGACCTCATCCGCAAAAACCTCGAACCGACTTGTGATACCTGGAGATGTGTCCGGGCGCCTGGAGCGAGTCCTGTACTTCCGATAGACTGCAGCTGTCAAAGTCAGCATCTCTGCGTTAGCCAGATGCATGCCAATGCACATCCGAGCACCGCTAGAGAAAGCCCAGAAGAACCGGTTCTTCATATCTGACTCTGGCACCATGAGTCCATCTTCTGTCAACCACCGCTCAGGGCGGAACGTCAGAGGCTCCGGAAAGATGGCGGGATCCCGGTGGAGACAGTACGGCGACATGCCTACTATGGTGCCCGCGGGGATGGTACAACCGTCAATAACTTGATCTGTAGGACAAGTCCGTGGCTCAAAGGTCGGAAGTGGCGCATACAGTCGGAGAGACTCACGCAACACCGCATTGAGATACGGCAGACGCATGAGATCCTTTGGCTCAGGCAACCCCTCAGCATTGACGGAGATGCGGGACACCTCGTCCCGCAGCTTGGTCTGGTAGATCTCATGCTTTGGCAAAGATAGCGCCCAAATGAGAAACAGGAGAGAGTCGGCAGTGGTGTCTATGCCGGCTAGCAGGTGATCTGCACACTCCGATGCAATGTCCATGTCGTCAAGAGCTTGTTTCTCCCGAACCTGGAATAGCCGGCCTATAACGGTGGTATTTATAGCCTCAGCCTGCCCGCTCTGGGAAGCGGTTCGGAACGAGTAGAAAGCGTTCAGCGCATGCTGACGAATGCCAGAGTAGGTGAAGGGCTTGTTCATCGGCAATAGACCGAGCCGAGCGATGAGACTCCCGGTCAGTCCATCCCTCGAGATCAGCCACTTTGTGAAGCTGGGGAAATGGACCAGGAACCATGACAGTCTCCGACGAGCTGGATCAAGGATGTCCGAGATCATGTTTCGGTCGGTGTTGCTACCCTGGAGCGCCCGTGTGCCTCCGTGATCAGGCCCATACACGAACTCGCTGATTGCGTCCAGAGAGAAGAAGTGAAGGCTTGTGAAGATTTCCGATGCTTGCTTTGGTTCATCTTCAACCATCTTCAGGAAGCCAGCAACCTTGTTCATCACCAACTGGGAGTAATGCGGTCCGAGCACAGTCTGGTTTGAGTACATGTGGCTCAGAAGCTTCTTCCGATCCCGATGCAATGCCCCTGACCCAAAGGTAAACATGTTGGGCTTGCCGAATGCGTCGAACATTGAGTAGAAGGAGGTCCTTTCGAAGCTGCTGCCTGCTCCATATATGGTCCTGAGCGCGGACAGACTGTTGAAGGAGACTCGATCCGGCTTGATGCGGACCACGGGCCCGTATTGCTGGTGAAGATCTTGGAGCTTGTGGACAGAGCGAGCTTGCCAAGCGTCTAAAGCCAGAGGGATGCTGGACACGCTGTAGAGACGCGGGCCTGGTATTGTTGAGAGCCGCCGATGTCGAAGAATTGGCCTGATTAGGAGCCATGAAACTGTGAGAGCAGCTAACAAAAGCCAGAACCAGTGGTTCAGCAACGAGGTTCCTGTCGGGATGTCAGCTTGCCTACAGTATAGCCTTGGAACATATTTACCTTCGTATAGCATTTTCTGGGCAATTTCGAGACACAAAGCAGCCGGAAGGAGGTTGATGCTCTTGCTTGGAAGGGATAGGGGGGGGGGGGGGGGGTCTTATGATTCCTGACTGCAGACGGTGGCTGCTTCAACCATGCTCAACGGCGGAGATGTCCACCGTCGAGTGAGGTTCGCACGGCAATGCCCACCCGCCCGAAACCTTCATGCCAGGTGCGGTGTGAGGAGCACGAAGACCTATTTCTTGGTTCGGTATCGATCTACGAGGCGAGACTTTCGCTCCGCAGAGCCCACGGCATCGACGACGACGAGGTCGGCGTCGAGGCAGCCTGACGATAGCCGATGTTGATCCAGTCGATGATGCCAAGCCGTGCTGCTGCCTGCCGAGACACCGGCCCAACGTCAATGTCAACGTGCCTCGAGTCCGCAGCCTGATCGACCGTCAGATCTTCTGACTGTACTAAATACATTTACTGCCATGCTGGCACAGACGCTTTGCAAGCCACATCCAACCACTCGTTGCAGGTACCAATGCGCGCCTATTTCGTACGCCCCACCGCCATGCTTTCGAGGAGGAGCTGATTTAAGTTAGGGGATTGGCGACTCCAAGCACAAAACCGAGATTCGTGATCTATCCAGGTTAACCGATCGAGTGAGAAGAGCGACGTCTCCGGTCCGACGGCGACCAGACCAAAAGTCGTCTGCTCCCAGAGAGCGTATCGGTCGGGTTCCGGCTCCGCGTCCTCGTCGCAGAGCCCGGTCTGGGGAGCGAAACCCAAGACGGGACAGCCGCGACAGTTCTTTCGACTCGCTTGACAGCCGAAATTCCGGCCAACGTACGACTATTCGACCACAAACCTCTCCGGAACCCATCCAACGTACGACTCTTCGACGAAGAACCTCGCCGGAGTCATCTTGCCTGCCAAGGCCCCCGGGGCTCCGGATCTCATGCGAGCCTAATGATTGCCCTCTTCTGCGCTACTGGTATCAAGGAGTCATTGATGAGTATTTGACACGACACCAGACTGATTTGGCCGAAGACCTGCCTAATATTTCGGATGGTCATGCCTCTGAGATACGCGTGGTTCACCAGCCCCTGGCACCATGGCAGACCCGGCTCATTGAGCTGCTCGGCTTTGATGATTCCTTGGCAGTCCCCCAAGTGCGACTGTTTCCGGTGGACTTTGCTGACATGAATGGCGTTGGTGTCACCGGCACATCGGATGTCGTCACATATACCGCAGTGTCACATGTGTGTTGATCTCCAACGTCTGAATCCGTCATCACCTGCAACGGCGAGTCCGTCATAGTTCCCAGCAGCCTGGTCCGAATTTTGACTCACTTTTGCAAGGAGACGCAGGAGAAGTATGTCTGGATCGACTCATTGTGTATCAATCAAGAAGACATGGTTGAAAAGTCCGTTCAGGTTCGCAATATGCTGAGGATATTCGAGAAAGCTGACAAGGTCATCGCATGGCTGGACCATCCACATACGCTCACCAGCTTGCCCCTAACCGAAGCGGATCTGCGTTATTGCGACGGACTGATACACAAATCTGAATGCTTTCATGCTTTTGAGCACCAGCACCGTACTCTGATGCAACTTGCTTCTGCGGAACTATGGTCTCGGACGTGGTGCCGCCAGGAGGTTCTCGCCGCCGTCCATCTGACTCTTTCCTGACCCAGCTTCAGGGTGCCGGATTGCGACCTCGACAGACTCAGTGAGTCCCTCACTATCACCTGCGCAGAGGCTACAGTCTTCGACACAGAAGATGCGCCACACGTTTACCCCAAGACTGAGCGACACCTGGTGCCTGGACCGTTCTCTATCATGGCCAGTCATTATCAGCACGGCGGAACGGATCGATATACCTACGAGCCTCCCACCAGTAAGACCCGATACACCCGTCACTGGATGCAGCATCTCCGTGACGGCACGGCCTTCAAGGTCACGGATGAGCGTGATCGGGTGTACGGAATCTTTGGCATGATTTCCAGTGCCACCAACCGGATGGATGTTGAGTACAGAGCAGATATCAAACCACAAGATTTCCCCATCGACTACTCCAAGAGCGTTTCCGAAGTCTACCAAGACGTGATCAAGTTTCTCATCAATACTGACCGGAATCTGGACTGCTTGGTAGTGGTCGAGGACCGTCGAACACGTTTCATGTCCAAAGATCTGCCATCATGGGTGACAGACTGGCGTCAACATCAGCCGCGAAGCTTGCCAAACCTACCTCCCGACCGGGACAACGAGCTGAGACAGTACGGACAGCCTCCACGACAGGATCTCGCCGCTGTGGGTCGACTCATGCTCGAGGGCGTGGTTGAGTTCGAGGTTCTGACGCTGTCCGCAGCCAAAGTTTCCGACTGGTGGGACGTTGATGGCTTACCGATAAAACAGGTCGCGGAATTCGTCCCAAGAGTCCTCCAGCGAACTTGGGCGTTGGACGGCGCTTTAGACACTATTTGCAGCTCTTATATGAAATGCGCCTCTCACATGGACAACCCATGTAGCTCCAATATAGGGAAGTTGGGTCCGTGGTACTATGTGCCCAAAACAGCGAGAATCGGTGACATTGTCGTTTCGCTCAGCGGTTCCAGCCATCGATTCGTTTTGCGGGAAGCCCGCGCGATTGCGAGCTTTTCATCGCCTACAGCACCCTGCTACAAGCTTGTCGGTCTCGCGTTTCCAGCACAAGAGTCGTGGCCGAGTAGACCTACCGGGGTACTGCAGACGTTCATCCTCATTTAAAGGCTTCGTGAGTGTGCGTGACCTCGAGGAAAGCTGACATCAATGAGTGCATCATTCTGCACAACGATGCGGACCGTCAGCGACACGCATAAGTCCCGTTAAACCCGAAAGCCAGGAGTTTGGTCTCCAGCACAACGTTCACCTACTGGCTCACGCCAATTACAGGCACATCTGCCATCAGGGCCACACGACTAGGACGCCGCTCCATCACTGGTCAAGACAAAATTTCTCTGAATAGTTCCGAGTATCCTGTCGGACTTACAGAGGCAGTTGTAGGAAACCCCGAGCATATCGAAATCTGGACTTGGCACAGTCGCTCGGAAATATAAATGTTCAGGACAGCGACTGCCAGAGGGCTTATCGTCTAGCAGAAGCAAAACGATACATCAAAGTCGGGTCACTAGGCAAGCTACCAAGTGCCTCGTCTAGCATGTCAGATGCACAGCCACCCGTATGGCTGATAACCGGCTCCTCCCAAGGCATCGGCCTGGCGATCACGCGCTATGCCCTGTCGCAGAACCACACTGTGATCGCCACGTCGCGCAACCCGGCCAGGACACGGGAGTTGGTGCGCGAAATCGAAGCCGGCGGCGGCCACTGGCTGGCTTTGGACGTCACGGGCAACGATGTCGAGGAGGTGGTACGCGTCGCCGAGGCACTGTACGGACGCATCGACGTGCTGGTCAACAATGCAGCCTACTGCGTGCTGGGTAGTGTCGAGGAGGTGCCGCAGGCCCTGTATCGCGAGCAGATGGAGACGAACTTCTACGGGCCCGTCAGGATCATGCAGGCGGTTCTGCCGGGGATGCGGGCGAGGCGAGCAGGGTGCATCATCAATGTCAGCAGTGCTACGGGAATCATCAGCGTGGCAGGCAACGGGGTGTATGCGAGCAGCAAGTTTGCCTTGGAGGCGGCGAGCGAGGCGCTAGCGATGGAAGTGCAAAGTCTGGGGATTAGGGTGGCGGTCATGGTGCTCGGGGCGTTCAGGACCACCTTCGGGTCCGAGGGAGCACAGGTGGTCAGGCCTGAGGGGGACTATGGTGGGGAGCACGTGGTGAATAAGAGGCTGGCTTGGGTGGGGAAGTTGGGCGGGAAGGCAAAGGGAGATCCGGAGAAGGCGGCTCGCATGATGTTCGAGGTGGCGGTGGAGAAAGAAGACGTGAGAGACGAAGATGGGCGAAGATTTCTGAGGTTTGTCTTGGGAGAGGACTGCTGGAACGTGACGGATGGGAAGCTCCGGGAATTGAGGCGAACGTGGGACACGCAGCAGGAGTATGCAAAGCGAACGGCTGTTGAAGAGTAGCTACAGTAGCAGCACTGCGGCCGCATGTCGGTTGCATAAGGTATTGGACCGGCTCTCGGCGAGATGACTGCGTGCGTGGGACTTTTGTGTAGAGCGACCTCGGGCGGGGCAACAGGGCAGCTGTCGGTGAGTTACTGGAGCAGCCCCGGGGTTAAAGGTTTGGGGAGTACCCCCCCATTATGCTTCCTGAGACTTTCGTTTGTGCTGAGCGGCTTGGTCCAGACTGCATTCTACAGATGCATCACGATGCATTGACGAACGCGCGGACTGCGATAGACTCGGGCCCGGAAAAGCCAGACAACACCCAGGCAACCATCAAAAGTGTTGATGTAGAGGGGCAAAACATTGCTCAGCATAGTAGTCGTAGACAACTAGGTTTGCGCCTCTACTAACTCCGAGGCCACGATCGAGCCAGAGCACCACCAAACTGTGAATTGAATGATGATTGTTAAGCACCAGGTCCGCCGATTCTCTGCCGCTCCGGGGGGCACAGACCGCCATCCAATGACCCCCGAGCACTGACTGACAGGCATCTCCAGGCATCCAATCGGTACACGTTCAAGGCGCGGTGAGCATCCACCTTCGGCTGCATCGACGCCCGCCATACTCCATTACGACACCACTGTCTCTGTGATGGGGAACCGGCTCGCAAAAATGCTTTATCGCAGAGGCGAACAGGTGGCCGAGGATGTTGGTGCCCATGTCCTTTTGTCGAGCCGACATCCGGCTCTTTCACTGTCTTCACACCGTGTCACTCGCTCCCTTTTCCCTTCTGCAGCCCCCAGAGCATGGCTTTGTTGTCCCGCAACATTTCCTCCTCGCCAAATCGTCGTCTCTAATCTCCGCACCGCGCCATGACGCGCAATAATGACAACGAGAAGGACGTCGAGCGCGCTCTCGAAAATTCGACCGAGAAGGCCGAGCCCGAACTGAGTCAACGAGACGAGCCTCGACAATATCTCGAGGTCCCACGCGACCTGCGCAGCGTCGGTCGCCAGAAGAGCGAAGATGGGGTTCTGGAGCAGATTGCCTCCAATGTAACAACGAACACGGAGGCCAGCCTGCCTCTAGAAAAGCAAGAAGAGCCACAGAAACGACCATGGTATCGTAGATTAAATCCTTTGCGGCGAGGCCAGCCGCCGCCCGTGCCCGAGGAGCGTACGGTCTGCCGGGAATACAATGCCGGCGTCTTCTCTATAATACTCTTTCACTGGATCACGCCGCTCATGACCGTGGGCTACAAACGAACATTGGAGCTGAAGGACATCTGGCTGGTCAACCCAGACCGGTCCTCGGAGACTTTGGTGACGAGACTAATGGCCTCATTCAAACGAAGAGCAGCGCGCGGTGAAAGTAATCCGCTGCTGTGGGCCTTGTACGATGCACATCGGAAGGAGTTCCTGCTAGGAGGCTTCTGCGCATTGAGTTCGGCCTTATTGCAAGTCGTGTCGCCATTCACCACCAGATATCTCATTCAGTTCGCCAATGACGCCTGGGCCGCCGACAAGTTTGGAAGTCCCGCGCCGCACATCGGCCATGGCATTGGACTGGCGGTTGGCATCACGCTCATGCAGATCTGCCAGAGCACGGCGACGAACCAGTTCATCTACAGAGGAATGATGGTGGGCGGCGAAGCACGTGCCGTGCTCATCAACGCTATCTTCGAGAAATCGCTCAAGATCTCTGGACGCGCCAAGGCCGGAGGGAAAGCACTCGACCACGAAGACATCGATAATGGCATTGTTGGCCCCGAAGCACTGTCACAAAAATCAGTCAAGAGGCCTGCGTTGCAGCGAGCACTCTCGAGGCGGTTGCACCCCAAGACTGGACCGAAAACCACTCCAGACAGAGGTTCCGGTGTCTCAGGAGACGGCACTGGGTGGAACAATGGCAAGATTGTGAATCTGATGAGTGTCGATACGTACCGTGTCGACCAAGCATCAGGCATGTTCCATCTCATGTGGACATCGCCCATTCAGCTCGCTGTTGTCCTAGTGGTGCTGTGCGTCAATCTTGGCTACAGTGCCCTTTCTGGGTATGCTTTGCTCGTTTTGTGCGTACCGGCCCTCACCAAAACCATCAAAATCCTCTTCCGACGCCGGAAGAAGATCAACAAGGTCACGGATCAGCGCGTCACTCTTACTCAAGAAATTCTGGGATCGGTCCGATTTGTCAAGTTCTTTGGCTGGGAGACCAGCTTCCTTGAGAGACTGAAGGAGCTGCGGAAACGAGAGATTGGCATGATCCAGGTTCTGCTGGCTATCAGGAACGCCATCAACGCGTTGGCCATGGCTATGCCTGTCTTTGCGTCTATGCTGTCTTTCATCACTTACTCGCTCACGGACCACCACTTGGATCCGGCCAGGGTCTTCTCTTCGCTGGCCCTCTTCAACTCGCTCAGACTGCCCCTCAATTTGTTGCCATTGGTCATCGGTCAAGTTACCGACGCCTCAGCGTCAATGGGTCGCATCCAGGAGTTTCTTCTGGAGGAAGAGCAGAAGGACGAAGTGGATTGGGACGAGCACTTGGAACATGCTGTCCAAGTCGATAATGCAACTTTCACCTGGGAGCGGACGGCGACTGTCGATAAGGAGAAAGTTGCCACCTTCCAGACCAGGGCGGACCTCAAAGATGCCAAAGTAGCCAAGAAGCAGGCGAAGAAGGATGACAAAGAGAAGCGGAAGAGCATGAAGAAGGGCGAGGTGCCCAGCAGCGATGCATCGAGCGAGATCACGGCATCAGACCCATTCAAGATCCAGGATATTGATTTGACGGTCGGACGAAATGAGCTCATTGCCGTCATTGGCACAGTCGGCAGTGGTAAGACCTCTTTACTCGCGGCCTTGGCAGGTGATATGAGGAAGACGGGCGGCAAAGTGCACATGGCTGGCACTCGAGCTTTCTGCCCGCAGTATGCCTGGATCCAGAATGCGACACTCAAGGAGAACGTTATGTTTGGCAAGCCTTTTAATACCAAGTGGTACAACTCGGTCATTGATGCTTGTGCACTCCGACCAGATCTGGACATCTTGCCAGCAGGCGATCGTACCGAGATCGGCGAGAGAGGCATCACGCTCTCTGGTGGACAGAAGCAGCGGCTGAATATTGCTCGAGCTATCTACTTTGACGCCGACATTGTGCTCATGGACGACCCACTGTCCGCCGTTGACGCCCACGTCGGTCGCCATATTATGGACAAAGCCATCTGTGGTCTGATGAAGGACAAATGCCGCATCTTAGCCACACATCAACTGCACGTCCTCAACCGCTGCGATCGCATCGTTTGGATGGAAGATGGCCACATCCAAGCCATAGACACTTTTGACAACCTCATGGCATCGAGCGTCGACTTCCAGAAGTTGATGGCTACCACTGCTCAAGAAGACGACGCAGCTGTCAAGGCTGACAATCCGGAAGATCAAGACGAGGAGAAACCCAAGAAGGCCAGCAAGAAGAAGAAGGCTGTGGCGTTGATGCAGCAGGAGGAGCGAGCAACGAAGTCGGTGAGCTGGTCCGTCTGGGGCGCCTATGTCAAGTCTTCCGGCTGGTGGGGCATGTGGCCACTCATCGCCATATCGCTGGTCCTCTCACAAGGCTCGAATATCGTGACCAGCTTGTGGCTGTCTTGGTGGGTCAGCGATCATTTCGGATACTCGACGGGGGCGTACATCGGTATCTATGCCGCCCTGGGTGTCACTCAAGCGACGCTGATGTTCGTCTTCGCCACTATTCTGTCCACCGCCGGCACCAATGCCAGCAAGGTTCTGCTTCAGAAGGCGCTCACCAGAGTTCTGAGGGCACCGATGGCCTTCTTCGATACCACACCATTGGGTCGCATCACGAATCGCTTCTCCAAGGATGTCGACTCGATGGACAACAATCTCACGGACGCGATGCGGATGTACTTTCTGACGCTCGGCATGATTGTGTCGGTCTTCGCGCTCATTATCGCATACTTCCACTTCTTCGCTGTGGCCCTCGGACCATTGTTTGTGCTGTTCTTGTTTGCAGCCAGCTACTATCGCGCGTCGGCAAGAGAGCTCAAGCGGCATGAAGCCGTTCTGCGGTCGTCTGTGTTCGCCAGATTCTCCGAATCGATCTCAGGTGTGGCATCGATCCGAGCATATGGGTTGCAACAGTACTTTACCCTGCGGGTCAGAGAAGCGCTCGACGACATGAACTCGGCATACTATCTCACCTTTGCCAACCAAAGATGGCTGGCAGTCCGTTTGGATTTCATCGGTAATCTACTCGTGCTGACAGTGGCCATTCTGGTCGTCACCGATCGCTTCAGCGTCAACCCCAGTATCGCCGGGTTAGTCCTGTCTTACATTCTGGCCATCGTGCAGATGATCCAGTTCACTGTTCGCCAGCTTGCCGAGGTTGAGAACAACATGAATGCTACCGAGCGTCTGCACTATTATGGCTCTCAACTCGACCAAGAAGCACCGCTCAAACAGCGCGAGGTGCCCGATTCCTGGCCTCAAGCTGGGCAGATCAATTTTGCCAATGTCTCGATGCGCTACCGACCAGAGCTACCGCTGGTGCTGCGCGGCCTCTCCATGGAGGTTCGTGGCGGCGAGCGCATCGGTATTGTGGGTCGTACCGGCGCAGGCAAGTCCAGCATCATGTCTGCGCTCTTCCGTCTGAACGAACTATCAGATGGGCAGATCGCCATTGACGGCGTTGACATCTCCTCCGTGGGCCTTTCGGATCTGCGATCGCGGCTGGCCATCATCCCACAGGACCCGACGCTCTTCCGCGGAACCATCCGTTCGAACCTCGACCCTTTCAACGAGCACTCGGATCTGGAGCTGTGGTCAGCACTGCGCAAAGCTGACCTTGTCGGCGAAGAAATCCCCACAAGCCCTACCAACAAGGAGGCGCGGCCCAAGACAGCAGAAACTGCATTTGCATCGACTTCGGTGGTCAATGCGCCAGCATCGGAGAAGCGCATCCACCTCGACAGCACGGTAGAGGAAGAAGGCCTGAATTTCTCGCTGGGCCAGCGGCAGCTGATGGCTCTGGCGCGGGCGCTGGTCCGCAACTCGCGCATCATCGTGTGCGACGAAGCCACCAGCAGCGTCGATTTTGAGACGGACGAGCGCATCCAGCGCACCATGCGCGAGGGCTTCGAGGGAAAGACGCTACTGTGCATCGCGCATCGACTGAAGACCATCATCAACTATGATCGCATCTGCGTCATGGATCAGGGGAGTATTGCGGAGTTGGATTCGCCCATCAGGCTGTTCGAGCAAGGGGGCATTTTCAGAGGCATGTGTGATAAGAGCCACATCACGCGGGAGGACTTTTTCAGATCGTAGTGACATGAGGTGGTTCTGCTGAGTGAGACGGCTGAGTGAGCAGAAAGTACCGGCATCTTGAGGACGGATTCAAGCGACATCTAATTTGGCACAGCGAACTTATTGCAAGCGGCATCGTCTTCATCAACAACATTGACGTCAAACACCATCATTTTGAGTGATTACTCGCGGCAGCATTGCATAGCCATTGACCATGGGCCTGGAGTACTGGAGCAGACAAAATATGTTCAGCTGTTTTGATGAGCTATTGACGTGGACGAACCCAAACGTTATATAAGATTTTAATAATCTAAGACTATTGAATACTGTACGGAGTACGGAGTACTTCTATTTTCTCCTCGGAATTTACAGTTGTGGCGCTGAAAGGCTCATAGAATGACGGGTTCAACAGCCTATCCGAGTTGCCCTGTTCTTGCCGCCTGCATTCTTGGTGATCCAAAAACATCCGGCGATCTTTGTATCAGATGGTGGCTGGAGAGTGGCAGATATTTTGAGACCCTAGCCAGCGATCACATGCAATGCTTGAAGATGGACCAAAGAGAATGCGGCGCCGTGACCCAGAACCACTTGCAAGCAAGCGAGCTGCGGGTTGTATGCGTGCCCCTGGATCGTCACTCTCGCTCTCTTCTCGGAGGAGGAGTCGATAATGCATCCGCGCTGTTGATGGTCTCATCTCTCTTGCAGATGCACCTCTCGTCAAAAGAGACGGCCGATAGTAATCAGCCACAGCCAGCATTTTACCTTTGGGAAACCTGTTGGAAAGAGAATTGCTTGACCATCGGCGTAGGCGGAACCTTGTCTCGCGTGTCCTAGGCGGTGCGCCGGTGCCTGTCGATCGCATCACGGTTAAGGATAAGGGCCTAACCGCCTAGGACTAAGTCGGTGGGTGACCCCGTCCTCGCCGGGCCCACTAACGAAATACAAGCCCAATCGGGGCGTCTTGCACCTCACGCCGGCGCCACGATAGGCTGCGTAATTTCCACGGCCACACTGCTGTACCTCGTCTGGTCGAGACCGCTATGGCCACTACGCGCCAATATCCCGTCTCCAGACTCCAGCCGTCGTCTGCCCTGGTCGTGCCACGTCGGAAGCATCGACAAGATCGAGAGTGGTGTGAAACTGCATGTCCAGCAGGTCTAGGGTAGGGACTCCGGGGGCTATGTACGTAGTACAAGAGCTTCTCTTCCCGTCTATCTGCATTCCTCCTGCCAACCCCTTCGTCATCCGGACCAGCAGGTGCTTGTTGGAGCTGTGCCGTCGTGTTTGACAGTTTCATGACGACTCAGCCACCATAACGACTCGGCACACGCATCATCATCGCACCACTCGTATCGCGTTGACCTCGACCTCCACATTCGCGTTTCCGATCCCCGAGCCAATCCCTTCGGAGCTGGTGCCATGGCCTCATAGAAAGACTCTGATCCTCACCTGGTAGCCCATCTGTCGTTGCAGCATCCGTTATCGACTCTTGATATCTTGCTGTTTGCAACCTACGCCTTGCAAGAACGCGTCGATCGCGCGCCTGCACGTCGACTTGACCTGTCACTCCGCCATGGCTCCCACCAAGCCAGAACCCGCCCTCTTGCACGACCAGACCCCTCCTCGGCTATCATTTGAGAACAACAACGAGGCCCTCGACACCACCGGCCACACCCGACCGAAGTCTGAATTCAATCCCTGCGCCAACGCAAAGATATCCAGCCCCTTCTACCTCTACAACCATGACTCGCCTCGCCCGTCAGAAAACAAACCTCGACCCTCCATCAATATCACCGTACAAGACCTTGAGCAGGGCCTCACGCCCATGTCAACCAACGCCACACCGGCAGTCATCCGAGAGAAACAAGGCAGTGTCGACTCGGGCAAGCTCCGCAACGGCTCCTGGCGTCTGAATCTAGGCAAGAAGCAGAGCCACTGCATGACCAAACCCAAGGTCTCCAGATGGAAAGCCATGTCACAGAAACAGCGGCTGGCCATCAAACTTGCCTTCGCCGTTCTGCTGATCGGCTTGATCATCGGCCTGGCCGTTGGCTTGACCAAGGCGTTGGGCGGTGGTGTCTGGAAGAGCAACAACTCGACTAGCGAGATCAACTGATTGGCCTTCGATTTGACCATGTTGACGTCGCTTGGTCGAAACCATAAAGACACATCTCTGGGTTTGGCCTGCGATCTTCGACACCCATCACATGGTCGAGACACCGAAAACTCAAAACGCCGCAGCACGACCGCTGCACATATACCACCTTCTTTACACGAGCGAGGCGTTTTGGAACGGATATTACAAACATCGAAGATCTAGGAGTACAGCATCCCGGCTTCGCCTTTCTCTACACGGTGTTTCGTAAGCGCCCCCAGTCTGGATCAAAGCAACGATTGTCCAAACCCGGCACGAAGGAAACACAGCAAGACACATACTGACGAGAGAATGGGAGGTATGGTATGGACATTGAGAAGAAGACAGTGGTACGGGAACCAGTTTTACGGGGGAACAGAGTTGGGGGAACAGGAGAGGCGTGTGGTATATTATATAAACACCCATTGTACAGAGCCAGACACAGAGTCGGGACAGCACGCGGCAGCTTTCCGCTTGTGGCTTTCTTACGCATATGAAACGAACACGGCCCATCATGGCCTATGACCCTTTTCTCTTCCTTCAGTCTTTGACTTCCGTAATCCGGTCTGTTTGATCCGATCTATTTCGAGGACGATGAAGTAGCTGGCTCTTGCGTCTAGCTTGCTAAACCGTCTCGACCTCTCTTCCGATCCCTTTCGTGCCATGGCCTTGCCCTGGCCTAGGCACACCACCCTCCGTGGTTTCCGATATCTGGGAGATCTTGCTGCGATGCGAGGCCGGACCGAAGCTGCAGGACCCGGTAGCCAGCTTTTGGCTTCCATACAACGTACAACCGCCGAAAAGGCTTCGCTAGTCATTCCTAAAAGCGGTGGTAGGGGACCACTGTGCGTATCTGAAGGCTCATCGGCTGCTTCGTCGCTGACTGGCATTGGCTTGTTGTCGAAGCGGACGTGGACGAGGGTAACCGGGTCTGCTGGCGCAGGCGCATGCATCGAGGGATGTCAGCGGCATCCAGAGCCGCAGCGGTGCCGGTCTGCGTGCGTCATCGTGTCGCGGTGCGAAATAGTCGTCGTCGCCCTCGCGAAAACCCCCCCCTGCCATGGCACCTATATTGCACTTCTTTTGGCCGGCCGGCCGGCCGAGCTAGCCACCCACCCACCCAACCAGGCAGCTAACCCACATTATCTCCATCGATTGCCTCGAGCTATGATCCGCATCACTCACTCACTCACACCTCACACCTCACCCCTCCTCCTCATCCATTCCAGCACCACCCACACCCACCCCCTTAAGCCGATGACTCCCCCTCCCCTCCCCCAACAGCCTCACCTCCCCCTCCAACTTCCGGATCTCGGCGTTGCGCGCGTCTTTTTCCTCTTCCGTCTCCGCCACCAGCCACGCCCACTGCACGAGCTGCATTGTTAGGAAGGCTAAAGTAAATGACTTGAAGAAGGCGCGGCCGTGCGTGCGGTAGAAGTTGTAGCGGGGGGGTGAAGGGGTGTCTGATGCTGGGGGGGGCGTGGGTCGGTGTTGGCGGAGTGGTTGGGTTGTTGAGAGGGAACGGAGGGTCGGGCGGAGAGGGGAAGTGGTGGTGCGGAAGATGGGTCGGTGGAGACGTGGTGGCATTGTGAGGTCGTGTTGTGTCGAGGTGTGAAGAGTGTGGAGTGGTAGAGGCAGTGGAATTGTTCTTCAGGTGAAGCTCCAAGGCAGTTTCCCCTACGGCGGGCCGACGCGGCCACTTAGTGCAAACCCTTGGCTTGGGACTCGATGATGTGAGGCCTTGGCGCTGCACGACGTCTCAAGGACTTGAACTCATCATCGTTATGCTGTGCAACCTCTAGACTTCCACGCACAGTTTGAAGAAAGTCGCGAACGGTGTGTCGGAGTCTTGACTAGAGAGTCTCAGACACGTAAAGACACCTGCGGATTCAGGACCAATCCGACATTCTGACCGCCCACCCGCCCCTCCAAGGCGCCATCACTTCCTAGGAATCCGCGCACGCGATGCCTCCCCGCCATCACCACACATAGTCCATCCACATCTCACATCTCTAATCATCCGCCACCATGTTCGAGAAATCCCTCGTCGATCTGATCCGCGGCCTCCGCAACAACAAGGGCTCCGAAACCACCTACATCCAGTCCGCGCTACGAGAATGCCGCACAGAAATCCGTTCCCAGGACTTGGACGTCAAGGCCACCGCCCTGCTCAAACTCGTCTACCTCGAGATGTTCGGCTATGACATGGCTTGGGCGGCCTTCAACGTGCTCGAGGTCATGTCGTCCGCGAAGCCGCTGCAGAAGCGCGTCGGCTACCTCGCCGCCGTGCAGACGTTCCGCGCTGAGACCGAGGTGCTCATGCTAGCGGAGAATCTGCTGAAGAAGGACTTGACGAGCCCGCAGATCCCCATTCTGGGTTTGCCGCTAACGACCATCCCGCACATCGTGACCGCAGAGCTGGCGCTCAGTATCCTGACTGAGCTGCTGCCCAGGGTCAGCCACAGCCAGCCGAATGTGCGTAAGAAGGCTGTGGTCGCGCTGTACAGGCTCGCGCTGGTGTATCCGGAGACGTTGAAGGTCAGTTGGCTGAAGATCAAGGAGCGATTGCTGGATGAGGGGGAGAGCAGCAGCGTCACGGCGGCGGCGGTCAATGTGGTGTGCGAGCTAGGCTGGCGGAATCCAAGGGACTTCCTATCGCTGGCGCCTCGTTTGTTCGAGCTGTTGACGTCGGACAAGAATAATTGGATGGCGATCAAGATCATCAAGCTGTTTGCGGTGCTGACGCCCTTGGAGCCGCGGCTGGTCAAGAAACTGGTACGGCCGCTGACGCGGATATTAAAAGAAACAGGAGCAATGAGTCTGCTGTATGAGTGCATCAATGGGATCATCCAAGGCGGCATTCTCGACGGTGCGGAGGCAGGTGTTGACGTTGACGATGTAGCGGACCTGTGCATTAGCAAGCTGCGGGGCATGATTGTGCTTGACGGCGATCCTAACCTGAAGTACGTTGCGTTACTGGCTTTCAATAGGATTGTGAGCAGCCATCCGCAGCTGGTGAGCGAGCAGCAGGACGTCATCATGGCGTGCCTAGACGACCCGGATATCAGCATCAAGATGCAAGCTCTGGAGCTGGTGAGCGGGATGGTGGACGCGGACAACCTGATGGCGTTGGTGAACCGACTCTTGAAGCAGCTGGCGAATGCGCCAAAAGCGGATGCCACGGCGAACGGCTACGACGAGAGCGATACGGATCTCGAGCAGAGGCTGGTGCAGGACAAGAGGAGTTCTGGACCGACGCACATACCAGATGAATATCGCCATGAGATCATCGCGAGAATACTGGATATGTGCTCTACGGGCACGTATGCCAATATCACCGACTTCGAGTGGTACCTTGACATCCTGGTTCACTCGGTGCGGCACCTTCCGGCAGATAAGACGCCTGGCTCAGAAGAGCACATGAACATGTTGACGGCCAGTCCTACGCTGGGTGCGCGAATAGGCTCACAGATCTTGGACATCGCAGTTCGGGTCAAGGAACTGCGCCCGGAAGCGACGAGAGCGGCAGAGACGCTGCTCCTCTTCTCGAACCGCACCATAGTGTTTGCGGCCCATCAAGGCGGCCAAGCCCCAGTATTGAAGTCGGCGGCATGGGTCTGCGGCGAGTTTCCTTCCTACTTGGCCTCGCCGAATGAGGTCCTGAATTCGTTCATCCATGTCTCTTCGCCAACGTTATCCGCCGAGACGCTGGCTGTATTCTGCCAAGCTATACCCAAAGTCATGTCGCATATCTGGACGGTGGCCGCTGTGGACTGGTCTTCGGCACAGTCATCAACACTGTCCTTGTTGCTAGCGCGAACCACGACGTTTCTCGAGACGATCTCACAACACCCAAGCCTTGAAGTTCAAGAACGCGCAGTCTCATTCCTCGAGCTGCTAAAGCTATCTTCCGAGGCGCTCTCGTCACATCCCTCGGACTCTAACGATGCACCACTACTGCTATCTGGCGTCATTCCTGGACTGTTTACAGGCTTCGAGCTCAATCCGGTGTCGGCTGTCGCACAGTCGAAAGTGCCATTGCCAGCTGACCTCGATCTCGACACGCCTATCAACCCTGAACTATCGAACATTCTTTCCGCCTCTCAAGTCATCGACGACCTGGGAATGGAAAGCGATGCCTTTGACGCTTTCTATCATGATCGTGAACCAGACATCCGGCAACCAAGTGCCTTGCAGCCTCCGCCATCAGCGCGAGCAATATCGTCGGCTGATGTCGTTAGACCCGCCGAAGAAGAACCTCTGTCATATCAGTCGGCTCCAGAATCACCAAACACATTGGCAAGGCGGCGAGCAGAGCGTGCTGCTCGAGCACGGGATGACCCATATTACATCGGCCCGACTGCTTCGAACGGTACAAACACTCCCATACACGATGCCCTGCGCCAGGCGAATGGCAGCGCCGATGACCTCGATATAGACTCAATACCCATCATCGACCTGCAACTCGACCCTGCCTCCACTTCCGCAACAGCACCCAAGCCCACGAAAAAGAAACCCATCCGCAAATTCGCCATCGCAGCTGACGAAACCCTCGACGGGCCCGATCTCAGCTCCCGCAGCGCATCGCCCCTTGGTGCGTCATCCCTCTCGACAACACCACGCACGGCAGCTCCCTTGTCCGTCCACCCTCAGCGCCCGACGCGAAATCTTCTTAGCATCCCCTCATCACAGCTCGCGGCCCTCTCCCTCTCAGACTCGTCACCCAGCAGCACGGCCCTGACGGCTGAAGACCTCCTGCGCCGCGAAGAAGAGGAGAAGGAGATGGCGGCCGCGCTGGCGGAGGTGGAGCGCAAACGACTTGAGTTGCAGCGGGCGCAGGAGCGCATGGGCGTCAGCTATGCTGAAGGCGTGGATGTTGAGGGTGGGGTGGTGAAGAGGAAGAAGAAGAAGAAGGTGAAAAAGAGTGTGGATGTAGGGGCAGGCGAGGAGGTGGGGGGAGATGACGCGGGAGAAGGCGTGGTTAGTAAGACGAAGAAGAAGAAAAAGAAGAAACCTTCTGCCGCCGGGGAAGCTCCGGCGGCAGTCGTGGAGGATGGGGATGGACTAGCTGCGGCTGGGGCGGATGATGAGGCGGTGGTCAAGCGGAAGAAAAAAGTCAAGCGGCGGGTGGGAGCGGCGAAGCCTGATGAGCAGGAAGCAGGAGAGGGGCAGTTGAATCTCGAGGGGGAAGACCATTCTTGATGAAAGCCGCTTGCTTGATTGGGTATCTTGACAATGATGAGACGAATTTTTGATCTACGAGAAGCAATGTGGTTTGCTGAATATTGCTGATTCCGTTGACTCCTCGCTCATGCACTGTCTGTGCCGGGCTCTACGCTCCCTTGGGGCAGCCTCGCAAACGTCCAACGACACTGAACAACTTGCGCCCTGCAGCGGCTACATTGGCTTCGAGACTTGGTGCAGTCAGTTGGTGGCACGAGGATTCACGTGCCTGGGGAGTACTGGTAGCTGAAAGCGTACTGACCAAGAAAAAAAATATCCCATTCGCTAACATAATAGATGTTTCTATGTTTTAAAGCAATCTATGCTACTTCCTCATTGAAGCACGACGAAGTCTTCAGCTCAACCACTACCTTCGCACGAAGCACCCCCAACGCCCATGTAATCGCCGCTTACAGCCGCGCTGTGACTGACGTCTATCCACAAACTTCACCGTACGAAACACCTTCGACACCTTGTGGGCGGAGGAATATCGTGTGATGCCAAGTTGGTTCTCATCTAGCGCGATACATCACTGCCGCTCTCGTCTCGATTGAGCCGCTTCGACTCACGGTAGACTGACGAGGGAGCTGCCGCATCGTGTGAGGACTGTCGAGAACGCTTGTACTCACCGAAAACAATCGCACCAATATAAGCAAGACCCATCAAGCCGGCAAAGACGCCGTATGCGATCCGGTGGGAACTTTCAGCGCTGGCAAGGCGAAGCCCCAAGCCACCATTGATCATGCCGAGGATGACGATGGCCCGCCCAGTGAAGATGTGACCGTAAGACCACACTGTCCGCTTCTGGACCTTCTTGAACACTTGGTGATGGAGCAAGCCCAGGAACGGCATAAAGAAGAGGGTGGCAAGAAGGAGCAGGCCGATGATGGCGTGAGGCTCCTGCAGATAAGCACCGCCTCTTGCGATGAATATACCAAGCCCAGCTGCCGCGATGAAGACAGTGTAGCCGAAGACCTGTAAGCCGGCATGGGTCCAGAGCAGACCCTGGAAGCTGGTCAGACGGACAAGAATGGCGCCAATGGGAAACAAAGCGACAAATGCGATGGAAGCTAGTGCTCCGTGAGCTTGCACGAAACGCATCTGTGCCTGTGTGGACAGCTGCTGCCATGAGTTTTGTCCCTCGGATCCAGTCGTTGTTGTAGATGACGCATCGGTGAATGGGTTGCCACCCGAGCCTCCCGTAGCACGCGACACATCCCACTGGAATGAACCCTGTCCATTATGCTGCGAGATTGTGGCACTCGTATCATCAGAGTTGATAGGCGAGCCTTGTGAGTGTGCATACACCCAGTCGCTGCTGCCGCCTGACAGACTCATGGTGCCTGCATCCCAGCGGTCACAATTGCCGCATCGGACATTGGCCGTCATGATGCCATCAGAGATTCCGGTGCCTTCCAGAAGGGAAATGTCAGCCGCCTCGTTGTACGTTGGCATGACATGTCCCGACGCAGTTCTTGGGGAGAGCGTCACGTTCTGGCCATCCGCGGAACTATACATGACGAACATGTTGGCGTTGTTCATCGCAGTGCCTTGCGCAAGAGCTACCCACGCATACGTTGTTGGTGCCGAGAGTTGAAAGTAGATGTCGCCCGAACTGGAGCTGGCCGATTCCTCGGGCACGTTGAGTGCGAAACAGACATCGGTCTCGGGACAGGTACTCAAGACTGCGGCTTGATTTCCAGGTCCGGATACAGCGTTATCGGCAGGGCAGGAGTTACCAGTGGCGGTGAGGTTTTCGAACGTGGCGGTGAGGAACGGCGAGTCGTATACACTGTCTGCTTCGGAAGAGGCTGATTCCATACAAAATGCTGCTGTTCCGTTGATAGGGTTCTCGGGAGAGTTGCCCATTTCTCGTTGTGTGCAAGCGAGGACACCGTTGGCCGGGTAGTAGTCAACCCATGCAAAGCACATTTCGTGTTTGCTTGGTAGACCACCAGGGACCGGCTCGGTGTCGTTCGAGGTGTCGAACTCGCAAGTGGTAATGAGCTGATCTCCGGGGAGCAACTGGATGGAGTCCAGGTTCTTGGAGAACTGATAACCATAATCAAAGTGGCGAAGGGTGGACAGAGGAGTGATCTCTTTGCCGTCTCGAATGATCTGAACCTGCGCATTAACACCACGGTAGTGCATGTGATGGAAGACCGAGACCGCTGTGATTCCTTCAGAGGGCCAACGGTCTGTACACTCGGGCGTGCAGACTGTAGAATGTGGCACTATCTCCTTGCCAGGCTCAAGGAACCACCCAGTCACTTGCAAGTCACCCAGTGTCAACGTCCCGATTTCAGTCTCCACTGGATCCTCGGTGTAGAGAAACGTGTAAGCTGCAGCGTCTGTCTCGCCCTCGAGTCCCTCCGGATTGTTGTAATGTGTCTCCAGCATCACATATTCGTAGTGGTCGGAGCCAAAGGGCTTGCCAAAACCAGGTTCGAATGTGCGACCAGACATGCCAGGAGCCCATTCTGTGACGAAACCATTACATGGGTTGGAGAACTCTTCGTAGTCACAGTTGGGCTCTCCATCAAGCATCTCCAGCAGTTCATCAGAGGGATCATAACATGCATAGAGAACCAAATGGTGGAGCAGCTCACTTGACGGGTTCGGTCGTTCACCGAGCAGATAACTCGTCTCTCCCTCCGGCATTCTATGGAGAGAATAGCAGTAGGTAGTCTCCGCGGTTGGAATAGTCACCTCAGGTTGGACGACAGTAAAGTTCATGGCATTCTCGACGTCATGAACCTCGTTTCTCGAGACGGTTTGGCCGGTGCCTAGTTTGACGTACTTCTTGCCGTTGTTGCCGGGTGCATGTATGGCAAAGTTGTTGTCATCAGAAAACGCATAGATGAACCATTGCCATGCATCTGTTGCAACATCGATCTGAGTTTCGAGACAGTCGGCTCTGTTTTGTTTCTCGAAAACGAATGAAGTAACTCCATCTGCTTGCTGGCCTTCTCGAAGTCGCATGTTGTTCTCTTGGTCCTGGGACACCTGAGGGGTAACGAACCCCATCGCATGGCGGTTCTCAAATATGAAGTTGCCATCCTCGTCGTTGTATCCCAGAGCAATATCAGCGCCAGTCATTGCACCAGTCTCGCTGAAACCTAGAGCCAGATAGCCGCTTGATCGGGAGGCGATCCCGAACGTTGAGTTTGTGTCTCCAGTCCTCCAGAAGAGCTGAACATCACCATTCGTATCGAGAGCAACATTTCCGTCGAAATTGTCGCGATCAAAGGGCACCCAGGATAGATCGGTACTACTTTGTGCAACTGCAAAAGCAGCCAGACCTAGGAAGGCCAAGGGTGAGGTAGTATAGGTAGCCAGCCGCATTCCGACAGGGGTGGCGAGTTCGATCACTCGCTCGTATCAAGGCGGAGATGTAGTAAATGGTAGGAGCAACTGTATCACAGGAAGATGTCGGGATATAAAGTGCAAACTGTTGCACCTACGCACTGCCTTGGCTTGTCGTCAACACCTCCTGCGTAACGTCCACCCTCGCACGTAATTGCCCGAACTTGATTGGAGGGGACTTGTTCCATGCGTTGATCGGCTCATAACGGTGTTGCCTAGAACTTAGCGTTAGCGACGTACGCATGATCTTTCACTAGTGTTTGAAACGAGCATTGCCAGCGCTACCACTGCTAGTCTGGCATGGATTTAGGGGCAGTGCATGCGACAAGACTTGGCGAGGAACATGGCCAGACCTCGTGGGAGCATTCAGGGTGAGTCTACTGGGACTCTGGCATACCCGCCACAAACCTCCCGAATGTACTGTAGTACTCGTAGATTGTATGGTGAGAAGTTCCATATGGTGTTGCAAGATGTCCCTGAGAGTCCTTACAAGCGCCAGGCTGCGCGGCTAGGCAACGGGCGGGAGGTGGGGGAGCGTTGCCAACATGCCATCGTGCCAAGACAAAGACCGAGCTGGCACAGCGTCGGTGTCGGTTTGTGGATCCACAGATTCCGGTCGCGATATTCTGCTATCTCGGGATAACGACTGTTATGAAACTCACCTGGCCAAGAATAGCTTGCGAGTTTCGCTTGAAGAAGCGGCAGATCATTTCCGCTCATGATCTTCGCCGCTAGTCTAGTGGTGTCGTCGTCACAGTTCGTCGACCAACCTCATCAAACACACTCGCAATTTTTTGGCCAAAATGGGTATGTGGACCGACCTCGTCGACCGCACGGGCGACGATCACGCCAAGGTGGGTCTGTCGACGCTCTTCATAGTGGACGTCACTCGTAGTACTCCGTAGACTGCACCTGGAAATACTGCCAACACGACATAATGCGCACGGCGATACACATTGAAGCCCCATGCCGAGAGAAGACCCTGCGAATCGTCGAGGCATCATGCCAAGATCTTGCGGATTGAGCGCCCATCCTCCGCCTCACGTGAATCGTAGACTAGCAGCCCCGTCGGACTCGGTCGTATTCGCTGCAGGACCAGTACGAGTTTCTGCAGGCAGAGAGCCCTTCTTTCTGCTTCAGGTGGAGTTATCCAAGTCGCTCGGGTCGTATTCGTTATCGTACGGGTTTTCCAGCTCCCACGCGGCGGCAATACTGTGTAGCGGTACGAGCTCGCAACGTGATCCCCTGACTCCTAGTAAGGCCAAAATGGCAGGTCTGACAAGCTCGTCCGCAGGCAGCCCCCATATCGCCATTGCCGCACGTAGATCTGACGCCTGGTCCATAACAAGACCAGCAGCTTCTCGATTGTTCGTACTGGGATGCACATATGCTCCCTCTAGTCCGTCACTGCCAAAACTATCTATCACACAGTCTAAGGATGGTGAGCGGAGGTGAGGCTGAGGAGACTTGGACCATGACGGTGCTATTCTGCCCACAATGGCCTTGTAGCCGCTAGGTCGGTGGCGGAAGTCGCGAACTCCGTGATGGTCTGACAAGACCAACATTGAATCTGACTCCAACAGTGGATGAAGTATAAAGGACTCCCCAAACCTTTTTGAAAGTCTGTTTCGCAGTCCCTCTATATTCGACTCCACTTTGAGTGTCCCATTTCTCATTTTCAGCCACCACCGAAGTAGCGCAGCAACACCTTCGAGACCAGGGAAATCTAGTGCGGCATCGTGCTCTGTCGAGAGCATAGGTCGAAGCAGCGGTGGCCCGTCGGTGTATTTTGCCTGGAAATTTAGGTAGAGAGATCCAATCGGCGGCAGATCTCTGGTAGCATGCGTGGGATCTATGGCGTCCCGCACTCCTAACACAGAGGCCAGTCTATTGACGACACGCTGGAGAGCGCGGTGAGGCTCCACGATATTCTTTGGATCCTTTGCAACATCTCGAAAACAGACAGCCATTGTGTGTATAAGCAGCTCGACTGGATGGTGGTTGTAATCGACAGGAAATCGTATGTCCTCGGCGGAGAGGCCTATGAGCGCATAGACGTGGTCAAAAGGCTCGGAGCAGTCTTGACGCTCGAATCGCACCAAAGCCGAAAACAGTCCCTCTATGCCACGTCTCCCGAATGCTTCCATGGGACTCGGAGAGGAGGGTCTCGGTTTGCACAATCGACCGTAGTACAGTATGCGCTGCATTGTAGCCGTAGACACTCTGTTTGCGCCGTACCAGAAAGATCTCCGTCTCGACAACATGTTCTCCGGTACGACCCATGCCCGTGTCCAGTATGGAAGCTCTAAAAAGTCTCTCGCGGCAGAATGGAAGTCATGCTCACCACGAAGCAGTGCGAAGACTGCCCATATTATGTTCCAGCAAGGTTCGGGTAGTCTGTTAACGCCACAGTTCTTGAAAAATAGCCTGAATGCGTTCGGGGCTGAACAAAGCCGCTCGATCTGCTTGTTCCCTTGGCCAAGCCAGACAACGACTTCGTGGGCGGAACGATAGATATCTTGCATGATGCCAACCTGATGGTTCCTTTCCAAGACATTGCGTTGGTCAATACACAGCGCATCGATCCAGAGCGGTGTCAATAAGACCTTGCGTTTCTTGTAGCAACGTCGATATGTTTGCAGGAAATTGTGAAGATTTGGCTGAACGTTTTGCTTCTTGCCATTAATGAGGATTGTACCTGGGCTCTGATTGTCACCCCACATGTAGGAAAGAGCGAAGTACTTGACCTCTAGTTCGGATTTACCCAGAAATGTAACATGTTGCAGCTTGCATTGGATGAGGCCCTCCTTTGTTAGGCGCGGTAGAAGCGTGATCAGCCGAATCTCGTGCTTGTTCGAATCCAGCGGCTCGTATATGTATAACTCATCCTTTGCGCTTGGGTCTGCAAGCTCCATGCCGTCTGAGGCTGGAAGACGTTTCTCCGTTGTTTGTCGTTAGACGCAAGGCTTGCGCCCTCTTTCTGGGGCTCTGGGCTGAAGATCTTGCAAAGACGCAAACCACAATGGCGCCGGCAACGCTCCGAGCGTATGCACTCTCGATTATTGAGCTCACTCTAACACATCTTCCAATGTCATCACCGCTCATATCAGCACTTACCAGAGCGCTGTAAAGCACATGTTGAAAGTTGCGAGAAGAGGCGAGAACTACATGAAGTGCCTGAAGTGCCATCGTTTCGGGCGCCCATTCCAGGGCCCACTTGTTGATTCATTGGCTACACCCCGCGCCAGCCCCAAAGCACCGACCAAAAGGCCCAACCAAAAGCCCCCCCAAATTAAATTTCGTCCCTGGACATAAGTTCCGCGATGAAAGCTAAGCCCATCCAATTCTCTCAGCTGCACCCGTCTAGATGAATGGTGTTGCTTTCCTGCCACCTACGCCAAACGATTGATACGATGTGCATCAAGACGAGCTTTAGCTATATACTTCTTCTGGTCTTGCTGACCTAAGTATAAATCCTGCCAGCGCTTGAGGTAAGACGCCACCACTGGCACGGAATTAATCATGCAGCGGAGCGGAGGACCTGGCGGAGCGGAGAACCACCAATCTCCGGCCGTTCGAGGATGGATAAAGTGCTCAAATTCCACCGAAATGGCTCTTGGGGTTCAGAATGAAATATACCGTCGAAGGCTTCAGAAACACTTAGTGATCTGGAAATTACCAATATGGGTACAAGAACTTTGGTTGTGGGTGGCACGGCCGGCATCGGTTACGGATTGGCCTGCCGCATCGCTGCCGCAAACTCCTCATCCAGCGTGATCATTAGCGGCCGTAGCGAGCCAGACAAGTTGCCTCATCCTAACATTGAGTTTCGACCGCTGGATGCTTCATCAATGTGTCAAATCAAACGGTACACAGACGCCTTCAAGTCAGCTGAAGAGCAGAAATTGGATTTCCTCATCATGAGCCAAGCTATCATGACAACGGCAAGCCGAACGGAAACACCCGAAGGCATTGACTATAAGATGGCGCTGCATTACTTTGGAAAACAGCTTCTGATACGGGAACTCTTGCCGGTCTTGCAGCCAAATGCGAAGATCATAATCGTTCTCGATGGTAGACTCGGTGACCATACCAAACTCAACTGGGATGATCTCGACCTGAAGAACCATTTCAGTCTGTCTAATGCAGCCCAACACTGCATGGTGATGAACGATGCTATGATCCAGTATCATGCCACGCAACAACTACAACCACAACACGGAACCGGCAAGCGACATTTCATGCATGTTTTCCCGGGTGCTGTCAAGACCAACATCTGGAAAGGACTCCCATGGTATCTGCAGCCTCTTATGCGCGGTGCCGGAGCTGCTTTGGGGGCCGATCCACAAGTATATGCGCAGAAATTGCTGGATAGTGCTGCGATCTGCGCCACGGAAAGCGAGGCTGAAGGTAGATTCTGGAGCAATATTGACAACAAACATCGCTTGATTAGAGACAAAAATGTCTTCACAGAGGCAGAGATGGCCAAAATAGCGGCACATACGTGGAGCATAGTTGATACTGCAATCCGGAACACCTCCTAGCTCAGCGTTATTGCTTGTCCAGTAGAGTTGTGCAGAAGCTCCGCTTTACAAGACCGCATGCTATAGTCTATATCACAGTCAGAGTGTTATTTGCGCTGTAGGCACAGGAGCGGTGTCGTTCCAGAGAAGAGGCAACGCACCGTGAAAACGGCTACTTATAAGTCTACAGGGCAAATCCGCATGATAATCGATCAAGTCCTGGAAAATTATTCAAGTTGTAGTGCGTCTGAACTAGCTTACAAGATTCTGTATAATCATGGCGGCAGAATATTCGGTCATCAGTCTGCCCTTGAACCTTTTAGCACTTCATGGCCAGTCGTCACCACGCAATCTCACAACGTCGTCCTGAAACGTGGCGAGATAGCCCTTTTCACCCTTGAAATCATCCTGGTCCAAATCTATGAAACCTTCTTTGGCGACGGTTTCCGGCACAATTGCGAATGAGTGACCTGGACTTATCAGACCTCCTGTCTACTAGGGGTGAATTTGAGTTGCACCTACCGTTGATCGTCTTGTCGCATGCTATCCTCATGACCGCCGCTAGACAGCTCTCGGTGGTGGCAAAGTCCAGCCCTTTTGCTCGGATAGACTCGTAAACTTGTTGAGACTGGATGACGGTGCGGACGTAGCTGGTAGATTGTCAGGCCCACTTTCATATATGTTGTATCGCACACGAGGAGGTTGGGTCAGCGCAGCAGAACGGAAGGGCTTACGAGGGCGCGATGTACGCGACGCGTATGCCTTGGTGATAAGACTGCCTTCTGACAGTCCGCATAAGCCCTCTTAGTCCAAACTTGGATGTCGAGTATTCCCAGCTGCTCTAGAGAGATGGTCAGTAAGCCGTTTGCACTTGAAACGATATATGCTTACCAAGTTGTCCACGAAGCCGGCAACACTTCCACCAAAGATGAAGCACCGGTCGCGATCCGCAGCCATGGGACTTCTGCGGAAATAGTGTATTGCCAGTTTCAGAGTGTACATCACACCAATCAGGTTGATGTCAATAATGTGCATGCTTGGCTTTGTTGGAGCGGTGTTTGGGTCTGGAGACATTAGCAAGCTGTGCAAAAAGCCGTTGTGGTGAATGTCCCAGACCTTCGAGCGTCATCATCGGATCTCCCGAGCCTCTTCCCACGCCCGCATTTGCAATGACCAGGTCCACGCTCTTCTGAGGTGATTTCGATACGGCTGCTTCGAACATACGTACCTGGTCGTCCCAAGAGCGGGTATCTGCTCGGATGAAGCACACATTTTCACTGGCCAGGGATGAGAAACTTTGCTTGCAGTGGTTTACCAGGGGAGTCCTACGGGCCCAATTCGGCCTCGAGTTTAGCCCCGGCTTCTTCGTTTATGTCGCAGAATGTGACGAAGGATCTTGGAAGATTATTAGAACTCTCGCCCATGCATCGATCTGGAACCTGCGGCGCACTCACCCAGCTTTGACGAAGCCTCGAACATATGCTTCACCAATTCCCTGTGCGCCTATTTCTCATCAGTTGTACCCTCGTAACAGCTCTTAGAGCCAACTTCGGGCTTGGACTTACCACCTGTAATGACTATGCTCTTTCCATTACAATGCGCCTCATCAGGAAGGACTGTGCAGTCCACCGGGCCTTTGTACGAATATGGTCCAGACATGTTCAGCAATTTTGCAATGAAAGCAATGACGAGCGGATCTCGAGCAATTTTATACTCCTAAGAGTCAGAATTCTCCGATGTGAAAATGATATGAGCGCCTGCCTAAGCGCCGCAGACTTCGAGTAAGCAATGCACAGGGGTCTGCAGTCCCTCCAGACCTTCTCCACGACCTTCATCCGCTACCCCAAGTTTTCAGACTTCAAACATTGATTGGTGGGCGGCAATGCTTCAGTACCGAGATAGGACTTGCCGAAACTGCCGACCAATGAGGTGGTCTAACAATACGTGCTACCATGCTGGTGAAGCTCTGCCACCACAGCCGGGCATTCTAGGGTCTTTCAGACTAAGTTCCTCGTGTATGACAAGCAATGGGCTTGGCCGATTCAGAAACTCTCTCGGGTGACATCCTGTAGAGATTACATTATCTGAGACTAGGTCTCGAATCGAACACACTTCGTATGCAATATTCTCTGCGTCTATGAACCATAGAGGCTTTCCTGGATATCCATCAGAAGCTGACCAGCAAGAATGCCCGCTTTCAAGGATACCTCAGACACGAGCGGGTCGATGATCCTTCCAACATCTAAAATTGACGTTGGCGGCTTCAGCAATGGTATTTCAGACGGCGAGATACCAGCGGTTGGAAATCATGTCGAGTATAAGATTGATGAGATCAAAGTCAATGGTGGCCCGTTGAACGGTCACCAAGCACGACCAGCAACTCACCAAGATGCAGACACTGCACCCGTATCTGACTGCACTATACCTGTCAATGATCAGCTTGCGTTCACGCCACGGAAGCTCCGCGTTATCACAGTTGGTGCAGGGTTTTCGGGAATGCTGATGGCTCACAAGCTCCAGCACAAGTTCCCCGAAATGCGGGAGATTGTCGAGCACAAAATCTTCGAAGCAAGGCACGATATCGGCGGTACCTGGTTGGTGAACACCTACCCAGGTGTACAGTGCGACGTTCCATCGCATATCTATGTCAGCATTAATTCCTTGACAATGCCTGAAAGCTGCTAACACGTATCATAGGCTTTCCCGTTCGACCCAAGTCCGGAATGGACCCGCTTCTACTCAAGTGGCAAAGAAATACACGAGTACATCAAGCGGACGGCCAAGAAGTGGGACCTTGAGAGGGATGTCCAATTGAATACGCGAGTCACATCCGCCGTCTGGCAAGAGGGAGATGGTGTATGGGAAGTCACAGTTGAGTCAGGGGGGGTGCAGCGCAAAGAGTTTGCAGAAGTGCTGGTCTCGGCACAGGGGGGCTTGGAGTAAGCGTTGCTTGTTTGCGCACATCTGCCGCCGAATTGACATGTCAACAGTACTTACAAGTGGCCTGGAATCGAAGGCATCGACTCTTTCGTTGGACATCGTGTTCACTCCGCGGCATGGGACCATGACTTTGACTACTCGAATAAACGCATTGCCGTGATCGGCAATGGGTCATCGGGCATACAGATTGTCCCTCAACTTGCGAACCTACCAGGCACCACAGTCATGAACTTTGCTCGTGGGCCTGCTTGGATCTACTACCGGGTGCCACCCTCTCAGCATCTCGGTGGAGACACAATCGACAAAAACCCGCTGTACAGCGAAGCACAGAAGAACGAGTTCCGCCGCAACCCTGAAAGCATGAAGGAGCATCGCAAGGCAATGATTGGTAGAACCAACAAGGCCTTCAGGATGGTGAGGACCGCTTCTTGTCAACATACGTGCGAAATTCCCGATCTAACGCTCCTGGGCAGTTCATCAGAGGTTCCGAGGCCAACAACGGAGCGATGCGCATTGCTGAAGAGCAGATGCGCGAACGCCTTCAACACGACCAGAGGCTATGTGACATGCTGATTCCGAAATGGCCTCTGGGCTGCCGCCGAATCACACCCGGGGAAGGCTACTTGGAATCCTTTCTCAAGCCGAACTGCGACCTCACCACGAGCGCGATCGTGCGCATCGTGGGCAACAAGATCCACACGGCGGATGGCAAGGATTTTCAGGCCGACGTCCGTAAGTGCAACCCTAAGCCGTAGGTGCCGAAGTATTCAGGCTCCACGCAAAGTATTGCCAGAACTGACGCTGACCGTCTGCAGTGGTATGTGCAACCGGCTTTGATGTCTCCTTCCGCCCTCACTACCCTACCTGGGGCCAGCACGGTATCAATCTCCGGGAGCAGTGGGCCGGGCACGCACCCGAGTCGTACCTCTCAGTCGCCGCCCCCAACATGCCGAACTACTTCACGATGCTCGGGCCCCGCGCCCTTGCTGCCCACGGCTCTCTCCTGGAGGCCATCAGCTGGAATGGCGACTACATGGTGAAGTGGCTGAAGAAGATGGCGGAGGAGGACATCAAGTGCATCGTGCCGAAGACAGAGGTCGTGAAGCACCTGATGGCCTATGGCGATGAGCTGCATAAGACTTTGGTGTGGACGGGTGGCTGCAAGAGTTGGTACAAGCAGGGAACGGTCGATGGGAAGGTGACAGCGTTGTTCGCCGGGAGTGGGATGCTGTACCACAGGTTGATACGAGAGTTGCGGCCTGAGGACTTTGAGATTGTGTATCGAAGCGCGAACACGTGGAGGTTCTTGGGCAATGGGTTCACGGCGTTCGAATTCGACGAGAAGAGTGACTTGGCTTGGTATATTGAGAAGTGATGCAGCAGGTTTTGAATTTGGTAGGGACGCGGGCGTGGACTTCCCTTCTACGATAGTCATAGCGCTAGTCCTTACGTAGGACTCTGTCAGAAGGGCAGCCCACCGTCCATGAGGAGAGGATCCAAAGCGTTTGCCGAATTGAAGAGGTCTTGCAGCGCTAAGCTTGGATCATCGTACCGGAAGTCGTCAGTTAGAAAGTTGTACATCTGATTCTCTGTGGCTAGTATCTCCGCGACAAGCGCGCTGGTTTCCTCTGTGATGAAGGGAAAATAGCTGCGCCAGTCGATTCCGTTCATCCAATTGGGGTTAGACAGAGTCGGTGTAGTGTTGAGCTCGTCGGCAGCGTTTGCTGAAGCATCATTCATCGGTGTAAAGGGGTGGCCTTCACGTGCGTCGTCTCGTCCGTTGTCGGAGGACTGCTCGGTAGCGCGGTCAAGGGCCTCGAAGGCTTTCAATCTTTCGAATCCGCGAATAAAGATCGTCGCTGTTGGCCACAGTGGGGCCAGTTCGTTCAGGGCAAGTCGGAGAATGCGAATGTCTTCCAATGCACTCGGGGCTAAGTGCTCTAGGCTCTGTGTTGATAGCAAGGCCACGATCGCGACACCTACATACCAAGTTGCAATCGCACCTAGAAAGCGGATGTCGCCACGTGCCAGTAGATCTTTGAAAATCCTAGCAACGCAAGATGCGGCTGTTATTGCAGGTGTGTAGACCTCGGGTAGAGGTTGCTGAGAGTGTTGAGGGTGCTGAGAGGATGGGCTCATATGAAGGATAGTGATTGTTGTCAAGTACGGCAAATGCAGCTTATGGACGTCTCGTACGAATGGTCTCGTTCGGCGCGAGCTGATGGGAAGCTTAAGTTGATTGGGGGTGTTACTGATCCAATCAATGAGTTCGCATGCCAGCAGGGTAGGAAACGAATGTGAAGAAGTTCGAGACAGGTGTTGTCCGACACGTCCAATGATGCCGCAGAGGCGGACCCAGTGAATAAACACGTGGGCGCGAGGGTCGACTGGTGACGGAAAGTCATCAAGGGAGGGCTCCCTTACAGTGCAGTCGTCGGGATCAATGGTGCATGGACGTCCCTGGCAAATTGACGTCAACCGCTCTCGTGCCTGAGTGAATTGTTAGCTTGGAGTTCCGGTTTAGCGGGTTTGATCGGTGTACGAATAAGGTCCACCATATCCGACGTCGAAGGCCTTGCAGGGCTGCTCCTCCAACATCGTGTACGTTCTTCGGTTCTTGGTGTAGACCCAGTTGCTGCCCGTATTTGATCGCCAGACCGGTCCACCACCAAGCAGCATCCTTGTTGACAGTATTCGGGCTACAGATGGATTAGTTCTATGAATTGTTTTGCACAAATTTTACAGCCTTAGACCAGGTCTGTGGTAGTTTGAACTAGACAAAGATAGATGGCGTAGCGGATAGACGTGGATACAACAGAAACGAGTGGATGTACAGGACCATCTTACCTACCTCTGAGGTGCCCACCAGTAGAAAAGGAGAATAGACTGAAGGCTCACGATGTGATCAGCCTCCTCATCGCCATAAAATAGCATTTTTGCTCGTCGATAGTACTCTGCTGATCCAGCATGTGTTGCCATTGGCGGTCGTATGCGTGTCCCAAGCAATGCAAGAGCGTTGATAAGCAAGGGGGACGGAGCGAATTCTATCGACTTTTGTATCGTACCATCATCCAGCACCGGACACCACGGCCAAGAATACTCACGATATGTTTCAAGAAAACTTTCTTGAAGCTCGGGGGGTAGAATATCACGTCTGTGAGCGCCATAAGCTTTGGTAGGTTGAGCAATCCGAGCCTCTGGGGCAAAGATAGGCATGATGCCGGTCCCACCAAGATACGCGGCACCGGACGAGGTTGTTGGCGGATCATGCATGTCCACCATGCCGTCGACATTAGTTTGCGCAGCTTGCTCCTGCTGTGTGAATGCAGACTGGAAAGTAGCATTCTCGACAGCTGGATTATCTGCCAGGAGCGGCATGGACGCTGGGACATCTCTTGGTCTTTCATCCTCTTGATGATCAGATGCTTGCTGCGAGATCAACGGACGCAGGGTGGGTGGCACGCCGCGTCGAGATACTGCGACATCGTTGCGCGCCCGGGCACTTAGTGTCTTTGTGCGGCGGCCTGATGAGCGCTCTCTAGAATGTGTCAAAAGCATGTCATTTCTGCCGAGGAACAGCGACAGCCTTACTGGCAGGTGACATTGTTTTCCTGGCAGTTGCTGCATGTCTTGGTGCCATTCAAATGACTGCTCTCCAGGTTGCACTTTAGCTAATTCCGTCAATTAGGTCACAGTTGTTCCCGTGGGACTGAGATCTCGCCCTAGGACGGTCGCACCTTGCGGCTGTGGCACTGGACACACACGGTACGAGCTCGTCGCCTTCGCGGTCTCTCGCTGTGATCCATTGAGCCGGCTATCGCATGATGAGGCGCTGGCGGCTGTTGTACTGCCGCCTGGTTGTCTAAGGTGTGCGTGGACGAGGAAGAAGAGAAACTGGCCTTTTGACTTAGCCGAGGGCGAGGAAGCGACTGCCGAAGTTGCCGAAGTTGCCGAGACTGCCGAGAATGTTGACCATCGAGTCGGCAACGTTGTCGGAATTGTTTGAATACGACGCCGAGTATAGCAATGAAAGCACTGTGTCTAGTGAGGGCAAGGCGAAACATGAGAGATCTTACTACGAACGCAACAATCTTCTCGACCAAGATATCGAGAAGGCTAACGCTAGCGAGAAAGTATTGCAAGTGGCTGAGGCTAGGACGTCCATCCGTACCTAAGGAGATACTTTCTAGACTCACGAAGAGCTGCAATCGCGGCTCAGCTTGCGCAGCTGCTGCACTACTCTCTCGTCGACTTCAATCCAGCCTCTAGAGATAGCCTCCTTTCGACACTCGATACTACGTTCGAATGGCAGCCTCGCCGGCGGCTCACCGGGTAGCATCTTTGTTGACTTGATCGAGGCCACAAATTTTTCTGTATTGGACTCGACTTGCTGACGGGGCTGTAGAACGCTGGGGTCGAATGCGATGATCAGGAAACCAAAGTTCGACATGAAAGGTACAGGCTCATCGCTTCCAGCGGCGATGCCCAGGAGCTGAACCATCATCGCGAGGCCGCTTCCTTTGTAGCCTCCCCACGCAGCCATCGCCCCTTCAAGCACATCAAGTGGATCCGTGGTTGGTTGACCTGAATTGTCGAAGGCAGTGCCCTCTGGAAGACCGATGCCAAGTCGCTGGGCGAGCATCACCTGCGCAAACATAATCTTGCTGGTCCCAATATCCCAGATCACAGGCTTGTCCTTCTGGCCAGTGGGAAATCCGATACAAATGGGATTGGTGCAGAACTTCGGCTCACAGCCACCGTGAGGTGCGACGATGCGGGAACCGTTTGATACAGTTATTGTCGCCAGCCCCTCTTTGGCTGCCATTTCAGCATAATATGCCAGATTCCCGGTGTACCATAACCCGTTTGCCCCAACAAGGGAAATACCAATCTCCTTTGCCTTCTCGATAGCTAGCCTCGTGGCCCGCCGAGCAACCAGATATCCGACATTGTCGCCGCCATCAACGTGGGCAAACGCAGGGCCAGAGCGGGTAATTCGAATCTCGCGGTCGATGGCTTTTCCGGACGCCTGAAGATGCTCGACAATGCTCAGTGCCCTCGCCAATCCCGCGAAAGGATGTCCCCGGAGCTCGGCATCAATCAAATGGTCTGTGATGACCGTCGCTTGCTCCTCTGAGTACTCAGCTTCTCGCAATGCCGCTTTACAAATAGTAGTAGCAGTCTGAAAGGAAATGCGCGCTTTGCGTAGAGATGCCTCTGGACTAGCTTCATTGGCTTCCATGTTGGGCACTGATGGTGCTGATGAAGCACAGTAAACCGGTTATATGACTTTGAGTCGCATATCTCCAAGAAAGTCATCGTGAGTCCATATATACGGGGATAGTGTAACATTGAGAATTGCCGCGTGCTGCTTGAGGCAATAGCACCTAGATTCGCTGGTGGAGTGTGAACGGACGAACCTAGACGGACGAGTACATAATGCCTGAGGCAGTCTCGGCTACTTCAGCCAATCGGAATGTGGTAACTTGGGATAAAGGTTGCCCTGGACAAGACCTCGGCCTCTGGGACTGAAGTGTAGAGAATCGCTCGGTACTCAGTGGCAAGCTGCGCAGTCCGTCTGGCTTTCTTGACAAGCAGTGGTGGCCTGAATCAGCTCCTATTTTCAGCTTTGTGAGCAAGTCGAAACGCAACTTTTCGTTCGTCCAACCTCGAAATTCCCTCATGGGAAATCTGTAAAAGATATAGTAACAGTCCAAGCCAAAGTAATCTTTTGGCTTCTTCAGTCCGCTCGAGTCATCCAAAACATGGCCGTCAACTCTACAGAGTCTGCTATCGATATCCCTCCTGGCTCAGGATGCGTGAAGGTCAAGATCATCGACATTTGCAGCATATGCAATATCGGAACCAAGTCACTGTTCACACCTCCGGTCCCGGGTTATGATGTGATTGCTTCAGCACCCTCCTACATTTTCCTGCTAGAACACCCGTCTGGCAAGAAGGTGCTGTTCGATCTCGGCATTCGTAAAGACTGGGAGAACCTCCACCCGGTCGTTGCAGAGCGCTTGCAATCTGGCACGCACGTCGTTAAGGTCGAGAAAGATATCGACGAGTTCTTGAGCGAGCATGAAATCAACAAGAAAGGCATCAATGCTGTGATCTGGAGGTAAGGTGTGTCTTTTTCGTATGGTCCATGTTGGCTGACAACTCTGATTCAGTCATGCTCACTGGGATCATATGGGCAACATGTCGTTGTTTGAATTCGAAACAGATCTTGTTGTGGGGCCTGGGTTCAAGAAACAGTTCTTGGACAATCCCAATACCTCGCCGTTAGGCGCAGTTATCCCGAGTGACATCCAGTTCGTCTCTGACCCAAATGATTCGTGAAACGTTGAAGCAAATACTGACGACGGCCAGAGGTCGGAATGTTCACGAAATCGCGTTTGAGCCAGGAGACTCTCGCGTCGTGCAGATTGGCCAATTTCCCGCGTTCGACTATTTCCAGGACGGCTCCTTATACCTCATCGACAGCCCTGGTCACTGTGTCGGCCACCTCTGCGCGCTGGCCCGGACGTCCGTAAATCCCAGCAGCTTTGTATTCCTGGGCGGGGATGCCGCTCACCACTGCGGCGAGCTCCGTCCTTCACGACACGTGCCTCTACCTTATTCCATTTCACCGAATCCACTGCCGACAAAACAGCAGAACTCGCAATTCAGTCCGAATAAGTGGTTCGAGACCCTCCAGACATCTCGTGGTCGGGACGTGACAGGCCCGTTGTACCAGCCTGCGTTTGGGCACGATATGGACCAAGTGCTGGCGACGATCGCGAAGATGCAGACGTACGATGGTGACGACAGTATCTTGGTGGTGCTTGCACACGACGCGGCTTTTAGAGATGCATCTGTGCCAAAGTTCCCGCAGGCCATCAACGATTGGAAAAAGCTTGGTCTTGGGGAGAAATTTCGGTGGACATGGCTGGGAGATGTGTGGCACGAGAGTCAAGAGCATGCTTCCTCCTGCTGCTCTTGAGGATATCTGACCCCTTCTAGTTGTTGAATCGGATTCATATCATGTACTTGTCAAACACGAACAGACAATGACCATCCGTTCTAGCTTCTGCCGCTTCGCCTCAATGCAGTCTGGGCTTGAGTCATTGAATCCTTGCAGCACTTTGTCGATCATTGATCAGTCTATACATCCGCAAGTCGTCATTCCGGTGGTTATGATGCCAGAGGTGGCGTAGTGTTCCCCGAGACATCAGGTTGACGAGGCCTTGTGAATGTGAAGTCCTGTTGCTCCGCTGGGCAGGGGACTGGTGCTAGAGCTGGTCCCAGGTAGCGGCCCTGGATGATACAGAAGTGACGATGCCTCTGTGTGAAATAGATCCATCGAGAATCTCGCTACCATGCTTTCGTTGTTTTGGCTGGTATCTGCGACTGCTCACATAGCACGTGCATTCCTGAGACACAACGCTCAGCCCTTCCAGTTGGCCAGGACCAGATCCACTTCCTTGGTCGCCGCCTCCAACACATGCTCTGGCTCATACACAGGCTTCCACCCAATATTGCTTCCATTCCTAGCAGTGAATGTGCAGCTAGTTCAATTTTCTGTCAGCTTCCATACGCCTCTCGAGCAGTTTGCTTCGATAGACTCACCATCCTCCAATCTGCAAGGCCACCACCTCCACGGGACATTGCAATGCAGTGGCCATCCTCTCGATTGTCTCGGGTGTCGCGGGGACTACCTTGTCGTCATCTACAATGCCTCGACGAGCAAGCGCTCGCGCCATCGCAGCGTACAGATCTAGCCAGGCAACTGAACCCGAAGCGGCGAGATAGTAGCCACTCCGTCCATGAGGTGGTAAGGTCTGAGGCCCTGAGAGGATTGCGTGCAAGATCGAGATGTAGAGATTCGTGGTGTCGGTAATGTGGCTAACCGGCCACGTCTACTCAGACATAGGTGAGCAATGGGAGGAGATGTGACACAAGGGGACTATGCCGAGGAGAGGAAAGAATGCTAGCCAAAGCAACGCACCGGATTTCCAGCGTCAACACTGTGTACGCGACGTACAGCTTTTGCGGCTCGACAAATAGCCGCTGTCTGGATCGAGATGTGATTTCCGAATCCGCTACCTTCGCCATCTAATATCAGAAGAAGGACTGTGTCAGTACCTACAACGCGAAGCGAGTGTGGTGGCCTCGAAGCTTGCTTACAAACGACGCAAGGCACGAACACATAGGCGTACACACCAAGGCGTTCTGCCAGTTCAACTACCGTGATGTTCGTCTCGATGGCCTGTGCCGGGGATGATCAGTATCGATCCGATATGAGACCAGACTCGCAGCATAAGTACCGGTTGGACAGCTGGTATAACTGCACGTTGTGTTTTGTGAATCTCGTGTATTCCAGTCTCATCATCCATGAGCGTTCGATTGGTTGGTGCCCCTGCATGGCTTGAAAAGAGCTTTGCTCCGCTGGTCTGTGATCGAAGCGTCAGAAGAGCATCAAAACACCACTCGTTACACCCGGGACAAGCCCCACATGCACGGAAAAGACTCACATGGATAAAGTGGACATCTTTCCCGGTCCGCTCCTTGACCTCTGACAGCGCCTTGATCATGTAGCTTTGTGTGACAGACTTGATTGCATCGATGCAGAACACGACTATTGTAATATCATTGCCTGTGACAGCATCGCGGACGGCAGCTGCATCTCCAACATCGAAGACCAGGGGTGTTGCGTTGCTGCTTGCTAGTACTGCTTCAGCTTGGGAGTCTGATCTTACAAGAGCAAAGACTTGGCTATAAGGTGGCAAGGCGGCTGTGGCTAGATTGGCGAGTAGTGTCCCGCCAAGGTACCCCGAGACTCCCGTGAGAAGGATATTGTGGTGCATGGTGCTCGAAGTCGGCTGGTAAGTAGAGTCTCATCATCTTATGCTATCCTGGACCGTATATCAAGACAGGATGGGAGAAGTTCTGCGTTAACAGATGATAGAGTAGACGTCGATACTCCGGACGCGAGTGAAAGGCGATTGGTTCCATTAGCCGAAGGTCACAATTCGTGCATCAGTATTAGTAAGTCTACAGAGCTTTACTGCCGGAACCCTACATTATGTTCACACAGCTACTTAGCCGTACGGTCTTTCCAAAAAAAAAGGATTTCATCTGATGCCATATTTGTGACTCCAAGCTGCATCGGCAATCTAGAACAGCTCTGTTTTGCTTGTGGTTCCGGATGCCGACTGCTTCTCGTTCTCAAGGATCACAGCCTTGTCCATGTTCTTCTTTGCCGGATCGGTATTCGAAACCAACAGTGCGCTCCCAATTGCTAGCAAAGCAAAGCCGAGCGCTGTATAGTATACGACTTTGAAGGCTTCGACATATGCTAGCTTGACGGCCCATTGACTGGCAGCAACAATTTGGTCCGAGATTCCGGGCACCTTCTTGTAGGCTGCCGCGGTATTGATCGCAGCGGCCTGTGCTAGAGTGGCGAGGTTCTTTGGATCGAAGTCGGTCCCTGCTACGGCAGCACGCAATTGGGTGGGTAGCTTGCCAGCGAATTGATTGTCGACAATACTAGAGTAAATGGCCGTGGCCACTGCTCCACCTAACAGTCGGAAAGTGGACATGGCTCCGATAGCCACTCCCCTAAGGTGACAGTGTCAGCAGAACGAGCACAGAGACTGTGAGCTGTGACTGAGCTTACATGTCGCCTTGGTCCTTGATATTAAGAGATACCATTCCAAAGAGCAAGTAAAGGGCTTGGTTGATAAAGCACGACATGATGAATACCAGTGCGATGGCTTTAGCTTTCTGATCAACCTGTACGGATGATAGGCAACCAATGAGGACCGTCTGTACGCAGACGAAGAACATGATCTGCCACTTTTCGTGGCCGATCCTGGCACACACGACCCATACGGAGATGAGTGAAACTGTCAGCAGTCAGCACGTGAAGCAAATAAGGACTGCTACACTCACGCCACGTGCCCCAAAGTGTCAAGTTGGCATACACGCCTCTCATGATGGGCTGATCTGCGGATGCGAAGAGCAAAGACGACTGGCGCGGCCAGAGTACCTGCATGCTATAGTAGAGCATGCCAAGGCAGAAGCTGACAACGACCAGAACATTGTACCTGTGCGAAAGTCAGGCTGACACCTCGACGGAAGGAACTTTTCGGGGACTCACCCGCGCCATTGACGGAAAAGTTGTGGAGGGAGCAAAGGATACTTCATGGGAACATTGAAGACCCATACGAAGAGCGCTACAAAACACGAGAATCCCACCACGATCGGAGCGATGACGGTCGCAGAAACCCAAGGATAACGTCGGCCACCAAAGCTGAGGCCAACCAGGAACAGCGTCGTGCCGGCGGTGAAGAGGAACAAGCCAATATAGTCGAGTTCTCTTAGTAGCGTCCACTTAGAAACTCTCTCTTCGCCATGTTTTGTGTTGAACGTCGGCGGGTGGTAGAAGAAATACATGCAGAGCAAGCCGAAGCCATGCCATCCAGTCATGACCCAGTAGGCGCCCCGCCACCCTATCGAGGTATGCGCGATGAAGGCGTAGGTGATAAGAGGCGTACATATGCAGGGCAGGGCTAGAGTTCCGTATAGTCCTTGCTACAAGTCAGCTTCCCAACCCAGTAGGGAATATGGCGGTCTGTAGAAGCTTACCCAGTGCAGTGACACGGTACCGATTCGGGATGAATTCCATGATGCAGGCGAACCCCATCTCCTGAAACCCGGATCCAATACCAAACAAGACTCCGCTCACGATCATTTGAGCGATGCTCTGGCCGGTGGCACCGACGATAGTTCCAACGAACGATATGATCGCGCCGCAAAGCATAAAATAGCGGCGTCCGAAGATGTCTGACAGGCGTCCACCCACTGATACCAGAATTGCTGCTCCAAGAGACCAGGTTATATTAATCCAAGCATAGTTTGGCGACGGGCCGAGCTCGGCATTGATGTAGCCGATCGCGACAGCTGGTGTGAGCAGCGTCATCTCGTAGGCGCTGAGTTGTGTGCATATGGCCTGAAAGGGGATGAGCAGTGAAAGGTAGCTGATATGATGTCTGCTTACCAGAAACGCCAGTATGCTTTCTTTTGTAATACCGGGGAAGACTTCGCCTGGTTGCTTCCGTGCTCCCCTATCTTCAGTTGGTAAGACTGTATCTGAGACATGTTCAATCTGAACATCCTGAAAGGCTTTCTCAGCGTCCACATCACGGGAAGACATTGTGCTGTCGACTTGGAACTCGATCAGCGAAGCCCAGGACAGACCATGGATCGCGACTTTATATAAGAGAAGTCATCCTTATCGAAATCAGCAAGTGTCCATGTGCTTAGTAGGAGACACGACGACACTCACACACGTTCAAACATATCGACTTCATTGGTCGTTGTTTGCCGGATTCCCCGCTTGGCTAACCCTTGCACAACCCGCATCGCATTTGACCTTGTACTTGCGGAGAGGCGACCCCAGATTCTCCCACGCCCGAGGCATGGATTTATTTCGGAGATCTGGGGTCTAGAACACGAGCGCCAAAGCTGTAGGGTCTCCATGCTCATCCACAGTGCGAGTTGTCGGTAATCGGCAATGTCACGGTTGGAACTTTATCGTGATTGGCCAGGCAATGCCGAAAGAGAGGATTCATTCTCGTCTTCCGTGGAAAGCACGTTTCCAGCACACGGGCGAGATCAGTTGGAAGTCCCCAAATGAGGGAGTCTCAAGCACGACCGAGGAATAGCTACAAACCTGAGCGTCTAGACCGCGCCGAGTAGCTAGCCGAGCTTTGGGCCCGGCCTGATGATGGTGTTTGTTCCGGAGACGATGTGTATGTGGATGAGGCTGACGGAGGCAAGGGCGGCGATACCAGCAGCTGTGACTTCGACGCACTACCAACTTGCGGCTTCGCCTCTGGTTCGTACACACCATCGATGCACCATTTCTGGTCTACTTTTAGACGCTCTCCAAAACTCATCTCGTCAGGATGTTGTCGGAACCTGTCGCACATTTCCCCAACGATGTGAGTATTTGCCTCCAGACGATACCAGACCCGGCAGACCCATTGAACACATCGGACATTCTCGTCATGCATGCTTCCCTGAGACACAACCACGGCGCCAATCTCCCATCGATCTTTGGGCTCAGCAACGCTTAGCAAAAAGGCGATATCCTTGCTGTTGTGCCTATCGCGCCAGAAGCTTCTCCAGACCTCGAGGGTCAGGACAACCTGGATTTTATACCACATATGGAGAGACGGATGCACAGGAATCCATAGCATAGTATCCGTGAAATTCGTAATCGGGGGGTGGAGAAGGATACCCGGAAGCTGCACCTGAACGCCTCGCCACATCAAGTTTGCGGCCATTTCCAATGGGCGTGACTGAGGGAACACATGTGACTGTCTTGTGAGCCATGTCATCGGTGCCCATTCAAACCCTAGCGGTGTGGCTGTGATGGACTGCTTCAGCCTTTTGCCACAGGTGAAGATGAGCCCGGCTGGTATTCCCATCCCTGGCTTCAGGTCGAGTAAGTCCAACAGCTTGATCATGCGGCGTGCCTGCAGGTCACGGTTCCCATCATGAGCGCTCGTGGACTTGATCTTTTCGATCTCGGATACGTTAAGGTCCAGAAGAGCTGCTATCACTAAGCATTCGTCGGCGGGGTTGTTGATTTGGCGGAACTGGACAGCTTCCCATGCTCTTTGAACCTTGAATGAACAGCTAGGGTTCCTCAGCTCCGCGATTGGCTTGCTGAACGGCCACCCAGAATCGGACAGAAAATGATAGTCCTCGTGAAGACTTTTCTCGGCCAGAGTCCTTGCTTCTTCGATGTCTTTGATGCTGACACACCCTTTCTTGAACTCGACGTACAAATTTCGGGCAAGAACTGCCTCTTGAAGAGTCCACAAGCGGCGGCACCAATCGCCTGTCTGGATCAAAACATTTGCGTCAAGAATTTCGGCTGGTTTGTCTCGCTGGATGAGGTCTCGATCCCAAACCACAACCGCCTGAGCTTTGCGATAGACAACGTTCAATTGTTGCATAGCTGTTGCTCTCACAGTGGCATCTCGTGGGAAGCACAAAGCATCGATGTAAAACCAATTCGGCTCGCTGAACTGCTTACTTTCAACCGAGGTGGCATCAATGGTGGTTGACTTCCGTATCGCGGAGTCGACCGAGTCCTGAAGCCGTTTTATCTGACACAGAGGCAGGCTTCGATTGTGTCTGCCTCTCGCGTCAACGCCCGTGCTGAATATTTCCTCCTTCCAACTGTGGGACACCGCGGCATAAGTCAAATCTTCAGTGCTCGCATCAAATGGGTACCATTCAATGCCAGTAGCGTGTGTCCACCTCACCAAAGGCACGTGTCCACCCTTGACCCAAGTAAACACATCTATTTCGTTGCCGGGAAGGATTAGGCTGCATTGCGATCCATCGCAGTTAAGGTGATCCATTGGTTTCCTTCGAAGAGGTTTCTGGGCGCATTGTCTCCAAGTGCACTCAGGATTAGTGTGATAAAGGTCCGGGTCTTTGCGCTCGAAGAAAGTCACAAAATACGTGAGGCGGGTTGATCGCAAGATTGATTCCAAACGCCGGATCTCTGTCCGACAGAGGCCTTTGTCAAGCATCATCTCACGGCAGTAAGCACTGTAACCCCAAGACTTCTGCTCATAGCTTCGATCGGTCCAGTATGGATTGCGATGCTGAAGGAACATGGCGAGGTCTGGCCGAGATATTTGCAGGGTCTCACCCAGCAACCCAATCGACAGAGTCAACTTCTTGTCGAGCTTGGCATGGATGCCTATCAACTCCTCCTCTTCAGCTGAGGCATCAGTCTCATCATCAGATATCCGATGGGCAAGATATTTAGCGGTGAATCTCCTCGCATGATTCAGAGCCATGGACGCGCGGATGTAATGCGACGTGTGTCGAGTGGTCCTCGGCTCACGGTCCGTGAGTTGCCTCCGTTTTGCCCAATCCTCAAGCAATCGCTTGAGTGGCCGTGTCGTGACAACATGTGACGCTGCGTCGTTGAAGTCGAAAGAATCAATTTCTTTGCCGAGCACCTGAGCCATGAGTCCGAAGAAGAGCCAGTCTTGAAGAAATTTGTGTGCTATGTCTATGTCTATGTTTTCGGGGAGGCCTTTTTCCATCAGCTGCTGATAGTCAGTGTGACCATATTCCTCTCGAGCAGGTATTGTGAAGAAGTCATCTGGCTTGAAAATCCTTTCGGTGGTATAGAAGTGGACTGCGACATGATTTGTCTGATTCAAAGGCTTCGGCAGATGGTCCATAGCTAGAATCTTGCTTACAAGAATCTAAATCATCGAAGAGCGGACAGTGACTGATCATTGACCTTCCTACACGATACGTATGCGGCGATAGTCGAATAAGACAGGTGAATAGGTTGCCTAAGCTAAGGTGCAGTGAGACATTCGCCCATTTTGTGGCGGTCGTACGATAAGTTTGTGCCAACCGAAGCAGAGTAGTAGCGCTGAGATTTGGTGCGCAGATCTTCAACTTATGGCTCCAAATTTGTTGCTTGAATCAGACGTACCGCAGGGATACGTTGCCACGGCCCAACCTCGCCAGCACCGAATTGTGGCCGCCCGCGCGCCCCCTGCCAATCGTAGGGATTTGCCATTCAATCAGGCGCTGCTTGAAGGACGACTGCTGCAGAGCGGCCTTCGCAATTGTCGCTGCAGCCTAATCAACGCAAGGCTATTGGTAGCCTTAAGTACTAGGACCATGCCTAGGTGGGGGCGGTGCATGTACTGAGCCGCCTCGCGTCTGGTTCGCGAACCTAAACTGCCTAAACTTGGCGATGGGCAACGCCCGGCTATAGCCTGCTTACCTTGGTGTTCGCAGCTCAGGAGCCAATCGAGTTGGACAATTGCACGTCAAGAGTTCAATGATTATATGCACGAGCAAGCATACTGCCTGATCGTAATGGGCTGTTGATGCTAGCAATGAGGTTGGATGCTGATGTTCAGGTGCGTTCCTGAACCTTCGATGGCGGCGGAGCCAAGAGCGTGGTAAAGCCTTGCTTCTCCGCATCGTGGCCAGGGGAGCTGTAGGAGTAGCCCTTACACCCTCATTACAACCAGGCTAATGCACGAGGCTTTTCGGAGGTTGATCGGCGTAGGGGCGCCTGCGGACCAGGTGTCGAATGCGATTTAAGGCTCGCAGACCAATGGGTTGCGAGATTGAGTACACTCGACAGGGCTCGGCTCAATTAAACCGAGCTAGGTTTGATTGGACAATGTGTGCCCGTATTGATGGCGTGGGGCATGAGCAGGTGCCAGTTTGCATCCATCCTACGTCGAGTTGCTGGTGTCGGCCTGAGCTGGATCGGGACGAACCGCAGCGTAAGTTCACTTGTGCAACTTCATAGAATTCCCTTGGAAACTGTTTTGCCTGAAGCTCATGGGAAATGATTGCATTTGCACTTCTATCCTGGATTTGCAGATGCCGCGCACGAGCTGTGTTGGTACTGAGCGGTGGCCACGATCTTGTCAACCTGCCCCATGAGACTTCACCGTCGCCAGATCGCAAAACACCCCTGCTCGACAGCGGCCTCACACGGCATGCCCTACCACAGTTTCGTATGTGGTCGTTCAGTCAAGCTTCAATCTCCACTTACGCTGCTTCTAAAACGGGTCGGTCTGACCCTTTTGCCAAGACATACCTCCGGTGGCAACAAATAGTTGACCATGGGCCATGCATTAGAGCCGCCACAATTTCATCGCGTTTAAGCACATGCGGTATGTCCATTCCAACTAGGTACTACAGCTAGTCCTGACTTCGAGTGCTGGCTATGCTTGACGGCTGACGCCCGAAAGAGGTTGGGGCCCGGTCTGACTTGTTGATGCCAAGCTTTCACTGCCTGAGTAGCGACCGAGCCTCTTGCTGCCACAATGTTGAAGGACAACCTCATTTCCAAGTCATTCTTTGCGGTCTCTCTGCTAAGGGAATTCTCCATGTATCGACCGCTGTGATTTATGACGGAAGAGCTGGACTTGTCATCTACTCCAGCCTCGCCAGATCGTATCCGTGTCGACGCTTTTCGCACCCGGTCAGCAGCTGCTTGCGGAGCTACCGGAGCTGAGCTGTTCCGCGCCAAGTCCCCCACCTTCCCAACCAACGCGAAAAACCGTGAACCGCAAAACTGCAAATCTCTCACATGCCTCGACCGCGCTTTTGATTTTGCCCATGTACACCTCAGATCCGTCGAGTACCCACACTGAGCTGACCGCCCCAGCGGTCTCCGTGCGCCTCGAACCTGCTGGTGCATGGCCCACCAACCGTTTTCGTGCTCTCCCGCCACTGATTGTGTGGCTTTGGGATCGGGCTTCGTTTGCAGATCGACAGCCCCTCCACGTGTGGGCTGGAGGTTTGCCTGCCATGTACCTGTGCCTGTACTGGATACCTGTCGGTCGAGGCCGTTGCCACCGCAGTCCTGGCCTCTAAAGAATGGGCATTGTGCCACATGCCTCTTTGCGTCTTGTCGAGAGTATCTGCGCTGTGTTTTGACCATCTTTTAGACTGCCTGACCTGTGATTTCACCTCCTCTCATCTACTCATTGCTACAGAAACACGTCATGGCCCCTATCGCGATAACTCCTCCGGCCGTCGAGTCGAAACGACCGACCCTTCACCGTGTTGACACTGCCAACTTGGGCACCAAGAGAAAGATCATCTGCTTCTCAGGTAATATGCCTCGACACAGAAGACTACTGCAGGATAACTCACACTCATAGACTTCGATGGCACGATTTTTCTACAAGATACGGGCCACCAGCTCTTCGACAACTTCGGCTGTGGGCCTGAACGACGAGCCGAGCTCGCAAAAGAACTCGAAGAGGGCACTCGTAGCTTCAAAGAGGTCTCCGACGAATTGTACGCCTCCCTCGACGTCCCCTTCGAGTCCGTCTTCGACGTGATGAAGTCCGCCCTCGAGATCGACCCCGACTTCCGCACCTTCCACGAATTCTGCGTATGTCTCACCAAGCACCGCCATGCTACCGTCCCAGTACAAAAGTCCTAACCATACAACAGGTCAACAACGACATCCCCTTCAACGTCATCTCCGCGGGCCTCAAACCTGTCCTCCGCCGCGTTCTCGACCACTTCATCGGCGCCGACATGAGCGCGCACATCGACATCGTCGCCAACGACGCCAAAGTCGACTCAACCACCAACAAATGGGAAGCCGTCTGGCTGCACGCCGACACGGACCTGGGCCACGACAAAGCCCAGTCCCTCCAAGACTACAAGACCACCGCGGCCATGGAGTCGGACAACGGCACGGTGCCCCTCATCGTCTTCATCGGCGACGGCGTCTCCGACCTGCCCGCCGCGCGGGAGTCCGACGTGCTATTCGCCCGCCGCGGCCTCAAGCTCGAGGAATACTGCGTCGACAACAACATCAGCTACATCCCCTTCGACACCTTCGCCGACATCCAGCGCGAGGTCATCCAACTGGCCCGCGTCGACGACCAGAAGACACAGGGCCGCGGCATGCCCGCCCGCTACAACCCGCGCGCCAACATGTGGCGTCGCGTCAGCAGCAAGGCGGCCGTCCCCGTCTTCTCGGCTTTTACTCCGAGCCGCGAGGAGAAGGCTTTTATCTGGCCCGAGGCCTTCACTGAGCCGGTTGTGGAGTCCAAAGGCGCGACGACGGCGCTTGCGGCGCCCCCGGCTTGATTGGGTGGGCGTTCGAATCAATTCCCATAGAGTCAATTTTCTGGGTGTAGGTTTGGGAAAGCAGCAGACATGAAGCGTGTGGCGTTTCTGGTCGGAGTTATTTCGCTGCATCCGATGAGTTAGAGATAAGAGGTACAGATACAGAGACATATACAGATCGTAGAGATCGCGGCCAGCTTAGAACCTAGAAACAGTTTGTTCCCAGCGTCGGTCGACATAGCGAGATAGATGGACAGATATTTCAGCATGTTTGATCTCTGTGAGTTGCTCCCTCATACTCTACAAAGCGACATCTCAGATTCATTGGGGTCCCTTTATCACCTTCACCATCGACGATTTGCCCATTCCAATGTTCGCCCCGCCGCAAATGAGAGGTATACATCTTATGCTCCCCAAATCAGTCCGTTGGCGCTTTCCTGGGCATGCACCGGTGTCCATGATGGACGCGGGCATGCCCTGGAATTGATCCGCGGCGGGACGGGCGAGGTGTCATTTCGTTGCTCATTCCGTCTCGTCGTCTTCATCAGTCGTCAACGTCATTTCAGCCCGCGGGCTTCCCGCAGTCGTCCAAGCCTGAGTCGCGAACCGGCTTAACGGCTCCGGTATCTTCCTTGCTGGCTGAACGGGCCACTGCGTCCCCTCGCCAATGTCATGTTCGCGCTGCTTGCCCTTCTCAATCTGCGACATACTCACGAACTGGTAGGGGATGTCCGACTGCCACGCCTCGGCTGTATTCACTTGTTGCTGGTGAAGCTGCAGAGGCGTGCCGTCGGGGCCAGAGTTCTGTCGCTCGATATCTTCATCGAGTTCGCGATTGAAGCTGGACTCTGATAGAGATTCGTTCGACAGGTCGAATTCGTCGTCGGTAACGGGGACAAATTCTCTAGTCCAACCCTGAGGCGGGTTGGGGGTGGGCGTTGCACTGCCATCAACTTCGTGTGAAAAAGCGCTGAGAGACGAGTCGACACTAGTCACCAACGACGGAGTAGGCTGCGAGCTCGAAAGTCCGGACATCTGACGACAGGGCCCAATGCGCCTCTGTGGCGTTCGTGGCAACAATGCTGCTTCGGGGACAAACGGTGGAGAGTCGTTAAAAGGGGCGACGGCCACAAGATCCGCGCCCATGCTGCTACTGACCAACCCGCCGACGTGGTCTGCGGACTGCCAGTACATGCTTGGGTCTTGGGCCGGCAGGGGATCTTGGTAGTATCCATGCTTGATGGACGTGGCATAATTCGAAGGTCCGGCTGAGAATTGGCCATAGTCGTCCCAGTCAGGAAAGCTTGGTGTGGGGGAGGATTGAGGAAGAGATTGATAACTAGCAGCACTGTCAGGCTCAAGCCCTAATGGACCTATTTCCGTTCGCCAGGGCATATCAGACAAAGCATCTTGTTGTCGTGCAGGGATGTCCGCAACATGTTCGGGTATGGGATTCAGTGACAGCAAATTTGAGTGTCGTTGAGCATGATGCATCACGTCGTTGATAATTGCTTCGGGCGAAGTAGACTCAGCCAGCGGCAGCGAGTCGTTTGGAGTGCTGGACAACGAGAGTCCGATAGTGTCGGTCGCTTCAGAGGGCAGTCTGTTCTCTGTTTCTAGGACCTGCATTCGTGCGAACCTGGATCGTGCCTCCCTAGGATCTTCAGCCGATGGAAGTAGCGGGGAATCCACGAAAGGGTTCAGCTGATTTCGGACGATGGCGAACTCGGGATATATCTGAATGAAGCAGTCGCGCCAGATTTCAACGCCCAACTCTACCCTGCTGGACGATCTGATCTTGCTTAGGATATAGTCATATTGTGCTCTGTTCAGGTATCCTCGCAAATAATGCTGTTCGAGGTGCGTCGACCGTAGGAGAGCTCGAATGGTTTTCCAGTGTCTCCTGGCAGAACGGCACTCGTCCATATGAAGTTCATACTTCGCAATGAAACACGCAAACATCGAATCCAGTGTTTGGGCATGAAGTGCTTGAGTAGCAACCAAGGGCTCGGATCGATCACTATTCCACGCCAGTTTATAGAGTGGTCTAGTCTTGAACCTGTTTATTCGAGGCGTTGCTGATTCATGCGGCGGTATCACTCGACCCGCAATATTTTTCTCGCGGAACGGCAGAGCAAATTTAACGCCGGAGACAGCAAATCTGCGACATGTTGCATTCGACAGCAAGGTGAGGGACGGGGGAGGCTCGCACAGGCGAGATCGAAGTGCTTGACCGGGAGGACAGTCGAAGTGGTCTACATCGAATATTGACGCCTCCAGGCAATCTCTCTTCGAGGTCCCCGGATGTTCGGCGGAATGTTGGGCAGTCTGGGACGGGCCGTGTGGCAGCTGGGCTCGGAGATAGCTACCCAGAGGGCCGAGCCATTGGGTCGAGGACCGGCCAAAGAGAGAGGTGTAGGTCACTATGGCCAGGAAGGCTGTCCATAGCTTGCCCTCCTTCGGAGCTGTTGCAGAAGTGCTAGGTTCTGTGTCGGATGTTGTGTCGTTCAACAGCGGCGAGCGATAGTGGGTGGGATCTAAAGCCTTCGATTGACGTAGCCACGGATATTTCCCCACAGTTTCGGAGGCGACGGTCGGATGCAAGTCAAACATGATAGAGGCGTATAGATGCAGAGATCGAGGCGTCCGCACCGGAGAATGGTGTTGTGAAAGGTTACTGACGATTGTACGATGTGTCTGACAAGTGCCAGGGCGTCAAAATTGTACGCCATGTCGAAGTAACCACGAGCCATAAGTCGGGCACTGGCGAGGCACCGGGTGGCAGCGGCAGGCCGAATGACCACTTTGGGCGCCAAGCCGGTCTGTACCTACCTGGAGGGCCAAAGGACAGCCTTACACATTGATTGTCGGACAACATGTCGTTGATGATACGACGCGAAGATTAGAAGGCTTCGATTGCTCTTCGAAGCATAGTTGGCATCTTGAGACGCAGAGGCTCACCGTCGCCAAAGGGTAGTGTCAACGCCAATATCCGCCTTGGCGTTGATCCTCGGATGTGCTCGGCTTACGGCCTGGTGTTGATGCCATGATGATTTGGTCCAGAGGGAGCACTAACAGCAGATACCGTACGTTTCTGTAGATATCCAGTAAGGCTTGGGGAAGGGCAGGGACTAGATGAGAGGTGCGGTGAGGTCTTTATAGACTTCTCACGGGTCGCCTACCATCTGGCAATGGCTGCTCCAGATCTGGAAGCCAGGTGCAAGGATCGGTATGTACCGGGATGTTCCATTATCTCGCGAGTGGAGAAAAAATGTAAGCAGAGTCAGTCGGCTGGAGACTAACTTGATGGTAAACTAAGTACTGAATGGAGGAAACGGAAAAGTCGCCGGCCAGCGCGGAAGCAGCCGGCCCCTAGGTAGTGCACATCACCTCGCCCTACCTGGCAGGCGAGCTTTCATGGGCTTTGATGAATGAGCAGACGGATAGCGCATTCTGAAAGGCTCGCAACTATATAGTCAACCGAAAGCGCACTCGGCGGAAGTCTGCATCGGGTCCCCGCGCCAGGCGACCACAAGCGGCGCGGAAGGCGCCTATCGAGGTGCAGGCCAGGTAACCCATGCGAACCAGGCTCCGAACGCTTCCCTTCTGATCTCTTCATCTTTAGGCTAACCAGACCGGGTAAAAAATGTGCTGTCACAGCTTGTGACGAGGTGACGCCCTATCAAATGCTTCTTGTCGTACCATGAAACAGTTCACGTGGCCCCTGAAGCCTCACTTTGCTGCCCGAGCCATTCCGGCTTCGACTATAGTCCTGAAGAAGCACCGGGCCATTTTGGTAGACCTCCCCCACCAAGCTCGAATGCCTTAGCCGCCTTCAGTACCGTAAGGTCGTCCCAGCGCTTCCCGACAATCTGCATGCCTACAGGAAGTACCCCTGTTCCATCCCTGCTCTTCGCCCAGCCACATGGGACATTCAGACCGGGGTGCCCACTAACATTGAACGGGCACGTATTGTTGGTAGATCCCACGGCCAACATCATCTTATCCATGATGCTACTGCCACCCTCCGCTTCTCGACGCATGTCTGGATGTGGGGGTGCCACAGTTTGTGTGGTCGGTGTGATGAGCACATCATGTTCCTCCAATGCCTTGTCGTATGCCGCCCTCAGCTGGAATACATGGCGGTGAGCCTTTGCTTGCACCTCCGGCCCATATTTCTCATTCAGAAATGTCTGCGAGAGAATGATGTTGATGACGGCCGGGTTGTGATGGCTCAGAAGCTCGAACATCTCCTGGTCCAGGGGCCACTTTGGCTGGAAGTGAGGCAAGTTGTGAGACAATATGTCCGGGATGCGGCCCGCTGCGGCCAAGCTGGCCATGTGATTCCGAGTCGCTGCGGTCCAGATCGCTGGGCCTAATAAATGCATCGGCACGTCCACTCGAGACACTTCGGCACCAGCTGCGGCGAAATGCTTCATGGCAGCCATCTCGACCACACTGGCTACCTCGGGAGACGTTCCGGGCGACGTCAATGATTCCGAGATGATGCCAACTTTGAGCCCTTTGCCTGGCTGCGGGCTAATTTTGGCAAACGCCGCCAGCTGTTCGTGATACTGCGTCACATTTGATCGGAGCGGGCTTTCGGGCGTCATTCGCGGATCAAGACCATCGTACCCAGCAAGGACCGTGAGCATGAGTGCACAGTCGTCCACACTATGCGCCATTGGGCCCGCGTGGTCGATCATGGGGTGCAGTCCAGCAATGCCGGTGTATGGCACCAATCCATGAGTTGGTTTCAGTCCATACACACCAGACAATCCCGCTGGCATTCTAATACTGCCTGCCTGGTCCCCTCCGATCTGGATGTCAATGTCCAGACCAGCATTCTCTAACCCAGGGACACCATTTGCTCTGGCCTGCCGGACGGCTAGCAAGCACGCTCCGCCACTGGTGCTGCCGCCCGTGGTGTGGTTCTTCAACCAAGGATTTTGCACTGGTCCGTTGGCAGAAGTGTACGACATCGGAGTCAACGAGTAGTTTTCACAGGTCGTGATGCCAACGATGGTGCCGCCGGCCTCCAGCACTCTCTGGACCACGACGGCATCGATTGGTGAGATCGGATACTTCCCGTCCTTGTGCGTGTCCGGGAACATACCGCACGTATACGGGAGCCCCCCGACAGACATATTGTCCTTAATGGCAATGGTCTTGCCTTCCAGGAGATTCGAGAGTGGCTTCTCCGCGCGCAGTTCAGCATGGTTGCTCCAGGCGTTAAGACTGTTGTTGGCGGGATCTGGCTTTTGGAACTGGCGCGGGCCTCCGACAGTGGGCACAGGAGCTAGTCGTGGATCAATGTATTCCGGTAGGTCGTTGACGAGCTTGGCGGTTGCGTCGGCAGCTTGGAGGACAGCTAGGTAAGCTTCTTGCTCAGTTGGCGACGTGATCTTAACATTGTTCTTGGCTGCAACATCGTGTAAGATCTCAAGTGCTACGCTCGAACTGCCGAAGTTGTCAGCATTGATCTATACGATATCGTGCTAGTACTGACTTGCCCTGTCCTGCCAAGGCCACGATAGACATGTTGGTTGACGACGGAGGGATGGGTGATTACGAGCTTCGACCGTCGGTAAATTCAAACTGTGTTCTCGGAGCAGTTCCTGGTTCTTATGTTAAAGTGCAGAAACGCCATCGGCTGACAAGAACGAGGTGTACTGTGTCAAAAGGTGTCATGGAGGTACAGATCTGCTGCTCCAGAGTGCAGCACTCCGGGTCGGTCATCTCCGTTTGTATTACGTTCCTATTCCTGGAGGCAATTGCGGCCTCCTACTCAAGTGAAGCACATAGCTCAGGCATATGCTTGGGACTGAACAAAAATTGCATGCTCCTGAATCAGCGCTTACGCCGGGTAGCTTTTGAGAAAGACCTCAATGAACACTTTGTCGTCTTTGCAAATTGTTGTCCGCGTCGATTGTGTTAGTGGATGTGGCTCGTTGCTTGCGAATATTGGGGTGTGAAGTTGTATTTGCAGGACACAAGGCACGACGACAGGCTTTCTGAAAGCAACTTCCATGACTAGAGAACCTGATGTTTTATCGTCCGGGGAAGTCCATTGCGGCCTTTGACCCTGCAGCTCACTGAAGACGCGGGCCACGACATGATTGCCATGCGCAATCTTGCCAGCAAACCCTGCCAAACGAGCAGCAAGAGCTAGGTGGTGGATTGGATTGTAGTCGCGACACAACGCAGCCCAGAGCCTTGGATCTTGAGCTCCCATTCTGCAAAGTGCTCGAGCATCGTTTCGTGCATCTCCAGGGACAGCGTCGGGGTGGTTTGCACCCACACGCTCTGAATCTTTAGTGTGGATGGTTTCTGCCGTCGTACGACTGTCAGACATGTCGATTTTGGACCATCGCACAAATTCGAGAATGGTGAAGACCTGCCTGAACATCTCAATCTCACCCTTAGCATCACCCCGAGGTAGTGCAACGACAGAAACGGAAACATCAACTTCGATGCCCCTCTTCACAATCCTTGTGACGGGAAGAAATCTTGCGCGGACTTCCGACGGGTAAGGCATGCTCTCCGAACGGCATGCGGCGTTGATAACCTGCTGGCCGAGATTGCGATTCAGTAGTTCGAAGCGGTTACGTACGTTAACTGCACCGAGTGGCTGCACCGGGCAGTCGCTCTGAGCGAGAAGAATGAGAGAAGCTGGCTGCGCCATAGCTGCCAAGAACAGGGTCGTGTGCGCCGGGTCCGTGAAGCTGCCTTCCAGGCGGGACAGGTTACCTGCTGGGCTTCGGCTGCCACCGGTGCTGTCAGAACTATTCTCTACGGCCAACATGTACTTCTTGACGTCAGAGTGCTGTACCGTTAGCGGCATTGACAGCGTATAGCTCGGCAAACAGCTTTTCTCTGCACCTCCTTCCGACACGGAGGCGGAGGGCTTCGACAGCTTCATCAGCCCTTGGAGGCTGGGTCGCAGTCGAAGCTTTATCTGCAGCACTCGTAGGACGAGGCGTAGCAGGAGCAGAACCACGTCCGCCATGGTCAGGTCGCTGGGTGGAAAGCGTAGCTTCTGCGGTGTCCCATGCATGCCCACGAGTTGCCACCAATGATTTTCGAGCCGGATACAGGCGCCGACACCTGCGGCCATGAAGCACAGAACTGAGACCACGGCCAATAACATCTTAATCGAAGAGCTGAATGTAAATAGAACTTGTCCTGGTATGACACCCCATAGGCAGAATTTCCGGTGAGGCAAGACGTGGATGACTCAGGTCGCCCCTTTTCTCCGCGGACATCTGACGCGGCATGACTCGCACCAATTTCCACCTCGACGCCGCGCTCGAGCCTCTTGGATGGCGTTGCTCGCCTCAGAGGCGTTTGCATGCTGCAGCATTGTCGTCTCCCGTCCTCAAGAGGACAGGAATGACCGTCCCCGGACCTCATCTGCTGCTTACACGATAGTAGTCTACAGCCTCACGCATCGAACTGTCCCTCCATCCTCGAGCGTCCCTCACGCGCGACGGAACACTCTCGCGAAATGGAGAAAGGAGGCCAGCCTGCGGTTCCAGGTCGAGCTCACACCATTGCACGGAAGCCCATTCCAGCAACAAGTACTCTTGGTCAAGCTCCTAGCTACGGACCATATACCTCGTCACCTCCTTTCGCTTCCCGACTCCGCACGCGATGGTCGCTCCTCCGCCGGCGCACACGCATCTTGATCGTCGTTGGTGTTCTCGCGCTGCTAGCACTCATACTCGGCCTGTCAATTGGTCTGACTCAAGGATCAAAGACTCAAAACCTGCCTCTACCCGGCGGCAATGGAGGTCCCTTTGGCGGAGATCTGACATACTACGACCCAGGCCTAGGCGCCTGTGGAGTCACGTCTTCGCCTTCACAGAACATTGTTTCCATAGCACACTCGCTGTTTGATGCGGCACAGAGCGGCTCGGATCCGAATCAGAACCCGTTGTGCGGCCGCAAGATCCGTGCGAAGCGGACCAAAGAAGGCAGCGGAGAAAGGAGTGTAGATCTGACGGTTGTGGATCGCTGTGTTGGCTGCGAGCCGACTGATATCGATGTCAGCCTCTCTGTGTTTGAACAGCTCGCCGACCAAGGCCTTGGGCGGGTTGCTGTGCAGTGGAACTGGCTGGATTGAGGCGCGGCTTAGAGTCATAAATGCACACGTCTCTTGCGTACACCGCTCTCGTTTTCGGTCTCGCCATTCGCGGGCTGGCTCCTACATGCACGTCACGGGTGATCATCCTCTGAAGACTTTGCAGTTCCTGGGATTCGGCGCAGACCTGGAGTTGGCACTACGCGAGACTGAGTCTTACTGCGGCGATAAGGAGTGAATTTCGCCAGAGACATTTCCTGCAAACAATACCTCTTGCAGCACTTTGACGAGCGAACAGGAGTAAAGCCTCAAGAGCGATGCTGACTGAGAAATCCGTGGCAAACCGCGCAATATATGTGTCGGAGCACATGAATGCGCCATGTGCTTCCGACTATCATGGGGGTTTCCGCTCCTTCCACGTATCTTTACCCACTCAATCGATGACTTGATGGAACCGGAAATCTCGTGTTCGGTCCTACAGACTGTCCTGAAGTACTTCCGCAATATGACGTTGTGCTATTGGTAGAGCTTTCGATCTCTACAGCTCGCCAACAACATCTCAATTGTGGTAGCGGTGTCACCTGATCGACACCCCCCATCGATCATCTAACGCCACGTAAACGTGGCCGCGCTTCAGGGTAACATTACTGGATGGGGATCGGCGGGCTTTCATACGTCTGCAGAGCAGTAGCCGTTGAGTCGTTTGTCTACCCCTGTGTAGCAGGGCACACCTCGGCTGCTCCTCTCGAGTGCCCGTCAAAGACTATCGAAGCTGACGACGCGTCGCCTGCGTCAGGCTGTAGAATGCACCTACATTGGTGACAGCGGGAGCTTCGGCTCCCGGGGTAGCTAACAAGCACAACGCCGTTGGTCGATCATGGCCTTCGTCCGCCGGCCGAAGCGAAGGGTAGCAGCGCTAAAGAATTAAGCTAGGGCTAAAAAGCTTCCCTAATGCTTGTTCCCGCGCTTTTGCATCAACTTTGACTCCAAGTTGTGAAGCAAGAGAGAGGGGCACGTTCTGGATAGCCGCGGATATGTGCCCACGAAGGGCAGAGGCTACGTACGAAGCGAGCGTGATCCTTATCGTTGCGAGCATTCCTTCGCTCATGCTTGCCCTAGACGAAGCACGAGACTAATAAACGTGCCCCCTCGCCATTCAACGCCCATGCGGTTTTTTCGAACAGAGCTACTCACACTCTGACACTCTCACTGCGGATTCGTTCCAGGCACCTGCTGCTTAGCCTACTGATTAAAGCTAGTATGATGGATTCCCACGACAGCAAGGAGTCATCAAGCGACCAAACCGGAGTCGACCATCCACCATCTTTCGTGCCACCATCTTCGCGGGGTGCCTACGACAAGAATGTGACGATCGAGGAATACATCCATTACGCCAATCTCACACGTGCAGAGGAGAAGATCCATCTACCGAACCCCGACAAATCCACCGGCTTGGTCGCACAGGTCCTTCGTCGCCCCTCAGTTCAGCAGTCGGCGTCTGCAATCGCGACCGGTGGTGGCCATGAATCGCCGTCTGCCAATGACGAGAAGTCCCAACGTCAGGCATCCGCTGAGGGTCGGGCCGTCATCAGCGCCGATGAGTGGAGAGATGCCAGTCGTTTGATGCGGACGGCCAGTTGTGAGTATTTCATCAAGGTACTGCATAGCTTTGCTAACACACGCAAGGGGGCGCCGGTTTCTATCTCATCACCACCGACATTCTAGGTCCCTATGGCGTTGGTTTCGCCCTGGGGACCATGGGTTGGGGTCCTGGTATAGTTTTGTACACTGTCTTTGGTAAACCCCACAACTCTGCCATACCGAACGCCGATTTAGTACTAACAAAAGCCGCAGGATTCATGGCGGGCTATTCAGGCTACTTGCTGTGGAAGATCTACCTCGGCCTCGACAGCTACGAGTTCCCCTTGCGGAACTACGGCGACCTCGCGTTCCGCATCTTCGGCCCAATCCCACGGCATTGTGTCAACATCCTGCAGTCCATCCAGCTGTGCCTTATCTGCGGCCAAGTCATCATTCAAAACGGCCAAGGCATATCTCAAGCGTCCAAGTTCCGACTCTGCTACGTCGTCTGTATCCTCATCTTCGTCATCGCGGGCTTCATCTTCGGCCAGATCCGCACCCTCCGCAACTACGGTCTCATGTCAGCGGTAGCCGTGGGTCTCAACCTGATGGTCATTTTCATCACCATGGGCGTCATGGCCCACTCGCCACCCAACTACAAGATCTCGGTGCTAGGCAGCGCTGGAAGTGCCAACGACGACGGCAGCATCACCCCGGACGCTCAAGGGAACTACCCCCCAATCCGCCACTACAACGGCCTCCCCAATCCAAACTCCCTCCTCGGCAGCATCAACGGCCTGATGCAAGGCGTCTTCGCCTACGGCGGCGCGCAGATCTTCATCGAAATCATGGCCGAGATGCGCCGTCCCCGCGACTTCCTCAAGTCCATGATCATCGCGCAGCTCTTCATCTGGATCGTGTACCTGTCCTACGGCTGCTACGTCTACTACTGGCAGGGCCAGTACGCCTTCCAGGTCTCATACCTCGGCCTCTCCGTCTACGGCTGGTCCGTGGCCTGCAACATGATGGCCGTCATCTCCGGTCTCATCGCCGCCGGCCTCTACGGCAACATTGGCATCAAGGTCCTGTACAACAACATCCTTATGGATCTGCTTCATGCGCCCGCCCTCTCCACCCGCGCCGGCAAGATCGTCTTCGCCGCCATCGTCCCCATCTACTGGTCCACGGCCTTCATCATCGCCGCCGCCATCCCGGACTATTTCGGCTTCGTCTCCGTCATCGCCGCCTTCTGCATCGTGCAGTTCTCGTATAGTTTCCCGCCCATCCTGCATTTGGGGTATACGATCCAGAAAAACGCGGCGAGGGCGGCGATGAAGGAGGGCTTTGATCCTGTGACGGGCCAGACGACGAGGTTGGATGGTGGCGTTAGGAGGTATATTAGGGGCTTTTTCGCGGATAGGTGGTATGTCAATGCGTGGCATGTCGTGCATGCTGGTGGCGCGTTGGCCGTGGCGGGGCTGGGCGCCTATGCGGCTATTCAGGGCATGATTGACGCGTTCAAGGTACGATATTCAGCCTTCCTTCGTCTTTGTGGCACCATGGACTAACGCGCAAATAACAGATTCCGCAAGTCACGAGCTTCACGTGCACGAGTCCGCTCAACCTCAATGCTTAAGGTTCGGGTGAGCAGGTAGCACCTGGCTTAGTCCCGACGTGCGACGAAGAGGCTGCATACGCATCGTAAACGCAGTTAGCCTCGGCTGGCTCGCCAATCTAGTTGCAGAAGCAGTACTGTGCACCGATGAAGAACAGGAGAACAATAATGGGGATCTTCCAATGCCACGAGTAGCGTAGCGCGCCCAGGTTAGGCATGTAGACGTCGATTATCTCGTATGGAACTCTGATCGAGTACTCATCGCGTCGAAAAGGCCAGTAGCATCGTTGCTCTATCGTGCTATTTCACATGACGGGTGCTACCCAGGTGTACGTACGGCCAGCCAGCTACTAGTAATTAGCGTAGGTCATCCGGCCAGCCACGCGAGTAACGTCGCTCGAGCGCTGTGAATCGCATATGGAGATCTCATTGATTTGCAGTAGAGAGCGCAAAGAGTATTGGTAACATGCCGCCCGCCTAACCGGACCTCATGTTACTGTACCTCATGTTGGGCTTCACACCGTAGGTAGGTCGGCGCCGAAAAGGAAAAGCCTTGGCATCAGGCAGTGAAAACTTGGCATGTTCGGATCTATACTGTACTACCTGATTATTGCCTGCATATGGCCCAAGGTTGAGCCTGCGACAGACCTGCTCTCAGACAGAGACAGTGACTACCATCTTGCCACCAGCCGTTCCATCCTCCATATGCTTATGTGCATCGCCAACCTTCTCGAAAGGGAAGACCCTGCTCGGCTTCGCGTCCCACTTGCCGCTCGCAACGTCCCCAATGATGGCCCGGAGTGGCACATCGCTCAAGGGGAAGCCTTCGTCGCCGAAGACAAAGCTGCCAAAGAAGCTCAGTTGCACACCAGAAGCCATCTGCGTCAAGGGGTTGAATTCGAGGGGAGCCAACCCGCCAAGGAAGCCCGCGATGCACACGCGCCCACCGCGACGTGGGATCTTGAGTGAGTCGAGCAGGACGGTGTTGCCGATGAGGTCAAGGACTTTGTCAAAGACTTGGCCCTTTGCTCGCAGCTTTTGTGATAGGTTAGGATCCTCGAGGTCGACGCCAACCACTCCCCGTGCCATGAGCTCTGCCACGCCCTCTTGCCGTCGGGTCGTCGCCCAGACTTTCGCGCCTACCTGACGCACCGCCAGCTGCACGGCTGCGGTACCCAGCGCGCTCGTAGCGCCGCGGATCAATACCTTGTCGCCCTCCTTGATCTCCAAGTTGCGCATGAGCACCGTCCAGGCTGTGGCATAGCTCTCCGGCAGCGCAGCCAGATCCTGCCACGACATTCCCAACTCTCCGCCCGGGCCAGCGATCTGTACGACGTTCGCAGACGGTGCGTTCGTGTACTGAGCGTAGGTGCCGTTGATGGTGCGGCCCAACCCACCCATGACGGCCGCAACTTTGGCGCCAGGAGGAAACGTGCCGTCGGGACAGGCGTGCACGACGCCGACGCACTCAATGCCTGAGACGGCGGTTGATTCGGCCCATTCGCCGCGCCGCATGTGCATCTCGGCGTGGTTGATGCCGAAGGCGCGCACAGCGATCGTGGTCATGCCTGGGGTAGGGGTGGGGTCGGGGACGTCCTTGATGAGGAGCTCCTCGGGTGCGCAGGGTCGGTGTGGAATCACGATAGCTTTCATGTTGAGTAGGTGTCAGATTAAGGGTTGTGCTTTTGCGGCGACTGAAGCGGAGCGCTGAACCGGTCCCAAACTCTGGGCTCTGACACGGGTCCTGAGAGTATCCCTCTCATGATTCCGTTCGTGACGGTAGAAGGGCATTCATATATAGACTCTGGACATACTCATTGACCGGGTATCGCAGGGGCCCATGACTTCAAGACGTGCTGCTTTACCTGGTCCATAACAGCGGCGGGTGGGATCTGGAGGCGCTCACGTTGTCGACAATGCTGGCCAGCTAAAGTCAAAACAGCGAACCGTGCATCTTTCCTGAGGCTGTCGGTGCGGCATATTCGACAAGCTCATGACAGGGAGATGCATTCAGTCCCCTAGGTGTCCGTTTATGGAAGGATGTCGTTGCCCACTTTGAGCATGAGCTTCGTGAACCGCAGTGGCTGAGGTTCCTTTGTGATTCGTCGCTGACAGCTCATGTCTCGTGATGATGCTGACGTACGCCTTGAGAAGTAATGCTACTCAATAGAAGAATTGGTTAGTAAGGATTGAGTCGAGGTTAAAGCAGCACGGTCACGGGCAAGCGCCAAGGTCAGACACCCCGCGGACCCCCGCCAATCTGATAGTCTCATCTGACCACTGATCTAACATGACCCCTCCTATACCACTGCCTCACCGTGCTCCAGCCTCCGCAAGTACTGAAAACCGTCCCAATCACAAGTCCGAACCTCGCTACAACCATGTCTCACAACGGCTGCCCCAAGTGCGGTGCGAGCATCAGCGCGGGGAAGAAGTGCAACTCTTGCGGCGCTGTGAGTATCTTGCCCCAACAATCACCTCAAGGACTAGCGACTGATAAGGTGCAGACCTGCCCTCGCTAAATTGACCTGTTGCCGGCTACATGCTAGTCGGATTCGAGGAACATACAGACGAATGAACGAATTGATGAGAGACGACGATGATACCAGAAGTGAGGCATCTAAGAGGAGTTTCATTACGCAGGCCACAGCACGACGCCGCCTGGAACAAAGCGGTGTTGAAGTATCATTAAAGCTTGAAGACCAATCAGTCAAGTCTACATAAGGCAACGGCATACACTCGTTTTACTCAGACACTACATTTCTCCTCAGGGAGGGACCACTTGCGTCAAGAACCCAAGCAAGTCCCTTAGCAGGTTGTTGTTGGTGCTGTGGCCCATGCCTTCATACAGATGCTCTTCCAACTCACCTTCACCAATCCACTTGCCCAGCTCTTCCTTGCCCCTGGTAAACAGACTCGTCGGTACCAACATATCCTTGCTCCCGTGGATATAAAACCACTTCTTGCTGTCCTTGTCCCCTTCCTCGATCCCCCGTTCACGCTTCAACTCTGCTATTCTCTCTGCCAACGGGAAGTATCCGCTGCAGCACACGACGCCGGCCACATTGTTCCTCTGCTTTCCTATCACGCCCCACACCAGGCTGATCGCACAGCCCTGACTAAAGCCACCCACGACAATGCGCTCCTTTGGCGTTCCCTTCTCGATCTCCTCCGCCACATACGCATCCAGTAGGTCACACGCCCGCAGTATGCCGTCCTCATCATCCGGCTCCTGGCCCGCCGCTTCTTCATCCTCCTGACCCGGCACACGCGGCTTGAGGCTGTTGGGCAGCGCCTTGGGCTGGTACCAGGCCCGTGACGCGGAGGCGGGGTTGAAGGGCGCGTTGGGCAGCACCCATTTCAGGTAGGGCAGCTTGTTGTACCATTGGAATTGCTGGGCCAGGCCGAGAGGGAGGCCTTCGGCGTCATCGCCGTAGCCGTGGAGGAAGACGAACGTCGCGGGGCGTCCGGTGGAGGCGTCGGCCGGGCCGGAGATGTAGGGCGGCTTGTCGTTGTTGGTCATTGTGCTAGAGTTCGCGAGAGCTAAGTTGATGAGGCTCAAAGTGAGCCAGAATTGGGTTGCTACATTGTCAGTGAGTTATATGGCGCTACAGACCAGACGAAAGCATCAGGAGGTCTCGACCGCTCAGCGTCAGTGACTGCGGGGAAGCCTGGAGACTCCGAGTGTTCGCTACATCGGAGCGTGACTGCCGCCACGCGCGTCCTATACACGTTGCACCTTTGTTCTTAAATGCTTCAGTCAACCTCCAGGTCTTCTTTGCTCAGCAAGCAATGGACCAACCTGCCCGGTCGATCGAGCCATTGACCAGTCTTCGCTCAAGATTTGCTGCCGACACCCCGCGTACGCGTACGCGCAAGTCCGCGCGGGGATGGACTGCCACGGTTGAGCCTCGGGCACTCTTATCAACAGAAACGCACTTCCCACCTCGCCTGTGACCTCGTACACGCGAGCGGTTATCAGCTCAACAACCATGGTTTGTCATGATACCCATACGGATATCCATCCGCACACTGGCTCCTACATCGGACGTTGTTGTGAGCTAGACAGAGTCAGTCAGGCAGGGTGAGTGCTAGCGCCCCCTTCCTTTTATCTGTCGCTTCCTCAATCACGCCTTCCATCGTCGATATTGCGAATATCTTTATCCCATCTCCAACCTGTTCGCGTGCTTGTTCGTTCGTACCCCGGTTCCTCGCACGTTAAGCTGCCGAGTACGATCGTCGCGCTAGGTCCCTTTAGGTGCGAAACACTGCCTGTACCCCTCCACACCGACGTCACCTCGACCCCCCAGGCGCTCCCTGTCTCGCCTGTACCTGGCTGAGAAAGTCGCGTGCGCAGCCCGCTCGCAGGGAAAGCTTGAGCTATCGTCCGCCTGCTCCAGCTCGAGCTGAGCTCATAACTGGTTGGACTCCCGATAGCTTCGCCAACCTGCGTGTTGGCTGGCCTAGGTGTGGATTTGGGTGGAGAGTTGATGCAGCGGGCGGCTGCTGGCACCTACCTTTCTGGGGCAAAGTAGCACGCAGCAGCTATCTAGGTAGCGTTTGTGCGCTCGAAGCTGCGGGCAGCTTCAAAAATGCGACTGGGGACGTCATGTCGTTTGATTTCTTCTTCTAGTTGCTCTTCGCGGCCACATACTGCGCTGCCGTATATCGTCGCAATGCTGGGATTTCTGCAGCTCGCCGTCGCGGCTAGCCCGTTGCTCATGCAGGCGGGTGCTAACCCTCTACCTCCGTCAATGCATGTGCCAGAGCTGGAAATGCGGCAGGCGCCCGGTCATCTGGGTGCTGTAGCTACCGAGAGCGAGATCTGCAGCAACATTGGGATTGAATTGCTGAAACAAGGCGGTAATGCTGCTGACGCTGTACGTACCATGTGATCAAGAATGATTCAGCTGAGGCTAACATACAAAGCTCGTGGGCACGACCTTCTGTATAGGTGTCGTGGGCATGTACCACTCTGGTATTGGTGGCGGAGGCTTCATGACTGTGCGATTGTCCAATGGCACCTACGAGCAGATCGATTTTCGAGAGACAGCCCCAGCTGCTGCGTACGAAGACATGTACACCAACAACACCGATCTGAGCATATTCGGTGGACTAGCGAGGTAAGACAGCCCTAGCATAATTCAAGATGATGCTGACTCGCATAGCGGCGTCCCTGGCGAAGTTCGAGGTCTGCAGTACCTGCATGAGAACTATGGTACACTCCCCTGGGCCGAGGTCATGGCGCCTGCGATCAAGGTCGCGCGTGACGGCTGGACCGTGAACGAAGACCTTGTCCGATATATGGCTTCTGCAAATGCATCTGCTCAGATTCCCAACTTCTTGTCGGAAGTGCCAACATGGGCCATCGATTTTGCGCCAAATGGCACCCTACTGAAATTGAACGACACCATTACTCGAAAGCGGTACGGCGACACGCTCCAAAAAATTGCGGACAACGGCCCAGACGAATTCTATAACGGCGTAATGGCCGAAGCAATGATTGCCGCGCTCCAGGCCGAGAATGGAACCATGACTATGGACGATCTCGCCAACTACTCAGCAATTGTGGCTCCAGCTGCGAATATCACCTACCGCGGCAAGTTCAATCTATTCGCGGCCGATGCCCCTTCTTCCGGCGTTGTGGCTCTGAGCGCACTAAAGATCGTCGAAGGCTACGACGACTTCTTCACCTCCAATGGTGATCTCAACATCAGCACGCACCGGCTTGATGAAGCCATCCGATTTGGCTACGGGGCCCGCGCGGACCTTGGCGATCCCGATTTCGTGGGCAACCTCACCCGCTACCAAGAAGAGATGCTGTCAGAAGCCTACGCCAACGAGACACGATCCAAGATCTCGGACTTCCAGACTTTCAACACCTCACACTATGACCCTGCAGGACTCGAGTCCCTCGAAACACCCGGTACCTCGCACATTGTCACTGCCGATGCTTCTGGGATGGCCATTACCCTCACCACCACCGTCAACCTTCTGTTCGGCTCGAATCTCATGGTGCCTGAGACCGGCGTCATCATGAACAACGAAATGAACGACTTCTCCATTCCAGGCTCTTCCAATGCCTTTGGATATGTGCCGAGCCCAGCCAACTACGTCCGACCCGGCAAACGCCCTCTATCCTCCATTTCGCCCGTCATCGTTGAGCACGCTTCCAATAACTCTCTATACTACGTGATTGGTGCCGCAGGTGGTAGCAGAATCATCACCTCCACCATCCAAAATATCATCCACGTGCTAGATCAAGGCATGACGGCACCCGAAGCTCTTGCGCAACCACGACTACATGATCAGCTATTGCCCAACCAAGTATCTTTCGAATACGCATATGATAACAGCACCGTAGCGTTCATGAAGCAGCTGGGTCACAATGTTACATGGGTTGCTCCTGGCCAGAGCGCGGCACAAGGAATCAGAGTACTGAGTAATGGAACGTTTGAGGCGGCAGGAGAGCCGAGACAGAAGAACTCGGGTGGTTACGCTGTATAATGGGCTACATACTGACAGAACAATGCAAGTATTCCTCAACTAGCTATAACGCCTGGAAAAAGTTGCCAAGAGGCAGTGAAAGCTGGGCAAGGAAGGTGCTCTCTCGCTCCTTCCTGGGCGTGCTTGCAGATGACAATCGAAAACTGATCAGCTACATGAATTCCAGGGACGACTCTCAGTTATACACTTTCCGTGCACAGCATCATATTCCCATTTCTCGCACAACACGTCGATCCGTGCACTCTACTACTTGCCACGCCTAAACCGGCCCGGCCACGAGCGCCCAAATCCGGGGTGCGGGCGCGATACAAGCCTTCGGAAGGAATTGCTTAACGCTTAGGGCTCCTCAAACAGGCCCTAGTTAAACCCACCGATGCTGACAGCCGGCAGGCCCACGACCAGGGTTTCCCCCTGCGACCTTTCCCATGGCCCTACACGCAATCCTGCCGCGTGATGACGTTACCTCAAGTTGGCTCTTCGGGTGTGATGGCCCCCAGGGAATAGCGAGCACGAGAAAGCGGAGAGTTGCAGGCGTCAGAGCTCCACGGTGACACGATTACGGAAAGCAGCCTTCTGTCAGACGAAGTTGCAGCTCGCGAGGAGCTTCATAAGAGCTTGTATTTCCGTCAAAATCCCCGTTTGCGCTCTAGAGGTCTCCGGCGCCTGAAAGTCGCATCGGTATTTGCAGGAATAATATCCAGGCTTTGGCGACAACATGAGACGGCCCTCGCTCCTCGGTGGTTCTGGTGATGGCGAGGGCGCGCACCAGCGGCGACGTACGTCCATCGCCGACGATGCGGCGCAGCTCGCGACGTTGGGTCACCAGCAGGAGCTCCAGCGTAACTTCAGCTTCATTTCCATGTTGGGTCTTGCCTTTGCCATTCTGGTACGTCTCAGTATATCACATCTACCGTTGACCGCTCCGCCACGCCTTTGAGCTGACAAACCGGAGCTAGCTTGCTGGTATATAAGAAACATGAGCTAACACACGTAGAACACATGGACCGCTCTCGCAGCCTCCATCTCCCTCGCTCTCCCCTCTGGAGGCCCTTCCTCTGTCATGTGGGGCCTCGTCACCGCCGCCATCTGCAATTTGTGCCTCGCGGCCTCGCTCGCCGAGTTCCTGTCGGCATATCCGACCAGCGCTGGGCAGTACCACTGGGCGGCCATCGTTTCTCCCCACCGCTACGTCCCCATCGTCTCCTGGGTCACCGGCTGGATCAACACGGCCGGCTGGATCGCGTTGACCGCCACGGGTGGCCTCCTCGGCAGCCAGCTCATCCTTGGCACCATCAGCTTCATGAACCCGAGCTTCGAGCCGCACCCCTGGCAGCAATTCCTCCTGTACCTCGCCTACACGCTCGTAGCGTTTCTCATCAACGCCTTCGCCACCAAGCTACTACCGTACGTGACGCAGACGGCCTTCATCTGGTCAATCGTTGGCTTCGTCGTCATCAGCATTACGCTTCTCGCGTGCGCCGCCCCCAATTACCAATCCGGCACCTTCGTCTACGGCAACTTCATCAATGAAACCGGCTGGCCCGACGGCTTCGCCTGGCTGCTGGGCCTCCTACAGGGCACACTGTCCCTCACAGGCTTCGATGCCGTGGCGCATATGATCGAAGAGATCCCGGACCCAACCAAAGAAGGCCCACGCATCATGGTCGCCTGCGTCGGCATCGGCCTATTCACAGGCTTTGTCTTCCTCAGCGTCCTGCTCTTCGTGCTCAGGGACATCACCACCGTGATCGAAAGCCCCGCCGGCCCTTTATTACAGATCTTCTACGACGCGACCAACAACAGAGCCGGCGCCGTCTGCTTGCTCATCTTCCCACTCCTGTGTCTCCTCTTCGCCACCATCTCCATCATGACGACCAGCAGCCGCATGACCTACGCCTTTGCGCGCGACGGCGGCCTACCCTTCAGCCGTATTTTCGCGCGGGTCCACACGGGCCTCGACGTCCCGCTCAACGCCCTGCTGTTGACGACGGTGCTGGTCGTCATCTTCGGCTGTGTCTTTTTGGGAAGCAGCAGCGCCTTCAACGCCATTATCAGCGCCAGCGTCGTGGCACTGGGCATCACGTACGCGATCCCGCCTGCCATCAATTGTTTGAGGGGCCGGAGCATGTTGCCGGAGAGCCGACCGTTCAAGCTGCGCGGGCCGCTGGGCTGGATCTGTAATTTGGTGTGTCTTCTTCGATTCATGCCTTCTGTCTCTAAAAAGCCGTGATGCTGACAACGGGAAACAATAGGTCGGCATCGCCTTCGCCTTACTGACCACCGTCCTCTTCGTCTTCCCGCCCTTCCTGCCCGTGACCGGCAGCAACATGAACTACTGCATCGTGGCCTTCGGCATCATCCTCATCATTTCGGTCGTGCAGTGGTTTGTCGACGGGCGCAGGAACTACAAGGGCCCCTACGTCGATCCGGAGGTGTTGGAGCAGGCAGACACGGACGTCGTTGGCGTCGGGTTGACATCGGAGCAAAGCCATCTTTCGAATGGTGGTGGTGGGGGGAACAATTCCATGGCTTTGGGCCACAAGGGCCACAATGGGGGTAAGAAAGAGGCTTGATGAAACAGGGAATCCGCATCGGTGTCAAGTAGCGAACAGAATGGCCCAGTCACTTGCTTGCCTTGCCTTTGTCTGCCCCGATACCACACCACGCACACACCCTCCCCAACCTCGACCCTCACCCTTCCACCCACTCCGGATCCTCCCTCCTCCTCCACACAGCCACAAACTTCCTCCCCCCATTCCTCGTCACCTTCTTCCCCTCCTCCGTCTCCTCACTCATAACCCTCACACACTCATCCCCCTTCAGCCCTTCCTCGTCAACCCTCTCCCACAACTCCCTCACATCCCCCTCCCCCGCCGCCGCCTCCTCCTCCGCCTCCCCTCCTTCAAAATGCCGCACGATCCACAGATGCAATTCCTCCACATCCGTGATCGTATACAGTTTTCCTCCCGGGCGCACGAAGAATGCGTACTCGGCGTTCAGCTGGCTCGAGACGATGCGCGCCTTGTGCTTGCGCGCCTTGAAGTGCGGGTCCGGGAAGCAGAGGAAGAGCTTGGTGAGGGCGCCGCGCGGGAGGAGTTGGGGGAGGAATTTCATCGTGTTGGTGCGGAGGGCGGAGATGTTGTGGTATGGGGGCGCTGCGGTGGTGGTGGTGGTGGTGGTGGGAGGCAGCGGGTTCTGGGAGCGCAGCGCCGCGATGCGTGAGTGCACATAGGTGAGGACTTGGGAGCGGAGCTCGAGGCCGAGGATTAGCGAGGTGGGGAAGAGGGGTGAAAGGGCGAGCAGGAGGCCGCCGAAGCCGCAGCCTACATCGGCGATGGTGGGGTAGGGAGCCTCGGGGGTGAGGGAGGGTGATGTGGTGCTGGTGCTGGTGGTAGATGAGCCATTCTCGCTGCTGGTCTTGGCGGGGATGAACGATGGGTAGTGTGATGACCAGTCCATCTCTTCTGGTCGCGTCGGACTGGCATACAGGTCAGCACGAGTGAGTTGTCGAAGTAGCAGATACACGTACTATGTTAATCGGTGATCTGAGAATGGGTTGGCGTGTGCTCGCTGACGGTAGAATCTCTTCTTTGGGAGCTCGAGCTGGCCCGAGCCTTGCTCATTGTGCGCTTCTTGTACCTTCCGGTACTCCTCGCGCTTTTGGCGCTTGTTTGGCGGGCCAGTCATGAATGTAGACACTTGCGGGGAGGATAATAGGAGATTGAGGACGTTTCTAGATCGTTGGGCGAGCATTGACAGGGGATTTGTTTTCGGGTGTGAAGTTAAAAGATGAGGATTTATATTCGAGCTTGGCATTTCTCAGTTCCACCTGAAGAGTACAGCAGCACCATGTCAACTACTCAGTCAATCGACATGAGCGTAGGTGACACCATTCAAAGGTTGACACATCGGAAGAGTAAACACTTGCTCTAGTTACGAGATGAGAAGCTTGGGTGAATAATCATTGAAGCTATGTACATGGTGTGGATATTAGGCCTGTTCTCATAGAGCCGTGTGACCTTCAGGATTTTCTGCCGAATCTATTATAATGTCAGTCAAAGAACGGCGACAAGAGGCTAGGGAAGTACTTACAGTCTGTAGTAACAAAGCAACGATCAACCTCGGTCAACGCCTCGGCGCAGTACTGCAATGTTTCGGATATGTCGTGACTTCTCCGCAGCGGCGTCTTCTCGTCTAATAGCACATCATATTCCACCCAGACACCGTCCCCTGCATGGTACGCCTTGATCGACTTGAAGCCCATGACCACAGGCGCAAAACGGTAGGCCAAGTATGTGAGCTTTTTACCGAGGCGATCGTCAACCGCAGTTCCACACAGCCGAGTGACATTCTCCAAGCAGGTATCAGCCCAGTCGTAGATGATGTACAATGAGAGGATTGCGGCACCAGCGGGATCCAGCCACCAGACTCCGGCAGCCCTGCCAATGAGCGGGAACAGGAGCGACAGCGTGTTGAAGTAAACATCCGTTTTGCAGTCTTGCGCCAACGCTTGCACCTGTGTGGTCTTGATCCTCATGCAGCCGAGGCCGATGATTCCCTTCAAGATGACGGTGCCTGCCATAGAGGCAATTGCGACCGCGGGCAATGTGGCGATGGCATGATCGCCGCTGGGCAGCAGCTTCGACACCGATTCCTGCAAGATCTGCAAAAATGAGATGACCATGATGATGGAAAATACCAGGATACCCAGTGGCTCTAGGCGTCGTCTACCAACGGGGAAGCGTCGAGCCAGTGAGTCTAATCGCCATGAGACAAGTTTATCCGTACTCCAAACGATAACTGTACACAGCAAATCCAGGGCCGAGTCCAGCAAGGAAGCGATCAGAGAGAGTGAAGATGACTGCAGCGCTGCGATGCCCTTGGCGGCAAGGAGGATGATATTGGCGATGACATTGATGTTAATGGCCCATGTTGCTTTGCGAACAGCTTGAGCACGGTCGTTTTGGATACGGTCGGGCAACAATTCCTCGACGCGCTCCTCGACGTTTTGAAGACCACCCGACCTCTCTCGAACACCATCCCTATCTGCATCAGGATTCATGCTGTCCATGACATCCTCAGCCATAGCTTTCACGATGGTGTCCACTTCCAGCCAGTCATTCAAGCGACCGTTCTGCTCCTTATAGTAGTGACGGACTTTCTTGCTCTTAATCTCGCTGATTTCTTCATCACTCTTGCGGAAATGCTCCCAGGTTTCTTTGTCAATGCCATCAAGTATCTGCTTCTTTATGGCCTTGGAGGTGCGCTCGTCCATGGCAAAGTCAACGGCATCCTTGAAGCGAGGAAACCGCCTCTTTGGCCCGGATTCAAGGTCGCCATTGCCAATGCCATCAATGTGTTCGCGTGGTGTGTCTGGCTGGTGGAATGCTCGTCTTCCCACCATTTATGCGTGCGCGGTCGTGAAAAGCCTAGTGTGAGGCCTATCTAGACGGAAGGAGATCAAGAGCGATAGAGGAAGAAGGGAAACAAGTAGATAAAGGTGCTGTGCAATAGCAATGGATCTCGAGGGTGTAGGAGCTCGAAACTTGGTTATAGTCGCGGTGTCGAGTGCCAGTTGCAGGTCCATGACGAAATTACTCCACGCGTCGGCCAGCTGGATATCGTAGCGCGCCCGATCTCCTGTAAAGATAGATCGGCCGCACGTGTTGCACGGCAGTGGCAGTGTCAGTCTCGGCTATCGTCGACATCATTATCGTCCTCGTCTTTGCGCAGTCGTGTTGGCAGCTCTTGCACGTACTACTGTGACAACAAACTTGATTGTGTGTATGGAACCATTGACTTTCGGTAGAGGCTCCCGATGTTTCTGTTTTTGAGCCTCGATCCGTTGATGGCTCCCGGCTTGCAGGCAAGCATTGCCTCGCTTGCTTTGCCCACCGCCAAGCTCCCAGGCACCGCTCCCCCCCCGGACGCTTGGCCCTACAGCCTCCAACCTTCTCCAAATCTTCGACTAACGTTCATTTCATCATCGCCGCTGCGATACTTGCCACTTGAGCCTCTGCCTCAAGAGACCATCTCACGTTCGTTGTGGCCACGTTCGCTGAGAAGGGTCGCTCGATATATGCGATAGCCCTCGTCCTACACGTCAGAATGGCACCATCGAAGCGGACTTCCCGATCCTCGCTCCCTACGTTTCCCATCTCCTCGTTTTCTCTCCAACAGAAGCAGTCAAAAGCCACGAGCAACACGAAGAGGCGCGTTGAGACATTTCTAAACGACGCAAACATGTCAACACCGGATAATAATGGCACATCCCGCAAAAGAAGGCGCGTTACGAATCACGATGCCACCTCCCCAGCCAACTCCAAGACCACGCCTATTCTTCTCTGTGACGACGATGAAGATCATATAACGCCCTCGAAGAAGACGTCATCATCTGCAAAGTCCAAGAAAGATCCAGCGGAAAAGCGTCTGCGTCGGTACCGGGCGAAACCACCTCAGACCTTCCTAGCCAAACTCTCTCGCGCCCAGACACAGCGCATGATCGTTCTTTCGCGCACTCGGACATCCGCTGTAAGCGAGGACATCGCCATCGTTGGTAGTACGGGAAACATCTATACTGTCACCATTGGCCATCTGCCGAGCTGCACCTGTCCTGATCACGGCAAGGGCAACGAATGCAAACACAAGGTCTACGCTCTGCACACGGTCTTACGCGCCCCGGACCACCTCGTCTACCAGCTCGCTCTCGTGACCGAGGAACTGGAGTCAGTCTTTGCTGCTGCCCCGCCCATCCCTACCGACACAGTCTCCGACGACGACAAAGACACCGCCACCAGCAAGCGCAAACCCATCGAGGACGGCAGCGAATGCCCCATCTGCTACATGGATATGCTCGGCACAGAAGAGCTGGTCTGGTGCAAAGCCGCCTGTGGCAACAACATGCACAAGAACTGCTTCGACCAATGGGCCGCCAGCCAGCGCGGCCAGACAGTCAAATGCGTCTACTGCCGCACGCCGTGGGAGGTGGACGCCAGCGATCTAGCAAAGATGAAGACGCAGGGTTCCGTGGGCCCAGACGGGTATGTCAACGTTGCCGAGCAGTTTGGCTTGAGTGGACAGCGCGACTACAGCAGCTATAATTCCTACTGGGTGCGTAGGCAGTTTGGCGTGGGGTACTGAGCCCTGCATCGATGAGGGAATCAGCAGTAATTGGCTGACGATGACTTATGACCAGGAACGACTAAGGAACACGGCACACAGCACACAGCCTGGTAGCAGAGCGGCGATCGAAGATACGCTGCCCGCTCGCCTGCACGATACGACTGCCAAACGAGGCACAATACGCCTGCAATCATGTACCACCACCATCATCACCACGACAGATAACACATCCCTCTGGACAGAGAACGTATAGATTCATGGTGCAGCTCGCAAGAGCCGGACAGGCAAGGCATACTGCCAGCCGGCGAGGCAGGTCGCTAGCCAGCTATAGTTCTTGATGATTCAAGTTACTCGACCACATTCAATCGATCGATCAAGCAGGCAAGCAATCTGTAGAATGGAATCGATGAAAAGCGTCTCTCGGATCTCTCTTATTCTGCGTGTTCTCGCGACAACCATAGGGATTGTCGCCCTGTAGCAGTACGATCGATATGGAGTCTGTCTGCATCCGCCCATCGATTAGTATTTACACCCCCATCCTATCCTACTGTAGGTACCTTTCCAACGCCCTCGCCACGGAATACTTTTCCCCGCCTATGGTACTGACATCTATGCCTTCTCAGCTCCCTAGAAGTGTCTACTCCCGGTTGTGTCGCTGTCGCAGGAATCACTCCCCAAAGATACATTAGCTTTTTTTCTTCGTAGCCCATTATCCTGATGAGCAAGCGAGATCGTGGCTCGTATGCCCAAGACGTAATTGCTACTCCAAAAAAGCAGAGGATCCAAACTGCTGTACACCATACTGAGCTCCCAATCGAAAACCCGCACTGTTCCCTCCCACAACATCGCTGGCAGAAGGGTATCGTAAAAACAAAAGGCCCGAATATAGGAAAGTCGTAAACTCCGTAAAGCTGTCTCCTCAAAAGAATTCAGAAGCAGAATGAGAGGCGCCGTTCTTCTGGCCGTCAATACCAGGTCATGCCGGCGGTAGAGTAAAGGCTCAGGCGATTCGACGAGCTTCCAGTTCTCAATGGTGTTTGCGTCGTAGTCCTCGTCGTCGTGGATGAATCTGTCGTACTCGTTGTAAAGTCAAAAGTATAAAAGCTGTGCCGCCTTCTGCGGCGCTCTTTCCAGCGCTGTATAACGCCGCCCTATGTGGCTTCCACCGGCGAAGGTGGTGGTATCGGCGAGGCGGTCGACTTGGCACGTCCCAGATGGGTCCAGGCCAACAAGTCAAACTTCTCTCTTGTGCCGCTACCCTCGGGATTTGGACTCAGCTTGGCTGGCGCAGCGACCTCTCTCGGCTCCAGAATCAGACTTCTCCTATAGTGGTTCTGATAGTTCTTCTCGCCATTGCTTCGGACCTTGATGAGCTGGTCTTGCATCCAAGTCTGCAACTCCGACACTTCCTGAAAGCGGTACGGAATTTGGAAGCGTTGTAGATCGGAGATAATCCGGGCTGTCTTCATATGCTTATCTAGATTGATGACTTGCACAGAAGTATTCTGGTTGTTGAGCTGTCGAGTGGCCGGGTTGCCGTGATCGACAAAGGTCAGATCCGTGAGATACATGCCAATAAAGGGAAGACAGGGAGGCACTTGATTCTGGAGAGTTTGTCGCAGAGCTGAATAGTTCCGAGTGTGGTCGGTGACCTTCTTGAGCTCCTCGATGGTAGTCTTGGTCTTCTGCGAGACCAGATCCCAAGTCTTACGCATGCGCTTGATGTTGGTAGAGTCAAGAGAGCAAACAATAGCAAAGACTGAGTCGTAGTTGTTGAGATCGAGGCATCTCTTGGCAATTTTGGTCCACTGCTTGATGAGTAGAGCTCGTTTCTTAGGATCCTCGAGCTGTAGAATTGACTCCGAGACCAGATTGGATATGTCGGTCGAAAGGGTCGACATGGCTCGGACGTTGACCGCCAACGAGCTCGACTGTTTGGTCCATTCGGTAGCCAAGAGCTCCTCTGGCAAAATAGAGCAGAAGAGCTGGGACGTCTTCAACGTGATCTGGCGTGCGAGCTCCAGCGGGTCAAAGTCGTGGATGCTAACACTGGCACCACCTGACTTCCAGGTGCGAAGTGCCGTCAACTGGCTCTTGGAAAGTACTGGATTGGGCAGAGGTACTGAGGGGTTAATGTAAGCTGCCGACGAGGTGCTGGTCTTGCCAATAGCAGACTGCACTCGAGGCACTGCAGGTGTGTGAGTGGATCCAACCGTCTCAGCAAGCTCAAGCAGTCTCCTGCTGGCCGTTGGGATGACTGGAGCAAGGTCTTCTCTCGCAAAAGCGATGATAGCTGGCAAAGCATGATCATCGCAGTCATGACGCCAGTGAGATTCCAACCATCCTTTGAGCACGTTGTACACACGGAGCCTGACAGGGCCTGACATCGATGCATCACCGGAGTACCTGAACCGCCAAATGAGAGCGGCGACAAAATCCTCGGGTTTCGCAAATAGACGGAACGTCAAATAGACGGTAGCCACGAAAAGGGCATCGGGCGTTGAATCGGGTGCCGTCAACTTTTCCACGAGTGCGTGGAGCGTGCCACCGATGAGTTGACCATCTCGGTTGTACATGAGTTCGTGAGCATATGTCTTCTCGAGGACCACAGCCTCGCCTTCATCTTCCGGCGCGGCATTAGAGGAGTGGACCAAGGATTCCTGAGACGAGAAATGCGCCGAATTTCCATCTTTGTAGGAGGTGCCAGCAGTAGAGCCTGTCGACATATCACTCGGGTCATTAGTATTATGCGATGAGTCGGAAGCACTCTCACTGCTGCTGGTACTTTGATTAATGCCTCGTACCAAGGACTTGTGTCGTAAATGGCCAACTGGGATGGCGTATTCATTAGAGACTGGTCTGTCAAGCTGAATAGGAGAGTGTAAAGTTGTTTGTGAGGAAGTGCTTGGTAGAAGGGTGCCTGTCGGGTGGTCATCCGCGGGCGTGGGTGGGACGCTAGATGCGATAGTAGAGGGCGACTCGCCTCGATGGCGCGATAATTCTTCCTCCTCGGGGATGTTGAGCCAGGGCAGATCGTGCTTTGGTTCTTTGGCGCCGGAAAGTCTATGGCCAAGGCTAGAAGTGGAGTGATCATAGGATGTGCGTGCCGGAGTCTGTGTGCTGCTGGAACCACTGCTCCGTTCGAGCTGGCCGGGCTCGATCTCAAAGTCACCCTTCTCTTCGAGAACAGCCCGCGTGCGGGCAATGCACCGGCCGGCTCCGCTAACGCAGTTGGTGGCTGCGTGAACAAGGCGCCTTCCTTCTTCGGGTAAATATATCAATTCGTCGTCTTGTGAATGAAGAGGTCGAAATACTTGCTCCGCGGCCCGAACAAGCTCCGTTATGGCATCGTACAGGGAATCTTTTGAGTCGGTGAGGCTGTCGGTGTGCGCCAAGGCACGGTCAATAACAAGCTCCACCACTGAGAGAAGCGCGCGACACGACTTGACTGCCTGCTGGGTGGTGAGTAGAAGCTCCGAAGACGAGCGGGATTGCATGTGCGAGCCCAAGAACGAGGCAAGCACGCCTAGAAAGGCGTCGTAGGAGGAATTCAATTGCTCGGAGGCAAGGTGTAGCTTCTCTGATCGATCCGGTCTCGAGGTATATGACATGCGATGGGTGATGGAGGCGCGTTTGTTCTCCGTGTGGGGTTGCCCGGGGGATTGCGGCGCCTGATATGACAGCCTGGCTGCGGCAGAAACTCGTCGCGCTTCGGCGGTTGTTGTTGCGCTGAGCTTGCCCGACTCTGGTCCAATGTCGTTGAGGCCGGACAGGCTTCTAGCAAAGGCAATCTCTTCACCCCAGATGTCGAAGAACTTGACGGCGCGCGTCACGATCTTGAAGGCCTGAAGAAGCAGCTCGTCGAGTAGGCCGTCAACAAGAGCCTCGTTCTCCTGGGACATGGATTGCAGCTGCTTTCCCGCTTTGACAAGAAGGGACAGATCCGAAAGCAGGCCTTTGCGCGTCCTCCGAATGCCATCGTGCCTCCGGACATTTATCGAGTCCCTGGTCAAGCAGTCGCACTTTTCGAGCAAATATCGCACCCCTGCCACGAGACCGCGCATATAATCCTTGTTCTGAAAAATGGCTAGATTGGAATCAGAGCTGCATCTCATGATGTCCCAGAATTCAGTCAGGGCGCGCAGGAGTGGGCGCATGGCTGTGTAATCATACGCTTCGCAATAATTGGTGGGCAGCCAGCCACGCTCCCCCGTCTCAAGCAGAGTTCCATCAGCCCAGCCATTTGTGTGTACGGAGTGGATGAGGATTATATCGCCCGAGTTCAAAGGTAAGGTGACGGTGGATGGAGATGGCGATGAGGCGGGCTGGAATGGATATGCTGCTCGTAGGTAGTTCTGGAAACGAGCGCGGGCGGGGACGGAAGGGTCGGCGGTGGGCTCGACATTGTGCATGTGAATGTGGTTCTGACGAGAGGGTGAGTCGGGACTGAACTTGCGAATCTGGAGCGGGGCGACAAAGATATCGGATTGTTGTTGATGCTGCTGCATCGTTGAACGGTTGAGATCAGTCGACAGTGGTTGTCATGTCGCGACTAAGGGCGAGGCGAGCAAAGGGTCTGGGGCTGAAAATCGCAGCACTGTCAGTGAGTGTTGTGTATTTTTGTGTTGGAATGCATCGAGAGTTTAGATCGGCATGAGGGACTGCGGCGGCAAGGCGTACCATTGAGCGGAACAGCCTCCCTTGACTAGGCTCTGTGAGCGACGAATGACCTCAGCGACGAAAGAGTTGAGCGAGTAAGGAGGACTATCGCAAGGGGTGGTGCTGTCGATTGTCGAGGTCGAGTGACAGGATCGAGGCTGGCACGGATTGGTGGGAGTGGTAGCTGGGACGCAAGGACCACGAGCGACAGGAGCACAATGCGGAGCCGCAGATCCGACAGCTAGGATTATACTATATTGCTGGGAAGGAGCGACTGTGGTCGGATGTAAGGGAGCACGTCGACCGGTGACTGAAAACGTCGTTGGAGTTTCGAGGAGTGAAGTGGGTTGGTTGTGTTTAGGAGAGAGACTGGTGAGGATGGGCTGAAGCAGCAATAGCGGCAGCAGTATTGGCAGTAAAACCCATGAATTGCCGTAGCCGTGGTCCCGCGAGCCCGCTTCGAGGCTTTACTGTGGTACCTTTCCCACCAACAACGGCCGGTCAGCGAGAATTCAGCAAGGTGTGGCGTGTTGGCGGAGAAAGGCCGAACTCAATCAGCAGTACGTACATTGGTCTATTGCAAGTTAGAAGCTGAACGACGGCGGCGACCTGTTGCTGTCCTCCTTACCCACAGGGTTTGCTCCTTGCTCGTGGTTACCGACTCATCGATGGACTCCACCCTCGTCACTGTGCTCTGGTGCCGTGGATACCGTGAAGCACAGTGGCGTGGTCCGTCAAGCTACTGCGAGCAGTCGATGGCCGGCTTCACCCTACCAGGGTACGGCTTTCGCTTACAACGGCGGGTTGGGGCAAGGGGCGGCCAGCGCTTTCTGGTTTGTTGCAGTGCTCCGGGGAGCAGCTTAGCCCCAATTAAGCGCTGTCCTAGTGCCACCACTAGGCCTTTGCTCCGATACCCTGGGCGTCCCTAATTCGGCATCGATATTCAAGCAACATGGCACTGTCTCATCGCATCCCGTGGAGCTACGGTGGTGTCGGTTTGGGATCATCCCTCCGTCACGCGTCCCAATCGTCCAATCTCGCCGACTGAATCGATAAGGCGATGGTCGTGCTTAAGCATCACTCACAGCACTCGAGTCATCTTCGCTGCTTGAAACAGTATCACAGTATCACCGACACCCCAGTTCATCACCGCGCGCCAACCAGTAATTTCCACCACCACGACATTTCACAATTTCGAAGCCGATACCCAATCATCGTCCAAGCCATCCACCGAAAGAGGTCTGGCGACAGCGTCCGTCCATGCCACTTATCGTCGCTTTTCCGTGCCCCTGGCCCTGTCAATCTCGGGCGATAGCCTGCCCTCGCCGGGGATTATCTTCAAATCGCAGCTTTTTCTTGCTAGCGTCCACTCATTGGTCCTTTATAGCAGGTCGATGCGCTTCCAGCCGCTCAAAGCAGGGGCCCCAAATTCGAGAAGCTGAACCCAATCTTCAGTTCCCACTCTCGACGCCACCCTAACCGCCGTCGGTGCGATCCTCGATCCCTCCTTCTGTCGCCCACGCAGTAACAATGTTAACAATGATGGATCCTGCTAGGTTTCAGGCTGTGGGAATCATCTTCGGCCACTCACATCCGCGCCTCCGGACGGACATCGATCCGATCGCCGGCGGGCTCTTGACGCAACAAGGCTTTTGACATGAGTCCGTCCGGGTTTGACACTACCCCTCAGTCCTGCCTGTGCACAGTTTTGTGCATCAACGGCCCACATGTTCCTCGTATACTCGCTGGGTTGGGCTTTGAGATCGTCCTTCAGATCGCCTCCAACGTGGCATTGGATGCTCTATCTCCCCTGCGCAAGGCTGGGACCTATACAACTGATAATGTAATGCTAATGCATGGCATAGGGTCAATAGTCAATCGAGTATGCCAGATCGATGTGTTACAGTTGGCGACATCTAAGCAGGAAGCAAGGAGATGCGTGACACCTGTCGAGCAGATATTTCGCCGCACCATCCACGCTTACCAGCCTAGGCGGTGTCAGACGGAGGCTTCGGTCGGTACACCGAGCTTTGTGCAGGGCCGGTCATACAACGACAATTGTGAGAATGTCTTCATCGCCTTGTCACAAGGAAAACGAGCGGAGGCTATGCTATGGTATTGGCCTGCCACCAGACCCCTGGAGCCTTGACGTCCTCTACACTTGGGCGGGTCAAACGTGCCAAAGCCGGGCAATTTGATCGCAGATCCAAACCAGAGTTCTTTGGACTTCAAGGCCGAGCCGCTTGATTGACGTGAAACTGCCCGTGCTCAAGCGTCTACCACGACCATCTCCCCGTTGTATGCTAACACGTCGGCCTGTGCCTGCTCAAGTACACTGACTACGACCCCGGCCCTGATTGCCTCCGAATTGAGCGCATTGCAGCTCGATGACGTTCACCGTGTGCATGGAACGGGCACGCTTTCCCAGAACGAAGATGTACAATCAGGCTCTGGTGCTTCGAGCTGAGCAAGGCCCGCTCCCGGACGCCATGTACACTATATCATCTGTAAATGCACGGGAGCTGGAATGTTGTCCCACTTAATACACACTTTTGAACGCACTTTTGCCTGCACAGAAGATGTTTACGCTGCAAGGAGGGTAAAGGGGCCGTCAACCCCACGCGTGTCGGGCTTCTCCTTGACTGTTGTCTGCCCACCCAACCCCGAAATTGTACAAGTAACCCACGACTTAGCTCCTGATATTTGCCGCACTTCGACGATATGCGACTCCAGCTCCGGTTCCCCGACGTTTCCAACCATTCACAGGCAGTTTCAAAATGCTTCTTCGACGCGATCTTGCCCAATCAGTCAAGTCCAACGACATTCCAGGTTGCACAAAATACCCTTTGTACCGGATCTGATCGATGAAAGCTACCCTCGGCACCGAAGCAGTAGGTGATATACTCGTTCTCGACACAGAGCTGCGCAGTCGATGCTTCCTCTGGCTCCACATGCCTCAAACGTGGATCGAAAAGGCATCCACCAAGGGTCTCTCTCTGACGGCTTGTGGGTCCAGATGCTCCTAAGAGAATTAAAGAACAAGCCTGTCTAAGAGTATCTACGTTTATCAAGAACCTGATGAGCTTCATCTTGGTCAAAGTTCTCCCGACCCCTCTACTGACACCATTACATTGCAGCGACTCTCCCAAATATCCATGCGGCGAATACCGCAGACACAACCAACATCAAACCAACGCCAGATGGAAAGCAATCCTGCCATCCAAGATCTCAGGCAGCCAGCCTCGTCCTCCCGGCTTAGGCGCCGTCATCATGAAAAGAACAGAAACGCTACACCAATGACTTCTCTCACTACGACACTCCCCAAGTTTTTAACGCCGAGGTCCAAATAAAACGCCCGCTCCAGATCCTTGACCAGCTGCGCGACTCATATGCACCGGAATTTCCAATCCCGGTCTCATTCGTATCGCCAACAGAAGCTCTGCCATTTGGCTTGAGACGGCAAGTGACCTACTCTTTCTCAACTCATCGCCGGGGTTTTAGCGTTTCCATAGACATGCTTGCGGCATTCGTCTGCTAGTAATTCCGCTGCACCCTCATCGACGACGAAACCACGCTGTGGACCACGCTGTGCTACGAGGCAACCACAGGTCTCAGACCCTGCCAAATCATGATGCACCCATTGGCGCACGGATGGTTCCACTGCCCGCACCTCTCAGCCTCTCAGGTACAGTCAGGTCCCCGCCCGCACCCCATACCATAAGCACCACTGCTCCTGTCACGAGTCTACCTTAGGCCTTTACTCTTTGTCGGTATGCTCTCTAATAATGCCGCCCGTTTCTTGCATTCTTCTCACGAATCATCATCCTTGCAACCGCAGCCAGGCCCGGAACGTGAGAGCTCGGTAGCAAAGACAATAATAATGTTTCTACACAGTCGCCCTCCTTTCTATCAACGGGTCGATCGAAATGCAAAAGTATGCCCTCAAGGTCGGTCAAAGTAGCCTCCACTTCACCTTCTGCTCACACAGACCTGTATCTTTCTCCATGTTTGTGCAGTGTCAAGGTACACTGCACGATAGCCTTCCCGCCCTCTCGAACCTCACCCACATGATAGTCGGATCTCATAAGTCGTAGCTCATCTCCCATCACATCGCATCGCATCACACAACGCTTCTCGCTCAGCACCTGCCAATGGCTCTGATGCGCTCACTGTACAGCCTCTCTTCGCGCCTTCTAATTTCATCCTAGCTTCTCACCACCGTCCACCCCTCCCTACCCCTCCCCCACCAGCACTGCCCCCATCCCCAACGCCAAACCACCTCCCACCCTCAACACTAACATCCACCACACACCCGGGCTTGACCACACATCCCCTCCCCAGCCTGACCCCGGGATAAATAATACACCCGGCCCCAACCTGCACCTCACTCTCAATGACCACCGGATTCGCCACCCTCTGCGTCGCCCCACCATTCCGATCCAACGAATCACTGCACGGCGCACTGGTGAGGATCGTGGTGCCCGCACCAATCCAGCTGCGCGCCCCAATCTCCACCTTGGCCGCATCGTCCACAAACACGTCGCGGTCGATGTACACGCTATCCATGAGTTTCAGATTATAGCCGTAGCTGCAGCGGAACCCGCGCTCCACCAAGACGCCGTGGCTCAGCACGCCCTTTTCCTTGATCTGCGCGCGGCCCTGGAACAACCCGTCGCGCGACGGGTCGACCACCTTCCACAGCGAGTTGCGGATCTCCTCGTCGTTCTTGGAGGCTGTGAGCGCGAGTTCCGCGTTGTACCGCTCGACGGCGGCGTCGCAGCGGCGGCGTTCCCAGACGAGCGTCGCGTCCAGGTGGTTGTAGCGCGAGAGGCGCGCCATTTTGGAGCGCTCGACGTCTTCGGCGTTGAAGGTTTTGGACGAGGTGCCGCTCGTGCTGGAAGGGGGGCCGCCGCCGGATATGGTGGAGATGGACATGGAGGGGGTGATTTGGTGGGAGTGTGAGGAGGGTTGTGGGGGCGGGTGCGGTGGCGCTATGTCGTACGAGGGACCTCGGCTGTGGTGCGGATAATCGGACGAGTGTGGTGGCTGCTGTGGTGGCACGCGAGCGTAAGAATCGTGTTGTGGTGGTGGTGGTGGTGGCGGAGCGGGAGGATAGTTATGCTGGGAATAGGGGGACGGTTGAGGAGACGGGCCTTGGTAAGCTTGTGGTGGTGCTTGTTGGGGTGGTGGTGGTGGAGGTGGGGGAGGATGATGGTGATGTGGAATCTGCTGCGTCATGGCAGCCGATGTTCCTGGCGTTGGCTGGGTGGGAGGGCGCATGTTTTGTGTCGGTGAGGTTGTCAAGTCACCATTTCTCCTCAGATCAGTGAGGGGAGGGAGGTCGATCTTTGTATTTGATGACGGTTGTGGAGGCTGAGCTTGTTGTTGTGGCCAGGGCTGCCCTTGACCATGTGGTGGACCAGGGTAGCCCGAGGGCCGCGTGTTACGTGTCTCGTCTGAGGTGGACTCGGTCGCATTCGCGGTGGGTTGCGCATGGCCGTGATCGTCCATAAGGGCAGGTCTAGCTTGAGGTGCACTGTACGATGTCGCTGCGAGAGGTGACTCGTTGAGTCGCTGTTGATGTGGTGAATCGACCGGACCAGACTTTGACTGAAGTGGTACAGGTTTAATGCCTGGAGTTTTCAGACCCAGTGCACCACCACGTTGCATATTGACGTTCATGTAGCCCTCACATTCCTGGCCGGCTTTGATGCAGTTTCCGCCTGCACGATGGTCAGCGAGGGTCAACGTCGGGTCGGCGGCACTTACATATTGGCTTTTCTTCGTCGCATTTCTTCTTTCGTCTGCGGCACGTCATGCATCCCGTCTTCGTGCGGTTAGAAAAGTTCCGTTTCCGTGGTTTGTTTTGAGCCGTCGCAGGAGTGACCGGATCGTGTGGGTATACTGCATGAAGAGAGCCATTGGTCGTAGCCCAACGCCGCTCATCTGTGTTGTTGCTTGGGGTGTCGGGTGTGGGAAGATTGTTGGTGTGTCGCCTCTTGGCATCGTGTATCCAAGGCTGGCCGTTGGGATGGATGCCGTTTGTAGGTGGGTACTGAGGAGAGCTTTCATCTACACTCAGCATATGAAGAGCACGATCAGCAACATGTTGGGGAGCCACGTTGATCGCATGGTTCGCATGGAGTGGCGACCGTCCAGCATCGTCGTCTGAGACCGACCGTTTTCGCTTCTGCGACAGCTCGGTACCGTTTGGCGGCGCATGAGCGGGTGACTGTTGGGTATCGATCCTCAGGTCCTCGGTGGGAGACGAGTTGGGGCTGGAGCGCTCACTTCCTAGGCATGGTTAGTTTCTCCAGTTCGAGTGGATCGTGTTGGATCGTACCTGGACTTGAAGGACCGGGACTGTTGCCAGTGACTGTTACTGGGCTGGTAATGGAGTGTTCACTAGGGGACTCGGTCCCTGCTTGCGATGCCACTGTCATAGTGCTGAGCGAGTGGACTGGTGGGTACAACAAGGCTACAATTTGCGGCACGACCTGAGAAAGTCAGGGTAGTTGTAGAGCGACGTCTTGGGGGGTAACACTAGACGGAGAGTTGACGTAGTTGGCTTGGATGATCCTGAGACAAGGGTGGGCGGTTCGAGGATGGTAGCGACGTCGAGGATTTGCTCCTGACGACAATGGACCAGTCAGCTGGCTGAAGCAGATATGACGGCGGCTGTCCAGCGGCCTGGCCTGCGTGAGTTCGAATGGTAGAGCAGCGGGCGCTTAATTCCGTCACTCGAACCAGTGTCAGGAAGCGCTGGAATGGCGTCAGGAGGTGCTGACGAGCATCAAAGGGGTCAAGAGAGATTGATGCGATGACTCGCGAGCGTCGTGGACTTGAGCATAGGCTGTAGGCCAGTTGAACGCGATGATGGTGCTGAGGTTATGGTAACGGGTGATCGGCGCCGTTGAGCCACAAGCGCGATGTCATAGGCTTTTTCCCTTAAGCGCGTCGCTTACCGGGAATCAGATGGCAGGAGAAGCAAGTGCAGCGGAAGTAGTACGCAGGGAACGAAGACTGCGTGAGATGGCAAAGATACAGGTACAGAAACAGAATGAGTTGTTCTGAGTAGCTGTTCGATTCGAAAGGAAATGAGTTGCGGTAGTGCCGGGTGGGCAAAGGAGGAGGAGGAGGATTGGGGAGCTGGCGCGAGCATCATCCAGCGCGAGGGTGGGCGCGGATTACGGGCGCTTGACTCGAGGCGCCTGCCGCCCTCGCGGCTTGACCCTATGCCTGCCGCTGAATGGCTGTGGTCTGATTACGCGTGAGATGACTTGAGGCCAGCAGGACACCGTTAGGGACCTTGTTAGGCGGGGCTGCGGCAGCGCTAACTACACATCTCCCGAGAAGCTCGCATCGTGTACCTGTCTACCTTGTCATAGGGCACGCGCTGCAGCGCTTGTGCGACTGGCGCGGGTCTGGTGCCCGGTCCGGTGCACATGCCGCGACGAGGAATGTATGGCGAGACTGGTCACATTCCAGCCTGCAGATCGAGGGGGGAGGAGAAAGGCGTGTCTGCTTCAGGTTGTCTGCAGCACACCAGCAGCACGAACAGGGGTGCGTCCTCTGCCGATAGTCGATCCTTGCTCAAACTTGGCCCCAAAGACGAGCGCTTGTTGCTTGCCGCATCGGTTGGATGTGAGCGCGTGATGGCTGGCGCCGCGCCTGCGTTAGCGGGCCTCGACTAACGCCTCGCCGAAAGCGATGTGAGGGCCGTGTTTGAGACGATCGGGCGATTGTGCGACGGCTGCGCTTAGGCGAGCCCGAATGTCCGCGGCTAGCGGCTGCACGCGGCTGCAGCGCCTCAGCGCTTACAGCCATGGTTACACAGGATATGCATGTCATTTCCATAGGTACCAGTACATCATATCATAAGCCTTTCATGTCCAACGCTTCCAGGCCTCTCCAAAATCATCGCTCGTGTCCTCCCACTTTCCAATACCAGTGAATCCAAGATTGGAAATTACCGCCAAGCTCGGTCGACCATGGGCACATTGGAAAGGTAGGGTGCAGGACGCGAGCCGCCGAACCAGTTCTTGACACTGATCCACCGTCAGCACGTCGTTGAACATGACGGCACTTCGGCATGCTCGAGAATTGATCATCTCCACAATGCCAGCGGGACACTGCGCGATCCGGCTGATCCATCCTGGCTCAGAGGGTTGTTCTGCCAAAGGAACGTGTCGATGCTCGGTCCACAACTCCTTTCGTAACAAACCAATAAGGATCTTAGGCTCTTGCTGGCATCGCTGGGCTATTACTTCCGGTAGATGGGAGACGCGAATGATGTTTTTGGAGGCCTCGCTTTGTTGGTATCGCAGACCCCATGAATCAAAGTATGCTTGCGCTTCATCGAACAGCCGGGCTTCATCACCGGTGGTCTCAAGAATCAAAGGCTTTCTGAGGGCAACGATACCATCAGAGCACAGCCCTGTATACAACTGCTCTACTTTGACGCGTTCATCGGCGGCATGCTGATCAATAAGGACTAAATTGGGCTCTGATTCTGTGCTAGGCACGAGCGCCAGAATAAATTTCTCATCGACTTGCCCGAGTACCTTGGCACAAGCAAGGTTGCTGGCTGATAAGAGTTGCTCGATGGTTGGTTGCTGGACAACAGATTTGGCATGGTCGGTCCTAAACATTGCAGACAGAGATGGTACAACGACTTCCGCATCCGACGCAAATGTCTTGACGGGCCAGTTGCGAAGTCTTTCGGCGATTTCTTTAGTGCTCGACCGTTGGTTGACTGTGCAGCGACGAGAGTCCGTATGCCCGCAGCGCTGGACTTTAGCAATGGTCGAGTCTTGTCCCTGAGGCCGAGGGGTCGCAGCAGGCACAACGAAACCGTTGCCATTGAGGAGGACGGATCGTCCTGTCTTGGGATTCGTCCAACTCACTGCGTCTTGCTCTGTCGTATCGATGGCACAAGCCACCACATCGTCTTGACCGGACGTCGTGGGATTGGGTGTTGAAGGTTCACTATCGAGTTCCATATCATCGAGCAACAACTGTACATCGGCGTCCAACGGTGCATGCGAATGCGCCAATTCGTGATCATTGTGGAACGGCAAGCCCTCGCATAGGTCCTCGACTTCCGTTGGAAATGCAGATCTGGTTCGGGTCCAGGTGTCAAAGCTTGATGTCCGTGATAATTTCCGTGCTGCACTATGACGCCGTCGAATATCCGTCCTCTTTGCCTGCGATCGATCTCTTGGCTTGAGGTGTAGACTCTGAAGGAGTTGACTCAGAAGGACAGTCAAAAGACCAAGGATATATTGGATGTTGTTACTCGAGGCGTCCTCGCACTCGTTGAGTGAGAGGACATTGGGCACAAGGTCACGGGACCCAGTGTCAATTCTGATGTAGAAGGAAGGCCACCGATCAACACCCTTGACCAGCTTGCCACGCCGGCTTGCCTGTGTAGGGTTAGGCGAAATCGTGCGGCCTGAGTGCCCTTGACGAACACCGTCTGTCTCGTAGACAGCACCGAATTGAGACTCCTCGAAGACCCGGTTGACCCTGTCATAGAAGAGTGCTCCGATACCCGTACAAGGTATCGGTTGCTTACCCACTGAGATAAACTGAGAGTGCTTTGAGGGCCTGGCAACAGTCGAGACTGCGGCTCGTATCGAGATACCACAGGTCTTTGCAGAGGCAAGTCTCCAAGTCCCTTGTTGCGTAGCGTCGACCAGAGCAGCCTGCTTGAAGATACTCTGCATTTTTGTTGCAGAGAAACTCCCCTGAGCAGAGCCTGTGGGTGTGGTCTTATGTTTGTACATCAAATCGGTCCCCTGAACAGACAGTTTCAGTGTAAAGGGCTTAGGTGAGGCAAGTAGATAGCCGACCAGACGCCTCTTCAGCTCCTGGAACTGTTTCACGGTTTCGGCGTGGTTACTGCTTCTGGCTGCCTGGGCTTTGAACCGAACTGGCAAATTGCCAAAGAGATTATGGATGATGACCTTAGTACCGTGGCTTGACATCTCTTGTGCTGTGTCAGTCAAGTCTATGCTGTTGGACGTTGTTCGGGACGGGTGCAGCAATATATTGTGGGCCAGGGAGCCGCGTTCGCGCGAGACGATATGGACAATTGACAGCGCTGAGAGGCTTGCTAGGGCCTGGCCGTTCTTTCCGTAGGTATCGCTTCTGCCACTCTTCGAAGTGCAATAAGGCCGCGCAAGTTGTCGACCAGACCCGAATTCGGCAGCCGGAATTCCCTTGCCATTATCGGTCACGGAACAGAACCCTCTCTTGAAGTTGACCACAACCTCTATGACATCTGCATCGGCGTCCAACGCGTTGCGCAGGAGCTCTTCAACGGCACTGGCAAGGGAGGTGATCTCGACAGAGGACTTGATTTGAGCGCGGACTGAATCCGGAAGAGGCGCAATGGCTAGTGAGCCCGCCATCAGCGGATCAGTGAGCTCACAAGGAGCGCTGACCGCTGACTACGAGCACCAAGGCTCTCTGCGCTTTCGAGGCAGACGGTCGTAATGATGGAATGGAATGGAATGGTCGTGTACCAGTATTAGGGCGGGCGCCACTGCCACTGAGTTCTGGTCGAGCACCGTCGCAGCAGCGAGGCAGGCATGACTTTGGTAGCGGAACACACGCAAAGCTTGAGCGGAATTACACGCGACACCGCATCGTGTACACCGTGCGTCGTGCAGTGCAGTCGTGGAGGAGAGGTAGAGAGGTGATATGTATTAGAGCATGGATTCAATTCTATGGTGCAACAGATCGGGGTGACGTGATATCGCTACGGTGTTGCGTGCGGCAACTCCGCTTCACTTGGCAAGCTTCGTGCTCGTACACAAGTCCATAACACAACTTTGTACAATCATCAGAGCCCCCCTTAGCCTCGGCATGGCACCTCCGGTGGGTAGCTCTTGTTTGCATTCCAGCATCGGCTCTGGCATCATTGACCGAAGCCCAGCCGAGACATTCTAGTTATGTGTGGGCGTTGTCCGCACAAGTCCCTGGTGTCAAACCAACGCCGCGTACACGAGCTGTGTCTTGGAGTACGGCTCATTAATTAGGACCATACAGATATCGATCTACAGGTATAAGAGGAGAGTAAGCTTCGTTGACAGTATCTACAGAACCAATCAGGATGAGGTGGGAGCTGACACCGAGTCACTGACAGCCCCTACGATACAAGCGAGTTGTGCAGATGCATAGAAGGCACAACTAAGACTCTCGGCTCTAGAGGCAGCGGCCGCCGACCTGCCGTTTTCGGAGTGTCCAGCTGCGCCGATTGGCAGCAACAATCCAGTTGGTCATCTCAGTGGCTGTTGTGTTGAACAATGCTGGAGATCTCCATGCAAGACGTGGGGTTAAATCCGCTGGACTTAAGGGTCTCGATTGCATGAATCTCGCGTAGTCAAAATCTTGGGCGTCCTCTTGTCACAGATTAAGTTGTCTCTACGTCCTCGCCCTCCTTTCACCGCAACAGACTGTCGGTTAGGTAACCGAACCACTGCTTAGAGGTTAGATGCGGTGCCTCCGTACATCTCTACCGCATTGGATATCAAGATCTGTCCAAGCCTCAAGCGGGAGCTTGCTCTGACACTCACCCCAGCACTGTTCCACCGTGACCGGCTGTCAATTTGCCGGACTGGGTCGCAAGTGGGGCCTCGCCTAGAAGCCGGAGGATACCAGGGTACCGCCAACGCCATGTTACAATGTTATTAATATTCCGCGAGATCCTCTACTGAGAAGCCATCTACCACGCGTTTCATACTCGCAATATCGCGAGCCACGTTCCCAGCCTCAAAGGCTATCCTAGAGCCAAGGCTGAACGCTATAGGGAGTATCTATTCTATACCAGGGTCCGTCTCACCGACTCGCCGTCGCCAGATTACAGCTCTCTTCCCCTACCCTGTAAGTCTAGCATACACAATCCATATGTTTACAAGGCACCCTTTGTCTTCGCTCGTTATTGACACTCTCGTTCACAGCTTGCTCCATGGAGTCAGAGCAGCGGGCATCTGCCCTGCCTGAAGAAAAAGCGCCACTTTCCTCCACTTCAAACACACCCAGCTCCCGCCTATCGACGTCAAATACTCACGATGATCACCCTTCGGAGAACAAGGACGCCGAAGTTGGCATCAAACCCACCTTGACCGAAGCCGACAAAGAAGCCGCCGCTCAGCCGGACCCCGACCCAAACGTTGTCACTTGGGATGGTCTAGATGATCCCAACCGCCCACAGAACTGGACTGCCCGGAAGAAATGGTTCAACATGTCCATCGTTAGCGCCATATGCTTCCTCACCCCACTCGCTTCTTCCATGGTCGCTCCTGGCATTCCCCTCATCATGCGTGACTTCAATCTCAGCAACGAAACAATTGGTTCATTTATCGTCTCTATATACGTCCTCGGCTACGCTGTGGGCCCGTTGTTCATCGCGCCACTGAGTGAGGTCTACGGCCGTCTTCCCGTGTACCATACCTGCAACTTTTTCTTCTTCATCTGGACGCTCGCCTGCGCCTTGGCGCCCAATGTTGGCGGCCTTCTTGCCTTCCGTCTGCTCGCCGGGCTTGCAGGCTCCTGTCCCATCACCATCGGCGGTGGATCCATCGCAGATCTTTTCTCGCAATCAGAGCGTGGCGCCGCCATGGCATTGTTTGCGCTTGGTCCGTTGTTTGGTCCGGTCATTGGCCCAGTGGCTGGCGGTTACCTGTCCCAGGCCGCCGGGTGGCGCTGGGTGTTCTGGGTTCTCACGATCGCTGGTGGTGTTGCCACGGTGTCGGCACTACTGTTAATGAGGGAAACCTTTGAGCCCGTCTTACTTGAGCGCCGGACTCGAAAACTCCGCAAAGAAACAGGTAATCCAGACTTGAGATCCAAACTCGACTCAGGAATCACCAAGAAGGAATTCTTTATCCGCGCCATCGTACGACCCACAAAGATGCTTATCTTTAGTCCCACCATTCTCATCTTCAGTATCTATATGGCTATCGTCTACGGTTATCTCTACCTGCTGTTTACAACCCTCACTCTTGTGTTCGAGAGCCAATACCACTTCGATCAAGGCTCCATAGGCCTGACCTTCCTCGGCATCGGTGTCGGCTCTCTGTTGGGACTCGGCATCTTTGGCAGCTTGAGCGACAAGTTGATGAAGCGCTTGACCGCCAAGCACGGCGGAGAGATGAAGCCGGAGTACCGCCTGCCACCCCTCATCCCAGCTTCTTGTTTCATTCCCATCGGGCTTTTCTGGTATGGGTGGTCGGCCGAGAAAAAGGTCCATTGGATTATGCCCATCATTGGAACAGGCTGGGTCGGTCTGGGCCTCATTGCAATGTTCATGTCCATACAAACGTACTTCGTCGACTGCTTCACAGTATACGCCGCCAGTGCCATCGCGGCAAATACGGTGCTGAGAAGTTTGATGGGCGCCTTCCTGCCGCTGGCGGGTCCGAAGATGTATCGGACTCTTGGGCTGGGCTGGGGCAATAGCTTGCTGGGATTTGTGGCCCTGTCGATGGTGCCTGTCACCTTCATCTTCTATTGGAAGGGAGAGTACATCAGAAAGCATCCCAGGTTCCAAGTCAAATTATAGAACGTCGGAAGAGGACTCCGCAAATGGGAGCATGGAGTTTGAGCTGGACTTGAAAGGATATTTGCATTTTGGAGGTTGGCGTTGGCATAACCGAAGCGTCATGTGTGCCGGGAAATCAGTGAGCATCAGCCTCACCAGGCCAAATAATGAAACAAGGCAAATTGTGCCAGATACCCAGCATTTAGCGTTGGATAGACAAGCAGCTTTCACACATGAAGGCTTATTGGGGTCATCTCCCGCACAGTGCGACTCGGTGCGAATCGTCGGTGTATTTGGCCGCAGGCTTGCTCGAACACACAAACGGACTTCACGGGAGGTACATCTACTCTGACATAGTCTTCCAATTTGCCAGTTCCAAGATTTGTTCAATCACTTGCAAGCCAGATGCGAAAGGGACTGCAATGGAACATGTATATGACATACTTCCGTTGGTGCCAAGAATCCACTGCCTCTTGGCAACCCTTCACCTTCACCACCTTGATGCTCTTTTGTCTTTCTTCGAGCTCGCTAATAGATGTGCATTACGCGTCTGTCGACACCTTGACACGCCCATTTACAACTGACATATCTATCTTCACGCTCCTTGCACACTCTTCCGCTCCTCCTCCAACCTCCGCATCCCTCTAAGCACCCTTAATCTCGCACTCGCAATTCTGCTCTTCGCGTCAGCGCCATTCCTCCTCGAGCTCGCAATACTGTTACCCTCCAGCACACTACTTCTGGTTCGCGAACTCGCGCCATCCACCTCTGAACTCCCAGCCTCACTCCCACTACTCCCGTCCCTCGAAATACACCTCCGCGTCCATAACACCTCCCCCTCCTCTCCCTTCTCCTCCGCCGTCACAAAGTCCGGACCCGCCACCAGACATTCTGCGTGAACCCTCCCCTCAGCTCCCTCTCGTTGCACCTGCACCTGAACCTGCGCCCTACAAGCCTGCACGAACCTACACGTCGCTCGGCCCTGCGGCTCCACATTCGCGGCATGCGCGAGGTTTTCAATCTCACTGCATGGCGCGGAGGGGAAAGGCACGATGGCGATGGAGTCTGGAGCGCTGGGGCAGGGGTGTAAGGTGCGGATGTGGCGGGTGCGGGGGGTCGTGGGCGTTAGGGGTGGGAGGGAGTTGGAGGCGAGGAGGGGCTGTGATGGCGCAGGTGCTTCCTGCTGCAGGGGAGGGGGTGGCGGTGAAATGGGGAGAGGTATGAGACGCGGCGAGAGCGCGAGGGTCGCGGCGACGGTCCTGTCGACGGCGGCGGGGCAGGAGATGATGGTGCGGAGGTAGGTGTGGCCGCAGAGGTGGTAGAAGGCGTGCGTGTTGCACATTTTCTTGCTATGCTTAACGGAATATAATCGTGAGGAGGAATCGCTGGCAATGCCGTCGTGGCGATGTTGATGGTTTCGTCATGTTAGCTGTGCTATGGGGGGACATGATATATCACGACAAAGGGATCTCAACAATAGCTCAGTGGGACAAAGAGTCGTTGTTCGTGCTGGGCAGCGAGTGGGCACCATCCGTGAGGTGTGTCGCGAAGAGACGAACAAAGAGCGTGGCCGCAGCAGCTTTGTGGTTGAGATTGGATGTCCGATGTTCGACGTCTCACGGGTCCCGATACGTAAAGCAGCGAGAAGGCTCAAGAAACAGCCTGGTGTGGTGTCTGAGAATTCTATTGCACGTAGACTTTCGACAGGTTCCAAAAGGCCTACGACGACGGAAGGATCACGATCCTGACTCTGCGCTTTCCCTTCTCTCTTGCCCCACCCTTCTCCTCGGAGCTGACGCGGACTCTGACCTGCTGGAATAGCTCAACCTTCAGACCTTTGGATTGCTTTCCCTTCTCAAAGACCTCGAGACTGTAATTCTCAGCATCGAAGACGCTCCCTCGGACTCCGCCTTCATCGCCTTTGAGCTGAACGTCTTCGAGCTTGACCAAGCCCTCGATACCAAACTGTGGCACGAAGACTACCACGCCATTCTCGAAGACTCGCATCACGTATCCGTCAACATCGATTCTGCTATCCGGGGCTTTCTCGCCCCGGGCTTTCAATGCCTGGCCCACGTAGTACTCGATGCTCGCTCGACCTGCCATCTGCGCGTTGCGGTGCCTGAAGTTCAGGTTTGAACACACCTTCTCGAGCTTCGACTTGTTGTGTAGCCCCTCATCGACCCTCTCACTGCCCATACCATCGTAGCCGATGGCGTATGCCAGTTGGCGATGTACAAGTAGATCTGCATATCGCCGAATGGGAGATGTGAAATGTGTGTAGATCTCGCTAGCCAATCCATAATGCCTGAACTCGGGCTCGGCATGCTCGCCGCTACAGAAATACTCAGCGGAGGTCATGCAACGAGTCGCGATGATTCGAACGAGCGTGTTGAAATACGGGTGTTGCGGGTCAACGCATTTGTCCAGCGAATCAGCTAGAGACTTAGAGCTAGATACATCCAGTTCAAAGCCGCGCATGCGCTTCAGTTGTTCGGAGAGGTCGGCAAAGTTGCTCGCCGGTGGCGTTGCGTGACGTCGTAGTAGGGCGGTCTGTGGGAAAACGGATTGGATTTTGCGAGCCACCGTGATGTTTGCGAGCAGCATGAACTCTTCAACTAGCGAGTTCGTCGCAAGTGATGCTTTGGTTTTGACGTCCGCGACGGGGTCGGAGCTTTCGTCGCCATCGGCCTCGATACGGACTTCTGGGGATGAAAGATTGAGCGCACCAGCCGCCATGCGTTGCGCCCGAAGTTTCTGAGAGAGCATCAATAGTGTTCGCATGCTCTTGGTTAACTCATCGTTTGCTGCTGAATCGTCGATCCGGTGTTGTGCTTGTTCGTAGGAGAAAGCCTCGCGAGATCGAATGACCGATTTGGTGAAGTTCGCCGAAACGACTTCGGCATCTGGCGTGATCTCCCAGATCGTTGAAAAAGCAAACCGCTCAACGTACGGCTTCAAAGAGCACAGATCCGTTCCAAGTAGCATAGGCAGCATGTCGATCCGCTTATCTACAAGGTATACAGTGGTTCCTCGTGCGGTAGCCTCAGCATCCATAGCATTACTTGGCCGCACGAAGTGTGAGACGTCTGCAATGTGCACACCCACTTCGAAGTTGCCGTTCGGGAGTGGCCGAGCGTGAAGTGCATCGTCAATGTCTTGACACTTTGGAGGGTCGATTGAGCAGACCAGGAGCTCGCGGAGGTCGCGCCGGCCCTTCCACCCAGGATCCTCTATGGAGGAAGGCACGCGCCATTCATGTCCTTCTGCTGGCAGGCAGTCAAGGACCGCTTTCGGGAAGGGACGATAGGCTACATCGTATTCCAGGAGAAGTGCTTCCGTTTCAGCTTCTTTCGTTTCGAGTTCACCCAGCGATCGGATGTAATGTCCCACCGGGTATCGACTGTCTCGGTCCCAAGTATCGATGGTTGCTAGGAGTCGTTTCCCAATCAATTCATTTGCCTGGCGAGTCCTTATCCTGACTTTCGGTATCCGCTTGTCCATGGGCATCAGGAAAACAGTCGTCATGCGTCCACTGGATGTAGCAGCCTTGGAGTCAATGGTACCCACAAACTGCCGCCAGTTGCGCTTCGAAATGCCAACCACACGAGCTGTAGGTTGAGCCCGGTTTTCGCTACTAGCAGAATGTGCCTGCTTGACCTCTTCTTGCAGCGCTCTCCTCTCAGCCTCTGTTTCTACCAGGTCACCAGTTTCTTCATTCTCTGCATTCTCATTCGGATTCGCCTCTTCCTCATCCATGACCCTCGTTGAAGCTGATCGCCACTGATCCTTGGGCAGGATCTCAACAACGACATTATCGCCGGACACGGCTCTGTTGCTGTCCTCCCGTCCCAGGATGAGCAGAGGCTTGTCAAAGGACGGCACTTTGACTGTCCCTTCGAGGTAGTTGTAAGTGGATACATGGAATATTCCTTGGTGGAGAGTGCCGTTCTTGACGCCGGTGGTCATCTTGGACGTAGAGAAATACTCTGGATAGAAGAGCTCGCCGGTCAGCTGACGATTCTCTTGTCCTTCTGCTACCATGTCCAGTAGCCGGTCTGCATCGTCTAGCCCCGAGACATATTCCCGTAGTGACAAAGCGACAAGCTTCTCAGCCTTCGCCTTCTTCCGATTCTCTTGATCATTGGTGAGTATGACGATGGCTGGCATCTTTTTCGTCGTGGTTGCAGCCAGGTGAGATGTGTACCATTCAGCAGCCTTGCGCACGGCTCGATCATTGCGATCGTTTATGCTCTCCCCCTCTTTACGCTGTACACTGGTCTCGGAACGAAATTCGTTGAAAAAGAGGTAGAATCGCTTCTCGTCACTTTTGATCAGGGCCATGAGCCGATTGAAAAGCGGGAGGGATCGATTCCGCAGCTCTTCCAGGACCGTCTGGAGGACGATGACATCGTGGAAATGGCTGGCCTCTTCAAAGAGGTCCATGCTAGCGAGAAGGACATTGGTATCGGGAATGAGGTAGTGGCCATCAGGAAATTGTGTGGTGACAGTAGGGCGCTTTGAGAGTACGAAAGGTGCAACCGAACCCGTCGAGTCCGTCGCCGCGATAGTCGTGCATTTGGTACATAATTGTGACGAACAGGGTATGTCTTTTCTCAGGTATTGTTCACGGACGACCTTTTGAACCTTGCCGCTTTTCGTGGATCGAAGGAAGACCTTGCTGGAGATGTGTGCAGCATTTGGGTCGGACGCGAGCCCACGCTTGAGACTCTTCATTTCTTATCGTGCGGCAAAGGAATCGCACACTGCACGAAAGGACGCTGCTGAGCACCTGCCCCTCCGCAGTCGATAAAGTCGTCGTTAAAATGATGCACGGCCCGAGGTTTTTCCGACGCGTACATGCCAAGACTTTGTGCTCGCGACAACGGACTTCAGTGCCTCCCGTCAACATGAAGTACCCAGGCAATTGGTACGAACTTGCGACGCAGGCCGAGGTCGCGATGTGACGGGCTCTGTGTACGACTGAGTACGGAGGATCTTTGTTTTGGTGTACTAAGCCAACAATGGCCATCACTGAGTGGAACGGCCTCTGCCGACAATCACTCATTCTGCGGACTACCCCAAATGACTTCGTCAAAATAGTCCAGGGCAAACAGCCGCTCGACGGCAAGACAGTGCTCAAGTCCCTTCTCGAGTGCAGACAGTCACTCTATCCGCCCTCCGATCCTCTGCCTCCGCGCTATCTCGAAGCCATCGTAACCTCCCACATCGCCTCTTTGTCCGACCTGCTGGTAGTACTCATCAGTCGATGGAATACACTCTGCCGTACAGACCCCCCGCATGCACCCAGCTATGCAGACACTGCGACATTGCAAGAGCTCGCAGTTTTGATCATCTCATCTAGGCTTGTTCTTGACCATACCCAAATTCAGAAGTGTTTACTACTTGCAGCAAGATGGCTTTCAGCCCTAGTCAAAGCGGTAGGCCAGGACAATAATTCGCCAGCAAGTAACTTTGTGGAGCCACTTGGATCCTTTTTGGCAACCCTCTGTGCCACCAACAGTGGGATCGAGATATTGTCGGAGAAAGAGGACGACAAAATAAGTCGGGTCGCAGATGCTGTCCGACAAGGCGTTGAAGCGACGTTGGGTTTATTCCCGTCAGTATCTGGCCAGCTTATGGAACGACTGGGGGAGGTCCAGAAGCATATTGCAATGTTCGGAGACGGGGCGTCTTCCGACATGCAAGCGCTGCAGTTCCAAGCAGGCGTTTCAGAACTTCAAATGGCGGCATCGAGAGCTGGTACTGTAGCCCTACTTCAGAGTTTGCTATACACAGCTCGCACGGTCGACGACACTGTTGTCTTCAATTTTCTCGCTGGTCGACATGATAATGATTTCGCATCAATGTTCCTCGATCTGGTCTTTGCCTCCTTTCTGGTCCTGAAGCAAAGTAAGAACCACGGTCTCCAGCAGTCTGATCATTATATCCGAAACAAATTACCTGCCATTCTATCCCAGATTTCCACGTCATCCTTCGAAAGCTTTTCTGCTGAGCAAGCATTGATAGATGCTTGGCCTCAGCTTGAGCTGGGCACCGATCTCCTCGCATGTGGGCAGAAGTTCGTGCATGTCTGCTCGCTTCATCATCTCTTGACGGACGAAGCTTCCTCAAATCTAATAAACGACGAGGACTTGGTCGGATCGCTCACCAAGTCTCTCCTTCTGAAAGATGAGCTCGTCTCCCAGCTGACAGGTAGCCCTTCACGGGCGGGGAAGCTCGTTGACGAGATGATGAATGCCGATGGCAATGGCCCCAGCATCAGTCAGGCGCTGGTCGAGGTGATGGTGGCCTATGCACATAGCAAGGAGACCCACCATCTAAAGGACCTGGCCAATATTCTTCTGCGAAAGCCAGACGCTATCAACACGATGGCACTTTACTTGCGACCCTCTTACTGGATAGCGCCGCTGTGCACGTTACTAGATGAATGGCGGTGGGACGAAATCCACGGTGAATCTCAACCTCTTTACGACGAGTTCGGGAGCATTCTGCTGCTCATTCTGACTACAAAGCGTCGTCTGGACCTCACAAGTTCCGAGCTCGGTGTTAAGGGCTTCGTCGCTCGCTATCTTGACCAGGAGGGCGTGGAGAAAACAGTCGCGGAGCTGTCAGAACCTTCACAGAGACACCTGGGTGACTGGATCAATGCGTTGTACATTGCTGAAGGTCTGAGCGACGACTTAACTACAGATTGCAGTCCCCATGACTTTTACACTCTTGTGCCCACATTAATCAGGCAGAGCGTCTTGGCTCAGCAGACCGGCAAGCTAAGCTCAGAGGCGCTCAAAGGTGGACTAGAGTATCTGCTTGAGCCATTCCTATTGCCATCATTGGTATCTGCTATGACATGGGCGCAAGAGCATGTCTCAATTGGCAAAGCACTTATGCCCATCTTCACGAAACAAACAGGCAATGAGATCCATCAGACCATCCTAGCCATGCTCCAGTCGCCCAGCAATTTCACCTTCGAGAAGCTTGAAAAGACAGACCTGCAAGCTCTCCAGCAGAAAATCTCCGCAGCTGTCACCAATCCAGCAACGACCGTCTCGCTTCGCTACGCTCTGCAAGTGTTCGGTGCTGAGGCTGTTCTGAAGTGCATTCTGGACGTCCTGCTTCAGTATTCTGGCACCGAAGATTTTCATTTTGCTCTAGACCTGGCTGCGACCTTGGTTTGTGTGGCGGACCTCCGTGATGCCGTACGGCTAAAGCATGCTGAGCTTGGCCAACTTCTGAAGAAGCGTGACACGCTCACCGCTGAGGCTACTGTTCACTTATATCGCCGAGTTGAAGCATATTCAAGCGTATTTGTGGTGCAAGAAACGAATATGGACATCATCTCACTGCCACATATCGATCCATCGGATGCCAATCAGGAAGGGAATCAAAATCAGGAACAGCAGATGGACGACATTGATCAAGTACTCAACGAGTCAGCAGCAATGAACGCCATGGATAGCGGTCTTGAGGGTGCCATGGATGATGGAATGGGTCAAGGCGATAACATGGATTCCTTCTATCTACAAGACGATAATATGGGCCTTGGAAACTTGGACGACCTTGACTTGGACATGTTTTGAGCGCAGAAGGACATTCTGACACTCCGATGGGGTGAATGGTCTCAGCAAGCTCCTCTGCTTCTGATGTGTCGGCACATTGTCGGCGAGCAATCGGCATGCCAAGCGACAAGCGTTTCAGCCACTTAACAGCTCAGCGGTACTCCGGACATGCACCAGTCCATGCGTGCATCTATACTCGAAGCGATAGCCGAGGCGCACCTTTGATGTAAGTCAGAACGAGGGTTTGCGTATCGCTGCAAGGTGCGAACTCTGTACCTCGTGATATACCCCGCGCTTTATTCACGGAGCAGTGTCCTGATCAGGTATACATCCAACATCCCTGCTCTGGATCTACCTATATGATCCTTGTACATGTGCATGAATGCTGTGGTGGAGACCATCCATTCTTCGGTGCAGCAGCTGACACGTACCTAACCTAGAGCACTTGGGGTCTTATGAACCTTGGTCCGATGCACTCCTGCGCGAGACTGGTGAGAAGCAAGCTCGGACGATACACCGAGCTTGGCAGAACACTCGTCGACACAATGGCGTTGTTTGTTCGATTGACTGAGCGAATCAATTCTCAATGCGACCACCAGAAACCGAGGCTCCTATTGCAAGAGCCGCCATCTTGACCGATCGACAGGCAACCAGGCGGCCATGACAGGAATAGCTCAACCAAGAGATTCGCGAGGAGGCTTGGCTGAATCTTGGCTATACCCTTACCCCTCCGGTGTCGACGCGAGACAAGAGTCGACTCAGCGAATGGCCTCAGCCCAGGCTACTATCTGGCTGCTCGGGTGTTTGCTCCAGGGTCCTCAGCCCTTGATTCTTTCCTGCATACTGAGTCCTGCGTCAGTCAGCGCTCTTAGGTGCCAATGAACTTGATACCCCTCCCCGATGTACCGAGGTGGTGTCGCGACCGCGCGCACTATACTGGCCCAAGCCTGCACTTGTCAGTCAGCAAGATACACTATCTTCAATAGATCGGCACTGTTTGGGCAACACCGCTTTCCGTCGGCTATGTATAAAGTCGCCTCGATGTCCGAATGTCTGAAAGTCGTCCTGCAGTGCTGTACTTTAGGACTTGCGTTTCCAACTTGCTTACCATACGACAACAGTCTCTTCTCTTCGCAGTCTGACCATCCAGTTTCACCATTATCAATATGAAGTCTGTCTTTGTCATTACAGCTCTTGCCTGGATCGTGGCCGCTACGCCAATCCCCAATCCTGGCCTTGCCATTGACCTCGAAGAAGTTGCCTCCGTTGAGGCTCGTCGAGTGGTAGGCATAACTGCTGATGAGTTCAAGCAAGGTGGTTGTCGCGACGTCATCTGGTTCTTTGCTAGAGGTTCGACCGAAGCCGGAAACATGGTAAGCTTACTGTTGATCCCCATTGGCGCTCGGGAATGGTGGATACATTTCGGACTCTGTTAATGTCACAAGTCACTGAACACATCTTGCAGGGCACTATAGTTGGTCCACCAACAGCAAGCGCGTTGAAGCGCGTGCTTGGCTCCGATAACGTTGCGATTCAGGGCATTGGTGAGTCCCCAGTCTTTGCTCGCCCGGGCCCTGCAATTGTTTGTGTCGATGAAGCTGCTCTTGGGGTTACTTGAAACCTAGCCGACGAAGGTGTTTCCTGAGCAGCAAAGACCTCGTTTCTCCAAACCCTTACGCTATAACACCCCAATAGATCATTCAATCCAGAAACGCTAACACTCGCAGACTATCCTGCCCTCGTGTCCACCAACCTGCTCCCCGGCGGCGCCGACCTTGGGGGTATCCGTGAGATGGCAAGCCTCCTGACGCAAGCCGCAAACGACTGCCCTAATTCCAGCATCCTGGCCGGCGGCTACAGCCAGGGCGCAGCTCTCACACACCGCGCGATCGAGAACCTGCCGGACAACGTCAAAAACGCCATCGATGGTGTTGTCACCTTTGGCGATACCAAGAATCTGCAGGATCGGGGCCAGATTGTGAGTTCCCGCTCATCCCGGCTCCTTGTTTCCCACCGAAGGACAGGACATACTGACCATGCTGCAGCCCAATTTCCCGCGCGAGAAGGTCCGGATCTTCTGCAATCGGGGCGACCTCGTCTGCTCCGGCACGTTGACGATCACGGCAGCGCATCTGACGTATGGGAACGATGCGGAGGAGGCAGCTGCGTTCTTGGCTGGTCGTGTCAATGCTGCAGCTTGAATGGTAGGTAGCAGTATGGCGAGACGCCGTTATGGACTGGAGCGTATTGACCCTCGGGTTGTGTCTGGATGACTGTTCCTCGGACTTTGATGATACGGATGTGATTGATGATGATTCAGTTTTGGGGATCTTTCGATGTGGTCAACCCAGTATCAGTCAGAGGACGTTAGGGGCGCTTGTCTTGGCAATGTAGGATAACAAGCAACACTCTTCACATGATGGTCAGCCAAAACCCGATGTTCTGTTCCATTTCATCTTTATCATGAACAAATTCTTTTACTTTGGATACTGACTTCTGAGACGCAGCGGATCCTAGCAAGTGATCCTTGCTCATCATGATACACTGTCAAGCCTTACGTGCAACATCCTCCACGAGATAATCGCCTCTGCCTTCTTTCCCAGGTTCTGTAGTGCCCAGGCTCGACCGCCTCTTCTCATCCATCTCCAACTCTGCCTCAGCGTACATCGCCTGCTCCGCGTCAGTCCTCTGGTAGTAATGGACTGCCACTTTGTCACCAAAGATCTCTGCAATATCCTCCAGGCTGCGCTGCTTGGTCTCCGGAAAGAAGAAGTAGACGCACAGAAATTCGACGGCGGGCGGAATGATGATGACGAAGTAGAAGCGCCAGGAAATGGCATTCAGGCCGATGGGGCCGGCCACAAGCATTACGAGTGTGCCACAGGAGAGACCTGCCATGGCGATGGCGGTGCCTTGAGAGCGGATATGTGTTGGGAACTGTAAGTTGAAGTGTCAGCAGAAGCTCAACGGAGAGCTGACAGCAAGAGAGCTTACAATCTCGGCGGCGTAGAGGAATTGTGTCGCATCAAGGCAGGAAGCCCAGAAGAAGATGAAAAGGAATATGCTACATTAACGTCAGTGACGAAGTGCTGAGCTGGGAGGGATATCGTACAAGAATATGGCGGCGTTCTGCCCTTTCTGGTTATCTGTTCCAAGATACGTGGCTTGCAGGGCGATCTCGAATGTGTTGCTGAGGGTGCATCCAGCAAGGCCTACCAGTAGCAAGATTCGTCGGCCAATCTTGTCCACGTACAGCGCCGTGAAGATGTTGAGTGGCAAGGTGATCGAAACCCAGATGGCGTTGAGCAACAGGGGCATCGATCCAGTCATTCCCACGGACTCATAAAGCAAGACTCCGAGATTTGCGACGATCAAGACACCCGTGAATTGATTGCCAAACATAAGGCCGAAGGCAAAAAGCGCGCGTTTCCGGTTCGCCGGGGTCTTGAAGACCTCAAATTCTCCAGTTCGCTCTTTGATGGATCGATCCAGCGCCAGTTGCTTGCGCATCTGGTAGAATTCACGCTTGGCCTCGTGTCCCTCAGGGTCTTCTTTGCTGGTGTGCAGCCGCAGGAGTACCTGCAGTGCCTCATCCTGCCGGTCTTGTTGCAAGAGCCAGCGAGGACTAAATGGTACGCGAGATGAGCCAAGCAACAACAGGAGCGCTGGCACCGCTTGAAATGCCAGTGGGAAGCGAAAGCCGAAGGAGGAGCTGGGATCAGAGAAGTAGCAGCCATAACCAATCCAACCAGACAGCGAATATCCTACTGCAAACATGACACCGTGCATACAGCACATGAAGCCCCGGGATTCGGGCGTCGAGACCTCACTTTGATACATCGGTATGCTTGTCACCAACAGCCCGGTCGCCAGTCCGGAGATCAAGCGTCCAACAATGAACATGGCCGGCTTTACCGAGCCAGCAGTGATAGCGGCGCCAATCGTAGCAATGATGCAACCCAGTTGAATAGTACGCTTGCGTCCGGCATAGTTGGCAAACCAGGACGTGAAAAGACAACCGAAGAAGAGACCTGCGGCGTTGACCCCATTGAAGGCAGAGATGAGGTTAGCAGTCCTGGTGTAGCCGGGCTCTCCAGGGGGTGCCATATCAAGGGAGGTGTAGAAAGTCGGCTGGCCGATCGTACTGCCAGTCACGGCAAGCGAGTAACTGCATGCTGTACTTCCCAGTGCCACATAAATGACAACAAGCAAGTTGAACTTGTTAGGTATCAATTTTGCCATATTGAAGGACTTCTGTTCCCGCCGATATATGAGACCAAGCCTCTTTCAAATGCTTCTATCAAGCCACAAAAATGGACTTTTGTACTGCATGCAGTGTCTCCCCAAGAACTTAGCAGTATATCAAGCAACGCCCCCATGCAGGTCAGCGAGGGGCTTCTCCGAGGTTAACACAGTTAAGAACCGAGATCCGCAACCAAAAGCCGAGCTATAGCGACGCGGGAATCTCCAAGTGCATGGGTTGCAACGGGAGAGAAATCCTTATTCGCCCGGAGCCGTAGATCAGTTGGAGACCCCGTGGGCAGATCGAACATGATGCGGGCACTTTGGGAAGAAGGCTGTGGGGAAGTCGCCCGAGTCACAAACTTGGGAGCATCGTATTGTCTTATTTCATCATCCCAGGTCTGGGGCCTCACTCCGAGCTTGAAGTTTCCTTTGATGATGTCCTTTGGCGCAACGAGTCCGACCTGGCTCTCTCGGCCCAGTTGTGGTGGATCAAGGCGAATAGATAACTAACAGAAAGAGCTGATGAGCGAGAGGGATTTGTATACCTTGAGTCGCACAAGAGAATTATTATGCCTTTGGCTCGGAAGAAGACAAGAGTGTTTGCTGTGAGCTACCAGCGCCACGAATGCCGCCGCGGTGAGTATGCTTGGTGAATATCTTGACCCAAGACAGGAAACCGCGCGGTTTTGCCTGATGGACACACTGGGAAACAACCCGCCTTGCTTGACGAAAGCTGTGAGCTAAGCCGTGCAGGAGCCCTGAGGTCAAGACGCGTGACAGGCCGGATGCGCAGCGTGATGACCAGAGCCGTCAAACGCCTTCCAATGAATTGTCCAGGAACAAATCTCGATATGGCCATAAACGAACGCGTCGCCTGAGCCGCGAACGCAAACGCAAACGCCTCGATGTGCACGTATCATATATGGAAAGCCTTACACATCGCATGCAGCGGAGCCATGGTGGAAATGTTTTGGCGGTTGGCGGCGACGATCTCGACCATCCTCCTGATCGGTCGAACAGTGCAGGGCAGGGAGACCTTGAGACGCTCTGTCCGGGGCTGTGCTAGACGGTGGTAACACCAAACAGAAGCCCCTCGTTATAAATATCACTGCGGGATTGCACTTCCTTACCTGCATGTCTGATCCCCAACACTCACCTCTTACTATCGCGAAGCACACTTGGAGACTTAATTCGCCTTACCGATAGCAACGGCTAATGCCAACACCATTCTCCAAAGCTTCTCATGACCAGTGCAACCGCCTCTTTCGGAAGGACCTCCTCGGCAGACCATTTGTCAACAGATCACGGTTATCTCGACACTAACTCGCAACATGCCGACCATCCGCTCGCACCGGCGCCGGCGCCGTTGTGGCTGTCGAGGCTACTGCGATCGTTATTGCTCCTGCAGAAGGGCGGGGCAGGCTTGCAGGCCGGCCATGGTCTTTGGCCCGCGGGGCTGCCTCTGCCACAGGAACCTATGTATCAATTGGGGATGATTGCGGTACCTCTTGTCATGAGAGACGCCCATGCTGAGGAGATTTGACAGTATGGATTGACGTGAGAGCCACTAAGCACCATTGCGTTCGGGTCACAGTGGTAGAACAGACAGGATACTCTAGCTGGAGGTTACGTACGGGCACAATGATTTCCAAGGATTCATCAAGCCAACCATCACCAAATCACTATTCGGTTCCTCGACATCGTAGCGTGAGCGGATGTCCCAAGGAAGCAATCACAGAAGAATCATTTCCCGCAACCATGTTGAACTGCCGTGGGCCAGATCCGAGATTACCATCACCCAAGCTTCCAGCCTCGACTGTCGATCTTTGTGAAATCAAGCTTCGTGCGCCGGGATAGGACAGAGTTTATCAAGAGCAACGGCGGGCCTTTGGGCTATCGGCCGAACGCAGGGCAATCTCGATAGCTCCCTTCGTTGGCGCCCATCCAATTACGGGGTGATAGAAGGAAACTCTCCCGTAGCAGAGCGCAAAGGCCCAAGGTGTTGCTCAGATCGGCGCTGCACTCCCGACTACTTTCTAGCTATGCAGGGAAAGCCAGTATCACCGGCGAATACGCAGTTGATGTGTGGGAGTGATTCAACACCAGAGATCCTACACTCGAAGGCCGACTGAAGGATGTCACCATCAGATACCACTCAGGAGAACGTACAACAAGGCTCTAGAGAAATCATAGAATCATCTCAATATGTACAAAACACTTGGCTCTGCCTTGTCTGGCTTCTCTTCCTCGTTTAGCCCTGTAGTTTCCTAATCGTGACGGCAATCCAAATTTCAACGACAGACAACAGCAGATGAGACCATCTGAAAACCTGAGAACGTGATGACAAGCCGGCGGATAAAACAAACGGGGTACCTTCTCAAAATCTTGATATCCAGAAGAACAGAACAGATGCGATTGGCGACCCCAAACCGACCGGCGACCAGACTATGATGCGTCATGAGCGTGAGCGTGTGCGCGTGTATGTGTGCTGGAAGGCGGAGGTAGAAGCAGCTAGATGTTCGGTGACCTCGTTTGTGTGGGTGTATAGTGTAGGTGTGATGTAAATGGGTATATGAGGAAACACTGGTCATGAAAACACTCTTGTACGCTATCCACATTCAAGTAAGGAACATCCAAACAAAGTAACCTCGTTCTCTCCTTCTCCCATCCCTCTCTTTCAGGCTCTCTTCTCATCTTCTAGCAACACAGACACATACACGAAAAGTCCAATAAAATTTACGTCGACGCAATGACATTTATAAAAGACACGACAAGCTCATTCGTTTCGTTTTTGGGGATCTTAGAACGACCGCCGCGCGTGGCCGCGGTGCTTGTGGATGTGCTCCTCGGCGTCCCGCTTGGCGGCGTCGTTCCAGCCGCCGGTCGACGCGGGCGCTGCGCCAGTGACAGTGACGGTCTCGGTGACGTAGACCCAGTCGGTAACGACGTTGCCGTTTGCGTCAGCGTGAACAGAGGGGACAGCCTTGGCCGCTTCGGGTGCGGGCGCAGCGTCACCGGCGGGCTTCTCGTAGAACTGGGCGGGGGCACCGGTGGGGGCGGCGCCGGAGCCGGGGAAGATGCCGGCGACGGCGGAGGAGATGTGGTTGCCGATCGAGTTGACGGCGCCAGCAATGCCGCCCGTGTAGTCGGACCAGTCACCCTTGAGGGAGGCGCCGTCAGCGCAGTTTTGCTTGCTCGCACGGCCGGGGCCGAACTCGATCGTGTTGCAGCCGGGAAGCTTGGAGAGTTTGCCTGAGTAGTCTTCGTTGACGTACGAGTCGATCTCGCAGGTCTTAGGGTCGAGGTAGACTTGACTCTCGGGGATCAGGCCAGCGAAAGGCGCGCAGTCCTGGATCCTGCCGGACGGGTTGTCACACTGCTCGACGGCCCGGGACAGGAGATCGTAGTCCCAGCCCATCAGGAGATCGGCGTGCAGACCGAAACCAGTGGGATCACCAGTGGACCAGACGAAGGGATTCTTGCCGCTGAAGGGGAAGTCGAAAGTCTTGAAGATGACCTCCATCTTGACGGTAACCAAGTGGTGGGGATGGGTAGACGGGCAAGCACCAGCCTCAAAGGTGACGGTAGGATAGGCCATGTGGGACTGGTGGTCATCGGAGTCGAGGTTCACGCCGTCCCAGCACGAGGGGAAGGTGACTTCGGCACGGAGACCATCAGGGCAGTTCTGGTCAGGGAAGCCCTTCGAGTCGGTTGGGGTGCCCTTGTAGTTCAAGCACTTGTAGTTGATGGCCTGATCCTCGAATGCCTGGCTGCCGGAGCGTTTCTCGGGGTCGCCAGCGAGCATGCGCAGACCCACGGGAAGGGGCTCCATCTTCTCACCAGAGCCAAGACGCGTCTTCTCGTTGAGGTAGTACAGGGAGGCAGAGCCATGCTGGGGCACCAGCTCGAAAGAGTCTCCGTTCTGGTGGAAGAGAGATGCGACCCAGTAGTTGGACTTGTCCTTGCTGACCATACAGGTGGTGCACTCGGAGGTTTGGGTGGTGTTGTAGTCCATGACAGGCGCAAACGCCTTACCGCCCACGATGGAGTGCAAATGCGAGGCAGGTTCTCCTGGGTAGACGATGGGGTCGAGGCGCTGAGTCGACAGCGGCCAGCAAGGAATGAGGAAAAAGGCCTGGGTGGCAGGCAGAGCTGCGAGGCTCAGGAGAGCCGCTTTGGAGAGAACCATTGTTGCGGTTGTTATTTGTTGTTGTCTTGTAGGATGCGATAATGATGGTGAGTGTAGCTGAAGGAGTGGACAGCACGGACTTCGTGCAAAAATGAATGACTGCGCTCACAGAACGATGGGGGAAAAGACAACAAGAAAGATCGGGAGTAAAGGGAGCTCTATCTGCTGTCTCAGCAGCGAAGAATATCCATGTCTGGGTGCCAAATTGCAGGTGGGTGCCGCCAGGAGGGCAGCAGCCACTGACGGGCCAGGACGATGAGGATCCCTGGAGGGCGGATCTCGCATGCAAGGCTAAACGGGGGCATGCTGCGAGGCTGCCAGCAAAAACATTGTTGTGGACAAGGGGCGGCCAAGGGGCTGTTGGCCTTGAGTAATCTCGCTCAAGACCGCAGCGGGCCTCTGATTGGCGCTAGCGCGTTGGTAGCGGTTGCTGGGTTGGAAGCAACAGCGGCAGCGATTGGGCAAGCGGATGCGGTGCATCAACGGTGCTTGGTCGATCAATGGAAACATTTCAGGGGACGGGGCTTCTCTCTGGATTGGTATTGTAGACGGTCGGATCGGCCAGTCCATTGATGCTTGATGAAATACGGCACCTGGGGTAGACCATTGAGCAGAGGCCATGTCTGGCAGTGACGTCCGTCACTTTTGAGGATGCTGAACATGCAGCCAGCCAGGACATCTCGACGAACTGCCGTGATGCAAATACCTGGTAGTTCATTGTCCTGTCGCGTGAGTTGGGCTGCCGCCACCACGGTCGAGTTTAGAAAAGGAGAGCGGTAGTGGCGTGTTTGGCTAGTGCGTTTCACGCGAGATTCGCGTTGACATCATTCCTAGCTTAAACTGTCTTTACTGCATTCTCACTGGCGGAGCCGGCCCCTGTCTTCCGCTCCATCTCCACTTCCTTCTTCCGCCCTCTTCGAAGCTTCCGACCGACTCCCACGACTCCCACGGATCCCGCGGGCTGGACGGCGTCTACTGCCGGAGCTTCTTCTGCTTACAGATGCATATCTAATACAAATGGTAGGCGAAAATAGTCGCTTGACGCGTCTGCTTTCCTTAAGATCACCTCCGCCCCGCCCCATCTCCGCGAGGCCACCTCTGCGTTGCAGTTCGACGACGGCGTTGCAACGACCAATCTCTCAGGTCCATAAAGACAGATGAAAGGAGTCCTGGCACTTTTCCTAATCATACCACTGAACATGTCCCCAGCTCCTGGGAGTTCAGAAAACCTGTTGGTCGGAACAATGAGCATCGGGCGATCCGCTTCATTCCACGGTGGATGGGCCAAATGTCGCGCGGCCAGTAACATCGCCGAGCGGCAACGAATTCGATGCGCCGTGCGATGATGCAGGAGAAGGCTAGGGTATGGTCTGCCAGACAACGAGTCCGTGTACTCCATGCTGTCAAGCTACTATCAACTGCTGTTGAACCTTGCGCCGGAAAAGGACGGTCGTGAAACAGGGCACATGAGCGTAGCACGGAACTAGACAGTGGATGAACCCAATGTAGACGGACTTGCCGTTTTCAGCCCGCATCTACTAGCGTGCAACATGGCACAACATATCGAACCCTCCATTGAGTGAACGTGATCGGTGGCCGACGATGCAGATTGTTTCTACTATAGGCCCAATATATGCGTACCGTGTGACGCGAGGTTTGGAACACTGTAGTCTCGCAAGCCACAGGGTCATGAGAGGCTCAGACGCTATCGGGATACTGGTGCAGATGAAGCAGCACTGCCCAATGCGGTATAGCTTATTTGCTGGTGCCAGCACGAGCTGGGGATGTCACAGATGCTAGTACTGTGCCATTGTGAATACTTGACTGGTTGTCTATTGACGTCGTCGGACTTTGTGATCAAAGGCGTCTGTATCTGGTTTTAGCAGGTGTCGGCGCTTGAGTTGGGTGCAGGCCCAAGCGGTAGCAGCATTTCGTGCAAATATATTTGCAGCTGTACTGACAATCAGATGCGGGTGTTTACCATAGCAGAACTGGACCACATCACTTGCGCTCTCGATCACCTCCATCATACGAAGATACTGAGGTCTACCTGGAACACAGGAATAGACTGACGGGAACCGACCTGAGGCGCTGGTGTGTTAAGAGATAAGAGAGACAACGAAGTGCCAAGACTTCACTGCCTGGGAGGGCACTTGGCATAGACATGGCAGGGAATCTATTCATATTGCTTTCTATGATGATTATCTTGGCTTGAGCTTGGCGGACCCTCAAAGCCTTACTCTCGTAAGAGTTATAGAATGGTACACAGCAGCTCGATCAAACGACGGGGCTGTTTGACTGCACTTCCGTAATCGCTGTAATATTCTCAACCTCCGGATAAATGTAATTGCCATCGGTCATGGCCAGCTCTGGAACATACCACCTCACTGTCCCAATGTTAGTCTGTTTTGACCACTTGGAAGAACGAGACTTACAAAGCCAAGAGAACTTCGAGGACGCCGGCAGCCAATTGTTGGTCCAGTTGCCCGGAGGTGTCACGTTTGCCGGCTGTACCAAGATCTGGAATGGGTCATCTCTCTCGTCATCCGCATCCGGGCCATAGATGGGTTGGCCGTCTTCATATGTAAGGTTGTAGGTGCGATCACCCACCTCGAATCGATTCAGCTCGTTCGGGATGAGATACTCGTCTTCACCGTAGACTGACAGGCTCCAGAATCCATACTTGGCCTCGTTAAGCTTTGGCTTGCCACTGAACGAGAGCAGGAGAGCACCACCTTCCTCCAACGTGAACTTGCTAGTGAATCCTAGACTGCGGAAGCCAGGATACAGTGTCTGGTTTACACTTTGTTGTTGGTACCCGGCGAGAGCTACATATGCAGCCGAGGCGTAGTTGGTGCCGAAGTCGCCCTGGTACGTAGGAGTCGACAACTGCCAATCGTTACTCTGTGGTCTGATATGCTCTGGATCCTGCACGTCGGCCGTGATCGACGCATTGGCAATGACTGCAGCCTCAGTCAGATTGACGCCTTCGACCCGAGTGAAGTTGCCTTGGCTCAGACCCGCGATATCCAGGATCTGGAAGACGCGGCGCTGATCAGTGCGCACTAAAGGAGGGTTGTACTGCACTAGTTGTGCCGCGAATTCAAGTTGCTTCTGAGGCGTATTGATACCGAGCAAGGAATCGTTGACGGCGAGAGCCGGCAACGGAGGGGTTGGTCCCCAGATTTCAGCGTCAGTATCATCTTTGGCAATCGCTGTGAGGCTGGATTCGTTCTGATAGCCATGAACAGTCTCGAGGTTGTCGGTAGTATTTTGAACAAGCAAAAGTCTGATGAGCATCGTGGCGTGAGTACCCGGCAGAGTGACGACGCCTTGGTAAGCCGAAGAGTCGAAGGTCGAGGTATCGTTGCTGTAGCCGATTGTTTCATTGCCTAGCAGAGCACGCCTGATGAGGTAGTCGCCGGGCTTATTATCGTTGACGATGCCGATTTCGGCCAGGTTGTTGCCAAACCTGTCTTGTTAGTCTAGAACAAATCATGGAATCCTACGCTCACGGGTCATAGATGGGGTACACCCAATATCGGTCGGTGATTTCCGGGACCGTTAGCACGAGATCTGTCTCCGATAAGTCGAGGACGACTCGAGAGTAGAGGGTGTCGACATTAGGCTTGATGACGCCTGGATCATTGGGCGTAGCGAGGTTTCGTTGATGGAAGAACTCGTTGACGGAGTGGTTGCGTAGAACACCGCCTGCCCAGCTTGAGAAGATGGCAAGAGGGTAGGTATACTACAACGAGTCAGCATAGTTCATGGATTGGAGGTGGACGTACAATAAGTGCCCAAGCAGTTGCGTTGAGTGGCGAGTTTGGGAAGACATCCGTGTTGATGATTGAGGCCGGGGTAGAGGTGGATGTGCTAGCCTGTCGCTTAGCTGGCGCAGAAGCGACTTGGTCTTGGTTTCTGGGGATAGACAAGGATCTTGCGCCATCGCCGAGGCCAGCGACGAGGCATACGAGGATCGTTAGTAGCCTCATGATTGTTTCTGGATAAGATTATTGCTGAGGGCTTTTTGACAAGGTACCATGCCACAGGCTTCATGCAGAGGATGGGGCTGTTCGTTGACACTGGCGGACGGTTCGGGACATAAATCCTGCGTCCAGGTTGCGTCATTGCAAAAAATGGTGATATTGTTGAGTAGGATGATGTACCTTCCCCAAAGTCTGTGAGGGATAAGCATTGAGGCAGCCGATATTCTGGAACTAGCAGCCGTTTGTCCCGGGTTCCTGCGTTTGCTGGGGTGGGTTCATTACGCGCGGGGTCGGCTGCCCCTCCGCAACTCGGCGGTACTTTTTGTCGAGCGGGTCTCACATCTGACAAAGCTCGACCGAAATCATTGCGCTGCATTCAGCACCGAGCATCGACAGAGCTAGACTCGAGCCGGCGACGACCATGGTCAGTATGTACGGCGAGTTCAGCCCATCTACTCCTCACGCCTTTCGTGTCTCGCGCCCTTGCGGTCATTGCCTGATTTGAGATGAAGCGCCGAGAAATGGCTTGTGTCTGCAGTGGGACAGACTTGAAAAAGTGTTAAAAATGCCTGACTGAGTCCGTCACTTGTCCAACAGGCGGGAAGACAACCGTGGACCAGAGATCATGAGTTCAGAAGACTCCCCCTTTACCATCCGCACTCACCGGCCCGGCGACCTTGGCTACATTGTATCCCGCCATGCAGCAATCTACAGCCAAGAGTACGGCTACAGCCCTCACTTCGAAGCCTTGGTTGCCAGAATTGCGGCCGACTTCATTGATTCCTTCGATGCCGATCGGGAACGGTGCTGGATCGCGGAAAAGGATAATGTGTTTCTGGGGTCCATCATGCTTGCGAAAGATAGCGAGAGGCTGGACGCGGCAAAACTAAGACTTCTACTCGTCGAGCCGGCAGCAAGAGGATTGGGGCTGGGGAAGACTTTGACCCAGGCGTGCATCGCCTTTGCCAGAGCGGCGGGCTATCGTCGCATTGTCCTGTGGACACAAAGCCACCTTCTCGCGGCACGGAAACTATATCACGCTGAAGGATTCCATCAGGTAGAGAAGCAAGATATAGTCCACGACCAGTTCAAGCCTGGCCTAAGAAGCGAGAGCTGGGAGCTGGATCTCGCTGATGTTTGATGGGAGCCGGCGGCCAGCGGTGAATATGCAGGGGAACTTTCTTGGCGCGTTGGATGCAGATCTGGGCATGTTTGCCGCTTACCGCGCCTGCGCATCGACGTAACCGAAGGGACGATTCTGTACCACGCCAGCCACGTCGAGCCACGCGCGCTTGGTTCGCAAACGCAGGCCGCATCATCTGCTTCTATCGCCATCGGTTAGCCCGGAGAGGTCATAGAACACGATGCATCTTGAACTGTTCTCCAGTCTAGGCGAACATACAGCGGCCCGAGAGCCTTTCTGGCCAACGTCCCACCTTCAGACCCCCGCCCAGCGTTTTGTCTTCCTGCTCTGCAGCCTCACGGACACGCGAGTTGACGAGTATGACGAGACACTTGCCGCAGCTTGCGGGCAAACAGTCAACATACATCTCTGCAAACCAAAGCTATGATTTCCGGTTATGGGTCCCAAGCCGATCATTTTGGTCAAGACGTGACATGAGCTTCTCGCCTGTAGAGTCTACTGATGCTCTCGTCAGCTCGTGTCAAGTACTGTGCATGAAAAGAGACCACTGCAAGATCAGCAACACGGGAAGACCACACAGCAAGGTGAGCTTGTGGAAACGTCAGTCGCCACAAGCCATCCGCGCCTGCGACAAGATGCGCACGCGCGCAGCGACTCGTAAGACCTCGCTGGCTCGGCCACCGGAAGCATCCCTGCTGTCAGCAGCGGACTCGAGTTGCAAATCCGACCCTGCGGATAAGCAACTCGGCGGGAAATATACACCTTACGAATTCCCTTAGGAGCGGGCACCGCGGCTACTAGCGGATTAAAAAGTATTCAGGTCAGCATGGCCTTGACTTTCATTGGTTAATTCCCGGGTCTCAGGCGGAAGATGGCCGCTTTGGGATGAATATCCGGAGGAAACCGACGTTGGCTGTTACAACACGCCATCATCTCAGATCTCTTCAAAAAGGTCATAAGAGGGATTGAAAGGCCTTGCTGTGTGCCTGAGTCTTTGTCGACGTTTGGATTCAACATGGCTGCAATCAAAGATTTCGTACGCGAGCACAACAGCTCGACCCGTCTCGCGGGTCTCGGCCAACATATCGCTTTGTTGGCCATAGCCATTCTCCTCGTCTATCTCACATCAACAGCTGTCTACAGGTCATTTTTCCACCCACTTGCTAGATATCCTGGCCCGTTCCTAGCCAAACTTACTCCCTGGTGGGATGTCTATCACGCCTATAAGGGCGACAAGCATCTTCTCTTCCACCGTCTCCACGAGCAGTATGGCGACTTTGTCCGCTATGGCCCCAATACCGTCTCTATCAACAACCCTGCAGCCCTCAAAGCCATTTACGGCCACCGTGCCAATGTTCGCAAGTCCGATTTCTATCTCTCCTTTCCCGCCGTGCCTGGCGCCTTTTCCACGCACACAGCCCTCGACCTCAAGATGCACGCACGCAAGCGCCGTGTCATGTCTCATGCCTTCTCCGACTCAGCGTTGAAGGGCGTCGAGGATTTTGTTCTCGAGCATGTTTCCGCCTATATCAACGCGCTCACTGACCGCTTCAATCGATCCAACACTGCTCCCCATTCCGACAAGTGGACCACACCCAAGAACATTTCCACATGGAGTACCTACCTTGGTTTCGACGTAATGGGTGACCTGGCCTTTGGTAGCGGCTTCGGTATGCTGACAGGCACGAAGCCTGCCAATCGTGACGCACCGGTTCTCCTTATGCAGGCTGCTAAACGCCACAACACGACAGGACCGATGCCCTGGCTGCATCAGAGTGGAGTCGACCGCATCCTATTCCGCAAGCTCAATCTTGACCGCGATCAATATCTCGCCTTCAGCCGTAATCAGGTCGGCGAGCGTATGGCCTCGGGTGCGCTGGATAGCAAGCGTAAGGACTTCTTCTACTACCTCCTACACTCCAAGGATCCCGAGACTGGAGAAGGTTTCAGCAAGAAAGAACTATGGGGTGAAAGCAACACTTTGATCATCGCGGGTTCCGATACTACTTCCACGACGCTGACATCGACGATCTTCTACCTGCTGCACAACCCTGCCACTCTGGCGCGGCTGCAGCAAGAGATCCGTGGCGCATTTGAGTCCGTTGAAGAGATCCGTGCTGGGCCTACGCTAAACGACTGCAAGTACCTCCGTGCCTGTATCGACGAGGCCCTGCGCATGAGTCCGCCCGTTGGTGCGATCCTGCCTCGTCAGACGCTGGCGGGCGGCATTGACATCCTTGACCATCACATTCCGGAAGGCGTCGGTGTGGGCTGTCCAATCTATGCACTGCACCACCACCAGGATTACATACCGGCGGCATTCGATTACAAGCCGGAGCGATGGATAAAAGGAGAGTGCGATGAGAAGGAGAATGAGGCCTTATTGAGCGTATTCAACCCCTTCAGCATCGGCAGCCGAGGTTGTATCGGCAAACCAATGGCCTATATGGAGTTGTCCCTTGCATTGGCCAGGTTGCTATGGAAGTTCGACATGCGGTTGCCGGAAGGAAGCTTGAAGCACGCAGGCGAAGGGCGACGAGGATTAGGTCAGGGAAGAGAGAGGTCAAGGTACGTGACGGCCATTCATGCGTTTCGTCGAGTATAGAACTGACAAGGAGCAGCGAATTTCAGATGTGGGATATTTTCGTCAGCGATAAGGATGGGCCGTACGCCGAGTTTCGGGAACGCAGCGACTGAATGAGTCTTCAAATCCGATCTGAGAATGACGAGCGAGGCATTGCATTGGGCATGGCGTAATGATATGGACTTTGCATACCGGTGGCGCGGTTGAGGACCGCTCGGCATTTTGATTTTGGAACAGCTTGTCAAAAAGCACGTTGGCGATTGCGATCCTGTATTGTTGGGATCATCGGCGACACCAGAAGCTTCTGAATACCTCACAGTCCCTGTTCATCTGCGTTCCGTGGTCCAGCTCACAGAGTTTGGATTGGGGAGGGTAGAATCGACAGTCGCCAAGCTTTCCACTGCCTGCTTCCCCCGAAGCGAGTAGGTGAATCTCCACCGATTCCTCTACGGCTTGCCCAATGCCAGCCCACGTTGCCGTACGACCACCATTTTCCCCTTCTATTCTCCCATCCTGTGTTCGGGAAGCACGTCCAAACAGCCCACATTTTCTGCGGCTAGTCCCCGCGCCTGTTGAGAAGGACCGCCGGCACGTGCTCCAAATGACGCTTGGCTTCGGTCTTCCGTCGGCTCGGTACAAGCCCGACCCTACAAATAGTCGCCCGGCGTTAGCACCGAAGCCCGTGGAAGCTGCCGGCCAATCAGAGGGGCGATTTGGAGACCAGTGGCATGCACATTGGTACTCTGATGCCCCACGATGATGCAGTTTCGTGGGGTGAGGACGTTAACAATTTTTCAAAGGCGTACGGCGGGTTTGGAGGGGTGGTAGAGAGGAGTTGTCTTTGTTCCCAATGAGCTCTTAGCCGCTATCTACTCTGTACTATACTTTGAGCCATTGCGACACGTCTACACTCTACACGCGACCAAGATCTTCACAGACCATCGACCATGCCTCTCCCAACGACATTCATGCTTAACACTGGCGCGCCCATTCCAGCGGTCGGTTTCGGCACCTGGCAGGCCGCGCCACACGAGGTCGAGAAAGCAGTCGAGATCGCGCTGCGCAACGGCTACAAACACATCGACTGCGCGGCCATCTATCGCAATGAGAACGAGGTCGGTGCTGGAATCCGCAACAGCGGTGTCAATCGCAAGGACATCTTCATCACCACCAAGCTATGGAACTCGAAGCATGCACCCAAGGACGTCGAGGCGGCGCTGGACGAGTCGCTGAAGGACCTTGGCGTCGAGTATGCGGATCTGTACCTGATGCACTGGCCCACGCCATTCGCCAGAGGCAACAAGTGGTTTCCTTTAGATGACGAGGGGGTCTTCAAGTTGGGGGACACGCCCTACACGGAGACGTGGAAGGCGATGGAGAAGCTGCTCAAGACGGGCAAGACCAAGGCCATTGGAATCAGCAACTTTAACGAGCGGAGGCTGAAGGAGCTGCTCGAGGTCGCCGAGGTGGTCCCGGCCGTCAACCAGATCGAGGCACACCCGTGGATCCAGCAGCCAGCGCTGAAGAAATTGTGCGAGGACAACGGCATCCTCATCCAGGCGTACAGTCCACTGGGCAACAACACGACCGGCGAGCCGAGGACGGTGGACGATCCTCTCGTGCATGAGATTGGCAAGGAGCTGGACATGGATCCGGGTCAGGTGCTCGCGTCGTGGGCCATTCAACGTGGCACCGTCGTTCTGCCCAAGAGTGTCACCGAGAAGAGAATCATCGGTAATGTCATGGTGAAGGAGCTGCCCAAGGAGGCGTACGAGAAGCTGAACGCAATGGAGAAGCACAAGCGCTTCAATGACCCAAGCCCAAGATGGGGCTACGACATCTTCGACGAGCTCGGAGAGGATGCCGTCAAGCAATCCGCAAAGGAGGCTGGGAAGTCCAACCCGACCAAGTTCAAGATTTGAGGGGAGTTGCTGCCTATCACGCATGTATATCGATCTGGTAAAACACAAAGCGCAATAGATTAATAACGTGGCCATGTTGCGTGGAAATCAGGTTGCATTCCCAGCTGGTCCAAGTAAAGCCACGAGGCAGCGTCGGGGATGTCATGATCGAACATATTGACCGCCGTGAAGTCATTCCCACCGGGCATATCGACCGGTGGCTGAGTTTGAGGCTGTGGGCTCGGTGGGTACCGTTCCTCCTCCTCCTGGACTCTGGAGCTCTGCTGAGCCCGTCCCTCGACTGGTGTCACCGAGGATGACGCGCTGCGACTTGCCCGCTGCCTCAGCTTCGACAAAAGGTAGTGATGTCTTTGTGCTTGTGAGCCCTGTGGAACGATCTTGGCCAGGTGCTCTTGAATCTCTTGTGCTTTGCTAAGGTATTGAGTTAAGTCGCGGCTTTGAGCGAGCACCGGCACCTTCCCTTGGTTCTGTTGTATCTGATACACGAACAACGTCGAGATGGCGCATAATGCGATGTACTGCGTCAACCAGAAGGTGGAGAGTAAGCGTCCGTGCTGCAGCATCGAGAAAACGTGATCAAGGACGTTGATGATGGCATCTAGACAATCACGCATGCACGATTCGTGGCGTTGATGCATTTCGGTGTCTGAAGAGATCTTGAATGTGTCGACGAGGAGCGATCTGCGGGTGGCAATGATGCGAGCATGAGCAAAGCCTAGACTGAGCACCGAGTTCTGCCGGTCCCAAGTTTGGACCCCGATGGCTGCAGTCAAGCGTGGTTTCAAGAAGGTGGGCAGCTCCTGCTCCAACCCGTCCAAGGCTGCGACTATCGACTCGCCTCTTTGAACGATGTCTTCGCTGCTAATGTCATGAATAGGATAGAGCACGTCAGTGCTGCGGGTGAAGAGCCGAGCTAGTCTGGCGTGGTAGATGAATGCCTCTATATTGCCGTGATGAGGGACTTGAGAGAGATCAGTGGCTGCGTCCAGGACCAGGTCGTCGATGTTGACTGGGTACTCCTGGTCGAGGTCGTCATCACGCAGATGGCGAGGCTGACCGAGCATGACGCTAAGATAGCTGTCGACAATATACAGTGACCAAAAGACTCGCTTTCTGCGCTCCTGCTGAAATGCAGCCAGCTTCAGCCGTCTAGACGCCTTTCGATGTAGACCCATTGAGATGGCAAGGGCGTGGGTGAATGAGAACAGAAAGCGGCATTCCACAATCCGTGAGACGCATAGGAGATAGAGGCACATAGCCAAACGAGCTTCGACGCATGCAAGAGTCATTGGCCCCAGCTCGCTGTTTAGGAGTGTGCGAGCCTGCTCAAAATACGATGCACCCCTTTGAGATGCTTGTAAGTCGCCAATCGAGTCGTCTGGATAGGAGATGAGAGCTTGGGCCCAAACGATGAGGACACTTGCCGCCTTAGCCGCTGGTAGAGGCTGGCGATGGACATAATCCGCCATCCAGCGCTCTAGACTCTGTCGATGAAAGAAGCGGAACGTTGGCATGGCGAAACGAAAGTAGTGATCCATAAGCTTGTGTGCTTCATCTAAACCGGGACTTGCGGCCTTTGAGACTCGAGACAACGGCATGTCACCGTAGCTCGACAGGGGAGCAGCTGCATCACCATCATGGGGCACATTAGCGGCTCCTTCCTGCCATTTATAGAGAAATGATACACCTGACGATGGTCCGATATGGACTCCGTTGTCGATGCTGACTTCGCCTGGTTCAGTGGAAGTTTGTCGTGAAGGTGCTAAGCTTCCGTCGCTCGAATGAGGGTTAGGTGCCTCCAGCGACGGGAAGGCAGAAGCTAGCGTCGTGCTCGGCACTTTCGAGAGGGGACTCTGGCGTCGCGACAGGTGTTCTGAGCTGTATATACAGGACACCTCATTATCGAGACATAATTGACACGAGGGACGAGTGCCTGAGCATCTCTGCTTTCGCTTTCGACAGAAGAGGCATCTGGACGCCGATCTATGAGTACGGACTCGCCTAGGACTTGTGATGTGCTTACGCGTTAGAGGTCCGGGGATGCTTCAGCTTTCGCTTCTTCGATGGCTGCGGAGACTGTTGATGATCTTCATCCATAGCCACGAGCAAGGTAGATGGTGTTGAGCCGTCGGAAGATTGAAAGGGTTGCTCTCTCCACTCCAGGGTGCTGGCAGCGAAGACCCCGGCTCGCCGGGAGCGATCGCCGTCTCGGCGGGGCAGGTTTCTTCGCCTTCCTCACCATACCCACAGACCTGGAACTCCGCATCAGTGCTTTGAACCCTACTCGAACACATGAACACCCTATGCAGGGACTGGCAGTATAGACTGATGGTTAAGGCATTGCCGAGCACGGCTAGCTGACCTCTATCCCTCCTGCGTATATTCGTCATGCAGCCGGAAGCTCTTCGCTTCTTCTCCCGACTCCTGTCGTCCAAGTAGCGTCATATCCAACAAAGCGTATGTCGATAATACTACCTCCACGCCCCGACTTGTTGTCTCGTAAGTGTGGAATACCTCATCGCCTTCTCTCAAGAAACAGCTGAGGCGGAATGCACCTGGTGAGGGGCGCCACGTGATATCATCGCCCAACTCATCGGCCTTAGTGAATGTGTCTAGGCAGCTGTAAAAGGGGAATGTCCATCCCATGCGCTTCTGAAAGGCATCAACCGCAGTCACCGACTCCGGTGCCGCAGCTGCAAACGTCGTGTCGCGACTGTGAAGGTGCGACAAAACGCGACCAGCAGGAATGTGGTCACTGAAGAAGGAACAGCCACCGCAGCCCACTCCAGTGGGGCTGAAGGGCATGTGGAAGTAAATGATCAACTGACGGCGACCCTGGAATAGGTCTAACAAAGTAAAATGGCGATTGCTGGGACCAGCAAATACGAAGCTTGACGGGTCATTGAGTCGGACCATTGGTAGAGCACGACGTTTCTCGGCGACGGACGAGAGCAGTCTCGTCGCAGCTTTCTCCTCGCTCAGCAGCGACGAACGTGCTCGTCGATATTCATCAGCAGACACAACAGTCTAGAAATGCTTAGACAGGGGCAATACCGTGCTGACGAGGAGTTACCTACCTTGGACATGTCGAATGGCCGCCTAGCTGTGGTGAAGCTTACCGTGGACCTGGTATTGATGTACTCCAAGGCTGCTACAGACGCCTTTCACCAACGACAAAGCGACAGACCTCAGCTTTATCTTCTGTGCTCCCCAGAAGGAACCATTCATGTCCACGGTCGACACGGCAGGCAACTCCAGGCACTATGAAGATCTTCGCCGGGGTGGGTGGCAGACGCGGGGAACCAACAGCCCAAAGTTTTGCAACACGAGCGCCTAGGGGGCTGCAAAGGAGTTTCTACGGCCGGAGAGTAGGGTGCCGCAGGCTCTCTCGCAGTCTACTTGAATAGATTTCACAGCTTACAGTGGATAAGAGCCAGGTCTTCTGAGACTTTTGCTCCGTATTCGAGGCGAGGGTATGCTGGTTATCTTCAAGCGGTAGGGGGGACGCTCAGGCAGTGAAGGCTTGGTTCTATGCCGCGTTAGGGCTGGCAGATGAACCCCTCCGCGCCCGGGAATCCTAGCGGGCTTCAGCTATCCTTACATGCATTATAACGCTCAATGACTGGTGCGAATTCGATGATGGCTTCACAGCAACCCGCGGGTTATTACTTTCCACCATGACTCGCGGTCGTTGAGGTCAAGGACATGACCAGCGCTGGAATACCGTCGGTCTTGTCATTGGGCGCAATGCCTATTCTCGCCTATAACTCCACCAAGCCGACACTTTCACGGCTCACATATGATAGTAATTGCAATACACTCTCATAATAGTCAAATTAGCTCCACCGCCGAGTTTGGTTCTGTCCAGCGAGACGTTGCTGTTGTGAAGCAGTACAATGGCGCACAGCATCACCGCGCACCGCCTCCGCAGGCTCCTCGCACCCTCCACGCCCGCCCTGGCTATGGCTTCTCACTCCCCACTGTCCGCCAAGCTTGCCGCTCAAGCCGGATTTCCTGCCATATGGGCATCGGGCTTCGAGCTGTCTGCCCTGTACGCTGTACCCGACGCTAATATCCTGCCCGTGAGCACCCATCTGGAGATGACGCGGTCCATAGTGGAGACCGTGGGCCCCAATGTACCGGTGATAGCCGACCTCGACACCGGCGGTGGAAATGCTGTGAATGTCAGCTACATGGTAAGGAAGTACAAGGATGCGGGCTGCGCGGCAGTTGTGATGGAGGATAAAGTGTTCCCAAAGGACTCCAGTCTGAGAGTCTCAGCGAGGCATGTCCTGGTGACCGTGGAAGAATTCCAGGGTAAGATAGGAGCGGCAAAAGCGGCGGCTGGCGAAGGAGAGGATGGCATGCTGGTGGTGGCAAGAACGGAGGCATTGATAGCAGGACTAAGACTGGAGGAGGCGCTGAACAGGGCAGAAGCATACACAGAGGCTGGGGCAGATGCGATCCTGATCCATAGCAAACAGAAGAACCCAGATGAGATCTTGGACTTTTGTCAGCGATGGTCAGGGAAAGTGCCGTTGGTCATCGTGCCGACAAGCTATCCGCAGCTGTCGTTTCAGAATGTTGCAGAGCTGAACAAGGTAGGTCTGATCATTTGTGGCAACCATTCGATCAGAGCGGCTGTGAAGGCGATGCGGGAGACGTTTGAGCGAATTATCAAGGACAACAGTATCGCCGGTGTCGAAGGGGACATTGCGAGTGTAAAGGACGTCTTCGAGTTGCAGGGTGACGCAGAGATGCGAGAGATTGAGAAGAAGTATTTGCGATGAGCAGATTCACGAACCTGGACTCTACGAGTCAAATCATCCAGGGATCTGAAAGCATGTGTATCTCGTCAGCTCCAGATCGAGTACCCGCGAGCCGCCGGGCGTCGAGTCCTGGGATCGGGTAACGACCTCGTTTGCGTTTGTGTGATCGGAATCATCTACAATTGGGACGATGTATCGATGATCCTTGACCTAATTGCGGGTGTTCCTATTCATCCTCAATGACATGGCCTTGCAAAGCCACACTGTCATCCCCACCACTTACATGAAGCAGACTACGACGACCTACCACGGCAGCTTCACTGGGCCTTTGACGTGATCACCCATCACCGCGTTCCAGCTCCCGATGTCTCTAGTTCCGCGAGGCGCCCAGAACTGCCCCGTCTTGTCCATGCCAAACTCATTGTCCGTCCACTTGCCCAGTATTTCCGCAGCCTGATCCGGCGTCAAGGCGTCGTTCTCGTCCCAGGCAACATCGAAGCCCACGCCTTTGGTCATCTCTGTCCGCATGAAACTCGGGTGGACCATGCCCACAGCAATGCCATGGGGCTCAAGATCGTATCTCAGTTGTGTACCCACCATATTCACGGCAGACTTCGACGCATGGTGAGCGTAGTTACCTCCACCTCCCGCCTGATTCAGCAGGAGGGAACCGGCTTCACTAGAGAGCAGAATCACCCTGGTAGGGGGGTCTGACTTGACAGCAAGGTTGTTGCCTTTGAACAAGGCTGAGAGGATGAACGGGGGAGCCACGGCAGAAGTGAGGTAGGTTGCCACCTCGACGTCCCATTTCGGCTCCTCGAAGGACTCAAGCTGGAAGATGCCCGCAGTGATGTAAACGGTATTGAGACTGACACTGTCCAGTTGGGACGCGATTCGAGAGCCACAGTCGGGCTTCGTCAGATCAACGCCAGTCAACCACTGAACGCGGGACTGGCCCGGTGGCGGATCTCCACGGGAGGTCGCGTAGACTCTAGTCAAAGGTTGCTCTGAGTAGTATTTGACCAGGGCTGCTCCAAGGCCCCTGGTTCCGCCTACCACAAGGATGTTGGGCATTGTCTTTCGGGGAAGTGGGGTGAAAACGGTGATGTGGATCCTCAAGATGACCGTGCTGCTGCCTGTCCTCGATCAGTTGCAAACACCATGGACTGCGCTAGCAAGTTCGAAGACCTTTGGGAAACTGTGGTGTCGCTTGAGACTGATGTTGATCAAACACGTATCGAACGCAACATTCAGAGCTACGTCACAAGCTTGCCGCGCTGCTCCGAATTTCTAGTCACAGATCTGAGCTTGGCAGCATGGAGAGTGCACCAATCAAACTCCTAGCACCTCCGGACTGCAGAAAGAAGGGTATACAACGGTCGACGGGTACAAGGTCGACGTATTTTAGGATTCGCTCGACACCGGCACCAGTATTGATATTGAATATATACCAGGAAAGATACCGGGGATTGTCGCCGAAGAACCGCGGAAGCTGGGGATGACTCCATTCAAGAAACAAATCGCTGGTGAGACGCACCGTTATCGTTATGTCTTCAGTGGTGATCCTCCACTGGCATCGAACAGTTTGAGCAAGCTCGCGGCCCACGCTCTGCTCGGACAGGTGGCAAATTTTTGATCTTGTTCGTGATGGGTGTGGTGAGAGCTTTTGAACCTCGCTACCTGCGCAGGGTTGAGGACCACTCACAATTAGCCTTTCTTGAAGCGCCCATTGGCGTTATTGGTCCCGAGATTCCGGTAGCGAAGCTCGTAGCTCCACGAGTGTCCGGAATAGTAACCGAATGGTTAATTGGAAGCGTGGCTCTAACTGTTCCTGCTTCTACGCAACCCTAAAGGTCATAAGATTCGTCGTCCAGAAGGTATCATATCCCTATCTCGCTTCTTGGCTGCTTATTTGGGCTAAAGTCAGGCAGCCTGGCTGTGGTCCATGCTGGGGTCCGAGAGATCCGGGGAATTCCTCTTCAGCGTTAGCTTGCAGGCTCCAAGATTCTAGTGTTGACGTGCAAGATTTCTTCACTCATGCATGCCGCTGATCGACATACTACTCAGCGTCGTGTATCTCATGAGACTATATGATACCGAGAAAGTAGGCGTTTGGGTGAATTTGAGCTCTTGAAAGTCGCTGTGTGTCTCAATGGATTCAGAGTCTCAACGACATGGTTGGAATACCAGGTCGATCCCGCGGATGTATCACATGTCGCAGGCGAAAAGTCCGGGTAAGGCGACCGTGCGTTCTAGACTTCGTCTGTCTACTTACGAGGGTTAGTGTGACCTTGCCCAGAGATCATGTCAACGCTGTCTCAAATCGGGACGCTCATGCGAAGGGTATAGCACCTATCCTACTTTCATTGTCCGCAATCAAGATGGGCTTCTGAGGCGAGGGCACCTGGACGAAGCCAAAGTAGCAGATGATGTTTCGCGCTCGAGGAGTCTCTCGCCGGCCAGGTTGCTCAAGCCCTCGTTTCAGCGCTTGCAAGATGATCAGCTTGTTGCAATTTTCTGGAGCGACTTTGTCACTGAGCCGAGAAGCCACCGCAGCTCTGACCAGCCGGCCTGGCTGTATCATGCAATGCAGATGTCGTCGAACGAGGACATCCTTCGAAAAGCCCTGCTCGCCATCGCCTATACCCGAGCTGGGCGAAACCGCTCCAACAAACCATGTATCATTGAAGGTCATCGGTATTATGGGGAGACTTTGCGATTGATGCAGCAGATGCTCTACGATCCCATGCTCTCGCACAGCGACGAAGTACTGGCTGCAGCACGTTGCATGTGCCTCTACGAATCATTCGAATCTACGACTGGCACTATGGCATCCTGGATCAATCAAAACCGAGGAATCGCCCGAATGCTTGAGGTCCGTGGACCGCGGAACTGTCGAGAGCCTTTCCCTCGCGCCGTGTTGGAATCTGTGCGCCAGAACATGATGATTGTCGGCATTATTACACGCACACCGTGCTTTCTCGAGCAAGAGGATTGGCGTACCCAGCCTTGGATAGGAATTTCGCCAAAGCCACTGGACCAGCAACTTTACGACTATGGCTTTGTTCTTGCGACAGTTTACCAGGAGGGAGGAGCGATTAGTGCCGATCAGCCCGCCTCGTGGAGAGTCTACGTCGACATCTTCACGAAAGTTCACGACGCATATCAGGCCCTTTCGCAACTGAACGAGGAAGTCTCGAAGATCCATGATGGCACAGATCACTTACTATCAACTCCACTCCCGGTCGTCAAAGCATTACTTCTCGCGCTCGACCTCTGTTTCTCGTTGTTCGCGAATGCTCTTCTGCCAACCTGCACCCCAGAGATTGTTGAAAGCCACCGAGAGGTTATCGGGCAGCTTCTGGGCTACGCGCAAGATTCACGAAGGCAGCAATTGGCCCGTAAGATAATCCAGCATTTATCAAGCTGCCTCCGGACTGAGCCAGTCTTCGTGATGACGATGATGCTATTCCCCCTCAACTGTGCCAGATTCGAGCTCAAAGACAACGAGGGGGACAAGGACAGGGTCAACAGCCTGATGAGTGCTTTGGAGACGGGAAGAGGTCATCGGATAACGGGTAGTGTAAGAAGAGCCGGCCAAAGTCTAGCCCCGCCAATAGCAAGGAGCAGCATGTTCTCGCAGCAGACCACAGCAGACGGATGACAGGCTGCGAAAACGGTCTAGAAGCGAAATCAACCATGGCGTCGTGCGCCGCTTTCTTGATGGGAGATGAAAGCCAGTGGGCCATCTGACCTTGGTGAAATTATCCCCGTCGGCGGGCACCATGGCAAAAACTCGGAATATGCACGCCGAAGTCCGCGACGTCCTGATGCTTGGCTTGGGGCAGAAGTCCGTGATTCCCCAAGCAGAGGACTTGTCCGTCCTCAGCTGCCTACGGCGGCCTGGACAACCAGGCCTCAAATATCGCCAGTGGCAACACGAAGACGCTGGAGGCTAGCACAAGAAGATTCACAGAGCACGAGGCTCATGATGGGTTCGCTTCAGCCAGGGGTTCAGAGACTGCGACGAGACCAGCCACTGGAGGACTTCGTACGGGCGCTTGAGCAGGATGGATGCGTCATCGTCTCAGATTTCACGACACCAGAAGTCGTCAGCAAAGCCAATGCTGAAGTCCAACCTTTCTTGCACGCGCAGGGACTCCCGGGGGCAAAAGTCGGCGGTGAGCTGACCCGACAAATGAGGGAAACGCGTGGCTGACACAGATGATTAGCCCTAGCAGGAAAGACGCAAACCGTCAACCGACTCATCGGGAGGAGCAAGACAGTTCGGGAAAAGTTCTTCTCGGACCCGCTCTATCAAGAGCTTTGCGAGCATTTCTTGGCGATGGAGACGACGGCGTGGTATGGTGACGAAGCGAGGACGAACAAGAGCCACCCGTTGCTCTCGATTGCGATCACTTTCGACATCCCCCCTGGTACGCCGGCTCAGGGTCTCCACCGGGACGACAAGAATCATCACGCCCGGCATCCGCCTACCGACCGGTACTACAACAACCGAGATATGCTACTAGGCCTCTTTGTACCAGGCTGTGATACGTTCAAAGCGAACGGCGCGACAAGAATCGTCCCAGGCAGCCATTTGTGGGGAGATGACAAGCCTGACTTCTCCACAATCTCAGTGACAGATGCGGAGATGAATGTCGGAGAGGCTTTCATTATGCTCGGTAGCCTGTACCACGGGGCGGGCAGTTATCCTGAGCCGCTTGGAATCAACTCAGAGAGCGGCAGGGAAAGTAGGACAGTGCATGCCATGTTTTCCTGTTCTGGAGTGCATCGGCAGGAAGAGATCAGCTTCTTATCGTATCCAATCGAGGAAGTGAAGACGTATTCGAAACTGGTGCAGGACAGATTAGGATGGAAGCAAAGCGAGCCGAATCTCGGCTGGGTAGATCTCAGAAGCCCAGAATTTATGCTTGAATGAGCGCAGTGTGTTCAGAATTCTAAAGCGTAAAACCGAGTTCCCATGCCCGAGCACGACATGCAACATCGTTTTACACACCACCCTGACGTCTGAATTCCTGCTAACCCTGAATTCGGCAGCAAGGTTTCAGATGTTCCCAGATTCGTAAGGATACCGCCAGTTATTCTGTGATTGACCACTCGGCAAGCCCCACGGCATGGACTTTGGCCGCGTCCAGGACCGGAACACCTGGCAAATCCTGCTCTTGAATAACAAAGCCCAGATCAGTGCTGCCCAGGATCAGCGCGCCGGCTCCGCGGCCAACCAGCCTCCACGCCGCTTCTTTGAACATGGTCCTCGTCTGCTCAGTGACCGCTGCCGGTCCACGAACGACCTCCTGAAACATACCTCGATTGACCTCTTGTATCTCGGCATCAGTGTCTGGCACTAGAACGGTGATGCCGTGGCGCGCCTTGAGCTTCCCAATGAAAAAGTCTGGTGAGTCATCAGTCATCGTCACCGCGGGACCAATGAGCCCGACAGTGGTGATGCCGAGCCTTCTAAGCTCTTTGGCCACAAACTCTGTCACGTCGAGGAAGGGTACGACGGGTGGCAGCGCGTCGGCAATCTGTTTCGACACTTTGTGGGCAATGATGGCGCCCAAAGCGACCCCTTGTACCCTCGGCTGCTCCAGGGAGGCTAGTGGCTGCACAGCACTGATGTACTCGGCAGCAAATTCGTCCCACTTGCCTTCTTGCACGCGCTGAAGTTGCTCTTCGAGATTCACGCTGTAGATGTAGATTTTGGCGGAGTGCCGCTGTCCTAGTTGTGCGCGAATATGCTCATTGATGATGTTGTAATAGAGTGCGGTGACATCAGGCGTCATGCCGCCCAATAAGGCGATGGTCTTCATGATGGCGGCGTAGCGGAATCGATAAACAACTTGCGTGAGCATGCATATCGTGATACAAGGACCGCGCGTGTTGGGTAAGCTCACTGTGGACGGACGCCTTGCATAACTAGCTGACTAATCATTCCCATGCGATACGCCCGCCAAGGACCTTTGCCTAGTGGAAGCATCTGGTGCATTGTTGCCTGAGCCGACATTCAAGGTGACATAACCCAGACTTTTGTTGGCCTTGGTGGAGTTTGCGTGGATAACGGAACTGGGGAATAAGCCAAGGTCGAGCCTCAGATGTAGAGTGGAGAATTGAGTGGCCGTCAACTCGGTCGAGCACGGAGATGTAGCGAGAACGATTAGCCGGCCTTATGGATTTCTCTTTCAAGGACTACTTCGGACTCGATTTGTTCCGCGCTTGTTGATGGTAGCTACCAGTCGGAACAGTAAGCGGCTGAAATGGTTCGGATGAGCATGGGCGAAAAGCTCACTCGAAGCGGCACTACTGGCGCTTCGATCAGCAGCGGGAGCCCATATATACGTCGAGGTCTGGACGTCGACATACCTGATAGTCAAGAAGGACTTGAGCATATAGCCAAATTCCGCCACCATGTACACGCATCCAGAGTTCGACTCGAAAACCACGGGCAAGGAAGTTGTAACAGCGTTCGGCAACGAGCAAGTCAAGGGCAAAACCTGTATGTCAAGCAGTTCATCACCAATCTCACGGGCTGACCAGCTGTAGTTGTCATAACAGGACCCAGTGAGGGTACAATTGGGGGCGAAACAGCTGTTAGCCTCGCTCATGGCTCGCCAAAGCACATGATCCTCGCGGGACGGTCGGAGAAGAAGATCAGCCCCGTCATTCAGCGTATCAAGGAGATCAGCCCTTCGACAAAGGTGGACTTCGTTCAGCTTGACCTCTCCGAACCCAAGGCGGTCGTGACTGCCGCAAAGACTGTTGCAAGCCTTACAGACCGAATTGATGCGCTGCTCAACAACGCAGGAATCATGTGTTTGAAGGATTACACGACCAACTCGCTGGGCATCGAATTGCAGTTCGCCACGAACCATCTTGGCCACTTCGTGTTCACGAACGAGCTGCTGCCCCAGATCATCAAGGCCAAGGGTCGGGTTGTCAACACCTCAAGCAACGGATATGGAGTCTCGCCTGTTCTTTTTGACGATCCCAGCTTTGCCAATGGGAAGACTTACCATCCATGGATCGCGTATGGTCAGTCGAAGACAGCAAATATCCTCTTCACCTTGTCCCTCGCGGACAGACTCAAGGAGCAAGGTGTCGCGAGTTTTGCTCTCAATCCTGGTCTGATCCTTGAGTCTCACTTGCAAGATGCTGTGACACCAGATATGTTTGCTCAAGGTGTGGCATTGTACACCGAAGTCTATGGTGCAAGGGGCAGGGACGTGCCTACTCTGGATCCACCCAAGCCTCTTGCAGCGGCTGCAGGAACCACGCTCGTAGCCTTACTCGACCCGGCCATTCGGGATCGCTCCGGAGGGTTCATTTCGGATTGCAAATTCAGGGACGACTTGGAGGACTACGCAACAGATGCGAAACAAGCTGAGCAGTTGTGGGAGCTGAGCGAGAAGCTCGTGGGCAAAAAGTACTAACGAAGCACGTGATTAAGCGTTCCCATTCGAGGGGCAACGAGTGACGGAAAACATCAGACGAAGATGAAGACTGTCAGGGCGACAGAGGAAACAAGCTCCGCTAAGATTGAGTGACCATATGAGAAATCCGTACGCATGTCTGATAGGCTGAAAATGAGATCCTGAAGGGCTGCTTCTGGCGGGCATACAACGGCGCAGGTGATCGCACGCTCATATTCTCTGTAACAACGTCGCGCGAGTCAGAGGACATTGCGCAGGCCCGCCTTTCTCCCCTCTCTGGTGGCAGCTTCCATAGCGCGATAAATGACGCTGAAGATCTGCAACCACACGAGGTCAGCCTGGCTGTGCAAGCAAACTGAGGAGCCTGGACCGCGGTGAACACGAGCTCGGAAAGGTCCATGGAATTCCAGCGCTGAGAGCCAGGGGAGCCATTCAGGACTACTGACACTCAACCCGAAGCTCGATATGCCCTCGTTGCTGGAAGCGTTACTGCATCTCGGTCGTATTCAAGGATTGGAAGGCTGCTGGTACGATGTCAGCACCGCACAGCAAAACCATTGCACGTTGATCTATCACTAGACGGCTCCATGGACGCACTCGCGATCCTTCATGCTTGCTTGGTGATTCGCAGTGCGATTGGACTGACAAAGCGGCGCGCTGACTAACGAGTCCTACTCGACACGGAACTTACCTTGCATCCGCTTGGCGAATCTCAAGTATTTAGATCCGGTCAACTTCACCTTCACTGCAGTCCACGCTACAGACTTACCTGGTGATTGCGGCAGACTTTCGAGACATCCTAAGAGCATCGCGCACATGGACAAAAACGACCTCGTCCTGATAACCGCTGTGAACGGGTACATCAGTAGCCACGTGGCTGACCAGGCTCTTGCGACGGGCTATCGAGTCCGCGGGGTCGTGCGGAGGCTCGACACAACATCCTGGCTGCAGGATCACTTCGACGCTAAGTATGGTGCAGGCAGGTTCGAGCGAGTCGAAATCGCGAATTACGCCAAGGAGGGTGCCTTAGACCAACACTTGCAAGGTAAGCGCCCCATTTCTTGACTCAGGGCAGGCTCGGCTGACTAGGCCAGGTGTCGCAGGCATAATCCACACAGCCGTCGATTCGGCTTTGACTGGTGAGCCGGAGCCATACATCACCAATGCCGCGAAGAGCATTGTCGGCGTCCTTGAGTCCGCCTCCAAGTCTTCTGTAAAGCGCGTTGTGTACACCTCATCATCTATGGCTGCAGTCGAGTGGAAGATCGATGTAGAGTGGGACATGCCAATGGATGGGTACAACGACCGCGCCATCAAGGAGGCGTATACCGAACCGTTTGATCAGACCAAGATTTGGACTGTCTATGCCGCAGCGAAGGCGGTCGCAGAAAAAGCGGCCTGGAAGTGGATTGCCGAAAACAGTCCAAAGTTTGGTTTTAACGCGGTCCTGCCCGATGCCAACTTCGGGCCGAGTCTTGTCCCAATACATCAAGGCCTGCCTTCGACCGGAGGCTGGCCAAAGATGCTGTTCGATGGCAATCCTGATTTCGTGCTCACAACTCCATCCCGTAAGCCGTAAGCCATTCTTTCGACCTCGGTCGCGCACTGACTTATCATAGAACACTTCATTGATGTTCGAGATGATGCAAAGCTCCATGTCATGGCCTTGAAACGGAAGGACGTGGAAAATGAGCGGCTCTGGGGGTTTGCCGAGCCATACAGCTGGAACAGTGTGCTGGCGATTCTCCGGCGGCTGTATCCAGAAAGGAAATTCCTCGATGACTTCCCGGGCTTGGGCGAGGACCTAGGTCATCCGCCGAACCAGAGAGCTGAAGAACTCTTGAAGCTCTCTGGGCAGGAGAGGGGTTGGACACCACTCGAGCAGTCACTGCGTGATGCTCTGGCAAGCGTTGTGTGATACACAGGTGGATGAAGTGCTGGAAGTAGCTGGCTAGTAATCGGTCGCGAACACAACTTGAAGCACCGCTTTACTCATTGCGCATGCCCAGACGCGGTGAATGTGCGATTTCCACTTCTCGCGGATTAGTCTTTACAACACTTGTAGTGCTCAGCAGGTTTTCAGAATGAATCAGCGCCGACCAAGAGACAGCATTGCTCGACCTACGGCTAAAACAGTGCCTCTGAAGCTGATTACCTTTCAAAGACAGAGAAACGAAAAGCTTCTTGAGATAGTCTGTGGCATGAGCCTTCAGGGATTCCTAGAACACATGGTACGGCAAATGGCGTCCTTGGACAATGTCTCTGGACCAAGGAATTTTGCATCCGCGGCCAAAAAGCGGTCCACCGCCTTCCAGCAATGGGGGATTGCTGAGTCCGAAGCGTTTGGAGTGATAATAGGCAACTACGTGAAAAGGTAGATGCGAAAGTGGGTTGTAAGTATTCCGGTGCGTCCAACCACTGAGCTCGGTCGGCTACATTGACTCACGGGTTGAGCTTGCAATAGGTCATCGGCTGTCATCGAAAGGCCGTAGGCCAGCGGCGAGTGGACACTTCCTGCGGAACAGCGATGATGGATACCCTCGGCGGCGGCTGACTCGAGCGACTTGAGCCATCCCGAGGCTCTACCGTTTCGGACTTTCACCACATACGCCGTGGAAGTCGCCGTACTTCTTTGCTCCGGCGTTGACAATCTCTTGGAAATCCTCCAGTGGACAGCTCGCACCAGGGCCAGTTTGACAGTTCGGTATCGGGCGAGGGGCCGTATTGGCGATAAAGCGGATATAATCTTGTGCTCCGGTGGCTGACTTGGGTCCGCAGGATATCCTCTCCATGCCAACATGTCCAAGGAACGGGATGAGGTCGCTCATTTTCCAGGCTCGGACCCAATTGATGCGATCGGTGGGAAACTCTTCGACCTCCGGCGATGAGGAGTTGAAGATACCGAGTGCCGTAGCAACAAAGGGTGGAACTTCGCGATGTGTAAAACCCAGAAAGAAACGTTGATCTTTTGGCCAGCCATCACGGTTGGTGTTCTCATGGTAGTCGCTGAGGATCTCCAGTTGACTCTGAAGCCATGGAAAGCCCAGATATGGGGACAGGGGGTTCAACGGGCCAACCATATGGGCATATCGCAAGTCCCAAGCGTATTCGTAGCCCATCCATTCCTCGTCCGTGAATAAGGAGCAAATCCGACTGCGTTTGCCTTCGATCGCTGATTGGTAACCGCAGATTGACTGCAAGCCGAGAACGTCATTGGGTGTCATATCAAAGGCAGCAAATTCTGCAAGTCGGCGGGCTGCTTTGGTGCCGTACACGTCCACAAACGCGGCCATTTGGTCTGTGCCTGGCTCCTTACTGAACGCAGGACACGATTTGTGTGGAATGAGAGCATCCATACTGCCGTTGACGTCGTGCAGAACGCGGACGACCTCGATCGACTCCGGGTCTGGGAAAGCTTGCGACATCGCCACCGCAGTATCGTAGGTTCGTGGCTTCTTATCCGCGAGGATGCGCTTCGTTGTAGGTACGAGATCTGGATATCGCTGCAGGAGATGTTTGCCGACTTTTCTCGCGTCTTCCTTGCCAGATGGAGTGATGTCTTCCAATTTGTCCTCGAGGATCGGTGAATGCCAGTCATTCAGGAATGCCATCTCCCCAGAGAACCCGCCACGGTGTTTCTCAAGCTTCCACAAGAAGGGCTTGATGTATTTTTCGTACTCATCGTCGTTCGCGTAGATGGCTGCATGTCTGACAAGGTAGGAAGCGGCTGTCACTTTGCAGCCAACGGGAGCGTTGTGGCGGAGGCCGAAGCCAACTGCGTCGAAGTAAGGCGAGGTGCCCGGTAGGTGGAGGAGAGGATCGAACTCATAGTTCTGGGAGTGATCCGTGGGGAGGAAAGGTCGCTGGGCTGGGCTGACTGCAGCAGGCAGGGCGGCAGCCAGAAAGCTCCAGGATGCGATGTGTAGCATCGCGTGCCAAATCATAGAGACGCGGATGGGCAGCTTGCCAGACTTGTCAATTATGAAGCGAGGTCGTCGTCTGGTTAGGGACACGTTAGAACAAGTAGTTGCTTATCAAATTGGCTCGGTCAGGTGTCGAGCTCGAGAAAGTTGCGTAAAGGTAAAAGCTGAGTGGTGAGAAAATCAACTGCGTCATAGCTGTTCCTCCGGCCAGGGCCCGTTCTCGCTAAGGTCGCTTAAGGATCGTGGGGACCGTTTCCTTGGTTCCGAGCCGGTAAATTCGGTTCAGCAGCATGCAGTTCCTAAATGCCGTGTCACTGCTTGGCCTAATCGCATTGATGTCACTCACAGAGCTGGACACCCAAGCAATTTGACATCAGGAGGTTTGCCACATTACAAAAAAGAGCACGGTCGCAGAGGCAATCAAACGATTCCGGGTACGGGATGCAACGTGGTCAGATCTCTGTCCGTGACGAAGAACACGAGTGAGCATTCTCGAATTACTTTATGGGAGTGAAAACCAGCATTCTCGTTGCTTCACATGACGCCGACTACTCCTCAGCAGTCCTGTACGCGTTGTCGTCCCATTGGTATTCATGAGGCCTCCTGTATCGAGCATGCCCGCCCATTCTCTAACACGTCTAGCCACGCGACCCATACCATGCTTCTGCCGGCGTTTCTTTCTTGTGAGCTCCTTTCGCTTCTGATTCTTGGTCCGTCACTTCGATTCGTCGTCCGTCTACGGCAAATTGCAAGTATGTGGCAAAGGAGCTGGACCAGCCGACTTTGCAGCAACGACCAACCAAGGAACTGGTGTTCTGTTAGCACGGAAATGTCCCGGTGACGCAAGGGTAAGTAGATCTCACAGTCATAGTCCTCACACATCTTCATAACGAGGAGATCCCAGCGGTGGGTAGCCACTTTGTCAATTATATGCAGAGTAGCCGTGTTAGGTGTGCAGTCTCTTAGGATCATCGCATCTTGACGATGTTGAGCGCAGGTGCTGGCTGGTCCTCGAAAGATACGCATGTTACAGGCTGCGGTTGAAAGAATCCCCAGTCGAAACCAATGTTGGGAGTGGCTTGGCTAAATTTATCAGTAAAGCTTTTGGCAATGGGGCCACAAACAAACAACGCCGACAAGGGAAGCGTAAAGATAGGGGCCGAGGACAGGATCGTCGAAGTCTGGATGAGATGTCGCTCCGGCGTTGAGAATTCTGCGTCGGCAGTCATCGTCGTTCTCGACATTCCAATCAATCTATGTGGCGGTCAGTGAAGCTGCTTCTCGGCAGAGGTAGACTCTGCTGTACCACGTCCTTGCTACCGTCTGGATTGATTTGGTACTGGTTGCGGTCAGCTCAATCATGAAAGCGTTGCGACACGAGACCCCATCTTGCGCAGGTACGAGCCTTGACTCTAGTCGATGAAAGAAGCTGGCCCTGCCGAGAGCAGGGCCTTGTCACGATCATCCATCTTGTCGCCACCGAATCATAGGTCAGGCTGAGTTTGGATGAGACCCCGGGCGGTGTATGCCTTTGAGTGCTTGGCCAACTCGATCTTATGCCTGGTCATCGGGGGCTCTTTCGGCGGGCTGAGATATCGGCGTGCGAAAGGACAAAAATGAATTCCCAGCAGGTTGGTGTGAGGAAAGAAGAAGATGCACAGCGCAGAGCTTGAGGGCGCCTGGCAAATGTTGCCCCGGCAGCTGATACCGCAAACGAAGGAAGTCACTAGGGCTTGGGAGTCATTGCCTGCGTTTCCCGGTAGCAGGCCAGTTGTACTGATTGAGACGCGTGAGGAGAATCACGAAATTTGCATCAATTGATCCTGTCGACCTTCTAAAGCCGATAGTGAGCCAGTTGGACATCGTCTCATGCTCCCCACAGGTTCCGTTGAGCCTCCCACCCCCTTTCAACAACATACGCGTCCGGCCCCAGCAAGCCGCATCTGATTGCATCGATGTCATCACAGAATGATAGACATCCCATCCATCTCAGATTTCTCGTCGTCATGCTACGCTGCAGAGTGCCCGTCGCTGCAGATGACTTGCCGTTCAGAGAAGATTGTACACGACATAACTTCCAATAAGGAGACAAGGAGTTTCAACACCAGTAGGCTGACTTTAGGTTGCCGGCGAAGTCCAGGAAGCAGCTTTAGCTCGCGTCCAGAACGTACGGGGCAGGTGCAATCAAGGCGTTGCCTCGGCCGCCTCTTCTGCAAAGCGTAGCTTGCTAACACAGAAACAGTAATCGCCGAGCACCTTTGTCTGGTTCACCTCTTGGCCCGAGATTGGATTGCCCAGGGACAATTGTTGGAGAAAGTGCCTTGGCATCGCAGCGGGCAGCGCGGAGAGCAGACGGACGTACAGTACGGCGAGATGTGGCTCTGACTTGGCGCGGGGAAGCCAAATTGCTCTGCTGGGGTAGGGAGTCCGCAGAAGACTTGATTTCGCAAATCGATACATTGATGCATCGATGCAGGACAGTTGAGCCATGTTACGCTTGCTATCGCTTTCACCACGTGTTACCGTCCATCAACAAGTTACACATGATTTACGAACATCTCCGTCTGGACGGGGTCGCTTCTTATCTTCGAATGTTTTAGCCCAGCCAAGATCCGGGCATATCATCTTGGCACGGGGACGGCTGGTAACGAGTCCTTACCGCATGTGCAAAGCGCCGACCGCATGCAAGGCATCAATGCTCTTCCCAGTCGCCATGTGCTCGTCAATGTCCCATGAGATCCGAGAACGTTCTAGACCAAGACCCCGAGATGCTTTAAACAGACGCGGCCTCGACCTGTCTCGCTGATCGATTCCAGAATTCCTTCATCCCTCCTTCAGCCACTTGATCTGTAGCTGCACAATGTCTACCAACGATGAGAAGGCTAACACGGTGGACGAGGTCAGCAAAGTCGACACAACTTTGCCGGAAGATCCTGATGCACATCTAAGCCCAGAGGACCAGAAGAAAAGGGTATCCATCGAGATCATCGCCCGCAGGCACTTGGCTAACGACGGAAGGAACGCGCCTTGCTATGGAAGATCGACTTGTATCTGGTCCCATGGTTGTGTCTTCTCTACCTCGTCTCGTTCCTCGACCGCACCAATATCGGCAATGCACGCATTATGGGCCTCGCGGAAGATACCGGCATCACACCGGGCCAGTACAACCTTGCATTGGCGATATTCTTTATAAGCTACTGTAGGTAGCCTTCCTGAGGGCGACAACGTACTAATGCTGTCAGCTCTCTTCGAGCCTCCTAGCAATGTGTTGCTGAAGAAGCTCAAGCCGCGTTACTGGATCAGCTTCATGTAAGTACTTCGGCTATGTCTGAGCCCACTAACACGAGGCAGTGTCATCATGTTTGGCTTGTGTTGCATGTGTATAGGATTCGTGCGAAACTTCTCAGGCCTCGTTGCAACCCGCTGGTTCTTGGGCATGTTCGAAGCCGGTCTATTTCCTGGATGTCAGTTCTACCTGTCTTGCTGGTATAAGCGGTCTGAGTTCGGTGTGCGCTCTGCAATCTTCTTCAGTGCTGCCGCAGTGGCCGGATCCTTCGGTGGACTTCTCGCAGCAGCCATTGGCAACATGGATGGCGTTGGAGGCTACCCCGGATGGTCTTGGATATTCATCCTCGAAGGCCTTTTCACGATCATGATCGGCTTCGCGTCCTTCTGGATGGTGCGAGACTTTCCAGACGAAGCCAAGTTCCTCACTGAAGAAGAGCGTCTTCGCGTGTATTACCGGCTCAAGGCCGATCAGCAAGCAAGCGCGGATCACGAAACATTCAAGTGGTCCGCGGTGAAAGCAGCTCTTACGGATTGGAAGACTTATACTTCTATGTCGATGTTCATGGGGAATGGTTGCAGCCTCTACGCGGTCAGCCTCTCGTTACCAACCAGTATGCCCCTTCGCACTCTCCAAATGAAATTGACTGACCAATTAAAGTTGTCCGGCAACTGGGCTACACCGCAACCACAGCGCAACTCTTGACAGTCCCACCTTATGCTGTTGCAGCCGTAGTCACGGTGGTCATGTCAGCTATTGCTGATCGCACACGGCAGCGTGGTCTCTGCACCATTGCCACTTCTGGAGTCGGTATCATTGGATTTATTCTGCTCATGTCGCCAGTCTCGACGGGAGTCCGTTATTTTGCGCTCTATCTGGCGGCAGCTGCCATCTATCCTTGCGTACCATTGACTATCTCCTGGGTGGCGAACAACACCAATGGCACATTCAAACGCGGTATCGTGATGGGAATTGTATGCAAATCGTATCCTACATGTGATCCTTAGGCTTATTTCAACTAGGTCATCGGCTGGTCAAATATGCAGGGTGTCGGTAAGTCATCATATCCTGTAATCGAACGAGGGCTGATCAGCGCTACAGTGGGATCGAATGTCTACCAAAGCCGTAAGACACCAGCATATCAGCTGTGCACTTTCACTGACCAGTCACAGGAGATGCGCCGAGATTTCTTCCAGGCCATGGCATCTGCATGGGTTTCCTGGCCGTCTTCCTATTCGGCGGAGCAATCGTACATCGAACCCTGCTCGTGCGCGAGAACAAGGCAAGGCTGAACGGCGAGAGGGATCATTTGCTTCACGGGAAGTCGGAGAGTGAGATCGCGTTGATGGGAGACAAAAGGTGAGCTAAGCCCCTGGCCGTTCACTACGTACGCTGACCTCAAGTTTTCTGCAGGCCAGACTACATCTACATGCTGTAGAGAAGACAGTCGCTTGTGCTGGCGGCTTGCGCCGCCAAAGTTCAAGGTCCAAGCTCATAGCACTCCGTGGTCGGTGAGAGAGCGATAATAGGCAGTCTTTAATTGCTTCAACGTCCAGTGACCAGCAAAAACATATAACCCGTTCAGAGCAGGGATATAACCGACTGACTGTACGATCAATTTGACGTTGATATGTGCCCGATTTTATAGCAGATGACTCTTCCGTTTCTCTGGTCAATCGTCTTGGTCAAGGAGGACTAACTTGATGCATTGCGAACATGACCTCTTGAGTACTTGAAAACGTCTGATTACTTGCAAGTATTAGCCACGTGCACGGCTGAAAGGGCGCCTCGCGAGGCTCCGGGTAGGGGGCCTTATTTCGTCGATCAAGTCCACTAAAATTGCCGCGCTTTCCTCAAAACGGGGCAGACGCAGCGCCGCAGGTGCGACGGTCCGCCTTCGAGCTCCTCGTCATGTTCGCAACCAGTCACGTCCACCAACTCCATCCATTAGCCGAGTCTCAAGTTCGACGCGCATCCAAAATTGGCTCGCCTGAGCGTTGAGCACTGCCCCAACCATGCCACAAACCAAGCGCTGTTGCAGGTTTTGGACCAAGATGGCGGACTCCTTGGCCAAGACTCCCTACAGATGGCTTGTCGAGATTGTCTCAATGACGTTCCGACGTGCCATTGGCGAAAACTTGCCTGGCCGTTCATCAAGGCTTGTCGGTTTGCAGCGTGTCTGTCCGAGTATCTTTCATAGTGACCTCTGCTCTTAGGAGGTCGCTGAATTTGGTCACGGACTTTGAAATCGAACGGCAGGTGGGTTCTTAATTCTTCTTTCCATCTAAGAATCTCTCCTCGATGTCATATACTGGAACGACAGCCGACTGCATAGAACTACAACGAGATTGGTAGCGTCTGCGCTCGGCGCACCGGTCACTGTTCAACCATGGCTCCCCGAAAAAGTGCCTTCTGGCGACAGGTACGGTCGCTAGTGGCTAAAGACATGACCGTTCTGATCTTGCGTCACTTTACAAGCACTCTTTATACTGCCCTCTTACTGCCAGTGATATTGACTATCTACCTTGGTGTTGGTCAAAATCTGCAAGGAGCCAACAATCACTACGGAATCACCGAGCCCGAACCTGTTCGGTCATTGGAAGAAGGTCTTCGAGCTGCGAGTAGCACCAGGTCTAATGTCGTCTTCGTCAACAACGGGCTTTCCACGGGCGACATTGATAGCGTCATTAGTGCGCTGGAGTCCCAAGTCAACGCCGCAGGCAAAATTGCCCATCGAGCTCTGGATGTCCAGGAAATGAGTCGCATCTGCACAGTTTCTTTCCAAGGAACAACCCCATGCTACGGCGCCGTTGTTTTCAACTCGTCTCCCTCGGAAGGCGATGGCGGATCCTGGAACTACACTCTGCGAGGAGATGTTGATCTTGGTCGCAGTTTCGATGTCAACGAAGATGACAACGACCCACAAGTTTACGTCCTCCCACTGCAACGTGCTGTGGATCAACAAATCGCCCGTCTTCAAGGATCGGATGTTGACGCCCCATTCTTTGACAACATACAAGAAGTCCTGTTCACCAACCTGACTGAAGCGGGGCGCAAGTCTGAGGCCAACCGGGACTATCAAAGCACTTTTCTCAACTACATGGGAGTGACAGTGCTACTCGCTTTCTTCGGCTTACCCTATCACCTACCTGGGTACATCGCAACTGAGCGCGAAAAGGGCCTCTCATCCCTCATTGACTCCATGATGGTGACAAAAAGTGCTTGGGAACCCCAAGCTGTGCGCATGGTATCGTATTTTGCCAGCTTTGCTTCCACGTACTTCTCCGGCTGGGTTGCCGGTGCTCTCATCCTCAAATTCATGGTCTGGAGGGAGACAAGTGTTGGCATCGTTCTGCCCTACTTCGTTCTTGCTGGGTTAGCGGCTACCTCGCAAGCCTTGATAGGGGGATCCTTCTTCCGAAAAGCGCAGCTCTCTGGCGTGGTGAACGGTTTGGTGTTCGCCCTCCTTGGAGTTCTCGTCCAAGCTCTATCAACAATTAATACTGCAGGAGCCGCCGTTTTGGGCTTGTTGTTCACGCCCTGTAATATGGTTCTGCAGATCAAGTACATGGCTCGATATGAGTCAGAGGGAATGGCCACAGATCTTCTGGAAGCTCCCCAGAACAGCGACCACTCACTACCAGCCATAGTACTTTGGGTTTTCCTTATTGTGCAGATCTGTGTGTGCCCACTCATTGCGGCTTGGCTGGAGCGATGGCTACATGGCGTAGCCGCCGACAGCCGCATTGTCTGCACAGGCTCAGACTCAGGCACAAACACTCCTCGATATGCTGTTTCTGTGCAGGGGCTGACCAAGGTCTACCACACTTCATTCTTGAGACGGATCTTCGGCTTTCAGCTTGCGCCTGCAACTCCTACAGTGGCCGTAAATAGCCTCGATCTCGACATACCTCGCGGCCAGATTGTTGCCCTTCTTGGTGCGAACGGCAGTGGCAAGACCACAACGCTAGATGCTATTGCTGGCATTCAAGGCTTCAGCAAAGGAAGCGTAACGATTGACGCTTCTGGAGGAGTGGGTGTTGCGCCTCAAAAGAACGTCATGTGGGATGAACTGACTACGATGGAACACGTTCGATTGTTCAACCAGCTGAAGTCGCCTCATAGACAAGCGGCAGAAAGCGAGTTGTTGCAACTACTTCGGGATGTGGAAATTAGCGTCAAGAAAGATGCGAAATCTCAGACGCTATCTGGAGGCCAGAAGCGAAAGTTGCAGCTGGCAATGATGCTGACAGGCGAAAGCTCAGTTTGCTGTATCGATGAAGTCTCTTCCGGGATCGATCCCCTGTCCCGGCGGAAAATCTGGGACATCTTGCTCCGCGAGCGCGGCAAAAGGACGATAATTCTCACCACACACTTCCTCGACGAAGCAGACTTGCTCTCTGACAAGGTTGTGATCATGAGCAAAGGAAAGTTGCGTGCAAATGGCTCAGCCGTGGAGCTCAAGGCTAGACTCGGTTCTGGTTATAGGATTCATCTGTCCAAGTCCTACGGTCGCATCAATCTACCTGAGATCCAGGGTGTTGAAACAAAGACTAGGACGGATGGCATCATCTATGTTGCTCCCAGTTCTGAACTGGCAGCTGAAACAATTCGTGCCTTGGAGGCCGCCAGCCTAAGCTACCGCCTCTCGAGCCCGACTTTGGAGGACGTTTTTCTTCAATCTTCTGAAGAGTACGCGAAAGAGACTGCGAACAGCCTCAAGCGACTTGACACGGTGGCGCTCTTGGATGATAGCCCCGAACAGCGACCTCTGGATCTACTCTCAGGGCGGCAGATCGGGATTCTCAAACAAATCGGCATTCTGATCTACAAGCGAATAACACTGCTCAAAGGGAACTGGCTACCTTATGCCATCGCATTCTTGGTCCCTATCGTCGCTTCAAGTGTCATGCAGCTCCTAGTGGCTGGCACGGATCGGGCGACATGTATACCGCGAGGACTAGCCGATCTCGGTGATTTCAACGAGGCTTTCAATAATGCCACGGTGCTTGTGGGACCGGAGTCGTTGGCGTCTAATCTCACAGCGTATTTCGACGGCATCAATCGATCTGAGACAGCTTTGGAGCCCATCGGATCTCTCTCCTCGCTTGTGCCTTCGATTGAAAGGAATCGGCAGGTTCTCAAACCCGGAGGACTCTGGGCTGGACCGTCTGACACCCCGTCGACCGTTGTCTATCGGGCTGATGAAGACTTCATGCAATCAGCGGTCATCTCGCAAAACCTCCTCGACGTTGTTCAATCTGGCATTGATATTGTTGCAAATTATGCTGTGTTCGACAGCGCCTTCAGCGACGTGGGGAAGACGTTACAGTTGTCCATCTACTTCAGTATTACACTCGCTGCGGCTACTTCTTTCGTGAGCCTTTACCCCAACCTCGAGAGACATTCACAGGTACGCAGCCTTCAGTACTCAAGTGGTGTGCGCGTATTCGCACAGTGGGCATCTCACCTGATATTCGACTTTTGCATCCTACTACCGCCCGCCATTGCCGCAGCCCTTGTATTTGCGTTCACTTCCAATGTATTCTGGAATCCAGGGTACCTCATCCCTGTGTTTCTGTTGTACAACATGGCAGCTACACTCGCTGGGTACATTGTGTCCCTTTTGATGGGTAGCCAGATGGCGACCTGGGCAGCGGTTACGGCTTTCAACGGGGTTGGCGTTGCCGTTTACTTCATCTCTTTCCTATTTGTCATCAATCTTTCTGATGCCACGAAAGCGCAAAGCAACATTGAGACAGCGCATTACATCATTGCAATCATTTTCCCCGGAGCGTCTCTAATACGATCAATGCTTGTCAGTCTCAATGTTTTTTCCCAGGCCTGCGATGGCTCTGAGTTCATCGCCTATCCGGGAGCCATGAACGCATTCGGTGCACCGATACTGTATCTTGCGATCCAGAGTTTCGCATATTTCTGCATACTTCTCCTAAGCGAGAGCAAGTCTCGCCTCTCATCTCTGTTCTCAAATAAAAGACCTCATCATGATGCGGAAAAGGTTTCGAGGAATAACAGCGGAGTCCAGGTACAAGGGCTCACCAAGACCTTTGATGACCAGAAGGTGGTCGACGATTTGTCTTTCAACATCGAGCACTCAGAAGTCTTCGCTTTGTTGGGCCCGAACGGCGCAGGAAAGTCAACGACCATATCGCTCATTCGCGGCAATTTGAATCCGACTAAGGGTGATGTGCTAGTCGAACAAGTTTCCGTGACCCAGAATCGGGCACTGGCTCGAGCTCACATGGGAGTGTGCCCTCAGTCCGATGCGCTGGATTCAATGACTACGATGGAGCACCTCCGCCACTACGCTCGGCTGCGGGGTGTCTCTAATATCCAGCGTCAGGCCGATGCTGTGATTCGCGCTGTTGGACTAGACGATTACAGAGAGACCATGGCTGGTCATCTGTCTGGTGGAAACAAACGTAAACTCTCTCTCGGCATAGCGCTCACTGGAAACCCATCAGTCATACTCCTCGATGAACCATCATCTGGGCTGGACGCAGCGGCTAAGCGGATCATGTGGCATACACTGAAGACTGTCATGCCTGGACGATCGATCCTGCTCACCACTCATAGCATGGAAGAAGCAGACAGCCTCGCCAACCGGGCCGGCATCGTTGCTAAGCAAATGCTCGCCACAGGCAAAGTGGAAGACTTACAACGTGTTTTTGGTGATTCGCTGCACGTGCATCTTGTGGCTCGCACAGCACCTCACTCGACAGATGAAGAAATGGAAAGAATGCGCACGCACGTCTTAGACCTCTTTCCGGAAGCGCAGATCGAGCAAAAGACGTACCACGGCCAAATGAGATTTGCTATATCCGTATTGACGGTCGAGAAGCCCGGCGGAGTGCCCAACGCAACCGACAGGAACAGTGCCATAGGTCAAGTCTTGGTCATCCTGGAAGACAACAAGGACAAACTTGGGGTTACAGATTACAGCGTGGCTCCGACTACACTGAACGATGTCTTCTTGGCTATCGTCGGCCAACATCAGGTCCAAGAAGAGGGATATCCTACTGGAGCAACTGCGAAGAAGAAACGACGAAATTGGCGCAAAGTTATACTCGGGTTCTAAGAAAGATCAAGAATAGCCACTCATGGCTCGCTATGTCGAAGGCCTATTTTCTTAGTCAAGCTGGATTCTTCTTGATCTGCCACGGAATCACAGCGTGGTGGTTATCTGCCAAGATGTTGAGTCATCAGAGTCCCTATGTAGACGGATCATGACTCAAGTTGCTTCCCAAGAGGGCGAGGAATCGATATTGACTGGGGCTGTTCATTTCATAGCATCTTAGGCGCTTACTTCTACGGCAGATCAACTCACCACTTTTACAATCACCCCAAGGCGCAGAACTTGGCCTGCGCAATAAATCAGGCTTTGGTGGCTGCATCTATCATTATTACCGCATTTGGTCAAATGCAGCGCTGTAAGTGGCAGCAATCAAGATACACTGCAGTGCCCACCAGCTTCTGCCGGTTCCAACTACGTCATTTTCGTCTTGCACCCTCGAAGAACCCTTCACGTAAGACCACCGGCAAGTCTCCAAAAATGCCAGGGGAAGGAGATTATGTGATCAGCGCGGTGGCCGGCCTCAATCGATCTCGCTTCCGCTCCTCTGCACTACTCCCAAGCCGGAGACTCTGGGCGCTGCTGCGGACCAAGCCACCCACGATGAAAGGCGTACCGAGTCGGAAAACACGAATATAAGAAGGGCAGTTCTTAGTATCTGCATGAAGCCGAATTTCGTAAACTGTACCATTGCACGTAACCCAACTTTGCTGATCGAGAAAAATCTTCACTGAAACCAACACAACAACAGCTACAAGAGAGACATCTTCAGCATAGTCTATCTTTTTCAAAGTCGGCCACAAAAGCTCTCCCGGTCATGGCTGATTCCTCTGTTCCTAACAACAGGTATGTTCCCCATGCAATCGTCGGGCGTCTTTCGCGTCGCGTCCAAAAGTACATTTACCACAACACCTGCTGACAGAAACGAGCAGCTACGCACCGGCTGATAAACAACCTTTCACGAATCAGCCCCTGAACGTGGCCCAGGGCGTTACCGGTACCGCTTTTCAACAGTCTAGCAGCAGTAAAGGCGGGCCAGTTCCCCTTGATCAGCTGAAACCTATGCCGGAGCAAATCTCATGCCCCAACTGCGGCAAGGTAACACAGACCCGAGTTGAAGGCCGTACCGAAGGCAAGACCAAGTTCATGAACGTGTTCTGGTGGCCACTACCCGGGCGGAAGCACTGGTTCGAGAAGACACACTGGTTTTGTGAGAACTGTGACTACGAGCTGGCAGTCCAGAAGTATGGGAAGGAGTTGGAGGTTTCGCAGCGCTAGATTCTATTCTTCCGAGTTGAAGCTCAGGTTCTACCCGTTACTGCTTGCTACTTTCGAGTATTGAGAGCCACCCATAGAACGGGTGGAGCGGCTGGCGAGGGCTATCTCTTCTCAGGCAACTGAAGCGGGCGTTTTATCTGATGATACTATTATACCATCTATTAGACATTCAAAACATCATCCATAACAAGTTCTACCACGTCGTCCCTGCTGTTCTCGTGTCTACCTAGTTGCGCTGTCTTGGCTGTCGTAGTCATCGATATTGTTGTCATCTTCACCATCGACAACATGCTCTCTATCACCGTACTACTCACCCTTGTGATGTCTAGCATTATCAAGTCCAGTGGCCAGGACGATTGGCGCCGTACTGACAACGCTGAGCATATACGTACGCACCTCACGCTCCTCACCAGAAGGGTGTGCCGAGTGTCTCAGTAATGAGGCTTTGCATGTTATCGCGAGTCAAGTCACGATATATACGTCACGCCCCATCATGAGTTTCTTCTTTACCTTGGTAGCCTTCTTAAGATCTTGCTCTCAGCGTTTTGTGATGGTCTGGTATACATGGCCTACATCAAGCCGTCCACCTCGAATACCATCTTGGCTTTCGCTCGATTGTACGACCCACGACCACTTTTAGAAGCACATGCACCGTATGTATAGTAATCCTCATATCATCTTCGAGGGGAGTCGAAACAGTAGATTGGGGGATACTGCGGTCCGAATACAGCTAGCACACGTGTTTGATTAGCCTAATGTGTACACCAACCCTAAAGCACTACCGAAAGTCCAGCACCTTGTTGATGTTGACATCAACTATAGCTTCAGAGCTCCATTCTTGATCTCCTCCCAGTCCTCGCGTCGGTATGGAACGTAGACATTTTTGCCCGGCGGCAGCCAGTAGAGGACGTCATCGGAAACCTCACGAATCTTGGCCCAGTCAATACCTTCCGCTTTCAACCTCCCTTTCTGCATCTTGTTTGTAGCCGTGTAGTCGATTTGCTTTACGATCCGTACAAACAGTGGCACAGCGTAACGTGGCAAGTTCTCGAGCGCGTGTCGAGCCAGAACACTCAAGTTCAGCTCACCAGTTGGCACGATTGCAACACAGCCTGCTCGACCGTCCGTATGAGGTACAGAAACACCGTAGACATTTGCTTCCGCAACCTGATCAAGCTGCCCGAAGACATCAGCCACTTCAGTCGTTGAGACATTCTCACTATGCCACCTGAAAGTGTCTCCAAGCCTGTCAACAAAGTAGAGACATCCATCAGCGTCCTCGCGCATCAAATCGCCTGTACGGAACCAGACATCACCTTTTTCGAAAACATCCGTGATCCGCCGCTTTAGACCAGCTTCCGGGTTGTTGAGGTACTTTGCGAATGCTGCAACTTGCACCGCGGGATCGACTTTGTTGATAGTTTCACCCACTTCGCCAACCTTGCAGGCAACAGCGAACCCGCCCTCACGTATGATTGACTCAGTATCGACATCGATGCGGATTCTCTTCTCGTTGGCGCCGTTGAGAAAACGCCATAGAGGCCCACGGATAGCAACGGCGTTTCGACCAAAAGCACCACGATTCTCATTCCAGCAAACTGAATTGCCGTCGGTGGCGCCATAGATCTCATTGACTGTCTCCACACCGAAACGCTGTCGAAATGCTTCCCAGACATCAGGCCTAATACCATTTCCCCACACCATTCGGACATTGTGCTGTTTGTCCATCGGAGATGGCGGTGCATTAAGAAGATAGCGTGCAAGTTCTCCGACATATTGCACAATTTCTGCTCGCGAAGACCGAACTTCTGGCCAGAAAGTCTTGTGACTGAATTTCCGACTTAGAGCCACTGTAGATCCAGCAAATATACTAGGAGTGGTACATAGACCGTGAGCAGATACATGGTACAGAGGTAGACAGGTGTACATCCGGACACCTGGTTTAAGCTTGAGGTATTCGCTGACTGATTTGACAGAAGCTAATTCTCTTGCTCGAGGGATAATAACGGCTTTGGGCAAACCAGTTGTGCCGGAAGTATAGATTAGACGAGCCAAGGACGTTGGACTTAGACCTTTTCGAAGGTTTGGAATAGGAGATGTATCTTTGAGCGAGATAGTGAGTCCTCCGTCGTAGTAGATTGTTTCGATGCCTTCCAGAGCATCCTCGTGTGGCCGAACGAAGTCGATAACTGCTCGGTCTACAAGGAAATAGCGGCAGCCACAGAGCTTCACTGAATGCACTAATGGCGTCGAAGTTAAATTGCTGTTGATATATGCCGGGCAAGCGCCAATCGCATTGAGAGCGAGGATAACCATAACATACTCGGGACTGTTCGGACCGTCTATAGCGACGATCTCGTTCGGTTTTATTTGCAAGCTCAACAACCAGTTACCGACGAGTTGGACTTTATCGTAGAACTCTTTATAAGTCCAAGATCGACCCTCGAATATTAGAAAGATGTTGTTGGCGTTCTTGCCTAAGGCGTGGTTCTCGAAATAATCGTAAATGTGTCCTTTACCACGTGCGAACTCCCCGGTGACGAATTCGGTGGCCCTTTCACCTTTCCTTGCCACGGACCCTGTACGTAAGTCGTTGCGTAGTAGGAACCGTGCATCCGTGTAAGCTGCTATCGCTAGGCCACCCACGACCGTAGCAGCAGCTCGCTGTACTACTAGCCGTTAGTCGATCTCTGGCGATTCGAGGGTCACTTACGAGACATGTTGTGATAGACACCGAAAAGTGTGTATAGTGACAAAACTAGTTGGGATTAAATAGGTAGATATCGAGAATGCGGGGGAGTATGCCCACGGGCGAATCTAAGGCCTAAGATGTTCACGTGACTTCCACTTACAGCTCAACGGAGGGTTTCACCCGACCCGAAGTATTTGTACCTCGGTATAAGATAGAATATAGTTGTTATTAGAAGTTAGGCTAAATTTACCTAACCCCCTTCGGCTGGCCCCAGCAGAGGGTGCGCCAATGTATTAATAAACATGCCAAACCTTGCCACTCATGGGCGTCAACGAACCACGCTTCATCAACCTCCTCGTCGGCTCGACCCGAGCTCGGCGCAAGCTATATAAATGCCTTCACATCACGCTTGTTTCGACCTACGGCACTATGGATCGGCACTATATAAGTCACCAGAAGATCGTCGTTACGCCCATCGGCGGTGCGAATTGGTTCGGCTTCCTCGATCGGCTCAAGTATCTAGTCCAGTATTCCAACGGTCTGATTCCGCGCTCGTGAAACACCTCACACGCCTTGCCCGGCCAACGGATCCACGACTCAATCGTCTGCCGCCGACCTTGTTGATCGCCTAAACTACACAAACGCCAACGTCACTGGAAACACTATGTCCCGGAACTCATACCCTTCCAGTACTGGCGATCTCGTTACAGTCCCAAGCACCTCAACGGGGTGCCTTTAACATCGATCACCGTACCTTCCGCATCGCCACAACCGCCACGCGTGAACGCTGGTTTATCGTGATACATCCCACCACCCTCATGACCGCTCTTCCCAGTTCCCGTGTCAAGCAACGCCGCCGGAAAGAAGAGTCGTCGCGAGATTATATATCAACGGGCAATAACCCAAGCGGCTGTAAGAGAGGATTACTATAAAAATTAGCTATTTTAATTGTTCTGTATATATATTAGTACTATAAGACTATGGTGCCAGAGTTTGAGAGTAGTACCAGTGGTGGTTGTTGAGCTATTGTCGTCGCCATTTTGTACTGAGATTTGCCTCTACCAAGAAGAAAATTATACACTAACCTAATTGAGTTTTTGTCTAATCAATAAGCTAGCACTCTTGCCTAATCAAGTTTTTGTCTAACTAAGCTACTTTAAGATATCTCCCCACCTAGGGTTAGGGTTAGGGTTAGGGTTAGGGTTAGGGTTAGGGTTAGGGTTAGGGTTAGGGTTAGGGTTAGGGTTAGGGTTAGGGTTAGGGTTAGGGTTAGG